TTTCCTAGATTGAAGATACTTCTAGGCGCGCAACCACGTAGTAGGAAAAGACCATCAGTGAGCCGTTCAATTACCCAGTACCAGAGTAGCCCAGATTTCAAGGAGTTCCACCTCAGCTACTTAGGGTCCAACGCCCAAATCATGAGACTTCTCCCGGAAAAGAACTTGAAAATCAGACATGGGTCATTTCATCGCAGAAATTGTACTGGTAAATCATTCGAACGCGAGGCATTAACTACAATCTTGACATCTGCAGAAGTAAACGTAGAACCGTGGGAGCACGAACTCGGCAGGAGACTCGCAGTTAACAGGGGTTTTCCCACGAGAGATCTACCAGAACTTTTTCGACGCAGATACCAAGCCTGGAGTGTCTGCAATGCCCTCCCCAGCCTCATCCTGCCCCATCACAACGCGACGGCAACTCTGTTCGTCTGATACTTTCGGATGCTTGGGATGAAGAAGCAGGTGATAATGGCCAAGACGCCAAAAGGAATACTAGTGACCCATACCCATTTGAGAGACTCGGCGTAAGCCCATCGGGTCCCCAACTCAGCACCAGCTAGAGCCTGGGGGGAGTATCCAGGCGCTTGGGTGATGTTCGCTGGGGCGGTGAGAAACGTAGTAACGAAGTCGTTGGCATTTGACACCGGTAAACCCGCTTGGATGGCGTACTTGGCGACATTCTCTGGGAGCTGCTTGTTGAGCTTGTTCACGAATATGTTGTAGTAAATCGTGAAGCCGATCGAGCCTCCGACGGTACGGATTGACAACGACAGGGCTGCGGTAGTTGCGAGCAGGGAGTCCGGGACAACGATCAAAGCAACGGTAGCAGCTGGAACCAGGATGCCACCGACTCCAAAGCTAGCTATCGTTCCGAGGGCCACTGCTAGCTGCGGGGTTTCTGGCGTGGTAGCAACAAGTCCGCCGATGAAAGCAGCTAGAAGAGCGAGTCAGATTGATCACAATGCAAGAGTGGATCCGATTCAACCTACTCATCATGATTGAAGAGATCATGAGAATATACTTGGCAGGTATCTTCGTCGACAGCAGGGCATTCCAGAAGACAGCACCTGCGGTGGTGGAAATGCCATAGCCCAGGCCCTTCAACCCAACTTGAACTGGATCTGGACTCCACAGGGTTGAGAACGAGATTGGGAAGAAGTTGATCAGAGAATAGAAGTCGAAGCCGGCGATAAAAGCGACAAGGAAAGTAAGTCCTACAATTCGTTGTCCTTGGTAGAGCTCGCGTGGGATCATGGGGTGCGGAGCGAATTTCCACTCCCAGATCACCCAGGCGATCACAAGGAGGATGCCGATCAATAGCTGTGCGAGGACATAGCCGCTCTCCCAAGGATGAGTGTACCCGCCGGATTGGAGGGCAACGAGGCTGTTTCGATCAGCGGCATGAACCAAGCAGCTCAGACGCACTTACAAGAGAGTGATGCCGACAATGGACAGAAACGCTCCAATATAGTCAATGCGCGCCAGGATCTGTCCTCTAGACATCCCTTGCAGGCGAGGATGTGATTTGGGAAAGTAAGTTGTCAGCAGACCTAGGAAGACGATGCCGTTCCAGATCCTTGTTAATGTTAGCCTCGTTGCTCCATGGTGGAGTCAGCGACTCACAAAGCTATCCATTGTGTCCATCTCCATGTCACGTATGTCGAAAGTAACTGACTATAGATGGTTAGTACTCAACAGACACGAAGCAGGATGCATTGGTGCCTTACCTATACATAACGTAGGGCGTAAATGGAAGAATTGACGCAGTCATAAGTGCCAATGCAATGCCACGCTGACGTACGGGCACAATGTCCGACAAGCTGTTTGGGTCAGCGCTCTGCAAATCAAAGCATAGGATGACGATTGACATACCCAGCTAGAGCGGTCAGCTCGCAGACGCCCGCACCCGCGCCGGACAGGGTCATTCCTGTCACAGCCTGTCCGAAGGAGTGGGCACTGCCGATCAATGCAATTCCTACCATGATGACAACGGAGCCAGCCAGTGTGATATTGCGACGACCAAGTAGATCTTGCAGGTACCCGACAAATGGTGCAACGGCGGTAATGGCCAATGTGTTGGACACGGGAAGCCAACTTCCCACTTTCTCGGCTCCTAGATCGGCTTCCATGAAGGAAAGGCACCCTCCAACGAAATACAGCATGATCTGTGACCCTGAGTTTGCTGGTGTGAGACAGTGATCCTAAACAGATGTGAACAAACTAACCCGCGTATAACATGCCCAGAGAAACTGCAGCCACGCAATGACGGAGTGTCCATGCAACCTTGCCGTCGGAGTCGTCGCCCTTGTAGGCAAACTCATTGTGGACATGGACGTTGTCCGCAGCGTCCTTTTCTTTCTCAATTTCGTAATGCTCTGCAATCGATTCCTTCGAGGCTGCATGGCTCTCTAGGGTAGGTTCCGTTGAAACAGGTTGCGACATGATGGATGCCTTGACTGGAGGGTGCTTAGAAGCCAAATCAGAGAACAAGGTTGGGTGAGAAGGGCTGGAGGACTCGAAATCTGGGGAACCCCATGTGGGAGCCCCCCGATATAAAAACCTGGGCAAGTATTGAATTGATCGTGGGGACAAGTGCATAAGACAGGGCGTTTGGGGAGTGAGACAAGGCTGCACCGGTATTTTTCGGCTGTTTTCGGTATAGACCGGTTGGTGCTGATGTGGAACCCTGTCCGGCACGATGGCATCCCGCAAGAGGAGAAGCGACTCCGCTCCCTCTTTCTTGGCTCAGTGCGGAGTCGAAGCTGCGAGGTCAGATGTGGACGCCGACAGGTATGATTCCTGTTCAGAGCAGACATCACAAGAACACGGGGTCTAATAGGTTCAACAGCGCGTGCTCGTGCCAGTCCAGGAAACCGGATATCCTGCACAAAGACCGCGTTCCCAAGCTGCATTCTTGCAGTCAATCTTGACCGCCGCCCTCGCTTCCACAAATAGACCTCGGCTCCTGTCCTGTCAAGATACTTAGCGAGATTCTGCGAACAATCCGAACGACTTTTGCCCAGATTACTTGGTCTGGCTCAGCTGGTAGCTCAAGAGTAACGACAAACAGAGGCAAAAGGCATTTCAAAAGAAAACATGCCGTACAGATCTCGCTGGTCCATTCCGCTGCCGCAATGTTCTTTTCCAACGTTCTTGTTCGGGTCCCCTCACAAGGACCTGAGTGACAAGAAGGCCTACATCGATGCCACGAGGCCAGAGGAGCTCTTTCTCACCCGCAAAACGTTCCGTCTCTGGTCGCAGCGCGTGGCGTTGGGTCTGCTAAAGAGCGCCAATTTCCAGCCCGGAGATCGAATCTTGGTGTTTTCTGGAAACACCCTTGCCACGCCCGTTGCATTTATGGGCATTGTCATGGCGGGAGGAATCTTTACCGGAGCAAATCCGACCTTTACTCCTCGAGAGTTGTGCAATCAACTGCGAGATTCCGAGGCCACTTATCTATTTTGTTCACACGCTTCCATTGACACCGGGATTGAAGCGGCAAAACAGGCTGGGCTGGACAAGAGCCGAGTGTACGTCTACAACGAGAATGTCTTCTTGGGTGATAAAGGCGATCAGTCGGATCTCAAAGGGTGCAGGTACTGGTCTGCCCTGATCGCGCCAGCAGAAGATGCCCAAGGCTTCCAGTGGGAAGAGCTCGATGTGAGTTGAGACCCTATCACTCTGTTGTCCCGAGAAAAGGATTCACTAACCTGTACACAGGGAGAAAAGTGCCACAAGACTATCGCTCTCAACTACTCCTCAGGCACGACCGGGGTGCCCAAAGGAGTCGAGGTGACGCACTACAACTACATCGCCAACACACTTCAGTACAACCATCTCCCCACGCTCTTCCCGGACTATGCCGAAAGGAATGCTCGAACAAAATGGCTCTGTTTCTTGCCTTTCTATCATGCTATGGCCCAAACAATCTACATTGCAGGTGCCCTTCTCCGGGAAATTCCCGTCTTCATCATGCCGAAATTCGACTTTGTGGAGATGTTGGCGAATGTCGAAAGGTTCAGGATCACCGACCTCGCTTTGGTTCCGCCAATTGCTGTGGCTCTCACCAAGCATCCTGCTGTCAAGAAATTCGACCTGAGCTGTGTCGAGGCGATGGGCAGTGGTTCCGCCCCGCTCGGCAGCGACGTCTGCCGCGCGATAGAGAAGTTGTGCGGTGGCAGATTCAATATGAAGCAAGGTTGGGGAATGACGGAAGTGACCTGCTCTTTGCTGGGGTGGGATCCAAACAAAACTTCCACGTCCTTCGGTGTCGGCGAACCCAACGCCAATTGCGAGGCTAAGATCATGAGAATTACAACCGACCCCAGTGGCAATGAATCCTTTTGTGAGATTACCGAGCGCGGCCCCGAACACACAGGCGAGCTCTGGTGTCGCGGTCCCAATGTCATGAAAGGCTACTGGCGCAATCCCGCGGCGACGAAGAACGCTTTTTCCCCAGACGGCGAGCGCTGGCTGAGGACCGGAGACATCGCCTACGTCGACAATGAAGGCTGCTTTTTCATCGTCGACCGCATCAAGGAGCTGATCAAGGTGAAAGCAAACCAAGTGGCACCCGCCGAACTCGAGGCTCTGATCCTGGAGCACCCAGCCGTCGCTGACGTAGCTGTGATTGGTGTTCCCACCACCGACGGCGACGAAAGGCCACGTGCGTTTGTGCTACGGCAGCCGGATGTCCAGGTTACTGAGCAGGAGATTTTTGATTATGTCAAGCAGCGGGCTGTCGCGTATAAATGGCTGACGGCGGGGGTGGAATGGGTCGATGCGATTCCCAAAAACCCCTCGGGGAAAATCTTGAGGAGGCAGCTGCGAGAGCGATCCAAGGTCCAGACTGTGCAAGCTAGGCTGTAGAATTCATTATGTGAATTCTCGCCAAAAAAAAAAGAAGGGGAGGGGGGGGCGGGGGGGCTGAAAGGACTGTCTGGCGATTGCGACTCGGTCGCAATCGCTCTGGTCTTGATCCAAAACAGCGCAGAGGCTCACATATAACCCAGATACACCGCTATCATGATTGACAATGCTGATTTTGGACCCTGTCCCTGGGTGTAGTCCTCATCAGATCTTCCAAAATGTAATGGTATCGGATGCATGATGACCAGATTCCTGATACTGCGCTTGATCCCGACAAATGATTTCTCCAGTTTCACCCAATTTTCAACTTCTCTGTTCGTCTGTCAGCCTCATTTGGCTCACCCGTCCATAGCATGTCATGCTCTCGTGAGACTGTACGCGATCACTCGCCTTTTAATATTGATGGCACGTGGCACGTTTAGAGACTACATATCGCTCAAAACTTCAGGAAAATGGTCGAAATCTCCAACAATAGCCAGCGAGTTCGGTTTCTCTGTCATGGTCCCACAATTCACGTAGACGTTTTCCGGTTGCTGAGACCCGGGCAAACCAGCAGGAGACAATATGTCCATCAGAGAGTCAAAGGCATCCCCCAAGTCTGGCAGGTTCCAGCTCTCATGCGAAAGGCACGTACATGTGCTATAAGCGTCGCTTCCTGCCCGAGAGGCCAACCGCGGATGCAATTCATGCTCCTCGGGGTACTGCCCTTTCGCTAAAGCCAATTGGACGGCAATCATCTCTCGCAGGAAAAGCCGAGGCAAGTGTATGAGATTGTCCACTCTATCACTGTTATTCGACGAGGAGTCGCCGCGTAACTGGCTGTCAGACGACAACGAGCTAGGCATTTCATGCGCATCCAGACACATGACGATCTGGCGTATATGGCACAAAACTCGGTCGACTCCTTCATATCGTTCTTTAAGACCACTGAGGGCGGTAATATAGACGCTCAGGCGCTTCTGGGAGCTGACAACGTGCTGTTTTCCATGCGCCTTGATGTTCAAGATATGTTGGACCAAGGGAATGGCGATATGTGCAACACTAGATGATTCTATCAATGAATGCCAAGATCTCGCATTTGTCGGGACTCACATAGCAATGGGCATGAATGATAGCATGCCATGGTCAGAAATCTGCTGCAAGCTTGCGTCGATGCCTTGTATTGCTCTTTCGACTTCCCTCCGACCCTCCGAAAGGTCCATATGCATTGCACATCCATGTGTGACGGAAATATACATTGCGTGATTCCAAAGCGCCACCTTAGCCGAACTATGCACTGAAGTTAGATAGAACAGACAACAAATCGGACGCGCTTACTGATAGTAGATGTACATGATATTTTTGTGTAAGATGAGGGCTGTGTTTGTAGAACCATCGACGTTGCAGTCGACCTTGCTTTTCGTAAACCAGTGATCGAGGCGTTCAGAACAAGCCTGTATCTTGTCGCTAGCCATTGTTGTCTCTTCGGTGTCTGAATATGGAGGATCGAGTGATAGGATCCCTAAGGTTCGTTTTATCGGCGCGGCGAGACTGCAAAGCGCGGAGAATGACCTCGTCAACGCTAGCTTCGTGGTCGAGTCGTACACCATTGACTCTTCGGCTTTGGTAGGAAGAACTATGTCTTCAATTTCGGAAAGAACTGTGTCCTCCGCGTCAATCTGCATGGACCTACGGAGTCCCAGTGCCAGAAGTCGGTCTCGAAGCAAGCAACAACACCAAAGCCTCTCGAATTGGCTCCATCCTTGGACAGTAGCTTTATTAAGACTGTCGCGTGACTCGCGTCGATGTATGTTGACTGATTTAGCTAGATATATGGCGTTGCTTAACCAGTAGGTGTTCACTTTAGCATCGGAAGAGGAGACATAGTGGGTTAGCAGTAGGGCGCCCTGAGCACTAGACAACGTATCTCTGTATGAGTCGATATGGAAGAGCGCCTATAAGCACACTTAGTCGTCTACACAAAGGTATGCAGCGAAAGTCTCTTACCTTGGCTCGACGGTAAAATGTGGCACGAACATCGTGAAAGCCATCGAACCCAAGTTGATGAATTGTAGAGAATGAGACAAACTATGACATTAGCAGATAGACTACCCAATCGGTCTGAACACTCACACTGCAGGCTGCAAATAGCATCGCTTGAAAGACGAAGATGGAGATGGTCCTGGGTTGTGCTGTTGGGGGACTAGTGTAGACCCGCCAGAAATCACCTTCGTCCAAGATGGGCTGGTGAGGATGGATGTAGCGAAAGTAGGCCTTGACGAACTCGTCCAGTAATGCCCTTGACGGTACCCGATAACATCCCAGCCTCTCCAGGTACTGTACATCCTCATACATGAGCTGAGGTAGAGCGTCTGCTGAGAGGAATGGATAATATGAATAAATTACATCCGTCCCACAGAGGGTTCGGTCCACTCGCCGACCTAGAGTGGTGTAACTGTTCTGTATATTGTGGAATGGAGGCATGGAGTCAAGCAGAGATGCGCTTAGCTCGCTTCTTGACTGTACAGTGATTCGCGGTCCATCCGGTAGCTTCCAGTCTGGGTTGTCAGAGCTCAGCCCCAAAGTTGTTGACTGTTCCAGTTCGACCACCTTTGCTGACTGTATGCGTGCAGCGTATACATCGCACGTGGAGAAGTCCATCTTCTTCGGGTGGGCATCACTGCACCATACATCAAAAGTCAATCGGAATGTTGACATCCATGTAGTCTTGGGACATTATGCGTTGGATCACTCACAGCTTCTTTACTCTGGACTTTACGACACAGTGTGTGCCATCCAGCTTACAGTTGGTGCAGGGGACACCATTCTGCGTGGCATCACATCGAACCTTTCGTCCTCGACAGAGCAGGCAAGCTGCTCCGCCGCGTTTCAATCTGTGGCGCGACATACTCGACCCACGGAGCCGAGCTGGAGCATCGGTATCGCGGACAGAGCTAATCGCTGGTACGGACAATTGCGTTTCCATCGATACTGCTTGCCATGAGCAAAATCGATGGGGTGTCGTGTCATATGTGGAGTGTGTGGTAATTGAAAGCAGAAGAAAGGGGGGTTTCGTTTTGATCTGGGGAGAAAAGGGAGGAGAGAAATGGGCGGACTAGGGCACGTCTGGGGTGAACGGGCTCAGACATGGAGGGCAGCCAGCTTACCTCTGCTCTGAACCAAAACGGATCATCAGCATCTTGTAATGGGCATACCTGACATTGGACTACGCGGTCCAGACTCAAAAGATCGGACCACCAGGAGGTCACCCATTTTGTGCAATAAAAATGGGATGGTTGAGTCGCTTGTGCAAGGGTTTCTCATGAACCAGGACGCAATTGTGCGATGGATAGGATTGTCTCGGCCTGCATCAGGTTCAAGCCTCTCCCAAGCTGAGATCCAAATTGATGGCGGCCACGGCAATTTTCGGTATATCTCGGTTGTGGTGGTGATCAGCCCACCTCCTCCTCCTCAAAGGGTCTAGACAATACTGTGGATATGCCTCGAAAAAGCGGGCACCACTCTTTTCGAGTACCTCGTACTCGGTCCCGGATCCTCCCCCAGAATTGCCTCCTGAGCATTTTCCCGGATTCGGTCTTGATCATGTCCATGGGTTATCTTGTCGCGCTCAAAGACCCAAAGACAATCCTTACCTTTGGATTTGATGTTTTCCTCGACGCATATACAACCAAAGCCTGCTCTCAGTGATCTCGAGCTGTGTCCCGCTTATGCTATCCTAACCCACGGCGTTGTGGTATATGCCCCTATTCTCTGCGGGCTAAGGTGCGCGGGGGCGCTCTTCTGGCGCCCTGTCACTCTTCTCTCGAGCCCGATGGATGTCCCTATCGTAGCCGAGTTCGGACACTAGAGAAAACGTCTGGTTAAACCACTGACCGCTGATGAGTGGATGGGATGAATGATTCCATGCCGTTTGCAGCAACTGCTTGCTGGCATACCACTCTCTCTCGGATAAGGATCCTTCATTAGAGCTAGAAGTCGCAAATAACCAACTACTGAGGGACCCAAGTTGGCCCTCTCCCGGGGATGCTACTGGTAAGCAAACCCCTAACGTTGAGGGGGTGAACCCACAGCAACCGCCACCACCACTGCCTACCCTATTTGACCACATTTCTCCAATCTTCACAAACTCGAGATCCCCGACTTGACATACAAACCCGTCAAATGCTTTCATTCATTGAAATTCACCCCTGAGTGTTCGCGAAGAAGCATATTTCAGCGTGCAGCAACTGTCCGACTGCAGTGCTCTTATCCTTCTACAAAGACCAGAGTGCAGGATTATCACGCTGATGGCAGCGCTCCAGGATACAGGTAGTGCCGAACCTGGCTGGAGTGCTTCGAATATCATCTCCCCCATTCAAAGACGGAAACGGAGCTCTAGAGCTTGTCTAAACTGCCGCATTCGAAAGGTTCGCTGCGACGTCACGCAAAACGGAGTGCCTTGCACGAACTGTAGGGCTGACGCACAACCATGCGCTATTCCAAGGAGATCAAGAAAGCAGTGAGCTATTCCCCACCTCCACGTGTATATTGACTCGGGGATGTTGATCACATATAGTCGGATATCAAGCGAGGCGTTGCTGCACACGCTACAGCCCAGCAGCCAAGGTTTGCGCCACGATGATTTTGCTACGCAGAATAGAAGCACGCACCAGGACGAAGTATATGCAGACAGTGGACAGCAACTAACTGCAGGATCACCACAGTTCTGTCACCTAGAGGGAGAGAGATTGCAGCTCCCTTCAGAGCAAACGTTGGTTGAAGCACTTCCAACAACGCAGAACACGGCGCCTATGAGGGATATTCCACCATCTGGCACTACTCCACAAACTGGCATCCCTCAAATTCCGACGTTTCAAGCCAGATATTTGGCATCTGAGAAGTCAACAAGCCCTCCGCAAACACCTGACCATGGGATAGATGCAGGACAAAACTTCGAAAGGCCATCGATTTCGACAGAACGCATAATTGCGGCAGGCTATCCCTTCCTAAACACTGATTTCGTATCCCGCATACCGCCCGAAGATTTCGAGTATCTCGACCAGATTGGCTGCTTCCAACTACCTGGGCAGAATTGCCTCGATGAGCTTGTTCGGGCGTACTTTCTGTATCTCCATCCACACTTACCAATGATCGATGAGGGCAAGTTCTGGGAGACATATCTGAGCAGTCAATCGGGTGCTCATCACACTGCTAGTGTTTCTTTATTTGTCTTTCAAGCAATGATGCTGGTTGCATGCAGTGTGAGTCTTTTCCTGGTCCCTCATCTATCCGCCCTATCGCTTATTCTTCTGAGACTGTTTCAGTAGTCGCATTTGGTGGGTTGTGGCTCAGAGAAGGTGCTGACTTGGACCAAAGTTTGTAAACTCGTCGACGATTCAGGATCTAGGCTTCCACAGTGTACGCGAGGCGCGCTCGGTCTACTACCGCCGCGTGAAGGTAGGTTATGAACTATCCCTCTTAATCCACCGGTATGACTTATGTCTACGTAGGCACTGTATGATTTCGATACAGAGAGAAGCGACCTGGCGAAGGCTCAGGGAGCATTATTGATGACATTCCACGTACCACTGAACAAGCCACAGATCAATACCTACTGGTTGAGCATAGCCATTCAACTTGCCAAAATGGACGGCGCAGATCGATACTCTACATATGCAGGCCCTGATTTCGCTAGACACAATCAGCTCAAACGCGTCTGGTGGAGTTGCATAATCCGAGACAGAACCATGTCACTGGGGCTTCGCAGGCCCATATCTATTTTTTCGTCATCTTTCGACGAAGCCTGGCCATCGTTGACAGACGATGACTTGAAGAGCGAAATCGGGCGATCATTCGTGCGCAGCATTCCGGCCAAGATGAAACTACTTCAATCTCTGTCGGCACTTTGCAGACTTTGTGCTGTGCTCACCGACATCCTTCAACTGTTGTATCCCGCCAATGGAACCCACGTATCTGGAGATCGTGTCGATGTTCTGAAACGCATTTACACATATACAGATGAGCTGAACGAGTGGTATGACGCAGTAGCGAGCAACATTGGACCACATGACCAACACGACAAAACCTTTAGTGTTGTCACCCTCTACACGAGTCTTCTCACCATCTACTTCCAGTAAGGCAGAGTTCTCTACATGCTACAGACACTTCGGGACTAACCACGCTTCAGTTCCGCAAAGGCGGCTTTGTGCAATTATCGAATCATGCTTACGTTGAATAAGTCTGCGCAATACAACTTTGAACGACTACAGACGAAGAACGAGCTCCAGGATGCCCTCCGCGGCATTGCACGGAGCCTACGGGCGATAATAGATGCTGGCATGATGACTTATTCTCCCGTGAGCATGTGAGTTTCGAGGTGCCTCCTGGAGCGATCTGCACTAAACTAACCCGTGGTTGAGGGTGGCTTTCCTAGCACTGCCGTCAATTTGTTACAACCTGGATCTCAGCAGCCATGCAAGCACGCAAAGGAACACCCGCAGTCGTGGGACCAATATATACCAAGATTTTCTCCGAGTGCTCCAACTGAGATACGAGGGTACCGATAGGGCTCTCAACAACATGTCAAAACTCGTAGGTCACATGGACTTGGAAGATGTTACTTCGCCATCAACCACGAGATCCAGATCCGAAAACAACGCGACAGGGCACAGAGACTTGAGCCGCCCTCCCGGGATATTAGCTCCTGCAAAGAGAGGGAGTGGCATCGACATCGTGACCTCCGACCCACAGAAGTACATCCAGATGAGCCACACGCTGGATTTCTTTCTGTCCCGTGGTCGATTTCCCACTCAGTACGACAACCCGCCAGATCTTATCTCGTCAGCAGCCGAAAGTCATGGGTCTCCCAGCCCGAGCCCAATGGACGACTCGGTGGCTGGGGAAACGAACGACACTGTGGAAAGGTCCCATCACCCTGAAGGTGTAGAATTGCCCGGTCAAGGCGACGCCGGTCCGTCCATCTGGCCCGCTCCATCACCAGGATCGAACGACTTGCTAGCCCCGGGCGAAGCGGGAACGGGCAGCACAGCGCTATCCGCGATGCTCGCGGGTGACCCCTTTGACCAAGCCGCCTCCGGTCTGGGCTTCTCCTTCGAGGACTTTATGACGGACGGGCCGAACTCGGGCATTGAGCGACTGCAGAGCATGCTCTACACATACCCCGACTGGCCGTGATTGTCTCAAGTAGATGCATACGGGATGTCGGCACATATGAGCCAGAGAGACGTCGAATTTCCAGGGGCGTACGTAAAGCCCAACATCCCGTTTTTCTGTAGTATCAGGTTTCAGAAGTCCGCCAGGGTCAATGTGTACTCGTCCCACTGCGCCCTTGCGAGCGATAGTGCATGCAAGCGGAGACTATTCAACGCCTAGAGGACCGCCAACGGAAATCATAGCACAGTCTGACGCGTTTTCGAGATGGCGACGAGGTTTCCGCCAGGTCAAATATGGCTAATGTTGTCAATAAGGATAGAGGTATCGCTGTGTGCAATAACAGAGTACATATCTTTTTACAAACAACCAGTATCTCTGAGCGAAAAAGCCAGAGCACCTAGCAGAGATTCTACCTCTCTGGCGGTCGTATACCCCTTGAGGCTCTTTTTCGGGCATTGATTTTTCGTGGTGTCGGCGTCGAGGATGGGCAACCTTTCCCATTCAAAGTCTGCCTTTCCTCTGCCTGTTCTGGGACGCGAATTCATTCATCATCCGCCTGCCCTCTGCCTCAGACCCGGCCGCCTCGAAAGGCGTGCCGAACTCCCACACTCCGGCCTCGATGGCTTCTCGCAGCGGGACCCGTTCCCACATGGAAAACAGCTTCTTCTGAATACGCAAGGCCCCGGGCCCGTTCATCAGCAACCGGTCCACCCACTCTTCCACGGCCCCGTCCAACAGGTCGGCGTCAACGACCCGGTTGACCAAGCCCCAGGACTCCGCCTCGCCCGCCGAGATCGTGTCGCCCAGGAGTAAAAGCCTCCTCGCCCTCGCGGCGCCAATCTGCAGCGGCAGCATCGCCGCTTCAATGGTGCTCGGCACGCCCCGTTGGACCTCGGGCATGCCAAAGCGCGCGTCCGAAGTCGCAATGCGCAAGTCGGCCGACGCCATCACGACAAGCCCACCGCCCAGGGCGTGCCCATTGACACGGGCAAGGACGGGCACGGGCAAATCCCGCAGCGCCTTGCAGGCCAGATGCAGCTTGTTGATGAACGTCCGGCCGGCTGCGGCGTTGGGGAAGTCCTTCATCTCCGAGATGTCGGCGCCGCCGATAAATGCCTGCTGGCCAACAGAGCACGGTCCGCCGGTCACGATGACGCAACGCAGATCGGATCTTTGCGCGAGTGGGGGGACAGAGGCGAGAAAGGCGTCGAGGACGGTCGTGTTCAAGCTGTTCAGCTTTCTCGGGTTCGAGACGGTCACCGTTGCAATCGTACCGTTCGGCCGCTGGGAGAACGAGATTGCAACCGGGGGGATCTCGCCGTCAGTCGAACCTGGCATTTTGTCCTGCAGATTGTGGTGCAAGGCGATTTAATCGGCCTGGGGAGAACCAGCCGAGAAACAGACTCAGATAAACCCAAGAGGCTCCTGCAGCCCAATATGTGTCTCTCTGCAGGCTTACATCCGGCATTGGAAGCATGTAAACGTATACATGGTAGATCGATGGGGGGCGGACATATATCGGAGAAATCGTGGCACGTGTAGTCGGAGCTCATTGCTTCGTCCTCGGCACTGTTGTATAAGTCGGAGAACCAAACGTGAATATTGGAGGCACTGGTCTCAATCTGTCGTAGACAACCAAGCTGTCTTGATTTTACATTGAGGACGCTTGTTTCATATGTCAAGCCGGCAGGACTTATTGGTCGGGTTCAGACTGCTGCCCACTTGCTACCTACTTCGAAAACAGTCTGCTTCACAAGAAAGCCCCGACACACTTGACAGTCGGGCAGCCATGCCTATGCAATACTATTGAATCTCAACTTTTGGTCTTCGTCGCTCTTGCACCTCTGTCCACGATCCTCCTCATATCCCGTACTTCAGCAAAGAGGCTGTTTATGGTCGTAGATCGATCTCGTTCGGCTGAGATTTGGGAGACATGGCTCCTATCTTAGGATTTCCCTTAACGTCGCCTGACCAACCCGATTGTTGTGGGAGTAGTGCTTTTCTGAGAAGGACGAGTCCTCCAAGGGTTCAAACCTGTAAATGCTCGAGTCCAGGGGCATATCCCGACAGGCATTGACGCACACCCGTAGAGCACGTTGCCTTTGGTGATGATATTAACCAAAGTACGTTCGGACAGCTTCGGGTAACACTTCCTTTCCCGTTCGGTGTGGACTGCACCATCATTCACACTTCGCGGCGTCGGAATGTCGTATGACGTGTCGCTTTCGGTCATAGAATAGCATTCCCTTCGTGGGAGTCTGATTTTCCCCACACAGCGGCATAAAGTTGTTCACGCTGCAAGAGCCAAGGCAGCCATAGCACGGACACCAGCCTCCGTCTTGTGACCTCCAATGAAGCCACTTGCGTGAACAAAGACCGCGCCATTTTCCACGGCGTCACCTAAGAGAGCATCTAGCTCCTCGTCTCTCACGCCACGCCACGGTTCTGGTAGGCTTTTTCGGTTTTCAAAGCTTGAGAAGTCTTTACTGACGGCCTGGATCCTCCATTTCGACCCGGGCTCCTCCTTTTCAGGATATATCACGTAGAGAATCTTTTTGTCCGCAGGCAGGTTGTTTTCATCCTCGATATTGTACAGGTGTTCCTTCCAAGGTACACCAGCACGTGGTAGGACCATCAGTTGACCAGAAGCATGTTCCTTGCTGCGAGACTGAAATGCTTCTTTGACAATGGCGCGTGCAGGAAGCCAGGCAGTGGCTGCGCCATGGAGCTTGCGCAAGAAAGCTGTACCCATGAGGGTCGATGCCTGAGTAAATCTGTAGTCCTCTTCAGCCTGAGGTTGATCTTCAGTGGAACGCGAGGGTGCGCCCAAGGTCAACGGGTCTTCATGATTCAAGTCATTGACCAAACTCGCCAGTGTCACTCCACTGTCCTTGAATTTCCGCTCAATGCCTGCCTGTTCAAGTTGCGAGCCATCGTATTTGGAAATTCCGTTGTCATTCGCATCCACCGCCTCAATAAAGTCATCGTATAATTTGCGGTAAAGCAGGTCCACGTCGGGGTGCTCGATGGGGAGTTTGGTGTGTTGAGCAATGATGGCTTTGCCAAAATGCATGTAGACCAAGCCAGCAGAGGAGAGTTTTGTCTTGTGGTCGGGGAAAGCCGTGCTGAATGACCGTTGATGATGGTCATAGCGATTCTTGGAAGCGTCATACTCCCCACCGACGTCGACGACAGTGTGGCAAGTCTCTAATAGTGTAGGGTCTCGGGTGCGTACGAGGGCAGCAGAGGCATACTCGGGAAGGAGACGAAGCATGTAGACCGCAAGGGCCTCGTCCGCATGGAAATGGCCATTGTGGGTGCCGATGATGAGTGGATCGGGCTTGATTCGCTTTGAAGCTGTTTCGGCGGCCATTTTGATCAGTCTCCGCAGCATACACAATACGCAACACAGTTTAGGAGTGAGCAGAGAGAGAGATCAAGATCAATTTCCTTGGAGGCTGTCGACGGCTTGACCAGCTTTTTTTTATTTGATCGCAGCCAAAAATCTGGGGAATATTGGCCCGGATTATTATTCCACCGACGACCGTGTGAAATTATCCGGACAGGCTGCGCTGGCGCAGTTTCCCCCTGCAAGGCGACAATCTGGCCTCTCGTTTCGCCTTTATTCTCCTCCCACAGTCACACACATTGCTTCGATGGACCTGCTCTGCTCTCATATTCTTGTTGCAAGGAGCCCACGCATCAAGACCTCGTCAATCATCACATGGAAGGTCTGAGGCGGGGATCAATCGAGCCCGAACCTAACTGCGTTGGGCGTTACCGCCGCAGCCAGCAGCCCGGAATCCAGATCGCAGTGGGGTTCAATTAGTTAATAGAATACACCAACTACGAGGACAACTACCCATCTGGATCTTGCGGTGAAGGACCGCCCAAAGGAAGACTTGGGTTGTAGCAATAAAATCTCAAGACTGAAGAGCTGTTTTGTCCCCTTCAAGACACAGGCAGGCTGAAGATCAACTCAAGCAAAGATAAACCAGAACCTGTTGCCAGCCCTGGTCTCTAGCCCTGGCACCTGACGCGGGCTCGCTCAACTCTCTCTCTTCGAATCTTGCTTGGTTGTGGTGCGTCCTTGCCTGGCCTGCTTCCCTGGAATCCAACCCGCGTTGGTGCACGCGACATCCTCTTTCCACCTCGACTTCTCTCGCTCGTCCTCTCTTCTCTTCACATCGAATCCCTCAAAACGACCCGCGGTCCCTGGCCATCACCAAGCCAACACAAAATCTGATCTCTATCACCATCGGAATGACATGTGAAAGCCTGGACCTCGACTCAACCACGAATCCCTCGAAACCTGTCTAGCGGAACGAACAACTCCCAAGGCGCCAGAGCTGGCCGATTGATTGACCCTCGAAAGACGAAATCTATGCCACTGAGAGCGACGCCCTGTTGACTGCGCTGCGACTCACCTTCTAACCTTCCAATCCCCGAACCCCTCCTCACCTCTCATACCCACCAGCCGACCGAATGTTCTTCCGCGCCCTCTCCGCCCTCTTCTTCCTCACGCTCATTATCGTCTTAATTCCTCTCACATTTGACGTCGGTGGACGCGACGCTGGTCTCGCCTTCTCCCTCTCCATCGCATCCTTCTATTTCTGCCTATCTTTGCTACGAATCTCGACGCCGGATGAGCCAGGTTTTAGAAGGACCATAGTCAACATCCTACGGGGCCTTCAGTTACTCGTTCTCCCAATCTTGTGTATCTGGGCTCTCGGAAGATTCTCAGTCGATGCAGACAATAGCTCGGGCTGGGTGGAGAGAACGTTCCGTACCAGCAAGGATTTTCTCAAGCCTAGCCCATCGCTTTGGCTCGCGGTTTTCGGACGAGAAGGTCTGGTGGAGAATGTGACACTCGGTGCATGGGATGTCATGCTGCGATGGTCTTCGCCCATTTTTCAACTTCTCGAGGGCTTCTGCAGTCTACTGGTCATACAATCCATCGGGCAATTTTCTCGGTGGCTGGTCAACAGAAGTGAATGGAGCGATGCCTGGCTTCTTGCTCTGCTCGCTGCGTCGGCCGGAGTCGTGTCAAGTTCGGTCTATTTCCTCTGGCGAGTCTTGCAGTTTCCGGACATCTCGAACCTCGACTCCACTCTCATTGGCATTGCCATCGCGTCGGCTATATTTCTTTGCGCCTATGGCGTGGTTTCGGGCCGTGGCACAGCAACTGAATCATCTCTACTCTTCGCTTACATTGTCTTGTGCATATATCAAATCTTCACAGACTATAAGCCCAATGTCCCCCATTCAGAACCTGGCATGGCAAGCTCGGCACCGGATTTTCCACCATTTCCGCCCATCATCATGTCCTCTTACACGGCCCTCATGGTCGCACTGTCGTCTCTTCCAGGGGCCCTTGTCAACGCATTGGACTTCATTGCAGCAGCTTTCAAGGCGGTCACGCCATCCGTTCTAATCTCTCTCGGCTATCGACTGTTTGTCTTTTATTCTTCCACTCGCATCATTCCAGCGATCAACGAAAGTGGTGCCAGCGGTCTGAGTATGGAGCCGTCTCTGGAAGATTCCAATGCAGCGAACCAATTCCTTGCATTCCTCTCCTGGTTTTCACCGAGCATTCTCATCGCGGTCTACACGAGTCTTCTCATGCAGCACTTTGCCACAACCATGGGTGGCTATGCCCCAGGTCTTACGGAAACTATTGGTGCTTGGTGGAGCGGCAACGGACAACCAGTAATGAACGGCAATTTATGGAAGTGGGTCAACTTGGTAGGGACCATGTCCCTCTACGCTATCGAGTTGTGGTTAGGCAAAGAAGACGACATGAATGGTGATCACTGGAAGGTTGACTGAGCAACAAAAGGAGGGAAGAGTTCGATCGACGCTGCAAAATCATCGCGAGGACCGATATACCAAACCGACGCAAATCTCCGAGCATCGCTGTGACAATCCTATTCAAGAGGCCAATAGGGCCGGGCGCCTGTATATCCGTAAGACTCAAGGCTCTAGCCGCGACGACAGGTTCACCCTGACCACCCACAGAAACCTAGAGGGGCAAGTCGATGGGGCACCACGAATGACACATGCGTTGGCCGCGTCGTTGGGTTCTCTGGGGAAAGAGCCAGCTGGGAAAGGGTACATGGTCTGTCCGCAAAAGGACAGTGAATTGCACGATCGGCGAGGAGTCAATGCGGAGAAGATTATCTGACAAGAAGCCATGGAGGTCGCGGATCAAAGAATGGGTTTGAGCGTTTTCAGGGCAGGAACGTCTTAATGCGCGTGGGGAAGTGTAAGAGCCTTCCGACGGAGAAGGACATCGGACATCCGCAAGGACAAAAACGAAGCTGGAGAGAGTGTACGGCCTACAGGAAACTCGATCAAGCGAAAGTTGGCCTGGGGGAAGGGGGAATTGCAACGTCCTGGGCTGAGTGAGATGCTCCGGTCCTGGAATGGTAGGCGGGAGGCAGGAGGCAGGAGCAGAATGGGCCATTGGAAGATGGTTGGGCGATAGTCACGGCGATTCATTCCTCTACGCAATCTACCATACAAAGCGATATCAATACAGTCATGCAACCGATTTCCTTTAGACAGTGGCCAGTCAATCGAGGATACAGATCCGTAGCCATGAATCGCAGTGCCCTATACTGTGCACCTGGGCCAAGTGCATGCCACCAACCACATACGGCGGCAAGAAGAGGTCAAGCTAAGAGTCGGGATCCGAATCAAGATGGGGTATCGCTTGAGGGAGGACCATCCCGATCACTCTGGGGGAAGGGTAAGGGCCAGCAGAGGAAGGGAAGGGAAGGGAACAGAGACGGAGGTTTCAAGAATCGTGAAAAATTGACTGCAGCTCCGTACAAAGGAATACACAAGCATTGTGCCAGGGACTCGTATCCTCCCGTCCTTACATGCTAGTAGGTAGGTACCTAGGTAGCTTCTTGGTACCCTCGCGTTGTTGTGGTTTGTGGTTTTGGTATGTCTTTTTTTGTGCTGGCTTTTCAAAAGATGCCTTTCGGCGCGTTTTCTCTCAGCCTCCCAGTGTCCGTAGCCGATAAAAAAAAAAGACGAAGATACCGTACATAGACTTGAACATGTCAATCAGCCGTCAAGGCCCGCAGTCGCAAGCAAGCCGTTCACGAACACAAAGTAACAAAAGATCCCGGTGTGATCAGGTTCTGTAAGGACTGGTGAGGACTTTATGTTGGCGTTGCGCTTTGCCTCGTTGGCTGCCGTGCCGTTGTGTTTTCGTACTCAGTGTACCAAGGGACGATGGAAGTTGTAATCCGATCCTGGCTGGCCGATTGATCGATCAGCGGAGTGAGTGATGCCGATGCCTTCTGGTCCATCCATACAGCGTGGTGTCGTTGGTGTCGTTATCATCCGTCACTTTCCACAAATCCTTCTCTCTGTATCGCGCTGACCATCCACCTTTTGAGTCAGCGTAGCAAATTGTTCGTGTTCAACCACGGTCGTCGCGTCATTTCCGCTCGAAAACATGATGCCCTTCTCCACGTCATCTCCGGATCGGAATTCCTGCCTTCTGCACCGGCGGACTGACACTGCCCTCCATCGTGTTATCTTTACCTCGTTGCTCAGAGGATTGATTACCACCATATTCATCCATGCTCGCACTCCGTGCAAGGAAACTGCTTTCCTTTACCGGGCTCCTGCTGGTCGCGCCGGGCAAGCCACCGCCGGGGATCCCGTTGATGCTGCCCCTATGAATACCGCCTGGCCCTCCTCCCCCAACCGGATGGAGTTGTGTACCATGGCCCAAACCGTCCGGAGAAGTGGCAAGAGCGCCGGGTGTACCTGGGGCAATGGAATCGGAGCGAGAAAGAGTGTGAGTGAGCGGAGACATATGCGGGATCTCCTCCGCCTTGGGGTGTTCGGTACCGATTGTGGTGACGCCCGTGTCTGAAGCCTTGCCAGCTTTGGAAAGTGCGTAGTCACCAGAGTCGAAGTACTTGCGTTCCTGCAGATAGGTTCAATCAGAATGTTGTTATTTGATATAGGGACAAGCAGAATGCTGCCAGAGGGTTAGTTACCTTCAACTTGTTCTGCAGGAGGTCCTTTTTGTTTGGGAGTTTGCCATAGAGTCTGAACAGACGTTGCTCATCTGCAGACAGTTTCTAACGCAAGAGGTATATAGTCAGTCCTGGTAGCCTTGAACGATCTACATCGAGTGCGATATGCCATACGCTAATATCAATCTTGTTTTTCTGATGTGGATTCATGATTGCCGGCCCTTTTTTGCAGGTATTAATCCTCAGATTCTGGACTGCGGAGGATGTCGACAGCGGATACTTGTATCTGGTGGGAAGGGAGCAACCCCTGCCGAAGCAAGTGCCAACAGGAAGGTACGATCGCTCGAACTCCTAGGGTATCTTCGCAGAAAAGGGAATTTGTGCAAGGTCGACTTCGAGAGGAGGAATTGGAAGAGGGAGGAGAGAAGGTGTCAGAGACGGACAATGTCGGTGGCAGCAGACTCGTGAGGTTTTGTAACCAAGTCAGAGGGATGATGCCGGAGAACAAGGAGGGGGTCCGAGCGTCCTTTGTTGTCGTTTCAGCGGAGAATAATCGCGAGCAATGGTATGGAGGCGGCAACGGATTATGGCTTCCGTAGACTTCGTATGAGCAAAATAGCTGGTAGGGGAGGGTGTGGAAAAGTGTCACAGGTTTGCCAATGGAGGAGGACTGCGGTTGGGTTTGGGTTGGTGAGCAGAGAAGAAGTAACTAAGGAGTTTGTATGGGTGTGTGAAGGTGGGGTTCTGTGGGAGAGTCGCCGTGGACTGGGTTTCCAGATAGAGCAGGGAGGATTCGTCTGGGGAAAGGCGGAAGCCGTCGCACCAGCGCAAGACGGGTCTCAATGGGAGGCTTTTCCTTTGGCCGTTGGAGATTCCTGTGTGCTGACGCTTGGGATGGAGGTGCAAGAGGGAGAAGAGAGCAGGGTGTTCAAGGGTGCGGAACTGCGTTGATGCAGTAGTCGGTAGGAATGATGAAATGCCGCCGCCAATCACCTCGTCTTGGCAGCTTCGGTTGATTCGGGGCTAGCAGCGGTGCCAAGAAACGCGTGCTAAAGTCTCCCCGAGATAACCCCACTGTTTTCCGAAGCCCCATATCAGCACGTGACCAGGGACTGCCAATTTATTCCTTTCTTTTGCAGCGTCAACAGCCAAGGTGCTGTCGCTTCACCTACATCGAACTATACAGGTGACGAGGCGAAAGCCATGTCCCACGGCAAATATACCTTCGTCGTCGAGCATCTCGACCCAGAACTCGGCCCCTGGTCCGCGCTGGAATACAAGACTATTTCCCAAGAATCACAACAAGCTGGATGCCAGTTCATCTTGTCTTCCCTGCCCCAGTCTCTGCTCGAATCACAGGATCTGAAGGATCTGATAACATGGGGCGCAGAGGCTAGGACCGACAGCATTGAAACCTATTTCTCGGACAAAAAGGACAAGATTTGCTTGCTCGATCCGGCAGCCAGGCAGGAACTGCATCCTACTGATGCTGAAGAATTTGACGTCTTCCTGTTTGGCGGCATATTAGGTATATAGCAATTGTTCCACGCATTGACGAGCCCCCATTGCTGACCGCGACTTCTAGGAGATGATCCCCCGCGAGGTAGCTAGCCACTTGTTGTGTTTCTGGGGATGGAGATCTAATCAGCCAAGACCGTACCAGCGAGTTGCGAAAAAAGGGGTTTTCCGGACGCCGCCTGGGCCCCGTACAGATGACTACAGACACAGCTGTCAGAGTAACACGGATGGTTATCCTTGATCAAGGTATGAGGGGATTGGAAGATATGCGCGTAACGGGCTTTTTGTGGTAACATTTCACGACAGTTCCTCTCGATAAGATTCCTTATGTCGACTTTCCGGAGCTAAAGGTGGATGAGCATGAATCCACAGAGATGCCTTTCCGATACGTCACCGATAATTCTGGCAAGCCAACCATGCCTGAGGTTAGCATTGAGCACGTGGTTATAAAGGTCTGTGGTTAATGCGTTGCAGGGGATGGTTGAACTCATCAAAGCCGACGCGGACAAAGCCTTCGACAATCTGGAGTTCGCGGACGAAGTGGAAGGCCTCGACCAGCTGGAAGTTAGCAGGCCTTGAAATGGTGTGCTAAGATTGCACCTCGATCAAGGCTTGAGTGTTTCTGGTCGTGTCCTCGACAAGACATTCGATATCTTGGCAAGTCCTCAATCAGCAAGCTGCCGAGACCTCTAACGTAGCGACGAAGCGATGCGCTTTTGATCCGAGAAAATGTTCCTGCCCTCACTGTGATATTCAGGATCATCTGAGTGGCTCCGTCGACAATATATCCACGCTCGGCGGACCAGGCCAAGTCGTCATTCCGACAATGATCCACAGCATCAACAAGAGCAATTTCCACTGCGGTATGCGCTTTCCTTCGAAACCAATCTGCCAGCACCCATCTTGCACGCCAAATATTCAGGCTGGTGAAGAGAGTGAAATCGATATGTCCTCCGTTGGCAGTTGTGAGAGGGAATTGCACCGCAGACTTCCATGAGATTTGACTCCACACTATCATCCTCCTGTCTGGCCATGCACAGACTCAGCTTTCAGATCATCGTGCAGTATGATTGTGGATTTCTAGTCGTGATCAAGGCCCTAGGCGCCCAGTGTCGCGGGTGAGAGGCATGCCTATGCTCACACTGCTCTGTGGATCCCACGATGAAGTCGGGACGCCGAGCGCACGGCCAACCCTTCGGCCCGGAAGATAGTCTCAACAGTCAAAGTCGAATATCTTTCTCAGTACGGCGTCCTGGAGTGATGGTATGTGGACGTAGCGTTTCTCGAAGAGCACAGCCACGTCTTGATATTGCCTGTAGCCAAGCCTTCGAGCCACATCTCCGAATCGAACAGAAAACCATCGAATGTCCACCCGTTCAGCAGTATAAAGAGCCCAAAAGTTAGGATGATGCCGAAGGACATGGTTCAGAGACAGCTGCTCCACATATGCCCCTATGCAGTAGACCCACAAGATATCCAATGCACCCGGATGGGACTGATCAATTTTATCACTCTCAAATCCAAGCTTCTGCACGCATCTGAGTAGCATAATGTGCCAAACATGTATCGTGGAGACCCAGGTTTGCCTCAATAGTGATGCTTCTAGACCGAAAGCCATGACCAGGTGGAGAGCCAGACAAAGACACATACCAACCGATGCATGGTGAACCGTTGTAGGAGTCGGACTTCCCTTTGGAGGATCAACGGCATTTGTGGGTTCTGTCAGGTCGCACCAATAATCCAGAATTCGAGCTCTCACCGCTTGTCGCCGAAGAAAAGACCAGCGGAACAGCCTATTGATTTGTTCTGGCTCGTCATCTGCCGTCCGCCTCTTGAGACCTTCCACCTCGACCAGTTCACGCAGAGCCATGAAAATGCAGGGGAAGTCATTCGTTCCCGGCGAGGCTGAGGAGAATCCGAGATTGGGCTCGCGGCCAGTTGTCAGGTCGGCCATGGTTTCACGGGGCCCATTCTCCGACCACCACCCCGGATCCCAGCTTGAAGGGTCGAGAATGCTGCGCGTACCCGTAGCCGCAGCGACCCTGACAACGAGATAGATGATGATCTCCTTTCTGATCCAAGGAAGTCCGCCAACCCCTCCCATGGACTGAATTAACTGCTTCAGTCCTTTCAGGTGCAGAAAGAGTGCATCAAGACGGGAGCGGTACACGGCTGCGCAGCACAACAACATGACGGCTTGCACCGCAACCTCGAGATTGTCACCTGCGTTGAACCCCAACGCTATAAGCGGCTGCAGCACACGAATGCCCCGAGTTTCATGGTCAAGGGCGTAGGCCCAATATAGTTCCTTGTCGTGGGGGTGCAGACGAGCCAGGACCGACCAGCAGTACGCGAGGAGGGCATGCATGACCGCTTCGTGGCTCATATACGACTTGTAAACTCTCGTTTGTGCAGGCACCAGAATTTTGGCTGCATTGGGCGTCCCGACTTCGTCTGCCCAGATCGTCCTCAGAGACATTGGTTGAATTGTCGATATCACACTATGTCTCAGCGCGGATAGATGAATAGGCGTCGCAGAAAACGGGTCGCTGTTTCCCCTTTGAAGAAGCATTGATAACGAGTCACCCAGTCCAACGGACGGAACCACCGTGGCTTTTGTTGAGCGGATACGTTGTTGCGGAGGGAGGCGCCTCTTGACGACCTTTCGCTGGTGGCGTCCTTTAGCATCTTGTTCAAGTGTATTGTCAGTCTGGCGGGGTTCTGATGGTGCTTTTCTCTATGGATCAAGAGAATACTGCCTTAGCACTATGTGATATCAACGAATATGTAGAGCTAGATCGAACTTACCAGCCCATGAGCTGGCGATGATACAGTTTGTCCATGTGGAGGCTTGGACTCAAGGTTTGGCTGTTCAGCCAATAGTGAGGCCAGTTCCACCCGCTTCTGTGTAGAATAGTGCTGAGCTCGAACAGCAATGATACTCTTCTGTTCGTAGTCGGATGTCGACTTGAAGTTTGTCGGGGTTTTAGCATTGAGCCAGAGGACGTCGGGAACGACGATTGAGGCCTTGTTCGATCGCATGATCGGGTCTTGCGGATTTGCTTGGGTTCAAGTGGGTTGCCGCTGACACCATTCGGGTGCACGGAGAGACAACTGATTCTCACTTGGCGCTGAGGAGTGAGCGTCTTTAAATCGAGGAAGTCTGGCTCCGGGATTAAATACAGCAGCAGAGTAAGTCGTGTCAACAAAATCGCAAGGCATTTATGCGGGAAAGCTTCCGCGAAACCCGCCAATTGGATTCCCTGCAATTGTCGATGCAGTCTATACGTCTAGTTCGCGCTGAGGTCCCTGCCTGCGCTATCGATGCGGTACCGAACTGCCGCGTTGTATGCCTGGATACCAATGGTAGTCAAGGGTGACAGCAAGCGTGCAGATAACTCCTCGCAGCCTGTAGAACTATCCTCGGGACATCCACCAGTTTGCGCCCAGGGCTTGGAGAAACCCGGCATACCGCGTTCTTGGACACTGCTGGAAGTTGAGACCGCACCATGATCGTATCAGATGCTGCTCTACACGGTACAAATCCAGTAACCACGCTATGATAGCCACCTATTGGCATATGCGAATTGACCCAGCCAGGAGACCCTGCATCTGTCCCGAGCCCACTTCAATGCGGGAGCACATGAGCCCGTGGGACTATTTCCCGAGGTGAACAAAATCCATTGGAGGGACCGTGGAAGGCATTGTCTTGGACGTTCCGCCATCCCGGGTACAAAGATGGGTCTCTGCCCTGCATATCATGACAGAGCCATCGGTGCGAGGGATAGCATAGGTTCACGCGTCGAATATAACCGGAACAAACGAGAGCGAGGTCCGTTTCCCCGATGTATAGATCGTACCGACCGCGGACCAGTCTCAGCATCATCGGCAGCGGCATTCGTTCCCGCAGTTATTGTGTCGACGATGAGCTTTGCGAGGCAGTCTCCCGGGCCACCTTCATCTCTTAACTCCGCGCCAAAGTATACGATGGCGTGTACAACCAGTGCTTGATAAGTGGGCGAATAAACTCCCAGCTTCTGAATTCCTTTTTCGAGATATGGTCAAACCCTGCGGCTTGTCGGGCACGGATTTCGTCCAAGTCACCCTGAAGTCCAATTGGCAAACTATACAACCTAAAATGGGATGAGTTTTCGGCAAACAGCGAGTATGGACCCATCCATGCACCGTTTGCGGATTGTACTCGGTACATGGCTAATATTAACGCTAGGTATCCTTGACAACGTTGTTCAGGGTCGTTTCCGAAGACCGTGGCGCCTGCCAGGAGCACAAACTTCTTTGGCGACACGAATTCCAACGGCAGATTCACTATTGAATTAGAAGGCGCTGCATATTTGACCGCCCCGCGACCGGGATCAGTCACTGAGTGAACGTTGAGTCACTTGTGCCGTATGCCGAGGGTACAAAGGGTGATGGCGTTGGGCGGTACGTGATAGTGGGGGACTCGGGAGGCGGTCTTAAACTTCTGGTCCGTGGTGTTCTGTCCTCCTGGATGAATACATGCGAGCACATGGGGTCAACACGCCGCCCATCCAAGACCTCGACCGAGACAAGTGATGTGCGTTGTCAAAGTGCAAAGGCTGCGGAAGAAGACATCGCAATAACACGCGCTTCCTCCACCGTAGCGCCCGGCGTCTTGGCGTACGTCGAAGTACAAGATCTCAGTCTGCAGTTGCGGGGGGCCTTTCTGCGGCGCAGGCAGAGCAAAATTTGGTGTGCAGCGAACTTTTTTGCCCGAGAGCCTCCCGCTACCCTGTTGGGCTGGACGGGGTCTGAAGAAAAGATGTGACTACCACCTCGACCTACAATAGACTTCCTTTCATTTCCCCCAAACTAGGCAAGCTTTCCCCTCCCACGGCCCATCGAATTCTCAGTTTGTGCAGCCGCAAAAATGGTGGAAAAGGTCTACGTGACGTACAACGAGGTTCGTGCCAATTCCCCGCGGGCCAAACAGCATGCGACCCGTTTCCCAAGCCAGCATTCTCTCAAATATGGGCTCACGCAAGCGATCAGATCCATAAACTGTGCCAGACATCCGCCGAGAAGATCCTGAATGACTTCCAGCCCAATCTTATGATCGCCATTGGTGGTGGCGGATATGTGCCAGCGAGGATCCTGAGGTGGGTTGCGGCCTACGACACTGAGCAAAGAGGTGAGCACCAACTGACAAAGTGAGCGATTAGATCATTCCTCAAGCGACCCGGTGCTCCTAATATCCCCATCCAAGCCATTGGCCTCTCGCTCTACGAACAACTTTCTGGCTCAGACCCTGTCGAAGCGCCTGGCACAAAAGTCACACGGACACAATGGCTGGATCTGTCCTCACTTGAGATGAAGAATCTGATCGGCAAGAATGTCCTAATCGTCGACGAGGTGGATGACACACGCACCACACTCGAATATGCAGTCAAGGAGTTGGAAAAGGACGTGGAACTGGCCAGACAACAACAAGGCAGAGCCGAAAAGACAAGATTCTCCATCTTCGTGCTGCACAACAAGGACAAGGAGAAGAAAGGACACCTTCCAGATGACATGCTCAAGGAGAATCGGTATCTGGCGGCCGTCACCGTTCCCGATGTATGGATATGCTATCCCTGGGAAGCCACCGATATCGACGAGCACGACCAACTCGCCCAGAACCATGGCGTCAATTGAGTTGAGCTCTTGCCGTGATCATTGGCTTTCGTTATAGAGTAGAGGGCAGGATGATATGCGCAAGAATTGCATTAGAGGTGAATCTATCGTGAAAATCGCGATGGTATCACATTTTTAGTCCCACCGAATTTTCCTCGCGTCCAAACTTTTTCTTGCCCCGTCAAGTTGCCCCATGAGTTCGGTATAAGCTTCCTTTGTATCGTTGAATCGTAGGACGCCCAGTCCCAGTCGTCCCAGTAGATATGCACCGAGACTCACGAGAGCCCAGCAGGGGAGAACTGGAATGATTTCCACTTGGATTTTGGTTGGTAGGATGGAAGGCACTGGCGAATCCTCAGTCAAGAGAGGGAGAGCGAGTAAAAGGTATGCCTATGACAACAATTAAGAGGTGCTCCCCTCCACAGATGTTGGCAATGGGCCAGGGGCACGTACCGAGGAGATCAACAATGCAAAGGAAATCGTTTGCGCAGCGCGTCCCATGGTTGGAAAACGACTAATTTCGCACAAGTAATCGTTCTGAGGTGGTCGTGGGGAGATTCTGAGTGGCTTTGACTTGGATTTCCACGCGTATAATGACCTGGAGTCGATCAAATGTTGGATAGGGTCGATGGAGGCGATTGAAAAGGACAGCCAGGAGCCAAATGCATTGTGGCGCGTCCTGGCGTCTGGTGCGCCGTAATCTCTTGGCGCTCAGCCTCGTCGTGCAAGAGAGTTGCAGCCAACCCCGGCAATGAGATCCTAGTCTCATTCTCAACGTACTTTGTTTTGCTCTTGAGTGTCAGTCATCTCAGATCTGAAGAGTACCAGTTGTGGAAGTCACCTTTCGACGCTGTGGCTCCGCCCCATGTGCGGAAGCTGGCAAATCATTAGCCAGGCTCTTTTGAAGCCAGGCAGCATCAGTCTAGTTTCCATGTTGACTTCCGCTGGATTCGCCCACCGATAGGGAGAAACGAGGGCAGCAGTTTGTCATTGGGGCTGAATGGAGTTGATATCGGCCCGTGATGCCTCCTTTTGGCTTGTAGATGCACTGGAGCAACATTGGTCCAGTGATGCGGTTCTGAATCAGAAACATTCCGCCGTGATATCGGGACTGAGGTCCTCTTGTACTGAGTCAAGCGACGGGAAGCGCTCTGTCCTGGCTCTCGTGCCAGCTCTTGTCAGCCATGTGGATGACATAATCCAAAAGGGACAACCGGGTGGATTCAAGACCGCTATCCTCAGCACTCTCGCGGACTCGACGCGAGAAGTGCCATTTTGGCGACCCCTTTTTGGCCTCGAGGCTAAACCAGATGATGTGGTCAACAATAACGAGATGAGATGGGCATCTCCCCCCGACTGTATTGTTGAAGTTGCGAGGCGGGTTGTCTCCGGGATGACCCCGGCATCAACAAGCGAACAATCGAGGTCTGCCCTCAGAATTATCGCGAATTGTTGCGCAGACAACAATATCAATCGGTCCGTCATCATTGAACGCGGTGGCATCGAAACAATGCTAGGAATGGTCAGACAAGGGCGAGAATGCGACCTTGTGATCCCCACCCTCTATAACGTCTGTGTGGATTACGACGAACCCGCGAGAAATGCAGAGGGCGAGCCATGGGCCTCTCTCCAAGAAAGGGCAGCAAGGGGTGAAGAAGTCGACTCGAACACAGCCGTCAACGCCGCGGAGCAGAGACTCGGCACATATTGGTCGCCGCACGAGCGGGTGACGTCCTTTGAAATTTTGCTCAAGGCCAAAGATTCCGGACAGGTCTCCCTAGGGACGTTGGCTGACCTGGTTGAAATGGCCAGTCGGGTAGCACTCTGCGGGACCGACAACTTCGTTCACAAGGCTAATGGAAATGCACCTGGCGCCTTGGTCGACATCGACACGACCGCCGACATTGTTCAGTCACTGTTAACGCAGGGCGTCGCACTTGCGAAAGAGGATATTGACTGTCGAGCCTCGATTTGTCAAGCCGTGCTCAACCTGCTCTCACAACCAGACACTCATCGTTTCGTGGCGGGAGACTTCCGCATGATCTGGAACCTGATCCACTTACCTCATGCAACGGATGGTCTAGGCGTCGAAACTGATGATGCTGATGAAGATGAACCAGCACTGGCTCCGTACCAGAAGGCGATCCTCAAGATGGTGTATAGTATATCTGCATCCGAAAAGTATGAACAAGTTTCCGGACCCCAATCTCCGCTCATTCGCGGCTGCATCGAAGCCCTTGACGTGGACAGGCCGCACGACCTCCTCGCCAGCATCTGTGTGCTCCTGGCCAACAGCACCGTATCCAAGGAACGCGCCGAGCAGCTCATTCGGTCCGCACCCAAGATTGCCAGTTTCCTGTCGGATTTGATCATCAAGAGCACCGACGCGGGGGTTCTTCTTCCCGCCCTCAACCTCGCAACGCGGCTGTCACTGTGTCGTGAGGGCCAAGACGCATTTCATCACACCGAGATGGTGGCGGCTGTATCGGCGGTCCTTGCCCCCTCTACGAGCGAGGTCGATTCCCTCCGACTCGAAGTGCAACGCGACGCCGTCGTCCTTGTGAGACTGATGATCAAGGGACGTGTGGAATATCTCTCCGACCTGGGACTCACGAGTGAAGACATGGCCCATACAAAGATGATAGCCCGGATATTTTCCCTCTTTGAAAAGACAAGCCACCGGGAAACGAAGACCGAGATAGGAAGGCTGTCCATCGAAATACTCCGCACGCTACTCTCGTCCCAACAAGAGTCTACGCAGTCGGCCATCACAATCGAACGAGACCGACCAAGTCATACGAATCACACAAACGCCGAGTCCCTCTTCCGATCCATCTTCCCCGCTCAGCAAACACCCTCGCCATCAACCCCGGCAACATCAAATCCAGCAAGCACCACAATCGCGAATACGATATGCTGGATCCTGACACAGTCTACAAGCCAGTCGAGCGACCCACGACAAACATCACCCCAGCCATCCCTCCCGCAGGCCCAGGCCGAAGCAGAAGCCTGGTTCGGTCTGGCTCTCCTCGCCGCGTTTCCGTCCACGCATGGCTCGATCAGAGCCGCTCTCGCGCGAGATGACTTTCAGTTGTTGAGGCGACTTCGCGAGATCGCCGCGCAGACACCCCCTCCGCGTCCCGGGCCCGAGTCATTGGAGAGAAACAACGAACACGCAGAGCAAGCAGCTCGTGGTGGAAATGCGCCAGGAACCGGCACGCCGGAGAAGGACAGGGTGGATCCGCGGTATGAGAACATCAAGGTCCTCCTCGCGAGGCTGGTTCGGTCGCGACCCGGCCCCCAGCCCCAACTCCAATCGTCGTCGTTGACCTCAGACGCGCAGGGGCCAGGTCCAAGTACGGTGGCGGCCGGAGAGGGAGAAGGACTCGTAGACACCCAGGTGCAAGCTAGCATCGAAGCCGCAGCCGCAGAGCTGGGTCTCGACTGGGTATTGATCTGACGGGGAGGGGGGGTCCCCTACCTAATCTCTGGGGCAAAAAGAACGAGTTTTCAATTTCATTGTATCCGCGCGTAGAAGCATGATCTAATATCTGGGCTTTTTCTCCCCTTTATGGTGCGAGGTACAGTACTCTGGCGTAACCCTCTATAGGAGAATGAAATAGACCAACGACACGGCACATACATACATAGCACTTGATGCTTCCCCCACCCCCCCCCCCCTATTTTCCTCTTCTTCTTTTCTATCTTAAATCTTGTTTTCTGACATGCCACGGATAGCAAGTCTTTCTCTTTCTCTCCAAGGCCTCATCACGGGACGTAAAGGCACAAAAGTTGGATGAAGATATTCATTGACCAATGACTATGTATGGTATTTGGTTGAGAATGCAGGGGAAATATATCTTGGTAGGTACCAGATAATGGACTCCCAACGCAGTAAATAACACCAACATGATCAAAACTCCATTCCCATTGCACTCTCCCTTCCTTCGGTCGTCCCTTATGTATGATTGGCGGTGAACACTCTCGCAGATGCATCCCCCCGTCAGAACGTCGCCGGCGACAAGCACCATGTGCGTATGAAGAGGCAAATACGCACGAAGAAATTCAGAGAAGAGAATTCGTGAACAGTCGTAATGTGAGTCGGAAAACAGAGTTCTGGCCGCCTCGATCTGTGCAATCTAAAGTCCATAACCCGGTGGCTGATCTCCGATGCATTGTTCAGGGCTGAATGCTTGATGTCCCATTTGCGCAGTGGGCTGTCGCAGGGAAGCTGCTGGCGTCGGGACCTGGACTTGGTTCAAGTGTTCCGACATCAAGCCCTGGATGGTGGTGCTGGGTTGCTGGTACATGATCAAGTTCTGTGCGGGCATCTGGACGTGTACAGGCATATAGAACGGCTCGTCCACCTGATGGCACTCCTGCGGCGGCTCTGGTTGTGAATATAGAGGTTGCAGGAATGTAGGATTCTCGGCTGCTCTTCGCACCCGTGCTTTAGGGCAGTGCTTGCTTTGGTGCCTTGTAAAATAGTTAGCAAAACACTCGACAAGGCAGTCATCTTCGTTTGGGTCTAGAACACGTAGAAACGAGGCATTGCCATCAGGAAGGAGAACGAAATACCGGAAACACGACGAAGAGCGAGACAGGAAACTCACCTATCTCTCAAATCCGACCGATTGAAGGTTTTCTGACAGTCGCCACACCTGTAGTCTTCAAAGTGCTAGCAGAGTCTTGAATTAGCCCAGTGTCAAGCGCAGCGAGATGTACAACTGGTCTCAGGTGGTTTGCATACCGACTTGATGTGCCGGTTCAAGCAGCCCGCAAACGCATATGTCTTGTCGCAGCCCTCTTGAGGACACTTTTTCTTCTGGCGGTTCTCGTCGTGACACTTGAGGTGCCTCCGGTAGTTCGCCGCCTTGAGGAACTCTTTGGTGCAGGTTGGGCACACGTATGGTCCAGCCTCGTGCATTTTCATGTGCATGGCCAGATTTCCCGCCTCAGCAAAGGTCTGTTGACAACTCGAGCAAGTATATTGATCGCCATGCTCTCGCAAGTGTTCCCGTAAGAGGTATGGTTTCTCCAAGGTCTTATTGCACACCGGGCAGATGACAGGGCCTTTGGCTCTTTTCTTCCTAAATTTCTGCGGCTCTGGTGACGTTGGATCGGTCTCTGGGTCAAGTGGACGGTCTGAATATACAGGAAACCCTGATCGAGGCGGTGAGTTAGGATGTTGTCCATCGTAGATTCAGACAACACAAGAAGCAGTAGCGCTTATGCAAAAGTCGAAGCATTCAAGGAAGTGCAACTTACCTGGCATGATCATGGAGTAATCTTGTCTTCCTGTCTCGTCCCAAAACGCTAAATGGCTCGCCTCAGAAGAGTGGCTGGCCGAGGTACACATTGGAGACCATGACTCGAAGCTCGAAGCGGTGTGAGAGATGTCCGGCTGTGTTGTGTCCTGTAAGATTGTACCTTCCATAGACTGAAAGCACACTTGCCACGGCTGGGGAAAAGCGCATCCATCCTCGCAGTGGGAGGCGCAGAAGTTCTCAATATCATCGGTGTCTATACCGAACGCGGCGGAGACATACCGTTCTTGACCCGGAATGGAGAAATGAGAAGGAGTGTTCGATAGCTCTGAGCTGTCAGTGTGGGAGCCTGCGCAGTGCGGATCGAAGTATGCAGGATAGTTGCCCGACAGCTCGGGTGACGCCAGTGTTGGATCAAACGAAGGGTGCTCGTGATTGACAATAGGTCCCCAAGGCATATCCATGGCGAAGACACAAACCACGTCCACAAGGAGCGTCTGGAGAGGGATCCTAGCTTTGGCACACCCGCGGGGATGGCAGATGTTTTAGATTGCATTCCATCTAACGACCATCAAGTGGCTGCTAAGACCATGGCACCATCTCCATTATCATCTTATCCTCCCATTCCAGAGAGCCGACAGCATCGCCTTCCCATCGGCACTGTACCACGAGCATATGCTACGGCCTAAGCAGCCGCCCAGGCTTTCTCTGAGATTTCGGGGTTGGATGCAACTCTCTACCTAGCGCAACAGCAACCTGACGCGATAGGATGGCCGGTGCAGGACAGGATTTAGTCCAGAGGGGCAATGGCAGAGCCCTGCCCTTCCGGCTCCAATGGGAAAGAGACAGCCCTTGGAGGACTACCCTGGCGCAGCTTGACAGTGGCGTAAACTCTCCATCGCCCACATTCCTTCAGAGGCCGACGGTGGAGCAACTAGATGCTTAGACTTCGAGGAAACAGTGGTCCGCCATTCAGCAGCAAGCAATTCGGGGCACCATTGCGTGCACCCGGGTTCTCCCATTCGCGGACATGTCGTAGTAACGAGCTGGTGAGGTGAATTGTCTCATCAAAGACGTTTTGGATCAGCGTAGAGGGGACTCCGCGCTGCTAGTGCCCCCTCTTCTCGTGAGGTGGTGTCAGGAGGTCAGTCCTTTTTCTGACCAGCGACCATTGCGGTCAGCCCGTCGACCTGCTCACTCAACTTCTGGACCAAAGCAATCAATTCTGCGCTGTCAGCTGTGCCCAAGGCAGACTTGGTGGTGGACGCAGCCATATCGGGCGTGACAGTCGAAGATGTCTCATTAAGCGCTCGCCGCGTCGTTGGTGACTTGACAAAATCTCGGGTGCCCTCGAGACTGAGCCGGCCAGCACTTAGCGGACGGCTGGTCAAGTGGGGCGCGCGAGAAATTGTGGGATGAGCGCGAGAGATCATGGTCCTAGAGTTCTCGTACGCCCAGATCAGCGCCACGAAGGGGACGTGGGTGGCTTTGAGGACAAAGATCCGAATTCGACGGACTTCCTCTGAGGGTAAGACAAGCCGCAGTGGCCGCAGCACGATCAGAGGGAACAGGTTGAGCGGCGGCATGAAATAGGTTAGCCGGCGGGAAGTGCTGCTCTCGAGAACATAGATCGAGTATTGGAAGAGATATTCCTCCCGCGCGTGGGCCATGACCTGCCATCGAGACCAATTAGCATCGGCACTTCTTTAGTCCAATTCCCCTAGGCGCTTAAATGGGTTGATGGATGGCCGCGGCTGACGACGAAGCCACCTTCATTCAACGTACCTCTGTAAGTGAATTGGATACCAAGGACACCAGCGAAGTGATGAGGAGAATATTGGTCAAGCAGACGAAAATCAGCCTGCGAAAATGTGAAGTTAGCCTCGCGTTCCAACCAACACCAAGGCTGCCTCTCTTCATCCCCAATTGGGAAAATCCGCTGTCAACACTTTAGAATGACAGAGCCTCTGCCGAGGTTCGAGCCTGTTGGTTGGAGCAAAGAGATTGCTGCAGCTGGCCAGGAGACAGTGTGCACATACATCAAAGTATATCCAAATAACGGCGAGATCTGAGCCCGATAAAGTCAGTCAACAGCCTCATCAGTCGACACGTGGGGATTTACATACCTTGACAGCCATGTCGAACCCGAGATAGCTTGACCTGTTCTTCTTTTCAGCGGCGTTCTTGAAACCGAAAGTTGTCTTCATACCCAAAGAACACCTTGATCAAGAGCCATGACATTTCGTTCAGGGTCATCCGATCTCTCGCCAGCATAGTGAAAGTAGTCAAAAATCCGAGATATAGCACCACAATCACGGGCAAAAATTTGCAAAATGCTTTTGTCTGTGGCATCGTTAGTGTACGCTCTAACGTGGCGGGGCAGAGGCTTACCATCTCCTTCAAGACTGGTATCTTCGCAGCACATCGTCAGTTCACCCCAATTAATCGACCTTCATGACTTACCAGGCTTCCAAAGTATGGGTTTAGGCTCATAACCGAGAATATCCTGGGCGCGTGAGCATTTCTAACACAGCAATCCTTTTGTGATGAATGCTCACCTTGGCACGAGGAACAGTGCCACCATGGACAAGATGTCAAATGCAACATCGATGATATAGTCGCTATCTCTGATGAGACCGATGATCCCTAGACGAATGGTCAGTTCCACCAGCATCCTTCATTGCCGGGTTCTCGGGAAAACCAACGTGTAAGAACAAAAGCCGCACTGACGCCGATAATGGCAATATCCCACAAACTCCAAAAGTCGGTCTGATAGAACATGAGGCCCGCATCTTTGATCTCGCCCAATTCATCATAGGCAAAAGCGGCGATCCAAATATACAACACTGTTTCTGTGGCTGTAATGTGGCTTGGATCTCGCTCCACCAGAACAGCATAATACAGCGCCAGAAAGGCGAGGAAGAAGCTAATTTGAAACGCCTTTTGGTACTTGGGCACCCTCAGGCGGGTAAACGGATCGGCCACTCGCTTGTTGTAAACTCGGGGTTTCTTGACGGCCTGCACCGAAAGACTCTCCCAAAAGATGACGTCGCCATTCCAGATGTCCTCAACGATCTTCTGCACAGGGTTCTGCGAGAGGAACTTCTTTGCGTCGGCGATGGCAGCGATTTCCAGGGAATTCATGCCCGCCATGGATTCGTCTAGGTTGGCTCTCCGCGACGCGTCGTCCTCGTCACCCGGGAACGTGCTTGATGTGCCAGCGCCCGGGATGTGGTCGAAGGAGGCGCGTTTGGGAGGCCGCAAAACCGTACCGTGTTCGGCGGACCGGGCATTTATGAGGGGCGAAGTTTCGTCTGCGAGGTCGTCATCGAGGTGACGACGACTGCCCCTCGCGCCATGGGTGTTAGCAGGAGAGTCGGAGGGGGATTGCCGTGCATTGTCGTCCGGATCCTGGGGCAGTTCGTATAGAAGGTAATCGATCAGCTCCTTCTCCGACAAGAAGGTCAGAAATTGCCACGCCACGAGCTCACAGGCAAGGGCTCTGGACTCGTTCAACGCGCTGTCTGCGTCAGCGTCGGCGTTGGTGAAGAGATACCTCGCCGCCAGCAATGCAGCCACGATGGCGGGATGGTGGCAGTCTCCACTTAAATACGCAATCAGGGGTTTCAACGATTGTCCAGCACTGGTGGTGCGCAGCTGTTCGTAAGTGTAGGCGGCGTCGATGGCTTTGGCAATGTAGGAAGACAGCTTGAAGACGACATCGGAAAAGCTCTCTCGCGAGTCGATGATGGGCACATCGTCTTGGCCCCAGGGTTGGAATTTACCGGACCGGGGAGTTTGAGGGTCTAGGCTCGCCATCGAGGCGTCGACGTAGTTTTTGAGATTGAACCGAAGACCACGAGGACGCATGGAGGTAGGACTGGTCTTAGCCGGTGGGATTGATCTGCGTCATTGTGGGAGGAAGTCCAAAAAGAAGAACGCTCGCAAGTTGTGATATTGGGTTCCAAGGTCGTCATAGGCGTTTCAGTGGATGGAGTACCATTTTGAGGAGTTTGATACACGCCGAGACTGGCCGCATGGCTCGCCGTAGAAAACCTCCGGTGGACCAGATCGTCATCGTGCGTAGCAACGAATGACGTCATCCATTACTTTCGTTACAACCTCTACCAAGGTCCATGACCGCTGTCAAACACTCCTACAGTTCCAAAGATGGCTTCCCAGCACCCAGATAGTGCTTAGCAGCATCTGTACCTCTCACCGCGACTCCATCGGCTCTACGACCAGTGAGCTGTCATCCCGTCTGCCTCGAGATGGACACGCGGAAGTCCCTGTTGTCTTGGTGAAGACCTTCGTTCTCCTCTCGACGGAGATCAACGACCTCGTTCACGAAGAAGACTTCCTCCCGCTCCCCAGGGCGAGCTGGGGGGCGACAGTCTCAATATAGCCAATGTGCCAATCTCTTTCCCATCTTTTCTAACTCTTGTTGTTGTATTTTCCCTCGGGCCTCATTCACGCTCTGTCATATCCGTCTATTATTGTTCGAGCCCCCTCCAAAATGACTCTTCCCACTCCCTATCCGCCCAATACCACTCACACCGTCCCTGCTCGCTCGTCCGTTGCCGTTCCTCTGTCTCCCTCCCAGAGACTGATCGTGACGAACACCCATGGCACCCAGGTGATCGACTTCTGGGCGTTTGAGGTGCCTTCGGACGACGCTGCTGCTGCTGCACCTAGTGCTACTGCGTTGACCCCAAAAGAGTTGACCACCTACCTGTCGATGCCGCACACGCGGGCGTCCTTGCTCAGCCTGAGCCCCGTCGCGCCGTGCACGCTGGCGACGAACCGGCGCACCCCCATCCTCAAATTCCTCAGCGACAGCTCGGGCTGTATCCACGACACCTTGATCCCGGCGTGCGACATCCACCGGTATCACCAGCTGGGCGTGGCCCCGGATCAATACCACGCCAACTGCTCGGACAATCTGCGCATGGCCCTTTCTCGCGATACCCCCGGCTACACCCTCCCGGCGCCGTTCAACACGCCGACGTCAACCGTCCCGGACCCGCTCAACCTGTTCATGAACATCCCCGTCTCGCCGCTCCCCAAGGCGCTGCATGAGAGCAACCGGTCTGCCGGCGGGGCGTTGAGCTTCGAACCGACGGTGTGCGAGAAGGGAGGCCAAGTCGCATTCGAAGCGCTGGTCAGTTGTATCGTCGTCATGAGCTGTTGTCCGCAGGATTTGGTGCCCGAGGTCAACGGCGGGATAATACACGACTGTTACTTCGTGGTGGAAGGCTAGGTACTTACGCCGTGTGGTTCGGGAATCCGCGGTCCTTCAAGACACCGATGGACACAGACGGAGAGAGCAAAGCGAGTTCAACGGGCCCATGTGCACATCAACGCGCCCCAGGAAGGACGTGTTGCAAGACCACACTCGCGATTTTTCTCTCCGGCTTCGGTCAAGGACGGAGTACACCTTATATACCAAAGGGACGAAAATAGGCGCAGTCGAAACCCAGAGCTGCTGCCCTTTGTATCACGTTAAAGAAGGAGCTTTGCTGGGCACAACCAGAAAGTTGAGATCCCCTCGAATTGCCCCGTAGTGCTGTTGGACTAGGTCATAATGAATGAATGAATGAATCTCATACTCTCGCCTATGCCAAAGAGACCTTTTAATTCTCGCTTCAAAGCAACTTCATGTCTCATATCATATTCAACCCTCTTGCCTCCCATTCATCGATCAACAACAGCCCTGCTCTCCGACTCAAATTCGTGGAATTGCTCGTCGAGTTGCTCAGCTGCAAATTCCCGATCTCGCACCAGTTGTTGATTGGCAGGCAACTCAGATACTTGCACCATGAACACGTGTCGCGGTACTTGTAAAAGTTGTTGAGAAGCACAATGAATGCCACCAGGACGCCGATCAATGCCCCTAATCGAAACAGCCACCATGCCCACCACAAGGGCTTTCGTCCTTTGAAGAATCCGACCGGTTGTTTGGCAAAGGCAGCCACATTGGCTGGCGCGGCCGTCGCGGCCGGTCCGGCTCTGGGAGCAATCGGAGATGACGATGAATGAGCCAGCATGGGATCCTTGGGGTTGACACTCACATCTGCTTCTGAACCAACGTTTCGGTAGGAGCTCGTGTTGAGGCTGGTAGATTCGCCGATGCGCTGGCGAAGGACGTTGGGAGAATGGAGGAGGCAGATTCCCGCCGCAAGACCCATCAGGAAGCCTCCGATGTGAGAGAAGTTGTCGAGGCCGGGCAACAGTCCCAGAACGAAGGAGATGATGATATCTACCATAATCCACATCAAATCTTTGACAGGGTGACGTCGTTCGTTCCAGCCATAGATCAAGTCCAGAAGAACCAAAGCAAGAATGCCGAAAAGACAGCCCGATGCTCCAGTCGATGCAATAGCTGTGGCTGCAAAGTTCCCTCCCAAGACGAAACCAAAGATGCCCGAGCTGAAATAGACAATGGCAAACCGAATGCTGCCGATTGCTTTTTCCATTTCACGCCCCATGGTGAGTTGCAAAAGTAAGTTGAATGCAATATGAATGAGCCCAGCATGCAGAAACATGGGGATGATGAATCGAAACCATTGATTCGGATGTTCGTCATTGAAACCAGAAAAGCCGCACAGGGCTTTGAGATCGCAGTGGTTGCTCGGTGAGTTCGGATCGGATGTAGTGGTATTAGGGCATGGCCAGGTAGGAGGATCGGGGCTGTCTTGAACTCCAGGAGTGGTCCGCATACAAGGCACAAATCGAGCACCCATATTAATCTGCACATAAGTCGAAGGACCAATCATCGGATTAAATTGCGGTTTGATCATAATGGGGGAACCTGTAATGATCGCTTGTTTCGGTCAGCATGCAGTGTGAACACCCAGGATAGTCGCACTCACAATTCTTAATTATTTCGACAACAAAAACCGTAATCTGTATCAAACTTAGGGTGTACACAACCCATGGTATCTTCCCCTTAAAAAAGTTTGCAAATGATCCCTCCATCTTCCTCCTCCCTTTTGAATCTGGCAGTAACTGTGGCGAATTTGAGTCGGGAGAGGGAGGATATTGTGTGGACTGATTCCGCCAGTCAGACCCATCTTGATTTGTATTAATTCTTGACTGGTGCTTCAGCGGTATCGAGTCCGAATGTACAGACTGTCTCGTGGGGTCATAGGGTTCATAGAAATTAGACATCGGTCTCGCGTTGTAGGCTTGAGAGAGCCGTGACTGATCGAGGCTGGAGGAGCCGTGTTTAGGATTATAAACGAAAGCGATATGCGAGAGCGGTCTTTCATTTTGCGGTCGGGTTGACTGTGACGATTGAGCCATATGAGGCTCTTGATAGTACTCGTTGGCAGCCATGGTGGGTGTAGAGAGGAGAGAGCAACAGCGCTGAGTTGCTCCACGGCAGGAACGAAAGGAGTGCAAACGAGCGTTGAATATTGACTGTGTGTCAGAAACTTTGACTGTTCAAGGGTCGTAGGTGTGACGCCCAGGGGACGAGATTGCTGCTAGATCCGAACCACCATCATTCCTGACGAGCTCTAAATCGATGGAAGGAGGGAGCTCGAGTTCGGCGAGGTGATAAAGGTGTCAGTGGCAATGGAGCCCGCACTGTCGTCACGATTTTGATAATCTGCGAGGTTGAACAGATGCCCGAGGAGCGGATCGATGAGATCGTGGAGCGAGGGAGAGGTGGTTTGTCTTCTGGCAAAGAAGCGAGCAGCGATTCCTGAGGTGGAAATTCGGGCCTTGAAAGGGATGAGATGGGTGCGATTAATCGGCGAAGAGACTGTGGGTTGGCGTTCAAAGGAGTGTAGGTGTTTTCAAAGAAAGTGGGAGAACAAACGACCAGGGAGTGAATGAAGGTCGCAGCTGAGGGTTGTCTGGATGTTGCAGTGCCTCCGACGCACCGCGCACCGCACCTACGCACAACAACGTGGCTCAGGGAAGGAGTGTGGCCACACGAGTACGAGGAGCAATAATGTTTGCAGTTGTTTAGGCGGAGGATGGCTCAAGCGTAGGCGTGGAATTAGGCGTGTCTCAAGATTCAGGAACAAGCCTAGTCGCTGGAGTCCACAGCCTAGTGAGCCCGCACCAGCCCCAATGCAGACCGTCACGCGGCCATCCGTGGCTCGTGAATGGCTGCCGTCCGACACAAGTTCCTCTCCTGCAATCGGATCTACCCTTGTATTCTGATGCTTCAAAAATAGACTCCACCCCCCTGCTTCGCCCTACACTTTAGATACAAATACGAGTGCGCAGGGTGCTGCTCCTCCAAGTTTCGCACCTGTGCCTGACTGTGCCCGAAAGTGCCCCCAAGTGCCCCCAAGCGTCCTCGACCAACTCTGTTTGATGCTCACTGCAGGTCTATCGAGTACGCGTCAGGAAATACGACGACCACGAAAGCATGCACGTGATGGATACTTGCATGAACCAATGAATCAACGGGAATCGTTCAGTACATGAAGTCTTTGCTGGACATTATATTAGTCTGTTATCATTTGTTTTGTAACAATATCTCTTTTCCTGTTCGTGGGGCTCGTAATGCCTGCAAAAGGCTGAATGCTAGGCAATCCTCCAAAAAAGGGCTGCCACAAGTAAGAGAATCGACACTTCAAGTCAGACGACATGGTGACTCTCAAACAGCCCAATGACATGTACGGCCGATAGCCTGCACAGTGCCTGAGACCTCCTCTTATGATTTGCCTGTCGATCACGAGCAGTGCTCTTCGCTCATATAAAATCCGAAAAAACGCGTCCGCTCACTTCACTTAGCTCTTGCTAACCGTTATCGAAACCCAAAATATCCTGTCTTCGTGGTTCGGAGTTGAAATAATCCCAAAGTGGCATATAGCGAACGCGTTGAAATCCGCCGAGGCAAAACATGAAGGGTCTCGTCAATCGAGCACTTGATGATGAGAAGCACCTCGAAGGGTATTTCCCTTGGCCAAAGCTTGAGCTAAAATGACGCAGCTCCGGTCGAGGCGGAGGGGTCCTCCGTGTTGATCTTCGTTGAGATCGAGCCAACTTGTTCGTGGATCACCACGGGTCGAAGAACGAGTGTACCGGGTGGCGGAAGTGACTCTAGTTGTCATTCGTGTTGGCTCTCTGGATAATGCAGTCATCTTGCAACCTTGTTCGCCCTCTTATGCCAAAAAGCCAGCGTTCAGTTGAGTAGCAAGTTATGATGCCGTATCAGCCGTTGTCATGAGCACAGTTGCGGGGCACTGGAAAAAGAACCCGTTATGTAGTATATCAGCCTGCAGAGCGTATTGACAATAAATGGCTGAAAGCCCCAGAAAAGCGCGTAGAGTAAGGCAACGAAAGCGACCAGGATGGCCGAGTTGAAGACGAGTTTCTCGGCAGGGGTCATAACATAGAGTCCGAAGGTGACTTCATACTGGTAGTATCGCAGTCGGATGTAATTGGATAGCTTCACCGGCATGGAGACAAGAGGTTTGCGGAGGGAGTCGTGGGAGGAGGAAGAGCTCGTGGTGGCCAGGAGCTGGATGGCAGCCATGGCCATGGGGGAGGAGAAGTAGTTTGCCGAATTGGGAGGAGCCGAGTCGATGAAGAGAGGGAAGGGCTCGAGAGAATGGTGGAAGTCGGAGGTCATGGTGAGAAAAGAAGACGAGGCCAGAGGGAAAGTAGGAGGCAGGTAGGTAGGGGATTAATGGATGCAATGGTGGCTTTGTACGAAGCAGCTCGCGTGTCGCAGGGCTTTTCTATCGCAGATTCGGCCTTGACGGGACCTGCTCCGGTGGGCACAGAGGATTCCCGGAAGAGGAAATGGTAGAGGCGACGACCAGGCGTTTGATTTGTTGCAGGAGCAGGTGAAATTATGGGACGAGAAGGTTATTGATTAGATCGATGCGCAGACCCCAGGATTGCCGTGAGGAATGTGGATTGTGGTGATTTTAACGAGGCTGGAAAGGGAGAGGTGATCAATTGGGTGGGTGCGCGGGACGGCGAGTGGATGGAGTTGCTGACGGATCGGAAGTCTACAGGCACCTTGTACCAGAGCACGCTCCGTCCCAGGGCTTCCGTTGCGAACAGGTTCAGGCGAGTCGAGAGGTGTCGAGCACCGGAAGAAGGCAGAGGGCGTCTGAGAAGAAGAGATGGAGGTGATGCTCTGCCTCTCATTTATGGGAGTTGATCACGATACCACCCGGTTGGGATGGCCTCCAATGCTCATGCGCCAAAAAGAATACGAGGGAAAAAAAGATGGGCAAATGGGGCAGCCAGGGCAGCCAAGGGCAAACAGGCAAAGGCCCGGCATCACTCGGATTTGCGGGAGACGCTGGATGACCAACCATTGGTTCAGCCCGTGACCAAGCGACCAAGCGACCAAGCGACCCTGCGCCCAATATATTCATCCGGAAAATGCGGCTCAAGGTTGAATGCGCCCTCCTCGCTCTTCTGCCCACTACTACTGCCCACGCTGCCGCTTCGGTGCGCTTGTATGTACGATGATGTGATATTTCTCTCGTCGTCGTCTTGTCTGTTCTGCCCTCAGATGATGTCGACGCTCCAGTGTAAACTTACCGCTTCCGGCCTGCTGACTACGCACCAACAAGCACTTTGGCCCCCGGCGAGTCATTCGACCAGAAGCTCCCTTCGTCGTGACCTCTCCCTGACAACGTTTTCGTCCTTCCGCTTCATCCGGGCTCGCCGCCCAACGCGCCCCTCTTTCTTCTTCAGAACGATCACTCCTCGTACTGCTCGATCCTCATGACCCTCGTGTCCTCTCGTTCTCTAAGCAATCCCCGGCTAGGCCGCGATTCGAGAAAAGAGAAGGCCGAAGGATACGCGAGAAAGAAAACACCCCAGAGGAGCATGATATTCAAGAGGTGTTGCTCATGGTGGCCCCTCTCGCGGCCCCATCTGATTATCCCAGATAATATTTGTTGGATGTTGTAACCTCTACAGTCGTTTCGTCATGGATTCCGAACCATTATCCTGAAACCCGCTGCGGGTCCACCCGCCGTCAAATCTTTTCTTCAATATCAAAACTCCCTTCGCCTCATGCCCCCAGTGGGGGCAAGTTCAAGTCGAATTCTTCTTGGTCATGGGCAACTCTGCCCACGATGCAATACATCTCATTCGACGGAATCAACCCCGGAGTGCGATTCGGAAGCCGGTGCGTCTCCAGATGTGCGAGGAACGCTTGCAGTCCAGTGAATGTGGGTGTCACATTGACCGTTGTCGCTTTCTTCTCTCCGAAAGCGCCCAGCCTGGCCAGCTGCGACGACACTCCGTCCTCGATCCAGCCTTTGGCAACTCCCTCCACACAACAGAAATAACAGGCAAACACATCGCTGTTGTTCATTGTATCGCCGATCGTCAACTTCTTGGAGACATGGCACTTGGCGAGTAGATTCCACCGATATTTGATACCTCCCTCAGAATATCGTACTTTGGTATCGTACGTCTTCTCCGTCTTGACCGAACCACGTCCGCCGCTCGGCAGCGCCCTAGACACTAATGCCGGCCCTTCGAAGTTGCATTTGGTGCACCGCCAAAAGTATTCTTGGCCTTTGGGCCCCTTCCGGTGTTCAAGCGAGAACCCCTTTTTCCGTGCGCCAAGTTGTTGCCTCACAGCACCCTTGCAGAATCCAGCAAGATTCGACTCACTCGGTAAGTTGAGCTGCGATCGCGCTATTTGCAATTGAGGTGAACCTGCACGAACCGGTGCGAGCCGCATCGTAGATTCAAGCGATGCACTCTCAGAGGTGGATTTCACTGTAATGCTGTCCGAGGTGCTATCCGTGTACTGTCCTGTCGGCGAAGTCGGGCTATTCAATGTGGTCATCTGCTCACTGTCGGCGAGATCGAGCACTTTCGGCTTCACATAGCGAGGTAGGCTATTGAATGGGGTCTCCAGGGCCGAGGGTGCAGGTTTGTGTATTGCATCAGCGATACCCGGAGGTATCCCCTTGCGTACCGCAAATGACCCCATTCTTGATCCGTTCGAACCGGTAGACCGTATTGATAGCGGCCGTGGGACTGAGGGAATGGTAGGTATCTAGAGAGAGCAACACAATTAGATCTCGCTACCTCCGGTCTGCTGGAATTTGACTTACCCTTTGTTGGAAAAGGGGATCTGTGACAGCGGGTAAAATTTCGGGCCCTGCGTTGCTGGTCTGGGGTCTTGAGACAGGCGAGTTGACGATCGGTTGTCCTTGTAGTATGTGCTGGTTCTGGTACCCATGCCACATTGAATGCTGCACTTGCTGTTGTAAGTGGGGAGGCAGTTGTTGCAAAAAGTTTTGGTAGTGTTGTTCTGGTGCTGGAGCTGCCGGAGGGCGGCTTCGAGATTCTAACGTGGCAACGTATTCTAATGTGCTATAGTCAGGGTTTAAAGGAACAGCTTGTCGCTGGTTCAATGAAATATTCGTGGACATGTTCTGTTTTGTCACGTCCGGCTCTTGTGTGTGTTGTGTCTCGAGGCGCTCATTGTGGTCAAGCTCGTGGACCTGGGCTGGGAGAACGGGCACGGAGACTGAGTTATCATCCGCTATTCGAGGACTGCGCTCCATGGAAGGGTTCTGTGGCACATGGTTATGCACGCCTGCTACTGGCGACTGGTAAAAGCTGGACTCTTTTGGAAACCTTTGTCCCTTTTCATCACTCGTGTAGACTGGCCCCGTCAAGGCCGGTCTGTATGGTGGCGGATCAGTATTTGTTGAAGGAGCCCTGTCCTCCAGTTGCTGGGGCACACCAAAACCATTGGGCGTAGTCTCAACAGCGCCTTGGCTTGTCTGTCTCTGCATAGGGGAAGGGAGGGCCGGCACATTGTCTTCACCAGGCGTACGGCTCTTGGGGGCTTCGCTCGTGTAAGAGAATGCTGAATTCATGGAGGTCCTCCGTTGCGGCGCCAAACCACCAGATGGTTTGCGGTCGTGTCCCACGGCCGTCCTTGAGCTGTATGTGGTGTAGGATGTGGCTGATTGGCTGTCGTATGGTCTTCCACCGAACGAGGAATGCGTACTGCGGCTGCTTGAATAAGCTAGGGATCCAGGCAACTGGACCTTGTCCGAGTCATCGACATATGGACGAGATATTTGCTTCATTGCCGCTGTCGCCGTCGACATACGCTGGTACAGCTGGCCTAGGCACACAGTTGCATTGACCCGACAATCATCCGATGTCTCCTTTAACATGTGGAGGTCCAACATCGCTTCATCCATGAAGACTTCCCGCAGATGCGAGATCACTGCTTGCTGCAGATTGATGAGGATGTCTTTCATCTGTTCTCGGGCGATCGCGTCCCCTCGGGCGTAGGTCTCGCCAAAACGACGAACGTCGTGGTCGTACAAGCTCTGGACTGCGGAACATCCCAGTGACAGAGAGTCCTCGAAATCTTTCGTCAACTGCTCTGGCAATATGAACTCCTCCGAAGCATTTTGTTTATTTTTGAGCCGCTGCACCAACTTCGAAGCATCGCGGTAGGCACCAACAACTGTATGCGAGCCGAGTCAGTGAGTGATTTCGGGGACAATTGGCATGATTGAACACAGCAATCCCGCATCCGGACTTCGGACATGTCGATGATGCAGGAGCCCCCTCTCCTAGGTCGTAAAGGAAGTCCAGCTAATGGACGGTGTTGCACAAGCTGGTCTCAGAATAGCACCCTTGGTGTAGCCTAATCGAGGTAGCAACAATGATGAGGCTCCGCGCGCGCTTTGTCCCAGCAGTGCGGAACATTGACCGATTTAGGCAAGACCTCCGTCATATAGAGTACCTTTCAGAGTACGAAGGGTGGGTGATGAGGTTGAAAGTCATCTTTTTTGAAGGCGCAGCAACATCGACGAGCAGAGGGGGTTGAGGTAAGGGAATTAAGCTCACCCGCTTGAACACATGCCTCAACCGACATAACATCCATGGTATCGGCTCGACGCTCTCAGCCGCAATTCTGGTTGTCAGTGTTTGAAAATTAGGAGGGAAATAGTGGTCCCGTATCAACTCATTGAAGCGGCTTCGAGGACTTCGACGTAAATAAGACACCAAGAAGAGGGGAAGATGAAAGCGAATCTGAGGGCGAAAAGATCAGCAGGAGGAAAAGTTGAAAGTCTGGGAAATGACTCGCTTCTTGAAGGCTGAGGCTGAGCCCAGACTATTGGCAGGTAGAAGATGCTCTACGAAAGTCCCAAAAGGCACTTCGTACGTTTGTGGACTGCTGCCCTGCAAGCCGGCTGCCTGCAGCGATAATGGCTCGTATTGGCCTGTGCATACTTCGACCAGATTGATGCAAGCGAGCCCCGTGTTGGTTGGGTCTCACAGCTGTAGGCGTTGTGGATGGCGGGCTGTACCACGTACATAGTTCTTGATTCAGGGATAGACAGCCAGACAAATGCAAGCGGACTGCGAAATGGCGGGCCAGAACGAGATAAGGATCAAAGCATCGAGACGAGTCGATGGGCATGGATGCGCCGTTCGACCGCCCGAGAAATAGTTTCGTGGTTCATCCCCGGGGGAGCCATACGGCGCCGCGGACTGCGGACTGCGGACGAGGCTTGCAGGACGAGAAACTCACGCGCCATGGGAATGGGGATGGATTGAACCAGGGCAGAAGATGGCGTCTTTCGCACGCAAGGGTCGGTGGTCCAGAAACAGGGCGTCAACAGGACCATCTGAACACGAAGTTAGCAAGCCGTTCAATTGGCCTAAGGCTTCGATGGTTGACTTGGCTTGCAGCTGCAGAGCCTTGGGATTTGGGCACGGAATGGCGTTCTTCATTCCCAGTGGCGCGAAATGGGCTTGGGGTGCTTGCGCGAGAGTTCGAGCTGAATGGGAAGAAAGCGAGCGTGGTTTGGACTGAGGATGGTCTAGTGTCAGAAGGTGAGTGGAGGTGGCAGAGGCGGCGAGGGGAGTTGAGCGCATCTAGACCTGCGCCTCCGTCTGCCCCTTTCGATTCGTTTCAATCCTGCAGCCTCAACTCTTCCACCATCCTCATACCACGTCTCCCTGTAGTCCCTGCCCTAGTCCCGGAAATTGCCAATTCGTCAAAAATGCAGTCATTATTTCTCCGTGCGATCTATCAGTCCACGTGCAGAACATCCAGATCCTGGTCAAGCATCGTGCCCCTGTCGATGGACCCTGGGTCGAGTCTCCGGATTGAGCATCACTAATGTGACACCGCTCAATGAAATCCGGCAACCCCGAGCAACAAGCAAGCCTCTAACACAACTATATCGCAAGCCTTCCAACCCTATCAATCCTTTTGAGTCAAATACCTTGTTGTCACCGAATCGGCAGGAGTGGAAGCTTGACAAGCGAGAAGAGAAAAAGAGGGGGAATTCGGCAACACGGCGCGATGGATTCCTCGTGCACGTTCACTTCCCGTTATTATGGGGGCATTGGCATAAAGACAACCCCAGATCCATGCAGACGCACTTTCCACTACCTCATAATTGAGCCTTGCCGGAGAGCAGGCGCTGAATCGCCTCACTGGTCAGAGGTGCGTACCCTGATCCTTCTCTCTCGATCCAAAACATCCGGTCCTTGTTCCCCTCCGGAATCAAGAAGCCTATCAGGAAACAATAAGCAGGATGCCATTGGAGAGCGTGTAGTCAATGATTGGCACTCACCATCTTTCCGAAGACCGGTCTTCAACTTCTTCATGATTGTCGAAACTCGTTCGCTCCCACTGTCGCCGCTCATACCGCCCGAGTCTTGTGGCGCACCATCGTTGATCAGGATTCTGACGAACCGTGGCACCGCATATGCCGGCAGAGCGCTTTCTGAAGTGCGCAACCAGTGCTCTAGTTGCGACATGACCTCGTCGTGAACTTGATTGGATCGCTCCGGAGGCACGCCCTGCAAAGTGATTGCTGCGCACCCCAACTGCCCATCATACCCATAATGGTTCATTGGAATGGCATAAACGTTGACGGAAGCAATCCGGGGATGTCTACTGAGCCATGCCTCCACTTCGGTGGTGGAAATATTATGACCCTTTGCGCGGTAGGTATCTGCCAGTCGCCATCAGCATATAGAGCATTGGGGCACCTGACGAACTTGTCTCGTCGACACTAACGTACCTCCAAGCCGATCACGAAATTGGATGAATCCATCTTCATCCTACAAGAGATGGTCGTCTCAGCATGCTCACTCTTTCAATGGAGAGCTTGAACTTACCATCACCAGGGCATCCCCAATCCGCGTGTATTCGTCCCCTTTCTCGAAAACATCCCTCAAGGTCTTTTTCTGGGTAGCCCCTGCGCCGCCCTCCCCAACATAGTCGTGCCGTCTTTGAATGGGGGGAACAATCTTGGATATCGCCTCACCAACCTCTCCGGGCTTTGCCTTGATGCAAAACCCAGTCTTGGAGTCTCTCACCACTTCTCCGGTCTCGAAATCAGCTCTGATGATCTGAAACGCGCCCTGGCCGAACAATTTACTCCGCATTAAGGGGCCATAACGGGCTACCTTTCCCACGCCGAGATCGTTCTTATTCGAGTTTAGTAGTGAGATGGTTGCCTCACTTGCTGAGTAGTACTCTACTATCCAAGGAATTCCAAACCTTTCTCTGACTGCACGCCATACAGTGGGAGCCAGCCCTAGGCCAAAGGCCAGATCAACCCCGTGATCCTTTTCGTCTGGAAACCGAGGATCGGGAGGGGACTGGACTAGGTAGCGGAACATCTCGCCGATATAAAGGATAGCGTTTGTCTGTGAACGTCGAACATCGGCCCAGAACTCGCGACGTGAAAACCGCCGCGCAAGAATTACGGTCCCAGAGGACGCCAATGCGCCAGGCAGGGCAGCGAAGGATGCGGTTCCGTGAAACATTGGCAAGCATATGTACCATCTCCTATGGCTTCCCTGCGTGCCTGGCCATCTTCCTGGGTTTCCGCTCAGACGGTTGTATCCAAGCGGCCAGATCAAAGCTTTGGGCATTCCAGTTGTTCCAGAAGTAAAGAGATATTGCGCAGCGTCGGTGGGACCAACTTTCGGTCTCTTGTGTTTGGGGAAATCGGCCATTTCCGGTGTTACCGGAGGCAACTCGTCGTGCTTCAGCAGCACATTCCCTTGAAGCTCAGCTTGGGTTGGAGGGTACGAGCCATAATCGTACAGGACAATCCTAGGAAAAGCTGATGACTGCGCCGGGGAGCCTTGGAGAAGCTCGTCTTGCACCAAAGCCCTTGTCAGGACACTGTACAGCTCGTAGGTTGTGATGCAGAACTTGGCTTCGCTGACTTTCAGACAATGCTTTATATGGGACCCAGTAATGGACGTGTTCACAGGCGCGGCGATGGCACCGAGCTTGTACAGAGCCCACCAAGCAATGACAAACTCTGGCGAGTTGTTGACGAACATTCCAACCACGGTCCGGTTCTTGATCCCGAGCCTTTCGAACGCTTCGGCAACTCGACCAATCTCTTCACGAAATTGGCGATACGTCCAGGTTCGACCCTCAAAGACGAATGCCTCTTTGTCGGTATGATGATTCTGGGCGTAGGTCGAATGGATGACGTGGTAGAAGGACCAGTCGTCTTCTCCGTATTCCTCATACAGGTCCTCGACGAACTTCTGTAGATGCTTGGCTCCCCGAAGCTGTTCCAGGTCGCTGCGAATCGAGTACTTGGCGTCGAGGTACATGCTGATCCCCGTGGCTGCCGCTGCCGCGGCGCCAGCTGCTAGCAGTGCCATTGCTCGTTTATGAGTGTGATGAAGCCTTTGGAAACGATATCACGAAGGAGGCATTCCGGTTGCAAGTGAGGCGCAAGAAGACAGACAAAACCTCCTCCTGTAACCACCCACAAAAGCCCATTCCCAGGATGACCATTTTGAGACGAGCCTCGGATGTACTGAATGCGTGGGACATGGAATCGAGTCAATAGCCGGATTAGTGCGGATTCTGGCACCGCGGTCCCCAGTGTGATAGAAAGGGGTTCCGTCCACTCACCGTCCGCGTCCTCCTACATACCTAGGTTTGTTAGAGACCTTTCCAGCCTGATCGGTTTCGGCGACGTGGAGAAAACAATGCGGGGAGCGACACAATTAAACCGGGGAAGAAGAGCAAAATCGGAGTGATTCTCGGCTCTATACTCATCCGTATGTGCACTAAGAATTGATGCGGTACCGCATTGACTCTCATCACGCACTTTCTCACCGAACGCGTTCCGCTGGGATTTTTGTCGTGTGTGATAATATCATCGTGATCAATTCGACCCTTTTTCGCTGATATCACCCAGAAAGGCCCCCAGTTACGTTCGAGATGGACGACAGCACAATCTACAGCGACTCAAAGCACAATCTCCTCAACTTTACCGGCCAGTCTTCGGGAGGGGTGTCGCCATTGGAACAAGAAGTCTTGGACGAATATGAGAGGCTGTCGAGAAACATGAAGGAGGTGAGTTCCCTGTCTCACGTCCCCGCCTTATCCTTTGTGTACCTCCGGGGATGCCTCGTCTCGGGTGGAGGCAGGAAAACGAAAGACAAGGGGGGCGGATAGCCGTTGTCGAGTGGTAGATGTGGGCGGCAAAGAGACGAGACGCACCCACGGCACTCTTCAACTTTGGGCGAAAACAAAAAGCTCTTTTGCCTGGAAGCCGGATATCTGACTACGCGTCTCCCGAAACAGCTCTCATCCACGCTTGCCGACCTCTCTAGCGGTCCCATCACGCTCGAAATCGCAGAGGGGCTCCGGTTGTTGGAACGCAAGGTCGCGAGCGTGTACACGCTGATGAAGGCGAGTGTGTACAGCATCGTGCTGCAGCAGGGCCAGGTCGAGGGCATAGACGAAGGGCCAAGGGACGGGCAGGGCGATGGAGAGGCGGCTGGCGAATAGGGCTACAGGGCTTGGTTGTATGATCATGATTGTATTGATACCCAAGGGCACAAGATGGGAGAACAGGATGGATGCAATGACGAGCTACGCAAAATAACGACGCACGACAAGGACTTGTCAAAGGAATCTGCATTTTGGAGGTGGATCCCTTCGCCAGTCGAAATCCTGGCCGCCCTGGTTTTGTACAGAACACGACAGAGACTCAAGATGGAGTGCTGTCTATGTTTGGTCGGGGATGATAATATACAAAGTCCCTTTCTATGTTTGGCCTGCATAGTACACTTTGCGAACATCCACCAACTTCTTGCCTCTAGCTCTCGCGATATCCTCTGGATGCTTCTGGCTCAATAGAGCCTGGACTGCAGCCTTGACCGTGTTCATGGGATTCCTTGATCGTGTTACACGCGCAGCCAGATCGTAAATACCTGCACATCTGCAAATCTCCCAGATGTACTGCTGACAACGTAGTCCGAAGCCTGTCAATGATCCAGTTAGCCCTGTCATCTTGCCACACAAAGGGGTAAAGGTGTACCTGGTGGTCTTGCGTATAATTCCAGCTCCGTGGCGCTGACCTTGGCCTTCAGATCGCCATAGATGGTTCGATTTTCGTACCGCAGAATGGGGGCCATATTTCGAATAGCACGGTACTGGCTCTGAACGATAGCTGCAGAGCCTTCTTGCGATTTCCCTTCTCCTATGCCGATGAGACCCTGGCCATTGCCGGCGATGCTCAAACAATACATTTTCTGAATCTTGCCCAGCCTTGTCTGATTCACAACGCGATGTTGGATAACGGTTTTGACCCGGAGTTGTGCTATTTGCTTCTCGCTGTATCCAGTCATCTGCATCAACTGCAAGAGAGCAGGAGAAACGACTCTATCCTTTTTCCCAGACCCCTCCTCGTCTCCTCTCGATTTCTTTTTCTGGGCTCTGGCAGGCTCCGAAATTCTCGGCAAGTCTGGCGCAAGTGCCGTCGGGGGGTTCCTCTCCGCCTCTTCGCGTCCGACTGTCATGCGTAGGTTCTTGTCAAACTTGTCCCATAGCTCCTGGTCGTAGTCGTTTTCGTGTTTGGGCTCAGGTATCTGATTGATGAACTTGACGAAATCATCTTCCAGCTCTTCATCTGTCTTTAGCCTAGACTTGTCATCGATATTGGTCATCGGTGCCCGCATTGGCTTATCTACCACCGGATCGATTTTGGTCAATTCGTCGTAGTATTTCAGCTTCCAGGGATCTGTCCGCATGCCCGTCTGCTTTTGCATTTGTTCGAGGTCGATGAGTTTCCGAGCTGCCTCAATTGCTGCACGCTGCTCTGGAGAGTATCGCTCAGAAATCATGCCATTTTGTACCGCAGCAAATTCTTTGGCCTGTGCATTGAGATCGACCTGGCTGATCTCGGCTTTCACGCTGGGGAACCGGGGTTTTCGTTTTTGGTGGACAGGGGAGGAATGGAACTGGCGGCGAGGGAAGGACTTTGGGCGAGAGGAACGTGAAAAGAGGCAGAAAAGGCACTCGGAGGAGCGGGCGACGCTCATGGTGTCGGTGCAGCTCGAAGCTGCGAGACAGAGTCGATCTGCTGTATGGACGACGCAGGGTGGAAGATGGAATCGCAACTTCGCAAGCAAATAAAATTGCTGGGCGTCTCAATCGAGCCGGATCCACGCTAGTCTCTTTCGGGAATCTCGAGCGTGCGCCTCACATTCTTCCTCCTCAGAAGCCTTTTCTTTCCAATAATCCTGTGCAGTTTCTCTACTCCGACAGAAGGGCCCAGCTGCAGCCCAATTTGTGTTATATAACCCGACTCATCCGGCCAACTCCCGTCTGCCGATCCGGATACATGCAGTGTGCGACGAATGGTCTGACGGCAAGGCTGGGCATTTGATATTTTCGGATCCATCTCGAAAATGGAGCGACCTGAGGCCCGACTCTCCACATATAACGACTGCTCAACCTATTGCTGAACACGAGGTGTCGGAATTCTCACTTGATAAGAATCATTCACACCCGTAGATCAAGATGGAAGATCCGCCCAGGTTCATCATCGGGCACCATGACCCCAAAGGACCCATTCCAGTCTCGATGGAGACTATACAAAATGCTCATGCCGCAAATGTGAGGGCACAGCCTATATGTGATCTGGCGTATATTGACTAACTGTGGACAAGTATGATATGGTTACGAGCCCCATCACGACTCCCTATTTCCATTCCCGGGTCCTGACTCTACTTTCTTCATCCCTTGCCCTTCAATCAGTAGAGGACATCACAAAGACCAAAAGCGCTTCGCCTGTTATTATTCCACCACTGACCCCGGCGGATACGCCTTTGACGCCCGACGAGTCCATCAGTCAGACCATCGCCCTTACAAGTTCTTGGATCGATCTTGGATCTCCAGATCCGATCATTGCAGATGTATCTCGACAAGTCCTCCAACTGGAAGTGGCTTATGCTGCCTTTTGTGGGCTCACTTATGTCCTGGTCCCAGGCCCTCTTATTCGTGGTCAAGGTGTATCTGACAGCGGGATCGCCCAGTATGCAAGAGCAATTTCTGATGCCCTGAGCCAAGGCCCCTATATGCAGCTATACATCTGGTTGCCCGTGATCGACCATTCCGAGGAACAAATTGACCAAATGGGCAGCCTGGCACCCTTTACCCGTCAGCAGTTTCTGGAACATGACGAGGCTGAAGTTGAAAGGTTGGATGTTTTTGGATCCTGGGAAGCATGGAACATGATTAGATCGATATGTAAATATCCTTCGAGATTATGTGTAGGTAAGCATAATACATCTCATGCCGTAACCGTCGGTCTCGTTGTATATCATTACTTGACGCTGACTGTCTCCAGCATTGTCTATACCGAAGCTGCTGCCACCAGTCCCCATCCAGGCAAGATGGTATTCCGAACCTGTCCGCCTCCTCACCCTCGACAAGCAAGTGTTTGCTAGGAACGCCAAAGGCTATCCCGTGTTGACTCGTGCTCATCAAGCTTTCGTTCTGAGATTTGCTCGACTTCGTACGGCACCGTGGTTCCTCCTGTGTGATGTGGGGACAATTCCCAGCACCACTACAAACGGCAACATGGTCAATCCAGCCGCAGCTGGGACCAGTGCTTTCCCTACGCTCGCCGAAGCAGCACAAACTCCAGACCTTAAAGACGTGACTCCTCACCTCTCGTACATGCGCAACCTGCAAACCAAACAACCACCGCAGACGGTTATTGATCGCTTTGGGGCCGGCTATCAGGATTACCTACAAGCGCCGTTACAACCACTCTCTGTCAACCTTGAGAGCATCACTTACGAAGTCTTCGAGAAGGATCCGATCAAGTATGCATGGTACGAGCGCGCCATCGCCCGGGCCCTGCACGACTGGATCGAACAAGGAAAACCAACCTCCAACCCAGATGGACGAGTTGTCGTTGCTGTGGTAGGGGCTGGTCGTGGACCGCTGGTAACCCGCGCACTCAAGGCCAGTCAAGACGTCGGTGTGGAGATTGACATGTGGGCGTTGGAAAAGAACCCGAATGCTTTTGTCCTTCTTCAGCGTCACAACAAGACGACGTGGAGTGGCCGAGTAAATTTGGTGAAGTCGGACATGAGGACGTGGAGGGGACCTATTCGCGCTGCAAATGCTCCAGGGCCGACTCGAATATACAACACCTCGGTCGACAGTGATGATGATGACATGAACAACGACGACAACGACGACGACAAGAAGAAGACCGAAAAGAATGCAGACGGGGTGTCAACCACCCCAAAACCCACGTTCACAGGCTCGCCCAGTCTCGACAGCACCTACCTCCTTGCCACTACTCCACAAAGTACCACACCCACGCCGTACAAGATCGACATCCTCGTCAGCGAACTGTTGGGGTCTTTCGGCGACAATGAACTCTCTCCTGAATGCCTCGACGGGGTTCAGCACCTCTTAAACCCGATCCATGGAATTTCCATCCCGGCATCGTACACGGCACATATCACCCCGATCGCGGCGCCCAAATTGCACGCGGACATATTGCATGGGATGGGCAGTAACCCCCACGCGGGCGAGACGCCGTATGTGGTCATGTTCAATGCGATCGATTACCTGAGCACGAGGCCAGCTGCTGCAGAGGGTGGCGCGCGTGGAATGTCAGCGATAGGGACTGTTCAAGGTCCTCCGACTCCAAGCGACATGGCAGCAAGCCCCGTGTCGCCGTCCGAGACGACACCCACAACGGCGACGCCTTATTCCAAAGCCCACACGCGTCAATCTCAACAATCCGTCCCCCCACCGACGCCGCCGACACCGCTCCCTGTCATCCAGCAAACATGGGCCTTTCAGCATCCGAACCCAGCCTTACCCAACCTGACCCCTTCCACTATCGGCACGACGACCACAGAACCGTCCCTCACCAATAGCCACAACGCCCGCTCATGCCAATTGACCTTCCCGATCCCGCACCGTGGGGCATGCCACGGACTGGCAGGATACTTTGAAACCGTGCTCTACAAGGGTGTCGAGTTGTCGACGAACCCGGACACCATGGACCAAAAGAGCGAGGGCATGATTAGTTGGTTTCCGATATTCTTCCCGTTGAAGGTGAGCGGCAGCCCTCGGCATCCTGCTGGAGCATTCTTTCCATCTAAGTACCTCACAAACATAACACGCACACAACCCCCTGACCTGGCCTAACCCTAGCCTTCTTTATCCTCTCCCATCACTTCTTTTAACTCCTTCCGCACATCCCTACCCTTACAGACAAACACCTACTTTCCACGATCTAAGCCCTCATGCCTTCCTTCTACTGCATAATTTCACGACGCACCAACCTGCCTTGCCCTACAAGCAAGACCCAAGAATGTGCCGTTGGGGGTTACATCAAGATCTTTACTAACCACGACGGGAAATCTCTTTTCCGGGGAAATCCACACAGACACCAATCTTCCTCCCCGACAACTCCGAAGTCAGCCTGACCATGTGGCGCAAGACCGACGACCGGAAAGTGTGGTACGAATGGCTCGTCGACGTCTACGTTTCCCTCCCCGCGTCTTCTCCCCAGACGCCCGACGGCAGCGGCGGTGGCGACGAAAGGAAGAGGAAAAGCGTGGCAGCAGCAGCGTCGACGCGCACATCGGGACGAGGCACGGGACCCCCCGGCGCACGGAGGCGTAGAGTCCGGATTGGAGGGAGCGAGCTGCACTCCTCGGAGAAGGAGGCGTGTTTGATGTGAACAAAGGATGACCATCCTGACGAAGGTATCATGTGGTGTGGTGTGATTATGATGGGCACGGTCGATATGACATCAACTGTTTGGAGCCATATCCGTCTTGAAGAAGACGTATCTCTCTTCCTTTTTTTTTTGTTTTTATTCCTTCATCACGACGCTCCTCAATACAAAACAGCCAGGTCAGATCAGATCAGATCAGATCAGATCCTTTTTTTTTTGGTCCAAAACCATCGCTCCCAATCATATCACAGTCTTGGAAAGAGAGCAGATCGAGATTCCTGCTTTTCTGCACTTCTCTTCACATCTCCTCTCTTCTCTCTTCTGCTCTGCCCTCTTTCTTCTCGCTCCCGCTCTGTGCGTGCTTACGGGCCACATCCCAGCTGGCACCGCTTGAGAAGCAAACGCGTACGTACGCAAATTCCCACCGTAAGAGAAGAGGTCACAGGGATAGAGAAGGTATATCATGAGTAGGGACAAGACAAGACAAGACAAGCAAGAAAGAGATTTTATTCCTTCACATATAGAGGAAGAGTGGGAAAAATGGAACACTGGACAAACAAAGGGGGTTTTTCCCGCCCTTTTCCTCCCTGCTTTTTCCTTATCCTAAATTTCCATTCCAAACTTCCATTTTCCATCTTCCCAGATCCCAGGTTTCCATATAACTCCCGCCTGAACTCGGCATCTTGGGCGTGCAATTTGACGTCTGCTTCTCCGAGTTCCGTGCCTCTTTAATGCTGCACCCGCTCGAGCTTTCCTTGAAGTATTCACAATGCAATGTCCCTCTTCATTCAGTAGGCTCTTCGATTCAAACGGTGAGAACTGTTTCTCCGGATGTCAGAAGCAGAATCACGAGGCTCTCGACGAGCTGCTGCCAACCACCCTCCTCTCCTCATGTTGTCCTTTGTCCATTGACGAGTCCGTTCACGTCGCCGTTGCCAACTTGAGCAACCGTTGTCTTTGGCTCGATCTTTGCCGCCTGAACAGAGTCAGGAAGCTTCAAACTCTCCACTCCACCCAGCAACTTCTTCAGGTCACCGGCGCCGGTCCCATTGTGCTCTCCCGTAGTCTTCACTCCGGAACGAGGAGTACTGGCACCACTGACCTTGGCCACATCCTCCGTCAGGCCTCTCCTTATGGCAAGCACATTATCCACAATGACCGCATCGATCCCTTGCCTCACTTGCTTTCTTACCATTGCACTATCATTGTTCAGTGTCCCATAACTCACGCACACGAGCCCGCTTTCCTTCACCACCCTGACCAATCTAGGCGCTGCGACCAGAGGTTCTGCGGCGCTTACCACTCCGAGCAAATTCCAGCGACTCGCAAAGCGAATAGCTTCTTGCAGCGAAGTGGCGCGGATATCACCTGCAGGACTCGTGCCAGAATCTGTCAGGAACAGGACGGGGATGCTGGGCTGCTTGAACGACAGCAGCAGGCAGATATCAGGGTTGAAGCTCGAGAAGATGATGTTCCTTCCCTTGCCCAGGTCATACACTTTGGTGAGAACCGTGTCAACAAACGAGTTTAGCTCCACGGCATACGTGTCCATCTCCTCATCCTCACTTTCGTACAGCATGGGATACTTCATCTCGATATTGAAACCCACATCCTGTGGAATCTTCTTGAACATCTCTTCGAGGGTGGCAAAGGGCGCTTGGATATGGTTGCCCCGGGTGTTGCCTTTGAAGCCTTTCTTCTTGAAATCGCGGGTATGTTTCATTCGCTCGTCCATCTCGAGGGACTCGTTGCTGGTTGCTCCGCTCACAGACATGGATCTTAGTCTAGACGCTCGTAGATCTCGGTCGACGTTCTTCAGACTCGCTGACTTCGGCTTTTCAAATGGCACAGGCGAAGCAGGTCTAGAATGGCGGGGCGTTCGCATGTCATTGACGTGGAGAAATTGTTCGAGGGTGAGCGTATGCACAGGGGCATCGATACCCGTTTCGCTGACGAGGAAATCATGATAGATAACAGGCACGTGGTCTTTCGTGAGTTGCACGTCAAACTCGACGTACGAGGCGCCCAGGTTTGCCGCGGCGATGAAGGATTGAATGGTGTTCTCGCCTAGCTGTAGAGACCGTCTACCGGCGGCGAAATTCTTGCCCAGGCCACGGTGGCCAATGACCATGGTCGACGCCATACTCCTCCAGTACGTCTGATTTTCCGTGACCGACATATTGGGATGTTTGAAAGGTGTAATGACGAGAAAGTTGAAGGTAACCGAGCCAATGACCTCAAGGTCGCTCGCCGCGACAATTGGGACTGTCACGTCGCCTTGTAGCGACATTCTTTTTGTTCCAACGCTTGACTTGATGCTTGACAGCAAGGCAACACCACGCCCGACCACGCGTTCTTGAGAGCCAGCATAAGTCGGAATCAGGTCAAAGTAAAGCTTGACTTTAGATGGATCGGCTGAATGGAAGACAATTGGTTCTGTCGAAATGTTGTCCTGGACTGGAAGGTCAATGACTTCAGGCTCGCCCTCGGCGGCTTTGGCTGAGACGACAATGGACAGCGCGGTATCGAGCTGTGTCGAGTGAGCGCTTGATAGTGGGATCCGATCAAGATTAACCGCACGAATACTTTTGCGAGTATCCATGGTACCAAGGCTGACCAAGATCATGCTCTTGTCTGTCAAATATCGATGACCAAAGGTCTTGACAGCTTCGGTGGTCTTGATTGTTTGCCCATTTGACCCCAGACCATTGGAGTTTCGCTCGGTTAGGGATGACAACAATGGAGGAGATGTCGAAGCTATAGAAACATCCGGTTCCGCCTCGGGTTCAGGCATGACGCTGTCGAGCCTCTGTGCTATGTCGATATGTCCTCTCAAAGCTGCGTGCTCCTTTGCATTCCAGCCTGATGAATCCAGGCGCTCAAGATCAGCTCCGTGTTCGATGAGCAGCTCTACAACCGGAAGATGGCCGTCGACACAAGCAATGAACATTGGTGTCCATCCGTAAGTTTTTTCAGGTAGCTCAATATTAGCCTTCTGTTCACCTGTGCCCTCGAGTAGTAGCCTTGCACATTCCACATGGCCAAATCTAGCAGCGACATGGAGCGCCGTATCGCCTAGCTCATCCTGGTGATTGATGTCGACACCTGCTTGTATAAGAAGCCGGACGATTTCGATGAAGTTTGCTTTGGTGGCCAAAGCTAAAACAATCGACGACTTGGCTGATCTCCGCTTGATAGAGGAGCTCATGCTCTTCTCGGCATCGAGCAAAGCCTTAGTTGTCAACGGATGACCGCCAATGGCGCTGAGATGCAGAGGTGCCCATCCGTCCTCGTCCTGCCATTTAGGACCGTCAATACCTTCGGCGACATCGAACAATTTCCACGCTTGTAGATGCTCAATGATGATCTCACACATGACCCTAATGCCGTACTCTGCCGCGAAATGTAGAGGGGTCCTTCCTGCACTGTCTCTCGCCAACAAAGCAGGCCGTTGTGAAGGATTCAGGTGGTCGAGTAGAAATTGGAGGAACAAAACAGCCTCGTTTTCACGCGTCACGTTTTGCACTCGTTGATCTTCTTGCACGATCGAGCGCTTCAGGGCAGGGGACGGATGCGCTGCAGGTGTGATGAAGTTGTGGAGATCTGCTTCAGCATCTGCCTGGGGTTCGGTGGCAGGTTCCTGACTCGCATGCGACTGTTTGCGGCCGACCGAAATTATAAGACGATGAATGCAGTTGCGGCGGTTGATGTCGTCTTGAGCGTCCAGGAAGACAATCTCACGCAGCAGGCGCGCTGTGCAAGCCCGACTCCGCGAGGAAATTGCCCTCTGCAAGAGATTATTCAACAGCAATTGCACCGCCGCCTCGGAGTTTTCAGTTCCTGGTTTCGTTATTCCCACGATCCATTCTTCCAGGCTTTGCGCATCATCCTGGCGGATATTGGTTTCCACTTTGGCCAACTGTTCAACAGAAATGTTCACTGAAGGCCGAGAAGTTGTGCGCTTCAATGACCCCGAGGAGATGGAAGCAACGTCGTCAGCGGTATTCGGGGGAGCGGCGGCAACCTCACTCAGCACAGAGATCCAATCATTGATTTTATTCAATGAGGCAAACAGCTGGGTATTTGTTGCAAAGGCCGAGGGGTCCACCTTCAGTTCGAGATATTTCTTCTGCGCATGCGCCGCCGGGATCCTTTTGTCCAACTTCTTTGTGATCTTGATAAAGCCTCTTCTGTTGACTTCTCCGTACCATTGTAGCTTCCTCAGATCGCCTCGCAATTCCAAAAGCGCCGCCAGGAGGTCTTCGCGATCATCCGCATCGAGCTGGGTCGCAGCTTGAGGGGAGATTCCGTACCTGTCTTCGAGAAGTTTCAGACGCCGCGAAAAGTCCTGGAACTTCTTGTTGTAGAAGTGATCCACATCCTCGAGATTGCGGTCTAAGGTGTAGAAGAATCCTAGAATAGAACATGAGTTTCACGCAGGTTGGTTTTCATTTCAACCCAATCCTACCAGCCAGATCGGGAATTTCTCCATCTTGTTTCTCTGCTCCAGTGGCAGCGGCCTTGATGAGCTTCTTCAGGACCTTGTAGTTTATGTAGGAGGATGCCCATTCCGGGACTTGGTTTCGAGGAAGATTCCGTCCGAACTTCATGATGTCCGAGACCTTCCCAACTAATCGCTCAATCTGGTCTAGAATTTCAGACCGGCCTCGGCGTGAGGAACAGAGCAGGGAGCGTTAGGGATGAGGGAACATAGAAGCCATTGACAGCACGGGAGAGAGCGACTACAGTAGGATGGTCATTCTGATTCGCACGCGGAGGACAGGAATGAAGGGATGGAACCGTGAGCACCTGGCCATGCTCGTTGGATCAGAGGAAGGGAGGATGAACGTGCACAGGGTCACACGTGGAGGGGGCAGCTGAGGGTAAAAAAGAGGTGAAAATATCTCCGAGCTGCTGGTATCTCGCCGCTTGCCGCTTGCCGCTTCGACTGCGGAGGGAGGATTTGAGCCTGCCCTTGACCGACGGGGGAGCACGGATGAGGTTTTGTGCGACGCTGCTGATGACCGTGAAAAGATTGCAAAGGAGGCGTGTTACAGCTGCCAAAATTCATTGGCCTCCGCAATTGATTTTTCGGTCCCGGTCTGATTGGCGGATGCAGACCGCCTTCCCCTGGCCGTTTGACCGCCCAAAGCTTTAAGCGCGGATAGTGTCGACACTATGACGACGATGGCCCGACTGTGGCGAGGCGACCAGGTGCGTCTAAACACATGAGGAGTTAGAGGCTCGCTGTTGGCAGATCGTGCGCCCTCACGAGTCGTCGGCGTGCAAAGACTCGGCCAAACGCAGCCGAGAGGGACATGGAAAAAGATTCCACAAGCTCATTCCTAGTATAGAGACAGAGAGAGGGAGCGAGAGCGCAGGCAAGACTCCCCCTCCCTTGTCTGCAGCAGTGCCCTGTATATCTGTACATGCGCTATTTTTGGGAATATCTCAAACGCCGCATATGCTCGGGAGACCCTAGAACTCACAGCGTTCTTCCATCATCATCAAAAGGGACGAGTGAGCCGCTTGACCTTCGTGTCTCGTGACATATTTTATCCCTTTCCGTACGCCCCCTAACGCCTGTGCAGCACCAGTAATTGACCACCACGACATGGGCCACAAGCTTTCTCAGGAAAGAAAAGAAAAATAAGGCCCGTCACCGCCCAGTATGTGTAGTTCCGCTGTCTTGCATCATGATCGCGTCTTCGTCGTCGTGATGCAGTGTCACACTGTTGAACTCCAGGAACGGATCCGCAATCTCGCCTCCCGGAGTCGCCAGAGCCGAATCTAGCGGCACACCCTTTAGTCGACTTGCTGGACCACCAATGTCGACGCTGCCGCTATCCTTGACCGTCCTAAAGTTGACTGTGTCGATGGCCTTGCCTTGGTGAGGAATCATAGGCGGCTTCATATGGCGGAGAAGAGCCCAAGTTATAGGTCGGAAAAAGGGATGATTTTTCACGTCCGAGGCGCCTGCCCGAGAGCCCAATCGTTTGACCTCGTCTTTGATCAAAAGCTTCCGGATAAGCGACTTGCAGAGGCTGGGAGAGGTTAGTGAAGATCCAGAATCCTACGTCCAGCTCAAAGTACTCACTTGCTGACTTGGGTCACGTGTGAATGGTCTGGGAAAGGCACTTCGTCCCTCAGAATGTTTGCAAAGGTCGCGTTCCGGTTTTTGCCCTTGAACGGGGTCGTTCCAAACAGCATCTCGTAGATCAGGATGCCGAGAGTCCACCAGTCCACCGCGCTGGTATGTCCATTGCCTTTGATCACTTCGGGAGCAATATACTCTTCCGTGCCGACAAACGAATTTGTGCGGAAGTCGGCAATGCAAGACTTGGTATCGACCAGAGGATACCCAGTGGGGTTCGATGCATTGCGAGTGCCCAGGATCATGGTCGGCGCACCGCCAGAATCCGACTGTTTGGACAAATCAAAGTCTGACAACATGATATGTCCCGACTGATGAAGGAGAATGTCTGAGACAAAGTCAGCAAGCAGAAAGCATGGTGGGCGTCGAAAGCACTCACTTTCTGGCTTCAAATCACGGTAGATGAAGCCCATCAGGTGCAGATACTCCAGCGCAGCTGTGACTTCTGCAGCGTAGAACCGGGCATCTTCCTCGCCGACACATTTGTTCGGACGAGTTTGTAATGCCCTGAAAAACTCACCTCCGCTACAATACTCCATGCATAGGTATAGATGATCTTCCGACTGGAAAGAATGATATAGGGTAACAATGAAAGGATGATTGCTCGTGGCCAAGATCTCTTGTTCGGCCAGTGCCCTCTTGATTTTGTTACGCTTTATCATTTCCTTCTTGCTGAGAACTGTCCGAAGTTAGGGGACGTCTTCTTGGGAGCCACAGAATTGGTGCGACCAACCTTTCATGGCATACAGCCGGTTCGATTTCTTTTCGCGCACGAGGTATACCTTGCCAACATCACCCTTGCCGATCAATTTGATCTTATCGAAACTGTGCGGGCCCACTTCGACATTGCGCACTTTGATCGAATTGGAGCTGTAGGTTCTTCGAAAGGCGACGGATTGGCGGATCTGTCCCGGGAGAGGGATTTTGCCAGGTTTGGGCGGGAGGCTGTGAGTGCTCGAGTCCTCCTGAGGAATCATGCCCAACTTGGGCGATGAACCATTGACCACTGCTAGAGGCTCCTTTCCCAGTTCTGCTGTCGACGGACGCTCCGTAGTCGGCTTGTTGCCACTGAAAAGACCTTGTGCATTTGGGGCAGACGCCACTCTTCTCAATTTCCGCGCCAGTTCTTCCTTGCCAGCCGTAACTGCCTTCTCTTCCACCGCCGTACCGTTCACATGAACTTTTGGTGTATCCGGAGGGGAAGGGGGAACGCTGCCCTCATTACGGTGGCGCAAGGCAGGAGGGCCTTGATGGACGAAGTAAGGGTTGGCCTGGGCTGTCGGTGAGGCAATAGCGTCGTCGAGGGGGTGTCCTTCACTGGCAATCGTAGTCGACCTGTTTCTACTTAAGCCGGGTAAGAATCTGGACTGCTTGACTGGTTTGGACTCGGTCTTGGGAGTAGGCAAGCCATCCGAGCCTATCGAGGTTTGACTTCCACCACTGTTGATACGGAAGAAGTTTTTCAGCTTGGTCGTCGTCGGAGTGTGGGCACCGGCGCCAGGTTCGCCGTTCAGATGCTTCTTGGAGGAGAAGGACAAGGAGGAAAAATTGCGTTTCTCGGTGGTGGCGGCCATGATGCTGCAGGGTGCCAATTCAATGGATCCACAGAATCAGTGTATCAAGGGAGAGGAGCCCTCTGTTCTATGTAGATAGAGAGGGAGGTGGGAGGAGAGAGGGCCCGTTCAGCCCAGACAGAGGAATGGGGCGAACAAAGAGCGGACTGGGGGCTGTTCTGAAGAGGTGAAGTTCGGACAGGACGTTTTGGGTTGTACGGAGGACGGACAAGGGACGAACGAGGGAGGATCGGGTGCGGGCAGGGCTATCTGTGGTGCGCCATGTCAGGGATCTGTCCTCAGATGAAGATGGACGACGTCTGTCCAAGGAAACGGAGATGTTGGGTTTCTCGGCCAGTACGAGTCAAGTCCCCAGTCGGAAAGGGGAGGGGGTTGTGGTACTTCCTTTGTGGAAAAGGGAAGTAAGAACTGAGAAATAGAATTGGGGGGTGGATGGGGGGTGGAATTGATATGGGTTTAGTCAGTTGCGGTGGAGGAAGAGGCAGGAGAGGAAGGACTTTTGTTGGAGCGTGGAGGGCTCGAGGGACCGCAGGCGGGAGTTGGGCTTTGGGTACGGAGTATTTCGTTGCTTGTTGTGGTGGTAGGTAGGTTGTTAGGTTGGTAGCTGCTATGAGTGGGTGGTAGGATTGGTGGTTCCCCTCGCAGTCCCAAGTCGCAGTCCGCAGTCACAGCCGCAGCCGCAATCGCTCTCGCTCTCTCGCTCGGTACAAACGGGCTCTGTCGCCTTTTTCCTCTTACCCAACCTTGACTGTCCCCTGCTGCTATGGCTAATAAACCTACTAAACCTTATATCTCCAAAATTCTGAAAGCGAGGGGTGCTTTTCTTCTTGGACGACAACAAGTCCAATCAAATGCTCCAAACGGTGGTGATATACGGAGTACCTAGGCCCAGGCACGGTAGTGAAAGATATCGACCGTGTCCTCTGCCCGTCCCTGTCGCTGCGCCGCGTGTCTCTCGGTCTCTCTCTGTTCGTCTAGCCCGCGCATTTCCATTGTCACCGGCACAGGGCCAAATGGCTAGACACAACCCACCTGACGATGCTATGGAGTCCAGTTCTCTCCATTCCATCTCCACGAGGTCCCATTTGCCCTGCCATGGTTTGCTTGACCTGGCCTGGCCCTTGATTGTCATGTCTCGAATCGGAAGTCCTCACCCACCCTCGTCGTCACTGTGCATATGCATATCAATTCCGTCTCCTGCCCTTCCCACGGTTGATTTCTCAGCACGAGAATTCTCCATCTTGCCACACAGAAGCACCACCACTCCCGCTCCCACCAATTGGCTAGTCTCGATTCCTCCATGTTACTATCTCGTCCGTTCGTTGCCTCTGAGTGGGATTGTTGAAGCTTCAAACTCCACCGACAACGTAGGGAATAACAATGACATCCACTGACTCAAGACTCCGAGGCGTAGCAGGCTGCAATGTTCCAAGTTATTCTGCCTTATTCGTATTCGCAGATATCCTACTGGCATTTATTAGCCACTTGTGTCTGTATCTTGCTCCTCACTGTTGTTCCTTCCAATGTCGCGCAGTACTTGAATACACGTGCATGTCGTTCACTTGTTCCCAGGTCGCCCATCACCCAATTGATCCCGGGCCATGGCACCACTCCACAATGTCCCCATTATCATAACCAGGTCAAGCCCAATGACAACTTTTGTCTCTTCTCTTGTCCTGCAATATTCGGTGACACGATAAAACCAACCTCATTAGGCCCCAAGCAATGTCACCTAATAGACATGTCCAATTCCTGCGTTATCATACACTCCTGAAGAGGAATAGCCCTGGTATTCAATCGGACTGCTGTCACCCAACTTGGAGAGACCCTCTTTGGCTTGTCTTGTCTTCTTACATTTCCTCCTTTTTAGGAACTCGGGCCAGGAACCCATCTTCGTTCTCGACGGCGATGCCGCGAGTCTCTCGAAGATACGGCTCGTAGAACCCCATGGGAGAGGGGACTGCACCTGGCGTCAGATATGGTGTGGCGGCTTTGCTGGCTGCGGAGAGCATCGACTTCGCCGAGAGTCTCTGGCCATCATTGGTGCCATCCAACAAGTGTGGGAGACGGCCCATGGCATGCACGTTCTGGATAGAAACGGATGAAAAGCCTTTGTTGTTCAGAGTCTCAGATCCCGTTACTCGGCCGTTCCTCAAATGCTCATTCGAGACCCAACCACTTCTGTCTTCTCCTCGCAACCAAATCGATGGTGAAGATGCTGACGATTGCTTAAGGATCGACAGACTTGGGTCAGAACCAGTTGACGGCTCCAGAGTCGAACTGTACCCTTTGCGAACAAATCCAGGGAAGAAGTTCTGCGTGCTGGACGGTGTCAGGTTCATTTTCCAAGGTCCCAGAGACATATTGAAGAAACACGTACTTGATTGCATCCTTTGCCACGCTCTTGCAGTCGCCACTATTCCCATTTGACGCTTCGGGGCTGTGACTCAACAACCCTTCTCTGGCGTTCTCTTTCATCTGACGTTCAGCGCTGCGAGAAGAGAGTTAGCACAATCATCCACTCAACCCCCGCCGCCGAAGAACAAACCTTTCCATTCCAAAGGCTTTGAATTCAAGGTTATCGACAATGCTGGAAACATCCCCACAAGCTCGTACCTCGACAAAATTCTTCCACATTTCCTTGGTGACGATGGGCTTCTTCGTCCAATAGCGCTTCTCAAAGTCGTCCATCTCGAACGATGGTGGACGCTGCAAGCCACGACCCCGAACCTCAGTAATGGTACCATCAGGCATTCGCACCTTGCTGGTGACCCCCGGAGGAAGGCGCATGGCGTCAAGCTGGACTTCATAGCAAGCTTCCACAGTTGGCGGCGCACGACCGGGCTTGGTTGGCAACCATTCCTCACTCTCTGAGCCGATTTCGAGCATCATCTGGGCCTCTTGCATTGCACCCGGATGCTCCCGAGGGCTGATAGACTGGGAGCTTGGTCCGGGAGTGACAATGAGTGCATTCTCACTGGAACCCAATGGGGAGATGCTGGATTCGCGGACTAATTGTTCCAACATCTGACTCTGCTGGCGTTGGATCTCAGGTGGTGGTGCACCAATACGGAGGCCCCATTCATCTACCTCAATTGACTCAGTCTTTGATCCGGCTCTATCATCGACATCCTTCTTTGGACTTGGTGAATCCTCCGGAGGTGGCACAATCGGAATGGGCCGACGAGTACTCCTTACATCAAATTTTGGCCTCTCGGCCTCGAACTGCATGGTTTGAGGAGCTGATCCGTTGCCAGTGCCGATGGGGAATGTCTCAGGAGAGGGAAGGGTCATCAGCGGAACGTATGTTGCAGCCTTCACATTGAGAGTGCTGTTCGGCTGATGGGTGGTGCTTTTCGCAAGCGCTTTGGGATCAAGACCTAGCTTCTCTGACCAGTAAGTCATCTGTGATTTGTATTCCCCCCGCAACTGGACAATGGCAATGCGCTGATCCACAAGGCATGGGTCAAGCTCCGACATCGCGCGATGGCGGTCAATAGCTTTGAGTTGCCGATCGAGCTCCTCAAAGTTCGCAGTGCTTTCAGAAAGCATATGTCGATTATATCCATCTTCTTGAGGTTGAGAATCGGTAGGAGTAGTGGTGATACCACAAGCAGGTGGGAGGCCTAGGATCTGGGGATTGGGGACATAAGGCAGTGGGAAGGCCAGGCCGAACGGGTTGTTGAAGCCAGGCAGCGGCGTAGCACCGGCTGCGTAAAGTTGAGGATTCTGCATGAAGTACCCGTCTCCTGCAACCGGTGGATAGTAAGGTGGTGATGTCACAGCTTGCAGGTAATTTGGCTGATGGTGAGCACCCTCATAGGCAAAGACACTGTTTAGGGGCAGGACATTGAAATTGGCGGCTGCGGTGGTCTCACAAGCATCAGCAACTCCAGCAGCTCCAGGCACATGAGAATGTGACAGTGGCTGGGGTTGAGGGATGTTGTTGTCCGTCATGGTTTCTTTTGCCTCGCTCTGAGCAGTAGCTCTCGGCTTGGTGACCCCATTAACTTCATCGCGCGTACTGTTCTTGCGATCTGCTTCTGTGTCTGGGTTGGCTTGCGGCAAGGAGAAGACAGGGGGCCGTGCCCGCTGTTCCATTGGTACGATCCGGCCTCCAGCAGTGACACGTTGATGGGTAGGCGAAGAGTGTTTCTTGAGGAATCGAGCAAAGCCTTCGTCTTGCTGGGCACGATGTTCCGAAGGTGGGACAGTGGGCTGTCGTTCGGGTGCGTTGACAATGCGATTGCCTCGATAGAGGATGACTTCTTCTTGAGAGCTGCTAGATTCTTGTGACCAGCCACGAGGCCGGTCGCTAGCAGTCCGTCGGTTGGACATGGCGCAGGCACCTAGTGGAGGGACGACCCCAGCTGGACAGGAGTTAGCATTGTCTGGACTTGCACAGGGTGAGGCACATCGAGACTCACCCCGAGCTGCGTCGTATGTGAATTTGGACAGATCAAAATGAGCAGGCCTGGATTGAGGGGCCAGTTCAAGCAAACGCGAAACTGTGTATCTGCGCTGTCGACGGACTGGGCTATGTGTGCTTTGGTTAGTCATATTGACTCTATGTCGTGTATCAAGCGCAAGTGAGGGTGCCGTTGAATAGCCAAAGAGAGACCAAAAGCAATCGCCGCAAGAGATGAGGACAACAGCAAAGCCGTCAAGGGGAGTCGTGCATGGGCGAAAGCGAGAGTGATGTGTACTGGATGTCTTGGGGTCGACCGATGACCAGGCGCACAAGGGCAGTTGCTTCCTTTCTCTCCAAGTGAAAGAGCAGGGCGCAGGGTAGGGCGAGAGGAAGGTGCAAACAAGGCCTACACTCACCAAGCTGCTTTGCCCTTCCAACAATCCGGGCGCGGGCGCGAGCGTGGGCGCAATCCAAGATGAAGTGATGATGCTGTGGACGGGGTTGACAGTCGCGGTCAGTTGGTTGGGGATGCAGAGGAAGAAAGTAGACATTGATGGCGAGTTGAGAAGGCTCAGAAGAATCTTTGGCAAGACAAATTCACGACCACGAGTTTAGTGAATGTTCAGATAAAATTCTTCACTGCTGTGCTGCCCAATTAGCCTTGTGTTTACTTTGTCTCAGTGATATCATGGGTGTGGCAGAACCCAATTGACACCGTACTCCAGCACCGGCATTTCTCAGTCATAAGTCATTATACATGGTTGTGCGGCGCGACTGGAGGCGTAAAGGGATTGATAGGCATGTCGTCTTCCTCATAACTTGGTCGTCGCGGTCGAACATCAGTTGGGCTGAGGACGCGGCCCTGCGCCTCCTCGGCCTTTGCTTGATCCTTGAGTTCCCAACTTCCGACGCGTTCGTGGCCTCTCACAGGCGCTGGATAGGCAGGATCTTCACTGGCCACAACAACAGCACCTGCACCGCCCTTTGAAAGAGTGAGATCCTGGTCACTGGCAAGTTTCTTCCCACCCTTGAATCCTCCCAACTCGGACCTGCGCTTGGAATGGACGCGATGTAATCTCACACCTCCCAGCAACATCACCATACCAAATAAGAGAGCGGCCACTGCAAGAGTGACAACAGCTCCAATGACACCGGCCACGACGGGAGACAAGCCGTGACGGCTGGGAGAGAATCCAGTGGTTGGGTTGAGATTTCCATCGGTCCCGGTGAACGCCGGGCAGAAGACACTGAAGCTATTGCAGGTAGTGCACCAATCTTCCACATTGAAGATCATGAAATTCTCCAGACCCGCAATGAAATCTACCAGAGTGATGCTCGTCTGGCTGGGGCTCAGCCCAAAGAGAGGATATTCCACCAGCGACGAATCGGACCCCGTCCCATTTTGGTAGAGGAATCTGACAAAGATGTCCGACGTGTCAGGATAAGTGTCGACGCCTTCAGCCTGCAGAGTGTAGAGCTCGAAGATAAAGCTGGCACCGGCCTCGGGGACATTGTAAAATGCAGCATTCTGAGGTGAGACTACCTGGGCAAGAGCTGCGAATGCGACCATTGGCTCGAAGCTCCCGAAGAATAGAGTCATCTTGTCTGAAGCTCCTTGGGTGTTGATGGTCGTATAAAAGGCTTGAAGGATGCGTGTAGCCAGAGTGCGGCCGGCTATCGCTCGTATGTGGTCACCAGGAGTAGAGCCCGAAGCGTCGATGTCGGCATTTAGGGCAAAAACCCAGTCATCGGACAGGATCTTCGCTCTGGTTAGATCTTCTGCGGACAGGAGCTGCGCTGCACTTGTGTTATGAATTGACGCATAGTTGAGGTAGTCATAGATGTAATAGGCGTCATAGTAGCCGACAGACGCATCTGAGAAAACTCCGTCCAAGAAGTCCGGCTGCAAGCTTGCATAGAACTGTGCGGTGCTGTTCTCAATGCTCTCGAAGGCCTGAGTCCCGTAGTAATCGTTCGTTGACGCCACATATGCTGGGCAATTGCTCATCCCACCGACCCAGATTGAGTTGAGATCGTTACTGGAGACAGTATTGATGTTCGGATACTGGTAGCCGTTCAGTGGAGCCACCAGGTTGGATCCATTCTGAATAGTACTTTGACCAGCAATGTACGTATAGTTGGACGACGTCTGCAGCGGCGGATATAGCCCTTGAAGGAATGCCTGGGCTGAAGCAAACACATATTGATCGTCAGTCGACACGATGGTCAATTGGTCGTACTCTAGTTGATATGACGCGATGCCAGCAATGGTCGTTGGCTCAGCCGTGCCGTCGACTGGCACGAGGTATCTCTGGCGAACTCGGTCGCCGGCTTCGAAAAGTTGCTGAGCACCCAGAGGGGTCAAAGTGGGCGAGATGGGAAGCACAAATGGTGTCCTATCGCCATATCTGTCCAAAGTCAGCGCAAACTGTCATACCCTCCAGCCTAAGTATCATGTCTAACCTGGTGTAGATGAACGTGCTGAGGACCTGCTCCTGGAGACTTGCTTGGGCGGTAGCGGTGAAGCACAAGGCAAGGAGACACAAACACAGGACATTGAAGATGGATCTTGCACCCATCTTTGCTCAAGGATCTACTCGGGCAGGCGACAACTGGAATGAGGGGTCGGTGGCCAGCACTCACCGTGAAGCTGAGAAGCAGAAAACAATCAGAGCTAGCTGCGGGGTGCCGCCAGCATTATGAGGTGATGGAGCATGAGGCTGCAGGACAAAGCTCCAATAGCTCGACCAACTTATGACAACATCCGCCTGGAGGAGCTCGTGAATGCAAGCTCTAACAAGGCAAGCTTACTCATTACAGGGCAAGAGTCTCATGATCACAGCTGAGTTCTGATAGCTCACATTGGAGGCGTAGGTATGGAACGGGGAGGGATAGCCGGGACGAGAGCTTCGATAGCAGGCCCAGCAGCGCTTCAGGGAGTGGGGTTGCTGCTCAGATGGCCGATTCGATTCGCTGGGCATAAGCTGGAGAGCTGCGGCGGGCAAACAAGCCTGATAGCTCCCCTTGCTTGCCATGCCGCTTGCCTAGCGATGGTTGCGGGTCATCAGCGATCTCTGCAAGGCCCCGAATCGGGTGGAGGGGCAGAGAGGCCATCTGAAAGGTTATTGCCAGAGGAGTAAGCTCTTGTGTGGGCAGTACTGTTGCAATAGTAGTGATTTCAGAGCACGAGAGATGGAGATGTCGCAGAGCAGGGAGTGTTCTGGGCGCAACTGGAGAGAGGCTGCAGTCAGTGAGGTTTCCTCAAGGAATACTTCCTACCTAGGTATGCTTGCACAAGTGCGAAGAGAAGGTGACTGGATTGCCGATAACGATAACGGAAGCGCTCGGCGGCCCCCAAGTTGGCTCCATTGCAAGAACAGTGAGTGACCTAGAGAAATCCTGGAGGCTGGGAACTTGGGATACACTGGTCTGGATGTGAGCTTGTAGGAGGCTACTGGGCTAGGCTTTGTACGAAGAGGAGGAAATCCATGCCCAAGGATTTCTAGGGTTGCAACCCCTCACTGGATCCACCGCCTCCGTCACTATCCGATCTGCCCGCCCACGCCGCCCACGCCGCCCACACCGGCTTCGCTGGGCACCACACACACAACCTCTGCAGCTTTCACACTCACCCCAAACTTTTCCGTTATCAGCACGTGATGACACATTCTCGCACCTATGCGACCAGCTCCCCAGAGGCAGGGCGGCCCAAAGAGGCCTCAGGTAAACGATGGCACAATCCTCTTCGACCGAGCAACCTATGCAGACTTCCAAGGGAGACTCCCCACCCCACCCTGATGCAGGTGAGTGTTTTGCTTTACGGTGCCTGTGGACTCAATGTGACAGTGCCTCAGATCGACCCAGAAATCCTGTAGCCTCTCGATCTCCCCCGCTGGTCGCAAATGTCGACGACAATCCACGAAGCCCCAAGCGGCGACGACTTTCCGCAGAACAGGAGCTGCAGACAGTCAAAATTGAGGCAGATGGGGAGGTTTCCGGTGGACAATCGATAGGTGCAAAATCTACAACAACACGTGGGAGTCAAGATGGAGGATATGAAACAACCCTTCCTCAGCCACGGCCTCCTTCCACGGACGGGGTGCAGCAGGGCGTCAATTCTGTCGTCAAAACAGAAGGTTCTGAGGCACAGGCTGGGGCTGTAAAGTCTGCGACAACAACCACAGGTCCTGATGGAAAAGCTGCGCCGAGACCTCCGCAGCAACAGTCTCCTGCAGCAAGCAGCCGACTGGATAATTTGCCCATCCTCGACAAGCAGTCGTCACAGCTCTTAAGTTTCCTGTCTCGGTTGACGCCGGCCGAAGCAATGGGACTGTCGAGTGCGCCGAGTGCCCCAACTACCAAGGAGTATGCCGCATTGCGCGCTTCATTTGATCGGACTAGGAGGCTTCTCAGTCCCGGCTGGCCCTTTCTGTCGCCGCATGATTTGGGACTGCGCGATAGCAATCAGATCGAGATCATCCGCAAGGCTAACCAGGCAATCTTCATGTCCAGCATTTTCACAGGGGAGATAGGTCTTCGGGACATGGACAGGAGTTTCCTTGCCGTGTTCGTGCCCGAAAATGGCAAATTACTAAAAGCGCAGGCTTCTATGTATCTCGAACTGAAGACCCAGGGCTTTATTACAGCCTGGAGAACAGGTGCTGCTCCACCCAACATTGTTATGGCTGATCTCTTTGGGCCTGACCTAGACAAGGCTCTCTTAGCAAGAAGGCCCGGCACGACGGGACTGGCTCCCACGGAACAGGAGTTCCTCATCAGGCTCGCGTCCCGTCGCGATATTCTGCAAAGCCACGTCAAGAACAATACCCTCGATCAGCTCCCCTTAAAGTATAGGTGGGAGGACTTCAGCCGAGAAGTGTCCTCCTATCTAATCAAGTACATCGAAAATCCCTCCAATTCTGGTGAAGGTGTCTCGAACGAAGGCAATGACCCGACGAGGAGCCTCCATCGGGGACAGATGGAAGGACAGTTCTCCATCCACGGCCCACCGCTCCCAGTCTCATCGACCGATTCCATTCTTTCATCAAAACCTCAGGTCAAGCATACTACCGAGCTGCCAGATGACGGCGATTTTGTTGCGCAAGCAGCAAGGGCTGCAGAGATTGCACTTCGAAGTACCCTGGGCTTAGCGTATTCGGAAAAGATCCCCGATGGACCTCCGTCAACAAGTCCAACGGTACAACAAGACACATCTACAATCCGTCCCCCAGCCCCGCTCCCCGAAATACGGGACTCTAACTTGGACAGCGCCTTATCAAAATCACCTGCAATCGAGCAAAAGCCCGTTACCGAGGAGATTCCTCACGCGTCTCAGACTGCTCCTACGTCAGTTCTCTATGAAAGAGCCCGGTTGGCGGCCACGAAGGCCTCACTTGCTCTTGAGAAGAAGCCGTTAGCGCCCAGTCAAAGACGTCCGTGGACTACTGAGGAAGAGAATGCTCTCATGACCGGGCTGGACCAAGTCAAAGGGCCCCATTGGAGTCAAATTCTAGCCATGTATGGGCCGGGAGGCACTATTAGCGAGGCGCTGAAAGATCGAAACCAGGTCCAACTCAAGGACAAGGCGCGGAATCTGAAGCTGTTCTTCTTGAAAAGTGGCATTGAGGTGCCCTATTATCTCAAATACGTGACTGGCGATTTGAAAACGCGTGCTCCGGCCCAAGCTCTCCGACAAGAAGCTATGGAGCGCGACAGGCTGCTGGCAGAGGGGGATGACGCGGCGTTAGATGACTTGCCAGGCGAGGGTGAGGGCGAGGAACAGCTTGGGGAAGACGTAGATGACTCTACGTTCATCCAGGACTCACCCCTCACCAATGGGGCCGGACAAGGCACTCCCACAGAGGAGACTAAGAAGCCTTTTGAACCGAGCATGGCAGATGTTGAGGCCATCATAGCCAAAGCAAATGCACAAACGGCAGAGTCCGTCGGGTCGGGCAAGTCGTAGCACTAAAAGGGGAAGGCAAAACTTCCTTCTTCGAGGAAATTGATGCGATCATGCGGGAGTTGCCAAGTCTTCATTGATCATTCTCAACATTGAGCAGGAAGTTAGCGCGGCGTGATTGGCGGATACAATGTCTTCTCGTGGAAGCGGAAACGCCTTTGAGGCTGGCAGGGATCTGCTTTGATGGAGCAAAAGAGATATTGTCTTGGAGAGAAATGAGCGCAATGTTGTAAAATCTGTGACCGGCCAAAGTTCCTATTTAATTCACCTTGACATATATCCGCTGCCTTTGCTCGTGACTGACCAGACAGGAAGACACTGATATCTTGTCTTCCCCTGCCTCGCACAATGCAGCGGTCGCAAGGCTGAGGCGCTAACAAGGCCAAACCTCGGCTGAATTTGGACCGATATTATTGCATCGGGAATCTCCCCTTCCACGCTTCGAAGAGTCTGGGCCTTGATCTTGCATGCAAGCGAACACCCTCAACCCCCCATCACAAGGTGTTCGTGTCCGACATCTTAGGGCATCATACCGTCACACTACGTCCTCCAGTCTTTATTCTTTGAATCTCAGATGATAATACAGCCATGTCATCCCCCGGCGAAGCACCAGCAGGCGACACCGCCCCGCGAGATCTTGATGTCGACGCCGAAATGGAAGATGCAACTACCCAAGATGCGCCAGCCAGGCCGGAGGAGAACGTTGACCATGATATGACGACGCAGACGGACACACAACAGCCTCCCGCGACAGCGACAACAGCGTCGGGCCTAACGCACCAGAATCGCAAGGATGTGACGTTAAGAGAGTTTTTGAGCAAAATGGATGATTATGCGCCAATTGTACGTCCATACCTTCCCACCACTTCGCAGTACTTCTTCGCTCTCAAAATCAAACCTGTCTATCGCTCGTTGCTAACCTCTGCTCCCCATTTCTTCTAGATCCCCGACGCCGTAACGGCCCACTATCTCACCCTTTCGGGCCTGCCACCCCCATCCCCATCCGACCCAACGGGAGCGAGTACGAATACAACCCCCCTCCCGCTCGCTCGCCTCCTCGCTCTCGCAACCCAGAAATTCGTCGCCGACATCGCCGCAGATGCCTACCAATACTCGCGGATCCGCAGTTCTAACAACGCAGTAAGCGGCCCGGGAATTGCTAGCATGGCCATGGGCGGGGCCGGAGCGTCTTCGTTTGCAGCCGGCGCTGCTGGCGGATCTGGAGGAGGGGGTGCCGGGGCAGGTGGCGCAGGAGGAAAGAATCAGCAGAATACAACGTTGGGGGTTCAGAGGAGCGGCTACGGCGGTGGAGGACAAGGTGGAAGTGCTCAGGGCAAGACCGTCTTGACGATGGAGGACTTGGGCATGGCAGTACAAGAGTATGGGATCAATGTCAAAAGAGGGGAGTTCTACAGATAACGCAGCGGCGGCAGGGTTCGCATTGGGGTTTGGTATTCTTGTTTCCTTCTTTTCCATAGGGTGGTTGGTGGCATGCATAGCGCATGGGAGTCGAAATTCATGGTAGTGGAAGGGACAGGCCGTTCCATGAACATCGGACGACAAATGGTTGATTTGATTTGCACAACCAGCGGATATCATCCGAGCTTCTTGTCATAACGCAAGATATGAGCGCGTATAATCGACTAAGACCACAGCTTTCAATGAACTGAAGCGTCCGCTTCCCAGACAAGTCTCCTCCATCACAGGTGTTTCAACTGCATCCGCTTTCATAGTCTTGTGTCCCCAGCTTCTTCTCCTTTTTTCCCCCTCATTCACTTGAAGAGAGCATTGGGAGGATATGTTAGGCCCGGGTATCCTGTTGCAATCGACTTTGTGGCCTCAATGCCGAGACAGGCTCTCTCTAGGCGAGGTGCCGCAGACTGATTTCGAAGTCCCTTCCTTCTCTTCAACAACTTTATTTGTTCTTGCTCATCTTATATGTAAATCGTTTCCTCGTCCTAGTTTCTCAGTCAGCCACCTGTTCTCTTTCTTCCTGAACCTTGGACCGTTCTTCATTTGCAGTGATGAGGAAAATCTTAGGGAGGACGACTTACGGCACGAACTCGCCCAGCTTCCTTCCAACCATTTCCTCGGTGATGTACACGTCTTGATATATCTTGCCATTATGCACAGCGAACTTCAAGCCGACGAAATTGGGAAGGATCGTCGCGGACCGTGCTTGGGTTTTTATGGTCGGGGGTGTTTTGCCATGGACAACTGTAGGGAGCTCGGGAAAGACGAGGTTTGGCCCTGTACATGAGTTGAGAGACGTAAGCATACGGTTTCAAGGTTGAGGATATCACCCAGACAATCGCTGTGGTGGCAGGTGGCAGCAACCAATGCTCCCGCCATGCGCCGTCAATGGGTAGTTCCCTCATACCTTTCCAAACGGACCGCTTCAGGAGCTGCAATGTTGCGCGCATCGTTACCGCAGGAGCATGACCAAACTCCTCTGGAGTGGAATCAATCACACCAGAAAACAATCAAAAAGCGCCCCCTCCAAGATTGATGGAGAGGGTAAAAATTAAAATTGCGAGCACAGACCAATAATGGACAAAGTCAACGGGTGATGGGGAGGCTCGTGGCACTCTCTGCCTTTCCCGACGCAGCTTGCTCGCGACAAAATCCCCATAAAAATCTCTCTCCACATGCGCATCCTAATCTGGATCTCGGACTCGCGATTCGGATTCAGCAGTTGAGCCCTCTCCCGTCAGGAGTTAATTTTGCAATTCTGGGGGTTGCCCTGATCTCCTCCCTTTCGGTATCTACGAACCCATTTTATACTCCTTTGTTTTCCAAGTAGAACATTGTCATGACCGTACGATAGCGATACATATACCCCCAACTTTCTGCCACGAAGAACGGATTCCGCGACATCTCTTGTTGAAACCGCCCTCCGAACATACCTCCAGAACCCTCCGAACATACACTCGGCGTCCACTTGCGGGTCAGGTCTTTCGGTAGAAGACCTATTTCATCATGGCGCAAAGCGCGGTGGGTTCGTATTCGAACCCGCTCAAGAAATTCAAGTATGACGCGGATATCTCTGAAGATATGGTCGGCGACACTTGGGGCTGACAAGATCTCTACAGGCTTGTCTTCTTGGGTGAACAGAGTGGTATGTGTCAATATAACCCACAAGACAGCTAGCGAAGGAACTATCATGCTCACGCAATGTTGCATGAATCAGTTGGCAAGACCTCCCTAATAACCCGGTTCATGTACGACTCCTTCGACACAACGTACCAGGCTACCATCGGCATCGACTTTCTCTCCAAAACCATGTACCTCGAAGATCGCACCGTCCGCCTCCAGCTCTGGGACACAGCCGGACAAGAACGCTTTCGCTCCCTCATCCCCTCCTACATTCGTGATTCGTCCGTCGCAGTCGTGGTCTACGACATCTCCTCACGCAAAACCTTCGAGCAAACACGCAAGTGGATCGATGACGTGAGAGGGGAGAGAGGAAATGATGTGATTGTGGTCCTTGTCGGGAACAAGACAGATCTAGGCGATTCCAAGAGGGAGGTGACCACGCAACAAGGAGAAGAGGAGGCGAAGCGAGCTGGCGCCATCTTTATGGAGACCAGTGCGAAGCTGGGCCACAATGTCAAGGCGCTTTTTAGGAGAATAGCGCAGGCCTTGCCGGGCATGGAAGGGGAGGGCGAGCAGCAACCGAACCCCCAGAGTAAGTTACATCCCCAAGTCTCGCTCGGAGTGAGTCCAAAGACTGATGCGGATACGCTTGTCACAGTGATCGATGTGTCCATAAACAACCAAAAGCCAGCCGAAGAAGGTTGTGCTTGTTGATCGCGAAATGGGATTCAGAACTCGAATCCAGGCTACGACTCCTCCCGGCGGGCTTCATGGGCTCAAAATGTTGGAATAGCATGTGAATGAGCCCATGTCGAGTCTATGGGCTGGAACAGACGTGCCGTGGTGTTTCTTGAAAGCTTGGACGAGGACGAGAAGATGCCACTGGACATTGCACGGGAGGGCATGCCGTGCGTCCTGTATATGTGGGCTGTGTCTATAGTGCGCTTGCCGCCGTGGACGTGGGTCAAAGATCCGCGGACGGTGTCGCACCGACTGCGAGTGTGTGACAGATATGGAAATGAGGGCTTTTGAGCATAGCATGGCGTTTTGGCTGTTTACTTCCCGGGCATGAGCAGTAGGGCCACGCACAGGGACCTTGACCCTCTCCTCGAGGTAGCTGGTTGTACTTGTGCTTGTGCTTGCTTGCTTGTGCATTGGCAGGGAACGGTATCGTGTAAAAAGGACATTGGAAATCCTGTCGTTCAATCGTTAATCGTCAAATCATCATCAACCGTCGCATTATTTCAATACAATCCGAGTTTGGAGTTGATACCCTTAGTCTACTAGGTAACCACCTTGCCAACCTCTTTGAAGAAGACATCTGGAAACGCCTTGACACTTGTTACAACGCGCCATTCCCACACCATCTCCTCTCCCAAGACTCTCCTGTTTCTAGATCGTTCATGTCGTTCGTAGACCAAAGGAACCATCAAGTGCTGGTTCTCGCCTCCATGGTCCACTCCGCGGCAGAAGTACGGTAATCGTACTAGGCGTTTTCGATGAAGAGAGACTCTGGGGCCCCCACGGACGAAGAAGTATGTCTGTGCGAAACGAGGGCGATTTGGGCGGTGGTCGCAGAGCCTGAGTGTCTTCCTCCTTCTACGTGTTTCCCTGATCGCGAACCTTGAATCCTCTCCTAAGTCCAAGTCCACGGCTGGTGGCGATGGTCTAGTCGTTTATTGTCATCGTCGTCCTGTCGGCGTGTTGTTGTAGGGATTGCGACGGGGAGATCAGATCCATTGGTGGGTACTTGGTCCGAACGCCTGGAGTTCGGGAAGACGGTGAGTACGACAGACAGGTACCAAGGAGCCTACCACGTGGAGTCTGAACCCATCACTAACATCCCTCCCTTCCAACTCCGTGATGAGGATATCCTCTCTGCTCCCCTTGCCTCTTGGTTTCGCGAATGGGACAACTGAGGGCCTTGAATGGATATCCATATTATCACCACAACACGCCATCGTCACCTGCGGAATGATCCTTGAGCCGACACGCCAGTCGCGAGGCTGTGGATGCTTGAACGACTATCCCTCAAAGTGGTCGACAGACTAACCGCATACGGCAGGTATCGCTAGCGCCCTCGAAGGGGTGGCACCATCGGCATCTTGATATCGGGAGAACGTAATAGGACTATGATGTATTGTTGGAAAGTCGATATGAAAGCATTTTCGTTGGGGCTAGAGGAACGGACCTTTGGTCCTAAAATGGTAGGTATCCCTACAACCAGGCTGCGGTGAAGAGACAATTTCACGGGACATTGGAGTTGCGCACAGCATTACGGGCGTACTGCGATACAGAATCAATGGTGCTCTGGGATGTTGTTGCTCCGTAGATGGAATATATCAAGGTCGAAGGGCAGTAACTAGCCCGTCTGCTGGCCACATTTCCTCCAACCTCGATTCTCAATCCAACGACTCACCCACAAGTCCACTTGATTCCGAATCTCGACTCTGCCCTTCGAAATGAAGCTCTCCACTTGCAGCTCGTTGCTCGCCCTCCTTGTCTCCCATGGAAGACTGGCTTGCTGTCAAACGCCGCCGGGCTTCTCTCCCAGCACCAATAAAGCCCTGTACGCCTCGTTCGACAATCTCGAGATCACTCCAGGAAAGCATGTTCCTCTTGCTGGTATGTCTCGTCCAAATTGTGACGTTGTGCGGTAGGCTCATCCTCTTGTCTCAAACAGACACGGCGGTCTCTCCAAGCATCTGCTTTCCGGGCTGTGGTCCGCCGCAAGACACCCATCTAGTCCTGATGGTCGACCTGGATGCGCCTGATGGCGCCGCGAACCGCAGCCTGTCCCCTCTCCTGCATTGGCTGCAGCAATCCATCCCCGCCAGGCTCCCTGCCATCTCAAGCAACTTCTCTGCACCCGCTGACACCGCCGTCGCGCCGTACTATATGCCTCAGCCACCTCCGGGATCTGGGCCGCACCGATATGTCATCCTCGCATTCGACCAGCCGCAAAAGACATTCCGTCTGCCGGCCAATTTCACGCAATTCAGCAACACGTATCGTTTCAACTTTGACGTGGCCAAATTTGCAGAGGAGGCGAAATTGACCGTCGCAGGAGCGACTTGGTTCATGACACAGAACACTACAAAAGTTTAGGCTGTTCAAGACGGGGGTTGATGGACAATCCAGATTGGGAACGAGGCGGTCTTGGTAGTGATTGCCTGACCTCGTATGGGTAAGTGGGTGATAATATTCACGTTTGCCCCGTCCAGACAGCCCGAATAAGATCACATACCTAGCTATTCACAAGAATCCTCCGTAGTCATGGATAAATCAAATCATTTATAGCCACTGCACATTGCGCGAAACATTCGGACTCTTTCAGTTGCTGCCAGACTTAGCCCAGCTAGAGGTGTCTTTCCGAGCCAGTCTCTGAGGAGGGTGTCGGCCTGTGCTTGCTGAGCGGATACGGGACTGTGCATGGCAACCAAGGTCAATGGAAGGTACATGCGTAGCCAGGCGCAGCGAATTTCATGTCTCGCCAGGTAGGTAGCAGCCTGTAAAATCGTAGCCCCACGAGCTTTCAGTGATTCACGCACCTCACCACCAAGATTTGTGTTGGAAACCAGAAGGACAAGCATCCTCAGAGAGTTCAGACTTGCAAGCGTGATTGCGGCGATAGCATCATCGTATTCCAGTTCGGTATCCTTTTCCCATGGAAGCGTGGTGACCTTGGCAAAAAGATTGGCTTCTAGATCTTTGCAGATTGTCACGACCTTCGACATGAATCCGACTTCAATCGATTCCACGACGGAAGCGATATTGTGGAATTTGCGTGCGTAGATCTTGCTGAGATCAACGAGCAGATTAGCAAGCGGGTCGATTTGCAAGACATATTCTGATGTTCGTTTCGAGGTGGTCTGTTCGCATAGCGTGTAACCAACAATCAACCTGAAGGCCTAGGGCGAAGTAAGCAACCATGATATTCATCTTCGTCACATACTTACGATCTGATATTGTATGTGCAATTCAATGCCATCCAGGATGGCATTGTACTGTTCTTGCTCCCTTGCAGCGGCCAGCAATTTTCGTGCGGCTCCGAGATGCTCCTCATAAGCTTGGCTTGTGGTTGTGGACACAGCTTCAAAGAACGACATGATGATGGAGGTACCGAGCATAGAAAGCATGGACAAGTCTGGGTTCTGTGCTATGGTCTTTGCATGCAGAACAAGAGCACGTCCATAGTCAGAACGAGCTTTGGCCGTTGCCGACCAGTTTTGCTCTGCCTGGGCACAATATGCCAATGCGGTCGCTCGTAAAGCAAGGCTGAATGCCGGGGTGCCACTCTGCTCTGGTAATTTGTTGAGTGCGGACAGCCATGATATTGTGGTCAGACCTGTGCCGAACGAGGTACACGACAAGACAAAATGACCGACAAATGCTTCTGAGACGATCAACTCCGATGAAACCTGCTTGGGCAGACACTTCTTCGTACTCCAACATGCTTTGACAGCATATTTATTAGTGACAACTTGTGTCTGGTTGATGAATATTGGTCCCTTATGAGGTCCTGGGCATATCTGATTTGCTCGAAGACACTGTTGGCATTCTGGGAGGGTAAAATCACATTTTCGCCTTTTTTGGCGACATGTCTGACATGCACGGTTGCGCGGAGGCATCGGTGTTCATTCGAAGCTCGGCTAACTCCGTTGGGTCGGATAGCGAGGATGGTTGGTAGTCGGAAGACTTGGAGGATCAGGTTCGCGCCATCAGCACAGTGGCCGGTCGGATCTTTGGGTGTCTGGTACTTTAGACAGGTTATGTTCAGGTCCCCGATGTCAGGTTTCAGTAGGAGCCGGGCAGTCAGCAACCATCGAAGAATATAAAGCTGCTAGCATTGTTTTGGAGCGGCTGTCGCTTGCATCCGCTGGGGCCAATGAAGTAATCGAACGTAGACGGCGAACGGGGGAAACCCATGTTGCTATATACAAATGTATATACCCAGCATCGTCTCTCCTGCTCTTATGCCCGCATCAACGAGTTGCCTTTCCTTTCTCTCTCGCCATCAGCCTTAAGAGACAACAATGTGAACGAGTGCCTGACATAGATCCTAAGAGGAACAGAGATGAACTTGAAAGGCTTGTACGAGGTCTTCGCTGGAGAGTAGTTGGTCATGAAATGATTTTGCGCAGATTGAATCAAAGGCTGAGCAATGCCCAGGACGCGTGATTCTCATCCCGCGTCGCCGAGTTTGAATAGAACAGATTAGCCCATGTCACTTCCAAGGACTGTTCGGTAGACGGTTCCTGGTGGTCTATAGGAATGCGAGGGACATGGGGCGAAGTGGTTGGCTTCGTTGTAGAGAGAGGAGGCATTTCCGCTGCAAGAGAGTCAGCTTTCATGGACGAGGTTGATCTTTACTCCTTTGCGTCATGGTGGAAGTTCTTCATTCATTCATAGATTGGTAGGGAACGATGCAGAGAGGGTAGTAATCCGTGCTATGTTTGTCATTGAATGCGTGTCTCAAATGATGATTCGCAGTGGACTTTTGTTGCGTCAGCCTCGCGTGGGAGGCATGGAAAAAATGGGCCGGAAAGAACAAGTTCCAGGTGCCCGAGCCCGGGTCTAGGGGATCAAATTTCGGGCCCGCCAGGCTCTTCATGGCGATTCGTTCGGGGAGGACGATGCTGCTCCAGGGGCGCTTTTTCTAGGGCATCATCCCCGGGAGCCTTAAGGGCTGGGCGATGCCCGTAACGAGCAGCTCCCAGCTTAAGGTTCGGGCCCTAGCCTCGTCAGGCAAGTCCATGACACGTGCCTCGAAAACCGACAGGAATCTCGACATGAAATTCCCTCAAGCACCCGAAATTCGCCATCAGCTTCGTCTGCACCACGGCTCCATCCCTCACTCCGCTGCATCTTTGGTTGGCGAAGGGGAGCTTCTGAAGCTCCTACCTCTCCCTGCGAGCGGCCTCGACTAACTGGATTTGTCTGCCATTCACCTGACTCGACTTGGGGCCAGCCTGGCGATTCGTTACCCTAGGATTGCTTCCATCCTGCTCCGCCAGGCACGACTTTTACGAGTACGAATTGAAGCCTGCCTGGGCGAACTGGATATTTCTACCATTTCTTACAACACCTGCTTCTTCCCCTACCCATCCTCGATTGACACGCGACCATCACTAGACACTCCACTCCGAGTGTCTTGACATTCTCTTCCATCATTCCACCTTCTGTGTTCAGCGCGTTCATTGACGGCTTTCGAGTCGTCAAATGAACCTGCCTATTTCGCCTCCATTCCTCTTCCAGACGTTGCTCTTCAATAGGAAGAGAGCCTCCTTCTCCTAAATGCCTTTCAAGCCCTTCGCACATCTTGCCCGTGTCAGTGTTGCAAAGGGAATCGCCCATACTTATGCCCCGTCTGTTGTCGCTGCTGGCCAGTCACTCGGACAATTCCAAAATTACCCAGTCACCAAATTTGCAAAGACTGCACAACTCCAAAATGCCTTCTCAAGTCCATCGGGTTCTGGCGCAGGCGCGAAGGCCGGTTATAATAGTCAATCGGGCGGTGGTGACGCTGGGCTAGCCCAGTACTACGCAGCCTGGCAACATGCCCAACAGACTGGCGATGACTCGGATTGGAAAAAGCATGAGTTCGCGCGGAGAATAGGCTGGAAAAATCAAGAGAAGGCTGTACCTTCTTCAAAACACCACCGAGTCGAGTCTTACCGAGCTGTCGACCTTCTGCGGCCTTCTGCCCGCCTGACTGTCTCGCGCGTTAACAGTGAACGAGCCACTCCTAAGGTCCAAGACGCGGAGGAAGCTCTCGCGGAAGCCGACGCACTTGCAAAGGTAGATGAAGAAATTGCGAAGGAGATCGCGTCACGCCACATCGAAAACACTGCTACTTACGATGAAGCGGTCGGCAGCCCTGTTGCGAGCACACGCGCACCGACCCCCTCCATTCAAGAAACTGGCGCAAGCGAACTTGAGTCATCCACCAGCCTCGAACACACATCGCCGCCTACCGACATCACCTCACTCGCATCAGAGGATTCTGCCCTCTCCGATCAGATCGTCCAGCTCGGCTCCCAACACCGATATAGCGAAATTCCTGCTTTGTTCGAAGCTATCGTCAGAGATGGCCATGTTCCGACTGTGGAGGCTTATAATCATATCTTGGTCTCCGCCATTAATCTGAGTCAGGGCTACCAGCCATGGCCCAGAGCTCTCGAGGTGTACGGGGACATGGCGAAGCGAGCCGTCGAACTCAATGCAACATCATACGTGATCCTCCTCCGCTTTTTGGCAGCTAGGAGCCTCGAGGCATACCAAGTGCAGAAGAACCTTGGTGAACGAGCCACACGATACGGTAGTGAGGGCTCTTTGGTCTTCCCTTCTGCCACCAGACAACATCAACTTTACGCCGCTGACACATCGCTTGCATTTGCTACTAAGCTGTACAACATTGCTCGAGCTACTCTCGAAGATTTCCCACTCTCGGCCACAGTGTACAATGCGCTAGTCAAGGCGTGTGCTCAGTCCGGTATGGTTGAGCATATGAATTCGCTTTTGGCTGATATGAATGCCCAAAACATTCCTTTGGCGCCACAGCTGTATACCACGGTTATCGATGCACAAGCTTCCACGCAGGACATCCACGCAGCACAAGGTCTATACGAGGAGTACCGCGATCTCGCTATCAGCAGAGCCGCCAATGACCCCCTTGATCTGAAGGTGTATGCTTCTCTGATCAAGGCTTACTATGCTTGCGGGCTTGCTGAGACTGGCTTGCGTTTCTATGAGAAGATCCTTCAATCCTTTCAGGGTTCGACAAACGAGCAAGCTTTGTCAGATAGCTTGACAAGTTCGTTCGTGCTGGACGGTCTTGTTCAGCATCACATTGAAAACGAAGCCTACTCCACAGCGATCTCATGCCTTGATGACTTCACCCTTCTACCCGTTGTGCGAGACGAGGCGCTATCGAGGATCTCCACCGCTGCAGCTGATGCTGGAAATGCCGACGAAGCTGTCCGATCCTTTGATGCCATCAATCCAGCGAACTTGAAGGCCGAGCCCGTCATGGCGGTTGCTGCTTTGCATATTCGAAACGGCGAAATCAAGAAAGCCAAGTCGACCTGGAATAACGCTCGCTCTCTACCGATTGTTCCAAGCACTGACTTCGCAGCAATGTACACCTTGGCATTGATTCATTCTGGTTCCGTTGAAGAAGGTGTGGCTGAAGCCCGATCGATGTTTCAACGCATCCGTTCCTCAGCTGGCACTGAAGCAAGCCGTCAACTCGCTGTAGCGGAAATTGACGAAGCAATCATCCTCTTCGGTGAAGCCTTGTCGAAGCAACAGGCTGTAGTCTCTGCAACAACAAGCATCACCTTGTTGCGGACTATGATCGAAAACGGCGGCCTCGTCTCTCCAGTTGCTCAGCACGCAATCGCAAGCTTGGGACCAGAATGTATCCATCAACTTAACGCTCAGGACATCGCTTTGGCTCTTCATGTTCAGGCTCAAATGCTCATGTATCAAGAAGTTGTGGACGCCGCTCATCCGGCCAGATTCTCCCATCTTCTCGAGACCGTGCTCAACCGCGGCATTCTCATGGATCCATCGACAGTTCACGTGGTGAGCGAAAGCTTACACAAAATTGGCTCTGCTCGACCTGATCTCCTGCAACGTTGGCATGAGCTTCTTCACCCTGCTCCTCCCACCCCAGTGACATTGCCGCAGTCACCCTTGTCCCCACACCAGGCGCTTCTTGACGTGTCGACCAACGACACTTATGATCCCTACGCTCACACCACCGACTATCGTGCCTCCAAGGCGATATCCGAATTGGTCGAGAGTACCACGGGCCGCATTGAAAATCATCTCAATGATGGCCTTTCCCGGTTGAGAAATGTTCGTCGAGCGGGCAGAAATCTACATTATTCCGCGTACGCCAAGCTGATCACCGCAGCGGGTAAAGCCAAACAACCGAATTTGATCCAGGAAATCCTGAGTATGGCGCATTCCGATGTTCCGATGTCATTGCAGATCCCATCTGTTCGTGCTGGATGGGTTTCGATCTTGGACTCTATGATCGCGGCATGCTTGACTGTTGGAGATCGTCAACAAGCAAGCAAATTCCACCAAGACCTTCTGGATATGGGAGCGGCGCCTTCTGCAAATACCTTTGGCATTTATATCACCACCCTTGAAGGTACGTTCGACGAAGCGACCGAAGCTGTCAAGATCTTCCAACGTGCTTTATCCGAGGGAGTCGTTCCAAGCGTTTTCCTCTACAACGCCGTTATTGGCAAGCTTGGCAAAGCTCGACGAATTGACGACTGTCTCCGTTACTTTGGCGACATGGAAGGTCGCGGCATCCGTCCTTCGTCTGTCACATATGGTACACTGGTGAACGCTCTTTGCCGAACAAGTGAGGAGCGCTTTGCAGTTGACATGTTTGACGAGATGGAAGCGGCACCCAATTATCGTCCTCGACCAGCTCCATACAATTCCATCATCCAATACTTCCTCAATACGAAGCGGGATCGCAGCAAGGTCCTGCAGTACTACGAGCGGATGAAGTCCAAGAATATCAAACCTACCTCTCACACCTACAAGCTTCTTATTGAGTCTTACGCATCGCTGGAACCTGTGAACCTCGCTGCAGCCGAAGCTATCCTTTCCGAAATGAAACAATGCGGTGTTCAGCCCGAGGCAGTTCACTATGGGTCATTGATCCATGCTAAGGGGTGTGTTATGCACGACATGCCTGCTGCAAGAGCCGTTTTCGATTCCGTCTTGCAGGATGGGAACATTCGTCCGACCGACACACTGTATCAGAATTTGCTCGAATCGATGGTCGCCAATCACGAAGTTGAGAAGACTGCCGAGATCCTGGCTGATATGGGTCGACGAGGGGTCTCTCTGACCCCGTATATTGCGAATACGCTCATTCATGGATGGGCTGGAGTCGGCCAGGTTGAAAAGGCCAAATCGATCTACGAGCAACTGGGCATGGATAAGCGTGAGCCCAGTACCTACGAGGCCATGACCCGAGCCTTCCTGTCCGCCGAAGACCGCGCTAGTGCCAATGCGGTGGCGCAAGAGATGCTCAAGAAAGGGTATCCAGCGGCTGTTGCTGACAAAGTGCTTGCACTGGTGGGTGGCATTACGGCCTAAAAGTCTCGTATCAAAATTCTGGGTCGAGAGTGGCGATGATCGCTTGCCTCGGCCGCTTCTTTTCCTTTGTTGATTGATAATGATACCCAAGAAACGAGCCACGACTACATGGTGGTTCTGTTCATCTCGGCGTTCGGGTTTTGTCTGTCGTATTAGCGACAGCGTTGTACATGGTGTTGTGTGGCTGGTGCATATGGAGCATGTTCAGCATGCTCTGCTTACCTTCTCGCCGAGGCGCCGGGAGGAGCTTCTTGGGGCGGTGTTTGAGAGGAAACGGAACATTGGGCTGACCATGTACAACAGAAGACCAAGAATAATCTCTACTCGCTACTCTGATAGATGATCTAGACAGCCGAGGTTTTGTCTAGATCCGATGTGCAGTCCTCCAGACTGGAGTTGACATGCTGATTACCGGCAAGAGCTGGTAAGAGGGAGGCTGGCGAAGAATCCAACTCTCTATATTGAAACCTCTACGATGATCCAGTTTGTGTCCATCTGATATAATTCGTTTGAGGTCTGGGCAATCGTGATACGGCGTTCGTCCATCCTCGGACTGTGGGTCCCCATCCTCATGGGCTCAGTCTCTCGATCTTCCATTTTTGCTCGCCGCTTTGGCCCAGGTCTCCTTGTATCCGTGTGTACAAAAACCGGTCATGTAGTCTACTTTCCCGCCCTTGCCAGAACTCGATCATGTCCGGAATGATCCTCAGTCCACCCCAGAAGGGCGGTACGGGGATGTGTTCCTGCCCTTCGAACCGAGCTTCGACTTCCCTGACACGTTCTTCGAGGGCAGCCCGGCCGTCATCTTCCTCTCCATCGCCTTCTGTTGTCGTTGATGATCGAGGCTCCAAGACACTGGTCTGCTGGCTAGCCCAGGCTCCGATCCTCGAGCCGCGGGCCCTCGTGTCGAAGTAGAGCTGACTCTCCTCAGCGCTGATCCTCTCCACCACGCCCTCGACCCTCACCTGCCTCTCGACGGGCTTCCACCAGAAGCAGAGACTCGCGTTCGCGTTGGTGGCGATGTCCCTAGACTTGCGCGACGTGCCGAAATTCGAGTAGATGACGAAGCCGCGCGAGTCAAGTTCCTTGAGGTAAACGATGCGGCTGGACACGCGGCCGCTCGGCAGCGAGGCCGTGGACAGATTGACGGTTTCGGGCACGGCGGCCTGGAGCAACGGGTCGGTGAACCAGGTGTGGAATTGGGTGAAGGGGTCTGGCGACAGGTCTGAGCGGCGGAGCTTGGAGTGGCCGAACTGTGCGGCGCGGGGCGGTTGGTCATGTTGTGGCCCTTGGGAAGGGTCTGAGGGAGGATGGCCAGGAGCGACTGGAGGGGTTGAAGGACATTAGAAGTGGTTTCACAGGTATGGTGGTTTGATTCGCACAGCGGATCAAGTAGATGCTGTGCATGTCGTGTCACGTTTCTCCTCCTCATGAAGATCTGCAGAGAAATAGGTGACTAGTACACCCTTTGTCCAACTTGGACCCAACTTCTCTTCGACTTCCTCATCATTGTTGGGAATATGGAGAAGCGGGAGCAGGACTTACATATCAGCTTGCCATCTGGAGGCTTGGAGGAGGTGCTTGCTGGCTTTGCTTGATGGAGCATTGGGAAGAATCCGGGTCGGGGAAGAGAAGGACGTGTTCTCAGGAGTTGCGATATCATGTAGAGAGATACCACATATGTATCTATATGATCATTTTACTTGAGAATGAAAAAACCAATGATCGCCATATACGGTTTGGTCGTAGAGGGTGGGCGAAGGTCAGTGAGGCCGCTTTAACCTGAGCGTCAACTGAGCACCAACCATTATTATTACTTGGCATCACTCAGCGCTTCTTGGGCAGTAGGCAAAGCTGGGCACTACCTACCATATAGGTACCTAGGTACCTATGGGCACCGCCCAATCGATACCTCCAGGGCCAAACCATGCCCCTCACTTTGTACGTACGTACCCTAAGCAATGGGCGACGCATGGCCCTCGGCTATCACTGGGCATCTATTTTAGACGAGCGCAGGCGAACCCGCAATTTGCCAAGGCTGTTGCCTGAAGTCCTGCCTCTCCTTGTACCTGATCAACGGTTTATCGCCACAGCGCGGTCATTCCATGACCCAGTGCCTCGACCTACAGGGCGGCACTGAGGTCGAGGCTGAGCAAAACGCTGCAGATTTGCTTCGCCCTGCCGTGTCACGCACTGGCCAATGAAGCTTAGAATGAGGACTATCGTCAACATCCTAGCAAAGGGGCCAAAAATGGCTCCAGCCTACCTGGGCGGCCCGTTGCGAGGACAGACGACAATCTGTGACTTTCACTGACATACACTTCGCGCATTCCTGGCCCAAGCATCGCCAAAATGGGCATCTATCGTCGGGTGTCTCACACAACCCGTGGCCATCCAGCAATGGAGACTGTGCAGGTAGGTGGAAATATCTCTCCAGGCAATCGTTCAATCACAAATATATCTTGTGGCCTGGTTGCACAGTGGCTAGCTCTGTTTAGCCTCAGGCAGAAACTGGTCACTGACGAGGCTTGCAGGGGCCAAAAGGCAAGACAACACCATGCAGCCGATGTGCCACTACGCAAACTCGATGTAGTCGCAAGTCCAGCCTTGGCCAACCTTGGGTGCTTGTCGACCTTGGAGTGTCGGCCGCTCATAAAGGTAGTCCAGCGTTCTTCTCGGTCGGCTCTTCCTCACTCCAACATTGGTTCACATCGTATCCGTGAGCTCTCGCCCGTCAACGACCCTCTCGATGCCTTCCCCGGCGAATTACCACTCACTCCAATACCCTGACGACAACCCTGGTGAGGAGCAGTCTGAGGATCGGGATCGCGCGTTATGGCTCGTGGCTGAAAGGGAGTTTGGCAATGGACAAAACGGCGGGAGCATTCATCGCATTGACTGCCGGACCCCAACATCGGTCCCTCCCAGCCCTGTCTCTCCACTTTCGGAGCATGGCAGCGCCATGTTCAGGCCAGCCTCTTCAGAGGATGAGTCTCGACCTTCATCTGTCGACATCGTCGAAAAGAAGTTGCAGAACTCTGCGCCAAGGCGATCTGGATGGTGGTCAAGATTGGTGTCAGACTCGTGGATAATCGAGCTTGTTGCCAGCTTTGTCAGCTTTGCTGCCATTGCTAGCATCATCGGCGTCCTCTGGGGCTATGACCAGAAGCCTGTACCTCCATTGATGAAGGGGATCACGGTCCGTCCATCTCTGATCTGTTGGAACAAGAACCTGGGACAGCTGACACTTATTTCACAGTTAAATGCCGTCATCTCCTTTCTTGCCACTATCTCGAGAACAGCGATCATGCTTTGCGTCGGCACCGTTATTTCCCAAGGAAAATGGCTTTGGTTCAAAAAGGAGCGGTCTCTGATGGATTTGCAAAACATCGAAGACGCAAGCAGAGGGCCGCTCGGATCGATACTCATGCTCTTCAGGTTCAAAGGCGGGTGAGTAAGGGTATGCTACCTTTGAGAGGTCTTCACTGACACGCCTAGCGCCCTGCCATACCTCGCCGCATTCTTGACAGTAGCTGCCTTGGGCTTCGATTCATTTGTGCAACAGCTACTGACCACCGAAAATCGCACAGTACCTGTGCCAGGTAACGGGATTAGTATTAATTCGTCGACGTCGATGACCACAGACATCTATCTGGCAATGGGCTATCCGGAAACATTGGCGCAGTTGACGGCGGCAATGCTTGCAAACGTGCAACAGGAAGATCAGCCCATGGACATTATGGCTGCGTCGACTGTGGGGCGCCATGCAATGAAAAAGAGATCTGAGGCTACGACACAGACGCTGGCATTGCCTCTCAAAGCAGACTGCCCCAGTGGCAATTGCGTCTGGCAGCCTTACTACACTCTTGATATTTGTACGCAGTGCCGGCCAACTACGAAAGAACTGACCATCAAGAACTTGTCGCCCCAAAGCTCGGATTTGACGAAAATTGTTTCTGCTGCGCGAAGTGGGAATATTTCCGGTGCCGACCAACAGACATCTAGCTTCACGTGGGAGATCATACCAAAATTTGGGCAAACGTGGAAAGTCACCTCTAACCTGAGTGCATTCGTCGATGAAAATGACATGAATGGCAACGCCCAGGGGCTTGAGGTTTATGTTTCGATAACGCAGAAGGTAGTCTGGCCCCTCAATTTCGCTAGTTCAGACGGCCTACTTCTGGATCCCCGTGGCTGGACAAAGCAACCCTTTGCTGGTATCAACGAGCCAGTGGCAGCCATAGGTTTTGCCGAGTTCGACGTCGACGACAATGGGGTGCCGGCTTTGAACAACTCACTGGAATGTGCCATGACATATTGCGTCCGAGAGTACAGCACATCCGTGGTTCAGGGCAACTTGGTCTTGGATGTGTTATCCACGCATTACGGGAAAGTTGACGGCGACCCGGATGCGGCCAGCGGCCTAAGCTGGTCAGCCGAAGTCAACGGAACGAGCTTTACAGCCGACGATTTCTTGACGTATGGAACGGGGATCGGGACTCTCACGGGGTATGTTTTGGGCAACAGTACGCATAGCTACAAGGGCAGTTGTCTGGCGAGCAGTAATTGGAGCTGCTCGGCACCCGTCACCTCGAACAGTGGAAGTGTGGAGGGTCTCAGCACCGAGGCATGGAAGGGCGTCGACCTAACGCCGAACTTCGCGGCGGTCGTGGAAGACGCAAATACCGTCATGAGTCAAATTGTGCAACAGTACGGCAATGTGTCGGTGATCGGCGACAACGCCGTGCTCAAAACATTCGTGGTGGTGCGGTGGGCGTGGATCACTCTGCCCGCAGCCATTGTTCTCTTCGGTGTCGGGTGCCTTGGGCTCACAGTGTGGGAAACCAGCAGAATGCAAGCACCAAGCTGGAAAGCGTCCTTACTACCACTCCTGTATCGATATGTCGACGTAGACGAGAGCAGTGCTGAGGGACGAAGCAATACCGCCGCGGCGGCAGGGCCTGTCACAGGCCAGCCGTCTCGTGAGCCGGACGACGGATTCACCTGCTCCAACCTCGTCAGTGAATTCCAGGCGGAGGCGGAGGCTACAGCCACTCGGTTCACCAGGCGAGCACCCAAGCTGCAGATTTGGCAGCTACAGTCACTGGAGATTATCCAGAAAGACCCGAAAACGTGGTGGCAGCGGCTTAAATGGGGGTGAAGCAACCACCGAGCCACTTTGAGCATTGCTACCTAGTCATATCAAGGTAATATGTATTATATAGCAGTATCGAGTCTTAGGAGCAGATGGAAGATACCTTCGCGGCATCGATGGAGTGAAATGACCGATCTGCCTCGTCATTTGATTCTGGATGCCAGTGCGCACGTGACCCTAGGCTGCCAAGGCTGGGGTCACGTGCTAGGCACCCTGACGCAACTGGCCCCGCCATGAATCGTTGCAATCCTCCTCCCCTTCTTCCTCTTTCCCCACCTTTTGCCCAGATCACGCACCCAACCTCACAGACCAAACCACCACACACTCACTCACTCACTCACCAGTGACAGGGCATCAAATCAGTCCTCTTGTTTCAGCTTGGTATTTCAGCCCGATATCCCAAAACCTCGAGCAAGACACATTGCAGCCTATCCCCCCCTTGTCTCACCACTCCCGATACCTGACTACCGTGTTTGGGCCTTGACCAGCTAGCTGTTCGGTCGTGGCGCAGCCCTGTTCCAATCCTTCCAATCCATCCAGATCCCGGCCCAGCTGGCCCTTTTCCCACGCAGTCAGGCACCTGCATCCGCCCTGCGTCGCTCCCCGAGGCGTCTCGCGCCCCCCGGTACTTTGGCTTCCCCTATCGCTGAGCCTGACCTCTGTCAAAGCGCCTAGCGCCTTATCACCTTATATCCCAGCCCCGTCTCTTCCTTCCTCTCTTCTTCCATATGCCACCCACACTCGAGAAGATCGATACCAACCCTCCCCCACCAGCATACAGATCGAAGACCGCCATGGTATGTTACTACGAAATCCTTGTTGCTGTGTCTCTGGGTCGAACCTTTCCCGCTTCGGGCTGCCGAAATTTGGAGGGGACACGTCAGTGCTAACTTTGGCACGCCTTACAGACTCCCGTCACCCACAAGCATTTGTCCGACGAAGAGGTCAAGGCGTTCAAGGACGTCTTTGCTCTGTTCGTAAGTAACTCCTTCCTGATTTGAAACAAGCGCATCCAAGCTCATTCTTCTGGTAGGACAAAGATGGAAGTGGTAAGGCCCCTCCAGCCTGATATTTACGCTCTTTTCCGCAAAGGAATCTCAGCCTTGTTGAGCAATCGTGTATTGGGGGATACTGGACGCCCACAACATTTGGCGAGGACCATGTTTGGCTAAAGGCTCTCAAGTCACCTCACACTGACATTGCCATGCTATAGGCACCATTACGGCGCAAGAACTCGGTGAAATCATGAAGTCTCTCGGCCAGAACCCGTCCGACTCAGAGTTGCAGGATATGGTAAGATCATACATGTCAGGGATTGCTTTTGAATCTGCATTAATGCGGCCATTTCAGATCAATGAGGTCGATGTTGATCGCTCCGGCAGCATAGATTTTGAAGGTAACTTCTCCCCACTCCCACTGTCTTCCTTCTGTTTCTCATTCTGCCCTATGTTGCATGCGGACTGGCCTGACAATAATTCTAGAATTCCTCAAAATGATGTCCACCACCGTCAAAGCACAAGACTTTGCCCATGAGACCCGCGCCGCATTCAACGTCTTCGACAAGGACGGCTCTGGTACCATCTCTGCCGACGAATTACGTCAGGTGATGAAATCCCTCGGGGAAAACCTGACCGATGAGGAGATCGACGAGATGATTCGCGAGGCGGACAAGGACAAGAATGGGACAATAGATTGTGCGTATCCCCAGTACTCCACTCTTTACCTCTGTCGTACCCTTTTGAGCTTTCCAAGTTCTCTTTTCTTCTCTCTAGCTAGTGAGCTGCCAGCTTGGATTGCGTCGAAATGACCAAGCCTCTGAAGCCGTTTAGTCAACGATCGATCGCTAATCCTTGACCCTGTGTCACAGATGAGGAATTCGTGCAGCTTCTGTCGCCTAAACCATAAAGGGGGGCTAGAAGAAAGCAGCTGGTCTTTCGCTTTGACGCTGCACAAGATATATCCGCTAATGGCGGGTATAATCCACGTGGCAACGATGATATCCCACGTATGACTGTTGAGACCGACACCCCTTCCCAGAACAACAACACAACAACACTACTGCACGCTCATGCCCTCATACCCCTTCAATGCAGCCCAGCGTATTCGAACACGACTTGTCACGCAGCGCTTCCCGGTCACTTTTGATTTATCCAAGATGGAGAGAGGAACGAGTTGGTGAGGCAAGCGGTGGAAAGGGTCTCTTACACCCGTTCTAGATGAACCTGCTCTCTTTGCTATGATGATAATGGAACCAAGGGGGGGTTGTCAAAGATAGCTCCAGAGACTCCCCAGTAGCTAGCTATGACGGACACGGAAACAGCATTTGAGCCTGCCAGTCCTTCCCCTCCCCGAGTTCTCAAAGCCTGCCACCGTTTCATGTGATCAATACTATCTTCTCTCTCGATTCGGCCCTCTCTCTCTCTCATTATGGCCCTAGTTTCGGCTCACGGACTACAACGAACCCCTTCGCTGGCTGAAAAGCGAGGAGAAAGTGGGAAAAAGCGTGGTGGGTGGGTAGGTAGGTAGGTAGGTAGGTCGGTAGGTGCTTCACCGGTCCCGAGACCGAATTTTGTGACCAAAAAAGCCCATTTTGCGATTTTTGTTACTTCAGGCCCCAAGGGACCCTATCACGGGTTATTTGTGTCTGTGTCTGTGTCTGTGTCTGTGTGTTTGTTTTTTTTCCACCGACATTCCGACCCAATACAAACAAATACACACCCTTGCAGACAAGGTCTGCCCCGCGCCCCCTTTCAAGTCCAATCGATCAAGCCCCCGGGACAGAAAGTATCACAACACCCTTGCTTGGTAGAGGGGAGAAATCCTTGCCTAGACTCCCAGAGAACCTGGAGCAGGATTCCCATGTCCCAGGCCCGGCATCTTGTTCGAACCGCCCCAAGAGTTTTTACGAGTAGGGTCCTGTCGCAGAGAAAGCTTCCAACCCCCCGGTTTCCGGAAAGCTCACATGAAATCAGAATCAGAAGGGAGTGGTTGACAAGGGTTTCATTCCTGTTCCAAGGCCACCTTCTGCCTTTTTTGACTTGCAGCCGCAAGCCTTTGTGCAATGAGACCCCCGAAGAAATACAGTAATAATTCAGATTGCAAGCCCTTTGTGTGAGTAGTGCCAGCATCCGGTGCACTGCCAGCGCTGGTGAAAGTGAGAAGAAAAAAGACGACAATTAATCCCTCTGTAAAAGAGAGTCGCCTTTATGTCTCAGGGCCTAGTGAGATGTGGCCTTGCAAAAGCCGCCGTAACCCAAATAATCCATCAATGTGCCTTCGATGCTTGTCTCGACCGTGGTCCACCTCTGTTTCGATAACCTTTGCTGCCAAAGGAGCCTGACGAACTGGGTGGGCCGCTTCCAAAGCGTTGCCTACCGCCATGGTGTGGCGCCGACGATCCTCGCATGGGCAACTCCTTTTTAATCGCTTTCGACAAACCAGGGAACTTTATCAGCGCAAATTGCGGGCCCGTCGAACGATGCCGCTCGAACCAGTTGTTGACCATAAAAGGGGCCACCGACGTAACCTCGGGAGAAGGAGCTCCTGTCCTGGAGGGGAAGAATGGCGGCATAGGCAACATGGGCGTCTCCAATGGAAACTTGATAGTCGGTAGTGAGCCAAGTTCTCTGTCCTCGAAAAGATCATCTTCACTCTCGACATCCTTCGTCGTGGCCGACGCATCGCCGGGCAATGTTGTTGGCCCGGCTTCAACAGGAAGCGAAACTGAGGCGGCAGGAACGAGCACGTGTTGAACGTCAAGAGGCTCTCTAGTCGACGACGCAACTGCAAGGGCTGTTCCAACTGGTTGAGCAGCTTCCCGCGCAGGGGAACTCTTCTTGCCCAGTAAGCCATTAAATCGTTCCTGCCACGAAGGATTCTGAACAATCGGAGTCGAGACACTTCGGAGCGTTGCCGGAGGAGGGGGTGGTGGCATCGAAACTCTTGCTGCCCAGGTCAGTGGGGTAGCCGGAGAAGTGTCGGGCAGGACGTGCACAGGGCTCGGCGGCGTGGGAGGCATAGCTGGTGGTAATTTGACCACAGGCTTTTGTGGGAAATGCACAACTGGCCTGGTGAAGTCTCCATCAAAAGCAGGGTGAAGACTGGCATATTCCTCAGCGGGAGGCGGCGATGGTGTTCTCGGCGGTTCGGGGTGACTGTAGGTGACTGCACGTCGATCATGAAGGGGATGTTGCGGTCCGATGGGTTGAGGGAAGAATCTCGAGCCACGACCAGGAGGTCCATTCATCATTCGTGGGCCAATCTCCGTCCCAGGCAACGACCCAACAGCACCAAAGACGCTGGAAGCAGGCACCGACGACTGCGAGACGCTCGAGATGGATCGCTGTGCTTGATCACCGACCTGGACCTGTTTCCAAGTCTCATTAAAAGTGTAAGCCGGGCCTTGCCGAACACCAGTCCGCAATTCTTCCTCACGCCTGGCCGCCATCTCCCGCTGCACCTTCTCATTTTCTGTACGTTCTTGCTGACTTGCAAGCGCATGGAAGTTGTTCCAGGCGTCAACACCGTTTGGTCTCTGCCCGTGAGGCATGCCATTCATGCCTGGATGAACTTGCTGGAGCTGAGGTGGGCCGATAGGCGCAGGCTTCGTCGTGGGAAACAGCGAGTCGGCCTCACTATCAACTGCTAGCGGGCCCTGATCTGGAGAGGTCACTGACTGATACGAGTAAGATCTGTTGTCTGCAAGGATGTGATTGACATGTTGAATCTGCGGCGAGCGGCCGGAGTGAGGCGTTCGACCATTCATCCAGCCTGCCGCCGTGGAAGATGTCCTTGACAGGTCTTGAGGCGAATATCCTGCCAGACTTTGGTCAAAGGTACCATTCCCAAGAGCCTTGTTGTTAGGCAGTCCCCAAAGGTTACCCGTTTGTGGTGCGCGATGATCATGGCGTACATCTCCCCATCCGCTTCTTGCATCACCTGCCACCGAACTTGGTTTAGGCAACTTGGGACTCGGCTCAGAAACGGAGGCTGGCTCTTGACCACTCGTTCGTCGCACATCCGGGACGGGCCTGACACCGTTTACAATCGGTGAAGGGACTTGTAACGTTTCCTGTTTGGCTTGATCAGCTGTGCTGCTTTCAACTTTCTCTCGAACGGGTAATCTCTGTGACTCTGATCCTCGGGGCATCGAATTGGCCATCTTTTTGACCGAATCCAAGGGATGCACTTTCATCATGCCATACTGTTGCGGCTCGCCAGAAGCAAGTGGCTGAGGTGGTTTCGGTGGGGAATGCGTAGTGGTCGTGGTCGTGCTCACAGTTGTAGCAGTGGGGTGCGCAGATGATGGAGACTGCTCATTGTCCTTCTTTGCATCATTTTCCTTGTCCTTTGCTGCTTCCTCCGACTTTTTAGCAAGCTTGGGATCGGGTCCGAGAGACGCCAGCTTCAGACGAATACGCTCTTGTTTCTCGGCCTCCAGGCGTTCCTCTTCTTCTATCTTTCGTTTCCTGGCCCGCTCAATGTTCTCTTTCATCAAAGCTCTTTGTTGAGCTCGTTGAGCTTCGATGTCCGCATCGGTTGCGGAGGTAGCACCGACAGACACGTAATCACCCGTACCACGAGCCTGGTACGTCGGAGTCTGGGTCGCAGAAAGCGGACCATCCCTCGAGATTGGCCGCATTGCAGATTCGGTATCGTGTCTTTGAGTGTCAACGATCGGCATAGGCAACTCTCCCGACTTTATGGACATTCGTCGGCCAAACTGCCCGCTACCTCCGGAAATAGTAGACGACGCTCTACGTCGAGCTTGATCAGTGCTTGTTCGATGTGTCTGAAACGCCGGTGAAGGTTCGGCGGGAGCATGCGCGTCGGTTTGGATTGGTCTCTGCAACACAGCAGGCGCCCGGAAACCTTGATCATTCCTTGACATCCGTCGTCGGGGTTCCGCCACGGCTTCATAACGACCAGACCCTGGCACGTACAATTCGCGTTGTTGACCCGGTAATGAATCCCGCCATGAGCGGTTAAAGTCATCCGCCGAGATCTCTTTGGCCGGCGACGGCGCTTTCACTGATGAAGGGCTTTGCGCATATGCATGGCTAGGCGGAAATCGGCTAGATGGCGGTATTGGCAGAGGATTGATCGCAACTGGAGAGATCTTGTCGACCGGTGGCAATTGAGCCCAAGGGGATTTCGATGGGGTGGGTGCCGGAGTCGCCTTGGTGATGATTGACGGCTTTTCAGCAGGTGTCTTGGCCTGAAGTGTCGCAGCCCTCTGTGCCAGTTGCCGTTCGGCACTTGCGCCCAGTTTAAGCACGGTCGCATTAGGACCGACAGAACTTGCGAATTGTGGTGCGGGGGCCTTCGAGGCATTGACGGGCTTCAATTGATCTCCAGGTTCAGAAGGCATCTCGGGTTTCTGTGAAGTTTGCGGAGCGACATCGGCATGAGTCAGTGTGCTCTTGGTGCCGTCGTTCCATTCAATCGTCTCTGGAGCCCAGTCATCTTCGTCGTCGTCAATGTCTGCCCATTTCGCCTCTTTCCCTTCACTGTCTGCTTGAATTCGCGAGGTCAAATGGATTCCGTATTGCTGCTTAAGCTCTTCATCGGTCAAGTGTTTCGTCGAAGGTTGTGGGGTAACTGTGACACGATCAATATCGGCTGATCGGAAAGCTGGCGGATAGGGCCATACCTCTGTTTTTGTTCCATACCTGCATGGGATCCGGGCTGGCGCTTTGGTAGGGTTTCGTCTTTGACTGTAAGGAGCTCGTGGTTTTTGCGACCAGTCGTGGACGTCCTGCCTGAGCGAGGGACGAGGTTGAGGAATGGGGAGTAGGGGCTGGGTTGCATGTTAATTTCCATCGGGTGGGAGCCACGGGCGCACGTACTTTTCTCATTGGCTTTTGTGGCGGCGCTCGCAGCAATTACCTTGGGCACCGAATACTTTGCGAAGCTGACAGGTTTGGCAGCGAATTTCTTCAAAGGCTTGGGCTCTGTAGGTTTGTCACCGGCGACACTCCCCTCGGCGCGGCTGGTATCTGTGTCGGAGCGAGCAGAACCATCCTCGAGTTCTTCCATTTTGAGACTTGACACTGTATGTATTCCATTCTCTTTTGGCGCAACCTCTGTTTCCACCACAACACTATCCCTACTAATATCGTCCCCAGACACTTTGATATCAGGTGTAGATGTGGTCGCAGGTGCGTCGGAGGGCGAGAGATCGCCCACCGACAGAGATTGGTTTACCACATCTTGTGCTCTCTGCTCTGCCATAACAAACTCGGATCTAGAGAGTGCACAAGAACGGTCAGGTTGCCTGGTTGGTATTGATTCGGTGGCGTGAGAGTACCTGTTACTGCGCGTAGTCTGCCACGGTTGCCAGCCTGTCGGTTTTTGCCCGATAACGCACGACGGCGCTTTGAGGTCGCGAAGGGAAATCGGTACGGGGTTCAGGGAGGAGAGGCGGAAGAAGTAATACAACACCTCAAAAGGGGGTACAAGGGTGTGGAAGAAGAAGAAATGGTGGTTGTTGAGTCAGTTGAGATAGGAGAGGCTGCGCCTTGAAGTTCGACGGGGCCCATCCATCGGGTTGCGGCAACCTCGCCTTGGCGGCTCAAGCAGAGTAATCTGCCGCTTTTAAGATCGCCAGTGTACCACTCACCCTCGCTCACCCTCTTTACACCTCTACTCACCCGCCTCCTCACCCTCCACGTCGCCCTCACCTGCGACGGTCCCAATTCGGCCTGCCGTTATGTCTCCGCGCCGAGCAGGAGATGTGGCTCGTTTCTAGGTCCCCAGGGCCATGGTTCTGCCCTTCCTTTCCTGCCGCTGAGGGCCCCTCCCCTTCCGTCCGATTTCCCCGTCCAGTTTGTTCTTCTGGAGCATTGGATAAAGCCCAAACCTAGCCTAGCCGGCCACCCGACTATCTGTGACATCCTCCGTCTCGAATCTTCCTTTATACCTGTAAATTCGCCCGTTCCAATTCCTGGCTTTTTATATCCTGGAAACATCGTCGATTTCCTCCTACGCCTCCTCGTCTCTTCCTCCCGATATGGGCGGACCAGAGACTACCCCAGATAAACTATGGGCTTAAACAGAGGTAAATGGATATGAAATAGGAGCGCACACAACTTAAGTTAATTAAGTCCGAGGAGGGCATAAGGATATCTTAAAGATGAAGAAGGATTACGACCGGACGCTGCACCGCTACATTCTGTAAGAGCGTATAAAACTTCTTGCCTGGCCTCCGAAGAGACGGTTGACCCTAACATTGTAGCCTAGCTGGCACCTTAAGTTGATGAGAGACGATCATGAGCGGAAAGGTCTCCCTCTTCTAGACGAAGACGCAAGCTCAAGAAAGGTAAGTTGAAGCGAGGTCGACCGTTGCTGCTGTCTACCTATCCCGAACTAAGCGCACTAAGTAGGTAACTAATATATAATTGACTCTCGTGCCGCTTCCAACTCCCCTTGTAGTTAATCTTAGTTATACTCGAACCCCTACCTTTAGAATACAGGAGTATTGCTTAACTAACACGCTGTTAAAAGTAACCGCGTACCTTTATTCTCAGGCGCCAGTATGCTATTACTACTCTCTGCTCTTCACTATCGTACAATCAGCTTTTGGAAGCTCGTCCCAGTGGCCAGAAGCTCCATCCTCGGGCATGGATACACAACTCTCAAAGAGACGAGCAAGTAAGATTTGCGTGAGCGTAGTCGAAGGCGTCCAGATACCCCATCAACTGGACCACAGCGGCGAGCACCACCAGGATGTGAAAGATCGAATGGGAGCCCCAGAGGTCGAATTTGCCAGGATATCGACTTTCGGGAAACCTAGTCTTGGAACCACATGTGTCAGGGTCAATTTCTTCTCTTGTGTGTGAAAATGGGAGACTTACCGCATAAAACGAAGTTCCAGATAGAAGGCAGCCTGCTTTTGCCAGAGTATAGGGAAAAGCTTTCTTCATCATCTGCGACATGCCGAACACATTGAGTCCATGGATCAAGGGCGCAACACCACACAAGCCAGTCGCCACGAACATCAACGCTCGGGAGAGGCGATACTTTGAGCCCTGGAACTTGGGATGCATTGTCATGAAGATGGTCAATGTCCCGAAAACTCCAATCTATCAAACGAAGAAAGAAGAGTGTTAGCCTCAAGTACCAGGTCTGAGATGAGGAAAGACAAAACTGTGCACATGGAGATTAACTAACCATAGCCCAGTAGATATTGCGTGGCAAAGGTTCACACCAGAAAACCACATATATCCCCAAGATAAGGTCCCCCAGTATAAAGGTCACTACACCCAGCATATCCAGTCGTAGGCAGAAATGTTCCACGTGTTGGGAGTGGTTCATCAAGGTATGGTATGTCGCCGACAACGATAGGCACGTGACAGCCGCCAACATAAAGATGGAGAAAGTAACGAAATCGGCGCCAGTGACCCCGGAGTATCTACTGGCAAGGTACTGCTGGATATACCACTCGCCGAGCAGGAAGAAGACGGCCGGGATGAGGTGGGAATAGATGTTGACCGACTCGTTATGGATATACGACCAACTGCTGAACGAAGCGTGAGCCGAGCCTGAGATGGGCCGATAGCCATGGAGAATCCACTGGTTGGATTCACGTCGGTACCATTCTGGCATCTCATCGAACGAGAGAAGAACTGGGCGTGCTGCCTTGCCGGGCTTGGATGCGGTGTCGCTGATGGATCCCATGCCCCCTTTTTTATGTGCCTCTGGCGGCTGCGGGGGCGAAACGCGAAGACGGGGAGCGGATGCCATTTGCTGTCGTGCCTGATGATAATGTAATGTGGGAGGGCCGAATTTCGAGAATAAATGGAAATGTAAGATGAAGAAAGAGGTTTCCGTCTTGCTTTGTTTCGTGCACTGCTATCCTTTGTACTACTCAGTTGTTTTCAAGTCAAAGTCACCTTCTTCTGCTCCTTCGATCATGGCGCTCGGTCCCAAGGAAAGCACGGTATGTGAGCCTGAATCTTGAAGCCATGTCCTTTGTCCTTTGTCCGACATCCGATTTCATATATCCACCACCAACGGGCCCGCTATGTCTTGGGTCTATAATCCGCTCCACATCAGCACCGCAATACCCTCTGAGCAGAGCGAGCGTTGTTGCCGTGGCCGATGCCTTCCCACCTGTCGTGGAGACCAACTGGAAGAAGACTAGGACGAATGATGATGCGACGGAGTCTAATCGCGAGTCGGAATTTGTGTTTGCGTTCCGCGTGAAGAGGCTCAAGTTTGGGCGGAGACTGAAGCTTGAAGAGTACAATAAGGGCGCCTTTATGACCGTCGGCGGGAAGAAAGATGACGACGAATGTGTTTTGGTTTAAGATGTAGATGGAGCTGAGATCAAGACTGCTGAGGCTATTCCCGATGTGACCGAGAACGGCAAAGTCGTCTATTGCGTTCCCGCTTCATGCTAAGCGAATCTTAGACTACAACTGAGATAGACATCAGTGAACTATGTGTGATTAGAGGTTGAGTAAACCATTCCTAGACTTCTACTAGTACTTGTACATGTTCCCTTTGATATCCTTGATCCTCCCGTAAACATCCTCTCTTGTCGGACCGCTATCGAAGAGCACATGAGGCGTGATGTAGTCGTAGCCGACCCCCTGCCTCCGTCTGACCATACTCTTGAAGACCGCATCCGCGGAATTGTCTCTTTTTCAGCCACAGTCCCAGCCTTTCACTTTCTACAGCGATGTGCTGATCCTGCTGCAGGAAAGAAGACAGGACCGACGCGGCCAGGCCAGCAGCGATCGGTGTTGCGACCGATGTTCCCGACATGGCGTTGACAGTCTGATCATGTCCGTTCATGCCAGCGGCCCAGTGAGAAGAGACATGCTCCCCAAGTAGACTGAAGTTGGCGTCCGTTTCGCTTGCTGTAGGGTTGAAACTGGAGGGATTGCCATTTCCATCGGTTGAGCGTATACAAGAGGCGCCGGGATATTGAGCTGGAAAGCTCTGCCAAGATTTGCTCCATCATTCGATGCTGCCGCGAACAACAACGTCCGCTTGGTCAGTGCATTAGATATAGCTGTGCTCATGAACTCGTGACATTCACGAAATGACCACTTTCGGCTCGCGCGAGTCAGGGTGAGCAGGGGTTGAGCATAGGGCGGCATCTCCCTGCGCCGAATCCAGGTGAGCCACCCGCAGATTTCCCATACCTTGGCGCTCGACCTGTAAAGCAGCCGCAAGTCCCCATCAACACCTTTTGGCATCGGACTCGAAAGACAATTCATGCTCAAGTCACGTATACTATCGTATGATTACATCTCCGAGCACGCAGTAGGAACTTCGATTATGGTGTTTGGGAAATGCGATGAAGACACAGACAGCCTCCGTTATTCTCTATGTTTCGCCGATTGCGAGGCGGACGCGAATGGTGTCATCCGTACCCTTCAACACCGCGGACTGTCGCTGTTCTCACATAGAGTCATTGGTGCAAAAGTGAAGATAAGAGAAGCCACTTGTAGGGAAAGAACCCTGGAAGCAGATGGGTCTTGATAATGCGCCTTTCCGCGAATTTAACAGGTTTATTTCGGCGTTATGTACAATGTCGATGACCTTTGACCTCCGTCCTTTCAATGCATTTGATCAGTGGGCATTGTTTTTGTGGTGCCCTACGCAAGCAAGTCAGTAAATAGTAGCTGCAATGCGATACGCTCATAGCTCGTACTTAGGTGGAAATAGTACTCCATGCTGTAACCCATTGCCATGATTCCGAAAATGACGTGCCAGATGGCTATTTCCACAGAATTAGCAATTCAGCGACTCTTTTCCAGCATTATACTGTGCGCGAGATACGTACGAGCTGCTGATGGGTTCTTGCCAAAATATTTCGCTTGATACCATCCCAGCGGTCCACCGGGTGCCCGTGCTGGTGCAGATCCTTTTGGTAGCTTTTCGTAGAATTTTGCTATCCTGGCCATTCGAACGGCATTTTTGGCAGCTCCGATACCCTGCAACTGTCTGTCAGGCCTTGTTCATCCACAGTGATTGTTCCGCGAGTGGTGTCAAGAGTCTCAGGTATCGAGGACGTGGGGTGCTACCCCATCGCTTCACGCGCAGGAAAGGCTCGGCAGGACGATTTCAAGCAGTCGACGTCGGGCTTACCTCTGGGTTGGCAACCTATACAATCCGAGTCAGCGAAAGCAGGGTAGCGATAGCAAGTCGAGGTTTTACCTTCGGGGGAACAAGGGTCGACACGGCTCGGCGGATGACGAACGACATTTCGAGCTATTCGGTTATCTGTCAGGATTGTGGACGCCAGATATTCGTCGACAGACAGCTTACATGAGTCTCAAAAGCCTCCGATAGTGTTGTAGAAGAGTAATGAAGCTGTTGAACTGATTGATCCAGAGACTGGAAGCTCCTTCATCAGGATCAATGCAGCCGATGCGCAGCCAAGACACTGTCTTTGGCAACTTAGCCGGACATTTAACGAGACCTGCTGATTGGCCAATTCCTGCCAGCAAAGATTACGCCTCTACTGCTTATTCTGGTCGCAGCCTTCAAAGCACTTTTGTGTACCAAAACAATCCCTCCCAGTACAAATATCCGAGCCATTCTGCTGATTTCCATGGAAATTGCCGTCGAGCAACTCTTTGTCTTGTGATGATATCCCCAGCCATCTTTACGGTGCCCAAAGTTGATGCTGTTGTCCGTACCAGTCTCCGTCTCTCCCTCCTGTCCTTCCAATGTCTGAACGGCTTGAGTACTCAGGGTATCCTGCCCGAGTCTCAATGTCCTGGCAATGTGGTGGCCGACGACTGCTGTGTAGCGTGGTGATATCCCCGCCAAAACTGCTCTGATTCAACATCCCTCTGGTATCTAGAATACCGTTGACCCGTGTCTGACTTGGAAGGCTTGTCTTGCGCGCAGGAACGGGCGGCGGAATTAATCTTGCAGGAGATGCAAGTGCTTCGCCGTTGACTGGGCCACTTCGTTGAGATGGGAGCGTACTGGAGATCTGATCCGTACCAGTCCTTGGAGGGAACAGTCTCGGGAAGAAATGTTGAAGGGGGGTCCGCACCATGGGGAGATTGGCACAGATGACGCCGAGACCGGCCTCGATCGTGGTCCAAATTGTTGACACAAGAGACCCGGCGGTAATGTCGTCGCCATAAGCCGAAGAGTACAACGTTGTCAATCTCGAAATTGATGCAGCGCAAACAATCATACCCAACCCGAAAATACAAGTCAGAGCCAATTTCTGCCGCATCGGCAACCTGAGCTTGAATATCACGGGCGGCACCATCAAAACAATAACGAAATCGGTCAGAATGTTGTAGATGGCGTTGCTATACCACAAGGCATAGATGTCGACACAACTGCCATCGGTTCTCCATCGCTCCCATGCCCGTGGGATTGGATGACACTGAAGAATCGTTGCGAGGGTAAAAGAGACGCAAGCACCAAGCACAAAGGTGACCAGTCCCCAGCATGTTCGAACAAACCAGAGGCGATCGGTGAAGATGCGGAGATATAGGAAGAGCATCGACAGTTTGGTGCAGTTGATGGTAAGCTTATAGAATATTTGCAGCAGGAAGAAACACTACCATGGCAATGTCAGTATCGTTTGCCGGGCTCTGCAGAGTGCTTTCCTACCTTCAGGGCTTGTGCAGCTTGATCTCTATTGATGAGGTCAAAGGGCCTGCCATATCCATAGTTCACAGCAGCGATGGAAGCACCGCATTGAACAACGAGGAATATCTGCAAAGTGATGAGACCAGGCTAACTATGTCTTGAACATAGCGCTTACCAAAGCCATGATGGTCGACACATCGTCTAGGCCGAGTCTGCCCAGCATCCTGATGCGCCAATATATCCTATTTGCCACGAGGACGAAGGCCAAAATGGGTGCAATGATTGATGGGACGACTAAATGAGCTCCCCGTCCACCTAGGCCAAGGGCCATGGAATGACAATCTGGGCACGGGTCTGCGGACATGTTGCTGCAGTGGGAATGTTGGCGTTGAGCTAAGCCAACCTTTGGAACAATGGCAGTCGAGGCAGACTAAGTCGATCGCGGTCTTGTGCTGCCGATATAAATACTGTTTTCGAGGCAATCTGGACAGTCACCAGGGCACATCCGGGAGAGACACGGCAGAGCCGTCGCGGAAACTGAGTAGAGCCGGGCTAGAGAAGGGATGTGATCAAGCAGCAATCAAAATCAGGATACTGAAGTATCTGATCAACGATGAAATGGTGCCAGTATGCGTCAGAAGAAACAGTCGCCTGGCAGAACAGTCCAGCCAGCCAGAGGCCCGAACGTTCGACTCGGCTCATTTGTAGCTGGCCGTCATTCTTCAGCCAATGCCCCCAGCCAATGGAGACATGAAGTTCGCTTGCAGGTGGTGTGGACTGTGTAAGATGCATGCGAGTTGGCTGCTCTACACGGACATGCCATGTGCTGCCACACCAAAGACGACGTGTGGGATTGGCGGTTACCTGCATCTGGAGCATTTAAAACTCTCAGATTCCATTCCATCCATCATCATAGACAGGACGTTCTGTAAAATGTTTGCAGGAAGACGGGTTAGAAATGGGACCTTCCTGTCGCTGCGTTGGGTCCGCAATGCTCCTTTCTGCTCGAAGTTTGCTCGGATCTTACCTCGCGAATGGTCCTGTTGTCCTTTTTTTACAGCTTTGTGAGGCACGAGACCAGAATGCGGTTGGTCTTCGACAGACGTATATGATGGACATCGACGACGACTGTAAATTGGGTCGTGAGGACTCGAGAATGAAAGGTGTCCCATGCAGGTTCCCGCAGGCTTTGTCGGACAGACACTCAGCCCGAGGTTGTCACTTTCAATCAGGGCCAGGCTGGCTTCAAAAAGGCCGAGCCTGGAGAAAATACAGAAAAGACAAAGCACACAGAAGTCAAAGGGCCAAGTTTATTTGATGCCGGTCCAGGTTCTTTCCAAGATTGACACGGGTTGAGGATCTCGGCTGCGAGTTGAGGCGGGAATCTCGACGTCACTTTTGAAACAATCCCAATCGCCAAAGCTGCAAAGCTGCAAAGGCGCTCCCGCACGATCATCTCGTATTGCGAATCCGTCCACCAAACAATCGATTCCTCCTAAATCAGAAGCAATCATGGGGAAGGGTGTCCAGGCTCCCCCCTTGCTCTCTGTACTTGAGGCGTCCCTTTGTCTCGTGCGCTACAGGGCAGTGGATCGAGTCCCTGGGGGGATGAGGAGGTTCTCTCGCCTTATAAGCCACCTGCCGGCTACAATGCTGGGACAAAATCACAGAGACTGAGCGGGAAGGAGATATTCTGAGTGGCGACGAGGTGATTATAGCTCCCCATCGCTCCTCTTTGCAACGTATGACATTTCAAATCTCGGGAGACCCTGTCCAACCTCATGTCTGTTTATTTCCACATCAAAATCTTTGCTCCATTTACAGAGGATCAGAGCACTGCTGTGCAGGGTCCCAACCATGACGACTAAACTCAGTGTCAGCCATTTCACGAGACTCCTTGCTCGTACTGCCGTGTTGCAAGTTCTGATCAGTACAGCCACACCATTCGACATTGCCAACATCAGCAATACTAGCTCGAACAATTGTGTTTGGGAGTTCAGCCCGGCTGTAGGTTCTCACCGCTTTTTGAAAGACTCTTGAGCTTGGGATATGTTTGGTTATCATGGTCTCTCTCCTACTTGCTCACAGGCTAACGACTATCGGCAGATTTGCGGCGAGGCTGTCAGTTATCAAGAGCTTGTTTATCCAACCACCACTGAGTGCATGCCTCTCGCCATTGGGATGAAGAATGTTTGGACCAACGAATGCTCCGACTGGTTTGGTAAGATCCACTGCGGCATTACCATCCTTTATCTGACACAGTGGAATCGTGCAGGAGCATGTACAATGTGGATACAGCCTGATTGCACCGGTGAATGGTCGTTGAGGATCGATGATCCAGCTAATACTCATCTGGGAACTTGCTTTTCGGAGTATTACTACATCATGGCGGTCTCCTGTGAGCCGGCGTGAGAGATTCACACCACCTCGCACACTCTAAGGGCTCGGGGCTGGGACAGAACTCGCGTATGCCTCGACCTAGACCTGGGGTAGGAGATTACAAGTATAAGGGGAGGGGTGCTAATATGCTTCTGAGAGGACATAAAGAGACTCGGATACCGATCGGACTAGATAGATTGGCGACTCCATTTGGCTTTTGAAAGGGGTTTTCGACAAAGAATAATTATCATTGTTATCGTTCGAGAGTTGGACGAACTCGGCTGGCTCTTTGTCTTGCGTTCATTAGCAGGCTTTGGAGCGCGCACGGACCACCTCCACCATAACTCCTCGAAGCCAACGTCCTTGATTCCTCGCTTCACCTTATTCTCCTGGCATTGTGGGCGAAACTGTCACTGCTCAACAAGGTGATCTATCGAGGCCTCTTCCTGTCCGCGTCGTTCTAGATTTACAAGGCTATCAGTCTTGGGCAATCTTTGAAGAGCAGTCAACCTCGCACTGCCCCCCAAGACAGCCCGTGCGTGGCGAAATCGGGTAATACGAGCATGTTAAGAACTGTAGACCTCGCATTCTCGGGATTCCACTCCAGCTAATGCATCACTGATCGCAAACCAATCTCTTGTGTTTTTCCGCGAGACCTTGGGCGGCTTGATAGTCTTTACGTTGTGCCCTCAGCAAGGCTACGATGTTGTTCAGCCTTGTGCCCACCCAACTCACACAGAGAGATTTCACCTTTATCATGTTGCTTTGCCTAATATCTGTCACACAAAGGCCCCCTTACCTCGACGAGGGCGAAATCGAGTTCGAATCCGACGACTACCTGGTATTTATCCAGGTCCCTGTTAGGGTCGAACTGGCACCCGCACCAGTTGACAGCAGGACCTTGATTTGAGCCTCTCTCTGGTCACAATAAATAGTCTAGGGGCTGTCAGGTCAAACTAACATCGGGTTAGAAGGCAGCAGGCCTCCCCTTCTGCCCCCTCTCCCACTTCTCCCCCTTCACCTGCTCCGGAAAAACCAACCCGAAAGGGCGAGTTTTGCTTATCACGCTGCATCTCAACTCAGAGTTGAGCTGCCTTGTGCTTAAGTTTTTGCCTTTGGCGGCTGATTCTACTGATGGGACAATGGAGATGAAAGATATACTACTTTTATCTTTTTTGCCTCTACTTTCCTTTGAAGACGATCGAATGAACAGGATGAGTTGGTGAAGAGTACCATTCATGCCTATGCCAGATCCACTGAACTAAGAAGCTGATGACACGCGCTCAACAAACAGATAGTGCTTTTCACTGTCAGCCTCCCCGTGACCCAAGTCAGCAGTTTGTCCATATGTCACTCGAGCGGGAAAACGGTGAAAGCCGAGAGACGAACGGAATGAATAAATCAGTATACATCCAAGAGAAAAGGAAAAAAGGTCCCCAGGAGATGCCAGACTCGAGGTTTCTCAAAGGCAGTTGCACTGTGCTGGGCTGCCTTATCATTCACTATCCGAGACACTCTTTTACATGGATGCAGGCAGTGCGGCTTGTTCAACTAATTGCAAGTGAACGCACTGCCTTGCTGGACAAGTGAAGCCTCTTGTTTATTGTATTCGTGGGCAGTTGGGCAGTGCGACGTGATGCGCCCCTTTGAATATTCCACCCCTCAGTCATATCACCTTCTCTCTAACTCCTCCACAGCTCGAAGACTTTGCCTCGATACCATCCAGATGTCCCTCTGACCACCGCTCAAGACAATCGACCCAAGTCCTTACAATGCGAAACTCAAAACACCGAGTCCCTAAGGAAGGCTTCTATGCCTTCTCCACCACTCCACCCTCTCCTGCAATGGTAACTAATAAGACTCCTAACTACACAGAAGACGTGTGCTAACATGGTATAGGAACAGCTACAAAGTCCTTGCGTTCCTCAAGACTTGTTGTTGTCCCTGGACTATATATATATGAGCTCCTCTCATTATCGTCCCGCCACCCTCCAGACTCAGAACAGCGAGCAAGACTTGCACTATCCACACAGATTTCGACCACTGCCTTCCCTACCGACACTGAACATTCATGCAAGAGCCTTTGTGCCCGGTGCACGCGAACATTCACCCGAAACAAGCCTGAACGTCCATGCTGCGGAATTTGTTCCAGGCTCGCGACACAACAACCCCAGCACAAGTCCGTCGGAAATGGGTGGTCTGGGAGCAGCATTCCCACCCACCGACCAACAATATCCTCACATCGACTCTCCCATGAAAGCCGAATATGAAGAGCAGGCTCGGGAGGGACGTGAGTCGGCAAGACGATTTTTCGTCCAGTACATGCACGACGCAGACAAAGGAATCCAGGACGAGGACGTGGAGGGCGACAGTTTCCGAGTAATCACAGACCCCCAGTCCGATTACCAGTGGTTCGAATGCGAGGAACTTCAGACCTTGAAGTGTGTCCACCACTTCAACGTTTTCGGTCGACCCGTCCTCACGAAATCGGGTACTGCTCCGGCGACCACGATCGCCATCTTGAAGTCAGCCCCAAAGCACCTCAATGTCACCACCCCCAACGGGCTTTGGAAGACCACCGTGATGGAATGTGCCCAGCAGCTGCTCGACCCTGTCTGCTACTACGGCGAGAGTGAGATTTTGGAATGCCTTCGCGGGTCCGAGCTGGAGAACGCCTGCATAGGACAGTGTGAGAAAATCTACAGCCAACACGGCTGGTGGGTCCATGACCACTATGGCCCTGAAGAATACCACATTGTGGCCGATCCTCTGGATCCATGGTCTTATCCCGACCCTGCCGAGACCATCATGATCAACGGAATCACCGAGAGCTTCGCACATCGGGTCGACATCATCACTGCCGCCACGCAGGAAAAAGAGGCAGAGGATGCAGCTCGCAAGGCTGCATTCAATGCCCGGCTCGCACAGGGCCGCAAGCCGTCGAGGCTAGGTCTCTCTTGTTTCACCTATGAAGATGTCGAGGAAGCATCGGTCTTTACACCTCACCGCTGGACTCCCTCGTCCTCTCTGCGTCACTCAGCTCCACGCCATGTCGGACGACCCACCACAATCGCTCTGCCAATGCAGGAACCTGGTCCGTCCAGCGAGATTGTCGTTCCTGGTCGATATACAACAGGAGGCTCGCTCTCACGTGAAGAGTGGAAGCGCCGTCTTGCTGCGATAGAAGATAGACCTGTTGCGGCTCGTTGGGCCGACGACGAAGAGGAAGGGGACGAGGAAAGCATTACTCCCCCTCTTCCACCATCAGCGGGTGCGCCCGAGGCCCACTCCCCTGCTGCCGTGTGTGAAGATGAAAACCAGCCGTCTGGCAACAATAAGCCAGCCATGGAACAAGAAGCTGAAGACACGGAGAATGTCCAAAACGGCGATGATCGCCGCGTGTCCTCCTCGTCGGTCTCTACAACCGTCGAGCATTCCCGGGCTTCAAGTGTTAGCCCGAGGAGCACCCCTGACACATCTCTACTGATATCTGACAATGAAGATGCCGAGTCAAAGGCCGCCACAGACGACGAGAGTGACAACTTCTGTGGTGGCGCAGAAAGTGCTCTTGGTGATCCACAACACTCTCAAGGCGAGGGCGCGGCGATCTCTGAGGTTGCTGGAATTGACGACATGTATTTTGGAGAAGAGCACCCAGCGACATATGGTCCTACTCTAGATGCTGAGACGGATGCAGATGACGAGGCTGGAGAAGAGCTTCCCACCTTTACCGTCCGCACGCAGGCCAGCAGTCTTCATACTCGTCTCGACGCCATCGAGGTAGTGATGCAAACAGCGACCACATCATCAAAATCACATATTCCTCCAGGTCCTGTGACTCCACCCCGGGTTGCTCGACGCATCCCTAGTCCCACCAGCTCGCTTTGTCCATCGTCTACTTCGACGTTAGTGGCAACCCCCGAGTCTCTGGCGCCTACGTTCATCGAATCTCCCAGCATCCCTACACCAACTCCTCGTTATCGCGGCCTCGACGCCAGGTCGAACCCCCCCGTTATTGTCTTGACACCAACCGGTCCTCTGCCAAGCGGACCCCAACCAGTTGTCCATCGGTTCCCGAATGGTGCTATCACCATGACTCTCCCTGGTCAGCAACTCGGTCTTGTACGGAGCCCTGAGATGCACTTCGATCGCCTGCCTGCAAGTTTCGGCAACGTACCAGTGGAACGTGCTCCGGTGCCTCCTACCAGGATCCTGTCGCAAGAGAACAGACCAGCTGTTAGGAGCGAAGACGTCCCTGAAGTCGTCGGACAAGATGCGGTGGATGCCTCTCAAAATGGCACAGCCTTGCCTCAGTCCCAGGCGACGGCCTCAAGGGCACTGATTCCATATCGAAGGCCTACACGGCTCGATACCTCCATGCTTCGTTACTTCCGAGCGTGGAACCGACTCCTTGTCATGGCAAGATCGAATGGTGAACACTTCTGGCAGGGTGTCCTTCGGAGGACTTGTATCGAAAACTACCTGGACGCACGTGCGTTAGAAAGAGCCGCTGTTATCGACGGGATAGAAGAAGAGGGGGTTGAGCACGGTGTGGCCTCAGTGCGTGCCATGTCTACTATTGTCAACGATGGACATGATACTGAAGAGGAGATCGTCGCCAACGTGGTAGACCCTAACACGGCGCAACCCCAAGTCGCCCATGTCGGTATTGGCGTGGTCGCCGGTGCCTCTCCAGAGGCCACTATGCGAGAGGAGCCTGGATCAAGCTCGGCACAAGTACCCTCTCCGCAGCCATTGCCGGTGTCCATTGGCCTTTCGGCAGCTTCACGCCCTCGACATGACCGTCACCGTGTCCGATTCGTCCTTTCTTCATCTTCATCAGCATCGAGGGCGACGGCCAGCCCCAATCCTCCACCGTTGGGGACCGTTCGCCACGTCCTGCGCGATGCCAGACCGGACCAGGTACACTCTACACTTGAGAAGTGGCCTGATTTTAACGGCGTGCACTGTCCTTGTATTGCCTCGCCACCATCTACATCGCCGCCGTCAATTACGTGGGCTCCCACCAGCGAGGTGTCGCGGTTCTCGTGGACGTCATCCGACGACTCGCCCGAGGGGGAGAGCCACGAAGAAACCAGCGCGGGAGAGAAAACAGGCGTCGACGCAGAAGACCTGGAGCGACTCCGTCCTGTCCCTCACCTGCCGGTATTCCAGCGCACACGCCAGGATTGCCGGCACGCCAGCTGGAAAGCCACGCAGAGGAGGAAGTTGACGAAGCGCCGCCGACCACCCGTTCAGGAGGCGCGGGGGACTTCCACCGCAATCGGCGTCGACATAACGTCGACTGCCACTGCCACGACGAGCGGTGCCCAGAGCACCTCCGTCGAATGCCCCAAGGCGGGGGTTGCGAGCAGCGGGAGTGCCACAATCAGCGCCTTCAAAAAGGCCAGCGCAAAGACCAAGAATCTCTGGAAGAAGACGGTGCAAAAGATCAAGGCGATCTGCAAGAAGAAGAATTGAGGAGGCGGACTCGGTGGCTGCCCGCTCCTACCCCGCGGCCAGAGCGATTCTCAGGAGTTTCATTCAAGTCGAACCGGCTTGAATCGCCAGCCTTCAGACAGAAACCTTCACTCCTGTTCGAAAGGCAAGGACAAATCAGAAAAGGGGGACAGGAAGGGAAACCCCAAGGAAAAAGCGTTTGACACGACGATATGAACGAAGCTGACGACGATAAATGCGATGTTCTGTACGACTATTACCACGACGACACGATGTGATACCACCGCCCCGAGGTCTTGACGACAGCGTTTCCACCAAGTTTCTTCTTGAAGGCGATAATGGATGACGGATTATGGATTTGTTTGGGCCGGTCTATTGACTTGTATTTGCTGCAATGGCTTTCGCCGAACGGAATATATCCAAACGACTGCATGCTCGGGTCGGGCAATGTTGCATGGGATTGGATATTCACGACATGCACTGGTTGGGAAAAAAGCAGATTCTCCAAGTGCTGGGTTCTGCCATGTCTGGTAATTACGGCGATCTGGGGTTAATAATAGGTTGTACAGGGCCTCCGGGATTGGGGCAACATCATAGCGATTCTTGTATGGAAACTTCGGACCACGAAAGCTTGTGGAATGTTGGAAGAACTTGTATGGAGAGGAAAGCCTGCAAGATGTGGAAGACGTGCTCAATGCAGTCCAGTTTTAATTGGAATGTATGGATGGAGCGAGATAGAAGATGTCGTTGGCAACGGCATCGACATGATACCCTTGTACAATAGGTATTCGCATTTGGTATAGGTAGCACCAAAATGCAAACTCAGAAAGAATGACACTCCACATTAGAGTCAACACCCGAAAGAGTCGCTGAGGCAGCTTGAGAATCTGGCTGACACGTACACGGATATGACGGTGTCGATGGTTGCGCCAGCATGTTCCTCAATACCACACAGATATTGGAGCAATCCCAAGTGCCAGCAAATGCGGTAATTGATCCCACGAGGGTCTTCACGAGTGACGCAGGACTCCGTGCTTCTACGCACATCATGGTTAGGATTGTCAGTCTTAATCGGCCACTTGCCACGTTCGCCAGCCGAAGTCTGCGAAGGTTGTCTAGAGACCTGTAGCTTTTCAACGCATCCGAAACTGCGGCAGCCAGTCCGTATTGGGACGGGATATTCTGGCTCTTGAGGCACGTTTCTTCTCTTTTCGGGATTGATGTGCAACCGGAGTATTGGAACGACCAAAGAAGTCCTTTGAGTTTGCTCCAAAGTATGGAGTACCTGCATTTCAGTTAAATCTAAGCACCTGCACCCTGACATCAGCGTGCAGCATGCAGTTGCATTAGGGTTCGAAGTGTATATCCAATGAATTTTTAAAGGTCCGCCCCCGGAAAAAGATCATCCATCAGTAGCTTTCTGGAGAAGGTTCGCAACGGTTGGGACGTTGACGCCATGTTTGAAGGAAGACCGAAGCCTGAAGTGGTGGACGAAAGGAAGCGTACACTGGTGGTAGGAGTGGACGATTAGTCGACCTCGTAGGAGGAATCGTTTGGGGGCGAGGATGTCTCCGATCTCCAAGAATGCTGATACAGGCGAGAGGGACAACAGAGTCTGGAGGGATGACTGGCCAGTAAAGCTGAATGGAGCCAACTGCCGGGGACTGGCACCATCTTTGTTCAACGTTGTGTGGATTTGATAACTCAAAGCCTGGCGTGAGTGGCTGCAACGCCATGCAATTTCCCCTCCACCAAGGAATCCACTGCATCACCAACACCATCGAATCTTGACTTCAGACCATCCTCAAACGAACTGCCCATTCTGCCGCAAGTCTGGCAAGGTTTCGGAGTCTCGGTTAGAGACTCAAGCAGGCGTTTTGCTGGCAACTGTACTGGCTGGAGGCGCAACAGAGGAGGGACAGAGGGGGTCGAGGTGATGCCCGCGGGTGGCTTGCCGAACCTACACAGCAGATGCTCCTTTCCGGCTCATAGCAGTCGTACTCCTCTCAAGCAGTTGTGCCTGCCCAACACTCAGAGAAAACGAGAAGATTGTTTTTGTTTCAAAGACAGAAGCGCAACCAGGGAGAAGTGGGAGGCATGAGACTGCAGGAGCAGAGGTCGAGATGAAGCGAGTCCCGCGAAATTGCAAAGTGAGAGGAACAGGGCAAGCGCTTCAATTAGCCGGGAGCCACCTGGAGCCACCTGGAGCCACCAGGGCCATGCAGCCCTTCAGGTGTGAGCTGGCGCGAGAGGCTGGTCCTGGTCCAGCTTTAGGGCCCTGGGCTTTACCTGGCCCGGCTAGCTGCCCCGGCTGTTGTCCTCGGTGTGCCGATCAACGAGAACGCTTTGGTGGCAGCGATCGCCCCGGCCACGCTGCACAACCCACCCGTCGCTGCGTGGCTAGGTGGTAGGCAAGTCCGTTAGCAGGTCGCAGTTGCACCAGTTGCATGTGCCCAACTACTGGCAAGTTGCGTGTTTTCGCCGTGGCAGGGACGCTGCTCTGCCGGGCTCTGCAGTAGCCGCTGGGCCCCAGGAGCCCTTGAGTCCCCAATCACGGCTGCGTGCTCTGCCAGTTCCTCCCGATCTCTTACCTCTTCCACACTCTCTCCATCTGCATCTTCTCACCTTGCTTTTGTTTTGCCTCCAATCCGCTCCCAGGGTCTCTCTTTATCCGGAGCTTTTTCGACAGACCTCTGACCAACAGTCGCTCGTTTCGCTGTCCTTCTCTTCTGCGTCATTCGACACTTTTGGAATACACGGCTTCTTTCAGTTGCAACGCTTTGTTGTCCCTCTTCCACCGCTCCACTCGTGACTCGAATCTGTCACGGCCTGTCAAAGCTCGACGGCCTCGCTTCCGGCTTCCAGCTTCCAGCTTCCAGCACCCTCGCCGAGCCTTCAGTTTTGTAGCCTGGCAGAGGGGGGCCCGATCGCGACAACAGCCAGAGCGCTTGTGGGAAGAATGATGAGTTCAGCATGAGCTGGAGCTCGAAAGAGGTGGTTACATTTTGGATATTCGCATTGGGAAGCTTCAGTTGCCCAATCCATTCACCCACGGTTGACGGACCATCTCCCCCAAGAGCATGAAGAAACCTCGTTCCTTGGGCGCATTGGCCCTTTTCGCTCCCGGTGTGTTTGCGCAGAGCTGCATATCGCTGGCTGGTTCGACGACGTGTCCTGCTTTCAACTCTTCTTCAATATCGACAGACCCTACTTTGGTTGCCTTATAGTGAGTGACCCTTGTTTTCTTCGGCCCCAGGATGAGAGGCCCTAACGCGATTCCAGTCCCTTCCTTGCTTTTGTCACGTCGACCGAGAGCTTCGATACCCAATTAAGTCAATATGTGGATGAGCAATATGTACAGACAAAATACGTCAATATCTTTGGTTGTGACAATGTCAATCTGGGTAACACATCCAGCTATTACGCCCGTTATACGACCAGCTTTCTCTGCAATGGCATCATCCAGAACTCAAGGACGCCCTGCGGTCTATCCACCGCCGACTCCGAACCGCTGTGCGCCGATTCCTGTGCCGAATTGGCGCTGAGCGAGGAACAAATCGTTTCGAGCGACCTATGCACGGGTCGCAACAACGACTATGCTGACGAACTCAGAGCTGACTTCACCAACTGTGCTTTGCCTGCCAATTCTATTAGTGGCAGCTGTATCACAGGGGAGTCGAACGAACCTGACAACTGTGGGTTCGGCGGCAATTTGATGGGTCTGTGTAGCTTCTGTCGCTCAAGCACCGTCAATGGGACAGACTCCTGCTGCTTGACTTCCAACGCCACCGGCCGATGCCAGGATGTTACGCTTCCTGTATTCTCCACCATTTCCAACCTCTTCTCCTCTACCACCAGCCCGACTTCTTCACCTACCTCGAGCCCAACCGCTGCCGCTAGCCATGGAGGCGGTGGTTTAAGTGGCGGAGCGATTGCTGGAATCGTTGTCGGCTCTGTGCTGGGATTTCTCCTCCTACTTGCCGTAATCATTCTGTGCTTCATATGTCTGCGTCGCAGACGCGGCGAAAGCAAAGCAGGCAGTGTTCTCAACCAACCGTCACCTCAAAGGAAGGGTGTGGTGTCTGCTTCATACAATCAACCCATGTCGCAGCAAGGATATGAGGTCTTGCCAGGCGGACGGGTCGCTCGCATGTCCGCACTGCAGGATGACCAACCAGGCGTTGGACCTACAGTCGGACCACGCAATTACACCTCTCATACAGACCCATACGGCGACAGTCCCGAATCGCGCGAAAAGGCGCTGGGGGCAGTTGGCGCGATGAAAGCTAACGGCTCTCCGGGCAGCGATTCACAACATGGATCATCTCCCGGCGACTTCTCATCCCCAGAAGGAGTTGCCAGTGGTCAATCAGAGCAGTTGCCGTTCTTCAAGGATTATTACTCTAACGACGATATTCATCCTGGAGATAAAGTCTCGGTGTTATGGGCATATCAACCTCGAGCAGGAGACGAGTTTGAACTGGAACGTGGTGACATGTTGAAAGTAGTCGGCATCTGGGATGACGGCTGGGCAACGGGAGTGCGGATCAATGACCGGGCGGAAGACTACGATGGCAAGCATAAGGTGCAGCGAGACAGCGGTGTGTCGAATGGTTCCACCACTCGAGAAGAATCTCCTACTCCGCCGGGCGAGATCAAGGCCTTCCCTCTGGTCTGTGTTTGCCTACCGGAAGCCTGGAAGAAGACGGTAGAAGGCGATACATCTACCGAAAGCGGCTCAGGCGGTGCTCCACCGATATAAGAAAATCGGCCCAGTGTCCAAATCATGCTGATTTTACGACGACATGCAGTTAGCAAGGGCGTTTTCGGGATGGTGGCTCACGGTCCGACGAAAACTACAGTACCCAATAATCCAGTAATATGTCACACAAAAAGCACACTTCCAGGAGTCGGCGTCGACTTGGATCGCAGAACAAGGCCTTGTCAGCAGCGCTTTTGCTCGGTACCGAGTTGGATCTTTGTTGGTTATGCGTTATCGATGTTGTTGTTGTTACCTTCTATGCCTTCAGTTGATACCCATTGTGTATAGCCCTCTACCAGCTTGGAGTACTTTATGCTCGATGCTCGATGTCCAGTGCTCAATGTTGACGTCGCATGGTGATGAGCAAGCGCGTTGGTCTAGTGAAAAGCTTTCTGGCGTCGTTGTGATTCCATATTCGGTGTGCTTGGTGAACGGGACGGGGAGGACCGCATTTGGGGGGGCTTGGAACCGAACCTACAGATGAGAGGAGACAGCATGAAAGCGACAACTCTATCGGACAGGCTTACTGGCAAAAGAAAAACAGCCTAGCCAGCACTCGAGGACTGAGGGATAGGGTAGGGTAGGGCAGAGTTCCAAGCACTCGGGCGGTCAGGAGTGAGCCATGAATACAGACAGATGAGAGAGAGAAAGAGCATTTATATCAAAAGACCTGCTGTGATTGGCATTTTGTCCTCTGATGTGATACCGGAGCAGGTCGTGAACTTGTGATTTGGGGGATTATTGATCGCATTGGTCCGTTGCCAGATATCATTCTCAACGGGTATTCATCGCCCTGCGTGTTCGTATGCCCTCGTGCCGTACGCCAGTCTGCCTGTCGTGCGCCCCCTAAATACATAATGAAGAGTGCTAACACAACACAACCCTCTGTGCTGTTGGTCCGTGTTCGTGGGATGCTGGAATTTCCCCGAACGCCTTTATCCGTCCCGTATTACCTCAATGCCAACCCATTATCCCCCAACCTGCCATGCCATGCCATGCCATGCTGAATCCCAAGGCCCCCCTTTCCCAAGAAACCCCAAAAAGGATGAACCACTAACGCCGGGTAGAGGCAGAAAAGTGAGGATCAAGATCCCAACGGATTCGGCCTCGAGAACCTGACGCCTCAGGACAGGACGCCTCCTCCTCCAAGAACGCCTTGCCTTCTTTCCCTTTAATCTCCCCTCCCATGTATCCTCGAAAAAAAGATCATCTGGTGGTATCGTAGACAGTGAAACAAACCCAATGCGTGGCGTGACTCTTCTCGTTCTCGTTCTTGAAACAAACAGGTTCCATTCAAGCAGCGACGATGACGCCGTTGCGACAGACCGTCCCGGGCGCGACGGGGCCCATCTCCACGAGTCCGCCCTGGTCGCACAGGTAAAACGCCCTGTCGCCGTTGCAGAACAGCGCGCCGTTGGGGGTGCACGGGCCGTCGTTTTCGCGGATGATTTGGCCGTTGACGCACGTCGTGCCGAGGGCCACGGAGCCCATGAAGATGTACGTCGTTCCGGTGTCGGTGCCGACGCACTGCGAGAAGCTAGAGGGGGTGTTGCACGCGAATGTCCCGGGGACGCAGGGGAGGGGGAGGGAGGTGGGAGAAGTGGTGGTGGTGGTGGTGGTGGTGCTGCTGGTGACGAGGCGTATTAAAGTCGTAAATGTCGTTGGTCGAGTAACGCTTGTCGTCAACGTGGAGAAAGTGCTGGTCGTTCTTCTGGTGGTCGAGGTCGTGCGAGTCGTCATCGTAGTCATGAAGTCTATCGCAAAATCATCTGTCGTCGTAGTCGGTCTCATCGTGGTGAGTGTCGTTGGGGTCGTGGTCGTGGTCGTGGTCGTCATCATCGAGGAAGTCGTCGAATCATCAAGGTTATATAGCGCGACGCTTGAAACGTTAGTAAGCCGGATCCCGGTTCCCGAAGGAAGAGGGGAGGTAACAGTTGAGCTGTTGGTTAGTGGGAAGGGGGCAAGGGAGGTTGAGGTTGTGGTCAGAGCGGCAGAAGTAGTCGTGGAATTGGCAAGATTGTCCACCACGCTTCCTGTCCCGTTGACATACAGGACCCCAGTCCCCAAGAGAACTGGAGAGGAAGTGGTTGACGCGTTGGTCAACGGGAAGGGAGCGAGAGTGGTCGAAGAAGTCGTGAGAAAAAAGGCAGCTGTGTCGGGCGCGAATGTGGTGGTGGTGGTGGTGGTGGTGGTGGTGGCGGCAGATGTCGAGGATGCAGGATCCGGGGTTGTCGTTTCAGTCAATGAAGATGAAGTAGTCTGACTTGTAAACGTTGTTGTCAATGAGGGAAAATCCAAGCTGCTAGACGTCGTGGTTGTCGTGAGAGTTCCAGTGGTAGTCGAAGCAACAGCGTCCTCAATAATAAACCCCGGACCTGGATCGGGAACGATGGCATCCTGACCATAGACAACATCGTTACCGGGATCTGGAAAGACCACCTCTTGTCGCTCGATGGTCTGGCAGCCGTTGCCAACGTTGCACACGAACATATTCGGTAGGCGGTCGAATTGAGAGGCCTGTCGTCTGTAAGGGGAGCTTCGTCGATGCCGTCCGCTCGAGCCACCGACAATCTGGACTCTCGCACACCCTTGATACATCTCTCGATCTCCGACAAGATTGAACCAAGACCACGAAAAGAGCGCCGAATCGGACGAAGGCGCAAAGCTCGGGATCGTGAAGTTGTAGGTGTGTGTCAGAGGGCATCCGCCTATCATGGATTTGATGACTTTGAACGTAGCTCCGTTGTCGTACGACAGCGATAGTTGACAAGACCCTCCGTCATGTTCGACCGTCCCATTCAACCACATGTCGTAGGTGCCGCCGGCTAGGTAAGTCGCTTTGGTCACATAGCCATCTGTGTCGTTCTCGTAATTCTTGCATGGAAAGTTAGAACCGTCAGCAAACAGCGGAGCCACCATATTATAATCTTTCTCATCAACGGGGACATCGGGATCCAGGGGACTCCGTAGGGGGTATGGCCAACTCAACTGCATATGGGCTTGAGTGCAGAGAGGCAGCCATAACATGGAGAGGGCAAGGGAAGTGTGTAGAAAGCGAGACATTGTGTTCCCGATCTGAGAACTAGCAAAGGGGTGAAACCTCAGGAGGGGGAGAAGGATGGACGATCTAGGCCAAGAGCCTGTATCGATGCAAGAGGGAGGAGGGACAAGAGAATGAGCACACGGATAGCAGCGTCGCTTGAGATCAATGGATTTGGATGGTCAGGGGGTTGAAGGAAGCGACCGAACTTGATCAAGGGACGGTTGTGATTTTGCGGTTGTGAGCGACGTAACGTTTCCCTTATGTATATTTCAAACGTGCCCACATATACCTCGACATTGCCACACCAAGTAATGCTGTTTCTCATCGATTTCTTGAGATGGCGTACTAAATGCTGGACAAAGCTCGATGACATGCCGCTCTGGACCCAGCGTCCAAGCGCGACAAGCTAAAAGGGAATAGAGGAGACTCAAGCGTGGCCTGGGAAGTCACCACAAAGAATGTTGTCGATCCCCTGCCCCAGCGTGACAGTCATCCGGCCCAGGAAAGGCCAGAGCGCTTGATGCTTGGGCTCCATGCTCGATGCTAGCATGAATTGCAGAGAAACCCCCGAATGACCCCCGCAATCGTTGTTATGGCGACGAGGTCGCCTATCGCAAGCCACCAAAAGCCTATCGACGATCGGCTCGAGCCTCATACAAACTCAAGAAATCCGGGGCAATGCGAACAATATTAATTTAGGTTTCTGTGGGCTGAAGCGCCAATTTGGACTATTCCCTGGTAGGGATGTCGATCGGATTCTGTTTGTCAATAAATTGTTCCAGTCTGCTGTGGATAATCTGTTGTGCTGCTGATCGCAGAATGCAGTTCACCTTTTCTGATACAATTCGGCTTGCTTCGACCAAGTACCATTCATCTGGCAAAGATGGTCGTCCATTCTCTTGGTCTTTTCGGTGTTGCGGCTCCAGTAACCCATGATGCCGGCTTTGCGAAGAAGGTCCACGTCGCAATCAAGTTGAACTTCAGAAGAGGCCATGTCCCTATTAAATTCAACCGCGAAGGATAATGCAGGAGTGACATACACAATGCTCCAACGCCGCAGGTTCCCCACCGTTGCTGTCACAACTCGACGCGTCTGGCTGTCGTTGTTATGGTGTCCAAACATCTCATCTCAGCGCAAATTCGAATCTTCCGGGTGGAGGAGGCAAATACTCCAATTCGGCATGCATTGTCTTCCAGATCGAGTCGCCTTTTCCCACTCGGCCCATTTTACGCGCATCTCCTTCCGTTCTTGATGGTCGATGGTGTGACCAGTCCAGGTCGTGTCCCGACCAGCACTCAACAGCGGGCCGAGCCAGCGATACACAACAATAATGAGCCAGACTTGTCGTCTCCCAGAGGCATCGGGTGAAAGACTTTCGCGAGCTTGAAACATAAACTGTGTTTTGCAGCCTCGAGTAAAGCAGGTCCCCTTACACTTCGCGCCAGCCCGGCTGTCTCCAAACTCTCGCTTTGACTCATTGATACAAGGTGGGCCCTTGACTCCTGGTGGGAGGCGTTGGGTATTAATGCATGCTCTGCAGAACTTGCTGAGGATGTAGGGATCACCGAGCTTCAAATGAGGGCAAAGTCGGAAGTCGAGCCCTTGCAGAGCACTGGAAACATCCTTGACCTGGAACACTTCTTTGTACATGCCACTACCACCGCTTGTTCTTGTGTTATACAGAGGCGATGGTGCTTGGAGGAGGGCGACTTTGGAAATTAAAAGAGACTCGGCCTTGGGGTTCTCTAGGTCCATTACTGAGGTGCCTTTTTCCGGTCGGTCGGCAACAGACCTGTTGCGAATAGAGTTTCTGCACCTCGAACATGGCTCTAGTGTTTCAACTCGGAATGGCGATTCCACCCCGGCCTTGATGTTGCGGATCGTCTTCTGGTAACCAAGGTGACGATGCGGACATAGCCAGACCTGTCTACAATCTCGCAAAGTAGATTCCCGTTTGATCTCTGACGTAGGGAAAGTCGACCGGAGATGGAGCATCTGACACTTGCCGCACACCAGCTTATCCAGTTCAGTCGGGTCCTGATCTCGTTCAGTCATGCACAGGAAATCAAACAGCTCTTTCCCAGTCAAGACAAATGATGGCGTGCTGTAAAGATGAAAGAACCTCGAGCAAGTATGACGGAGGGCGACCTCGCTACTGGGGTTCAAGTACAGCTGAAGGAACATCAGGAGCTCCGTGGGCAGTGCAAGAAAGCCCGACTCGACATTGTTGAAGACTGTCCGCTCGGACCATCTGGTCCCCACCGAGGGGGTCTGTTGGCGAGGCGCTCGTTCGATAATGGCCGTTTCCGGAGAGAAAGCTAGCTTAGCCACGAGCTGTTCGTCGGAGGGTGTCAAGGACAACGCTTTGCTGGGCCATGGCTGCAAATTGTCCTGATCTTCTGCCACGACTTCGACGGGGTCAGGTGCCGACTTGGTTCGCGAAAGCTTTCTGCGGAAACTGGCAATAACTGGCATTGTGTAGTCGTGTGATGAGCCGAGATATCGGCTGTAAGAAATGCGGAGTCGTATCTTCCAAGGCGGACAAGAACGACAAGCACACAATCAAGCAACCAGGCAAGCAACTCTTAGACAGCCATCATAAATCATGGAAGTGGTGCGATGGGCGTTGGCCAAGCCGTAGAATCAACGGTTGGAGGAGGACATGAACCGATGCTGACTCTCCAGCACAGTAGGAGATGTTCTCTGCCATCTCAGGAGGATGAGGAGGAGTTCTCAGTTCGCCCTTGGGCGGATAAAGGGTTCCATGATTCGGTGGCGGAGCACATTGACACTGTTTCCCGCAGGACAAATCAGAATAGCCGTTTGCCACTGGGATGGAGAAGCTACCTAGGTAGCGAGGAGGTCATCAGCCGTTCCACCCAAGCCTGTCCGTTTATTGATCCCTGCAGCGGGCGAGACCCTTTGAGATGGCTCGATGGATCGATGGGTGCAGGAAAGAGGTTTAGGTGTGCGCCACTTTGCCATGAGGAACAGGCCATTTATTGGCAGTGATCCAGAGAGACGGAGTCTTGTCTTTTCGCCTACCGAGATGGTCCTCAAGCGACGCGGATATGGGTGTGACAATTTGATCTCGAATGTCGCGTGTAGGTACCAGGCGCAGGTGCGCGAGGTGCATGCACGACACCGAAAAGTCATGACGTCGTGACCAGAGAATTGGCTGGCCACCACAACGCTGCGGCCTGCAAGGGGAATTATGCATCGTGGCTATTTTTCTTCCTTGTAGTCAAGCTCATAGACTTCAGAGATACATCGCATGGTCAGTCTTTCATCTCCTCCGCGTTTGTTTCGAAGAGGTATCAACCGTCGACTGCTCGCTCTCAGAGGCCATACTGCCCCGGCAACTACATTCCATGCCCGCCATAGTTCTTCGCTAAGAGCTTTGCCATCGCCACTCAATGCGATGCCCAAACGAAAGAGATCAACCAATGTCGCTTTCGTGGCTTCTGGCATATCGGCTCCTGCATCAACTCGACGGACTAGTTCCCGAAGAGCCTCCGCTGCCACCCCTGCCACGATTGACACTAACCCAGACACAAATGACCGTATCGAGGATGGCCTGGATGCTCTCCGCGCTTCGCCAGATGCAGAGAAGCCTGAATCTGACATTGTGGCAAGCAAGAAAGCAAAGATCAAAGCAGAAGCTGAGGGCGAAGATGCTAGGACACCTCCAAGATCAAGCGCCCACGCCAAAGCTGCGCCGAAGAGAGGGGACAGGCTAGACCGAGAAGATCCTGAAGCTGAAGGAGATGAGGAAGCCAACCCCGAAGAGCTGAAGGAAGCCTTGTCCCGGCCACCTCCAGTAAATAGCTCGTACCTCCCATTGCCCTGGAAGGGCCGGTTGGGTTACGCCTGTCTAAATACCTACCTCCGCGCCGCGAACCCACCAGTCTTCTCGTCACGGACATGTCGCATCGCTTCAATACTCGAGCACCGCCATCCGCTGAAAGATCCTACGCTGCCAGAACATCCCACCAAAAATCGTCCAGACAAGGATCAGCCGGCGGACATGGCTCGGGGGCAAGAGTATGTGGAAGCACTGGGTCGTGCCAATGCGCGGGATATTGTCAAGATGTTGCGCTGGAACGACCGATACGGCATCAAGTTCCTCCGCCTGTCGTCTGAAATGTTTCCATTTGCCAGCCACGACGTCTACGGGTACAAGCTTGCTCCGTTTGCTTCAGAGGCGCTTGCAGAAGCGGGTCGCGTGGCTGCTGAGCTCGGTCACCGCCTGACGACACACCCGGGTCAATTTACGCAATTAGGCTCACCACGAAAGGAGGTGATACGAGCCTCACTCCGCGATCTTGACTACCATTGCGAGATGCTCGACCTTCTGAGGTTGCCGCCGCAGCTGAATCGAGACGCCGTGATGATCTTGCACATGGGTGGAGTCTTTGGCGACAAGGCTGCCACAATCGCTCGATTCAAGGAGAATTACGTCAAGTTACCACAAGGGATCAAAAACCGTCTGGTTCTCGAGAATGACGATGTCAGCTACAGCGTGCATGATCTCCTGCCGGTGTGTGAAGAGCTCAACATTCCGCTTGTTCTGGATTTCCACCATCACAACATTGTCTTTGATGCAGACAAGTTGCGCGAAGGTACATTGGACATCATGAGCTTATATGACAGGATCACAGCTACATGGACCAAAAAGGGCATCACGCAAAAAATGCACTACTCAGAGCCTGTCCCATCGGCAATTACCGCACGACAGCGGCGGAAGCATAACCCGCGGCCTGCCACACTTCCGCCCTGTCCGCCGGATATGGATCTGATGATCGAAGCCAAGGACAAAGAACAAGCCGTCTTCGAACTGATGCGCACCTTCAAGTTACCTGGGTTCGACACCTTCAATGACATCACACCGTATGTACGCAACGACGAAAATAAGGCGTGGAAACCTCCGAAGAAGAAGAAAAGTCCGCGAAAGAAGCGCCAGACCAAGGAAGACGGGGGAGAATTGGTCGAAAATGATGACGATGAGGATGCTGGTGGGGAAGCCCAGCCGCCGCCTCTGATCCCAGAATGCGAGGTCAGCTTGGGTGGTCCCGAGGGGCGAGTCTACTGGCCGCCGGGTATGGAAGAATGGTTGCGTCCAAAGAAAAGAGAGGTAAAGCCTCGAGACCCAGCAAAGGCAAAGACGACAGCGGAGCGAGCGGCATTAAGAAGAGCAGAGAAAGCTGCCTGGCAGGCTGCAAGGGAAGCGTCCGCAGAGGCAGAGACACCCGCGTCGACAGCCAAGTCAGTTCCTTCTGAGGTGGTCGACATGGACGAGATTCCTGGAGCAACAAAGCCCAATTCTACCAAATCAGAGAGCGTGTATAACATGGCCAAGACGAAAAAGCAGAAACCGGTCCGGGCACCTCGTGCAGGTGACGGCGTGAAGAATAAGAAGAGTGCCACTCGGGCCGTGTTGACACCCAGTACGAGCGACCAAGCCTCTACTCTCGACGGCGAAGAGGAGAACGAGGAAGAGCAAGACCTCGAGATGCCGGATCTTACAGATGCAGAGGAGGCCGTTCCAGCTGTTAAAGTCAGCCGGAGAGCACCAACGCGGACTTTGAGCGGAAGGCGAGCTAAGAGGAAGGCTGTAAGTTATGCAGAGGGTGACGACGACGACGATGACGATTGAGGGTTCCTGGAATATTTCTTGTCGGAGTGTGAGAGACGAAGAGGATCTATGCATGTGAAGCCAGATGATGGCCTGTAATATTATGTACCTGCTGCCACTATTTTGACCGAGAATTTATTCGACAGGCGAAGATTCGGTGACCAATCCAGGAGGTTTTTTCTTCTCGCCAATTTCTTGAGATGTCTTCGCAGTTGGGACACCCTGCCAATGGTCGAGCTGGAGTTGAGAGAAGCCATAGAATGCTTCATGGCTTTGGGGTACAGCAGTCGGTAGAGGACATCTCCTATCATAAATTAATCGACGACCAGAGGCGTGGGCGTGGCACGACGCAGTTCGGGGCATCGAAACCCGAAGCGCAGAAGAGCCGTGTTCTGGCAAAAGAAGGGTGACACGTCCTCGTATCTGTAGATATGTATACCTAGTAGGTACCTAGCAGCAGGACCTAGGTAGGTAGGTAAGAAAGAGGGCCATCCGTCTCCGATGAGCGGCGGTGCATTCTTGGCCTCGGCCAGCTCGGGAGAGTCGCCGGTTGTGTTGCGTTGTGTTGTGTTGTGTTGTTCTGGGTGTGTTGAGCGAGTGGGGGGAGGGGCACCGAGAGGGGGAGGGGGAGGCTTGTCGTGGGGGTTCGAACAGTGCGATTTTCTCTCTGGTGCCTCGTACTCGCTACAGCATTTGTTTGTTGTAAGCAAGAGGGTTGAACTTACATCGGTGCTGTGGGCACTCTGGCTAGGTGCTAGACCGGACACCCCCCCCGGCAAGGCGAGAACGATGTCTGAATGAGGACATGATTCGCCGGAGCATTTCCTGCACCGTGTGTTTCTATCTTTCTCAACTGCCCATCCGCGGCGAGAGTATGGCCCAGTGCCTTTGCGGTGGGTGGGCTGAAAACACGTCCACTCGACCGTGTCACAGTTGATGAGCAGGTAAAGTACTAGGTAGCTAACATGTAAAGGAACTCACTTCCGTACGGTGTGCCTCATGGCTTGTCGATAACGTCACGATTCGTGGAATGATGGTTCTTGCGGATACCGCGTCTCGTTCTCCGTTGCATCATCCCATTCATTCATAGCCTATTTACCGACTTCCTCCCCCATGTCATCGGGCAACTCCCAATGACACTTTGCCCCGCGCGTTGCTTGTTTGCGTCTGGATAAATTCAAAAACTTTTTCTTAAAAAGAGCGAAAAAAGAGAAGGGACAGTCTTTATCCAAGCCCACCTTTTCTTCTCTTGCTGCTCCCGCGTTTCCTCTTCTTGTTGTTGCGCAACACGATCTTTGGAATACCCTACCTACCTTTCCTCCTCGAGTCGAACTTCTTACCACATTCTATCGGCAACCATGGGCTATCCCGATACCTTTGAAGGGTTCATGATCCAGGACCAGAAGAAATGGACCGACTTTCACAAACAAGAGGTAGGTAGATCGGGACCGCGAAAAGGCCCTCAGGAACCACACTGACTTGCGCCGCAGTTCAAACCCAAGAAGTTTGGTGACCACGACATTGATATCAAGATCGAGTGCTGTGGCGTCTGCGGGTCGGACGTCCATACCATCAACGGAGGCTGGGGAGAAGCACCACTGCCCATCTGTGTGGGCCATGAGGTCGTCGGCCACGCGGTCAAAGTCGGGGACGCTGTGAAGACTGTCAAGGTTGGCGACCGTGTGGGTGTCGGGGCTCAGATCTGGGCTTGCCTCAAATGTCCCCAGTGCAAGAGTGACAACGAGAACTACTGCCCCCATTCGGTCGACACATATGGCGCTCCGTACCCAAAAGAGGTCGATCCAGACGAGACCATCTCCCAGGGAGGTTACTCCTCTCACATTCGCGCCCACGAGTACTTCGTCTTCCCCATCCCCGACGCCATCCCCTCACACTTCGCTGCTCCCATGCTTTGTGCGGGACTGACGACTTGGAGTCCACTCGTGAGGGCGGGCATCGGTCCAGGCAAGAAGGTGGCCGTGGTGGGCTTGGGAGGCCTGGGCCACTTTGGAGTCATGTGGGCGAACGCCCTGGGCGCCGAGGTCACAGTCATCTCGCATTCCCCGAGCAAAAAGGAGGATGCTCTCAAGCTGGGCGCCAAAGAGTTTGTGACAAATACCGAGAAGGGGTGGGCAGATAAATACGCCTTCGCCTTCGACTTCGTGCTCAATACCGCCGACATGACCCACACTTTTGACCTGAAGGAATATTTGTCGCTTTGCAAGGTCAATGCCACATTCCATCAAGTGGGTCTGCCGGACGAGGCCCTGCCGCCGATCAAAGCACAGCTGTTTATGAGCAACGGCAGCTCCATTGGCGCCAGCCATATCGGAAACAGACCCGAGGCTTTGGCCATGTTGAAACTCGCAGCCGAAAAGAAGCTCTTCCCCATGGTCGAGACCGTGCCAATCTCTGAGAAAGGATGCGCGGAGGTGGTATCTCGCGTTGCAGCGAACAAGATTCGATACCGATTCACATTGACAGATTACGACAAGGCATTTGGAGCTCGCGATTGAGGAGACTTGCAGCAGAGAAAAAGGGATCCCCAACAGCCATCGAGAAGCTAGTTGGGAACTCCGCGCCCGGAGACTAGCAGGAACCTATCGAGAAGTGCGGAGGTGCGGTCTTGCTGGTTAGCTGTCAATCGTCAGTCGTCAGTGCATGTGCGAATCAGGCGAAGCCACCGGATCCAGAAATTGCTTGTCAAGAAGCAGGATATTCTCATTTCTGTTGCTGTCTTGCCAATTAGGCTCGAGGCGGAGCTTGGTCGAGCAAAGCAACGCGTTTCCGTCTTATTTAGATAGCGCGCATGGGTATCTGAGACCTGAAAGATTATCAATTTTGGCCGATCCACGCCAGTACCATGTTCCCATGAGCTCCGTTGTTGATTGGTATTTGGTGTTGTTCATGAAAACCGTTGGTGCCGTTAGAGAAAGGTGATGAGCTGCATGCGGTCTGTAGGAATGTTGCGTAGCCCGTCTGTGACTGGCTGACGCGCCGTCAACGAGTGCGAATCCGAGGAGGCGGTAAAGGCAACTGAGTGGTCCGGTCAGTGCGTCAAGGTGTCAGTTTATCGGGCGGCGCGAAGTCCCCTGCCCCCAGACCCAGCCTCGGCAGGCTCCCCCGTCTGCGCTCGGACCTTTCAAGCTTGCCCTATCTTTTAACGTGCTTCTTTGGCGGGTAAATGTGCGTGATGTGTAACTGCTGCCTTTCGACAAGAAGGTTTCCCCTACCCCCAGTTCCCCAGGAAAAGGCCCCTATCGAATATTCTCCCGCCTCTTTGCCAGTCTGCAGCACTCCTATTGAAAAGCGTCCCACTGTGGTCTGGAAGTGCCGAGGTGGTACGCCTGGACGGGCCTGGTCGAAATGGAGGACCGGAAAGGGCAAAGGTTCGGACACATTGGGAGCGCAGGAAAGCGAAAAAAGCAGTGTTCGTAGGCGTCGATCTGGTGGTTCGCTTCGCTTCTAGCCAAGGGAAAACCCAACCAGCTGCAGCTCCCGCCCAGTCGACCTAACAAGCAGGACATTTGGTGGCGGCTGATCCCCCAAGGAGAGAGGCCCAGCACAGGCGCCTGGTCCACCTCCCGACCTTAGAGCATCGATGGGTAAAAGCCATCCGCCAGATCAGGGCCCTCAACGGCTGGGACTGCGGGTGGAGATAGGCACCTAAGAGGAACAAGAAATAACTGGCAGCGAGCTCCAACATCTCCGTCTGTGCAAGCTGCCAACCAACCCCCCATTACTATCCCGCAACTTTCCACCCGTCTGGCCCTATCGATGACATCCAGTGCAATCTAGGTGCAATCCTGCCTCTGATGACATTATAAACTTTGCGCACACCCTCCTCGCCGCGTTCCCCTGCGGTCTCGATCAAGCTGCAATCAAAAGCTCCCTGGAAGCATCTGTCCCGCCCATTTCGAGCCACCTGTCTGCTGTTGGATTGACTTCGCACCCGGTAACGTGGAGGAATCATGACAATATAACATCGAGCCGCTGGTGAAAAGGTGGTCCCCGAGTGCCTGCGGACACCCGCTGTCATCCTTGCTCCCCCCCGGCTGTTCGGACCTTAGGAATCGCACCCGTCGATCTCTGTCCCGTCGTTTCTGCACCTTCCAAACAGTCGGCTTCCAGTATTTGGTTCCAGGCCGGGAACCCGTCCTCACTGCGTCGGTGTCTATTATGTGTGGTGGAGAGCACACGGGATCTAGTCGAGAGCTATACATGAGCGGGAGACAAATCTACTGCTGCGGCTGGCGGAATGATCTTCTGATATCAATATGGAGAGCGGTTTGAAGAAGTTATGGACTCGGCGGAAAAGTAAAGGGAATGATGCGAGACAAGATGGATTTAGCAGCCTGAGGAAGAGCCAGAGCACAGAGCACGCCCTCCGATCAGTCACAGCAAGCCCCCGGTCAAACCACACTAGGACCGCTTCGACAGACGCTCAATACAAGCCGAGTGTCAGCAACAGAGTCCAGTCGGCGTTGGCCGGAGCTGCTGCAAGACCCTCAACATCTTGGTCACGACCTGGCACAGATGGGAGTGGCAGTTTAATGAATGCTGTCAATCTCGCAGCCGACGCCGTGGCCAAAGCCGACCAAGACTATCAATACCCTGCGGACAGATACCTGAAAGACCAGGTCCGACCCAAAACCCCTCGCTATGTTGACATTTTCTCCCTCGCGAACTCCAATAGCCCAGGCTCGAGACCTGGTTACAATGAGGACGTGGCTGAACGGAACCTGGATTTGGCTCGAGTCGCTCTCGAAGGTACCCACCAGTATGTACCTTTATCGACATTCCAAGAAGAAGTCGCCGCCAGGAATGCATATCCCAGTCTCCCTGGAAGCGGTAGTGTTGATAGCTCTCCGTCTGTCCGTCAAAACGGTTTTCATGGCAGCCAGTCGACTGGTCCGAGGAGAGGGATATCTAGCCCAGTGAGCAGTCAGCCGCGTTCGCCTCAAAAACCCGGGGAGCGCCCTTTCTCCAGGCATACTCAGAATATACATAGTTCGATTGGGTCACATTCTCGACAACAGAGTGATCGATCTTGGGACTCCCAGGCGCAGTTGCACGAATTGCCGGCTTCGAGACATAGTATCGAGGACCCTCGCCAGGCGCACGCACTCTCGAGCCCAACGACAACACTGGCGAGCAGTTCTCGCGACCCTATGCTGGCAGCCAGCCACCCAAGTGGAGTTTCCGGAGAATTTCATCCTTCTGTCTTTCCCAATGGCGCTCTCGGCAGCTATCAACTGTCAGCCTCGGAAGTGACACAAGTGAAGTCAAATGAACCATCCCAGATGCACCGGCAGGGAGCTGTTACATCTCCGGACCACTCAACAGATTCCCAAGGCTACAGTCATTCAGTTCGGTCGCCCTCGAATTTGAGCAACGCATCTTCCGTGAAGCGAACAATCAACCTGCCTAATCGAACAATTATGGACTTGACCGGCAACGATTCAGAAGTGTTCTCTGAAGGCTCTCCTCCGTCAAACTACAGCTCTTCTCCTATCCTGGAGCACGCCAAGATTGATACGGTGCAGAAAGAACAGGGAGCCGCCATGTCTGGGCCCTCCACTGGACATGGGATGACTGACAACAGTCTGACACAAACAACAGCCCGTCCACCTATTGGGATAGAACAGGCAGCTGCTGTTGACGCTCCACCATCACATCAACAACAGGCAGAGGCTCGTTCAGAACTTCCCAGGCCCCAAGATCCTCCTCCTCGTTCTGATTTTGCTATCGGCTTTTCACCTATAACTACTATTGTATCCGCATCGCCACGAGCAAGCGTTGTTTTGGAAGCACCAAGTACCTCCGACCAGACAGTGCAAACCCATATCAACCCTGAATCTGTCGACATGCAAAACAAACAGAACGAAACCATGGTGGCTTTACAATCTAAACAGCTTGCACAGCAAAACGAACGCGCTCCTGATCAACCTTCAGAAAACAGTGTTAAAGAAGCTGAGAAACAAGCATCAAGATCAGACAAAGGGAGTGGAAACGGAACTATCCCTGGAGACCAGAGTGGAAAGCCCGTCGACCGTGTGGTACAAGAGGCACCGGCAATTCCATCATTCGAGCCTGACAGTGATCTCGATCCGTTACCATCGCCTCGTGGCTACATTCACATGGCTCCAGAAAGTCTAAACGCGACTGGATTGGGTGATCCGGTTCGTCCTTCCAGCGTGAGCACTAGGGAATTTGCAAGCACCCCTGCCAGATCTATGCTGACAAGTGTTCCCGAAGAAGTAGAAGTCAAGAGCAACGGTCACGCAAAGACGCCAGGAGAGCCTGTGACGGAAACATGGCCAAAAAGCAGTAATCTGTATATTGACACTGACCTATCCAAGGAGCGACTTTACTCCACTCCCGGGTACCAGTCGACTTTTGACGAGAGAGAATATGCCCAAAAGCAAGCCGAAGCTCGCGCAGCCCTCATTCGACTTCAGTATAGTTTGAATGAAAATTTTCTCACCCAACCACCTCCTGCGCCAAACTCGCCGTCAACCAGATACAGTCCATCGAAACACGCCTATTCCTTCAGCGACGGGAGACCAGCCGCGCCGTCCTCTATCTTTTCACAGGTCAGACACTCCTCACCCACCCCGACAGATGCGATGGGCGAGGCTGACAGCCGGTTTGGGGATGGTAGAATGGAGACATCTTATCATCGTTTGACGACGGAGTCGCAGGAAAAGGAGGGTGAAAAGGTTCGGAGAAAGAAATCAGCCCGTAGTGCCGCCAAATCCGAAGCGACTCGTGGGAAAGGAATGCAAAGAGTGGAATCTGAACTCAACGGGCCTGGTCCGTCCATCGTCAATGACCTGGAGAGTCCAAAGCAGCCCTTCCACCTGCCGCCTCCTCTTCACCTCAACGGCTATCCTCTGCATCATCATTTGCCATACCAGCCACCAAGCCCAGGCGAGGTTTCTCTGTCAAACTTCCCAATACCTGTGTCCTCTCCTCGTCAATCAGTCATGCGACCGTCCGTGGCTGAGGACGTGGAGAGGCAACAAACCCCGACCCCGACCCCAGCTCCAACGCAGCAGGCCGCGCATCCGCAACAGCGTCCCCCTAGTGCTGCTGGAATGAAAGAACGCATCTTGCGCCGCCAGGCCAGCCAACGAAGTCAGGCAAGCGGCAGCTCAGCGTTTAGTATTCCTTTTCATATGATCCCCGATCGATCAAGCAGCAGACGAGACCGATCGGTAATGGAGACCGACGAATGAAGCCTCGGGATTTTCTATTTGTCGATGATGCTCTGGTGCGCGGGTTGAGCTTTGGGTATGGGATTTTGGATCGTTTTGACTTGTTTATTTCACTCCCCCCCCCCCCCCCCGGTTCCCAGCAATCTTTTGGCAAGCGACTTAGGAGGATGGATTCAAGAAAAGTTGTTCTTGTTTGGCCATGTATCAACGACCTGTGACGAAACCTGAGATATCGATCTACCAAATCTATATAATACATATATATATCCTCCCCCTTCCTGGAACGGCCTGTGGCTAGGCTGCCTCTGTGGAAGAAGAGGGAGCTTTTCTACGTTGAAAGATCCTGCGGTTGTCAACACTCGACTCGTTATTCGTGGGTTCCTGGTGCTCGTCCCCGTCCAAGCTACCCGTTGGTTTTTGTCGTTCTTATTGGAAATGAACCGCCTGCGACATGTCCAAGCTCCTTCTCTAGCCTTGGATACTTCGCGTAGCGGTATAGACTGCCGCTGTTCCAGCGCAAGGGCGACTTTTTCGGTGTCCCTGTACAATACCTGGGCATACGCTGAGCCATGACGATGAGTTCTACTATAGTTCCCAGTCTAAAAGGTTGGAAGGCACAACATACTCGACGAGGAGATTGCTGTATTAGTTGAAGCGGGTTGCGAGTTCCAGGTCGAGAAATGAGGTATCTCTCTCTCCCTCTCACTCACATATACACACAAATACATCTATCTATGTGACTTGAAGTTTCCCTTCTTTTGTCTATCGTCCGGGTTCATGACACCGAGAATTGTCCTGCCAAAGATGCGTCACGTCATCCAACCACTCGGCCCGAGCACAATGCGTATGTTTGATCATCCCCTTCTGCTTCTTGACTGCAGGTGGTGTCTCATTTGTGCCGAGTACGTATCATACACGCTCTCCCCCTCGGCCGCTTTTTCTTTTACAGTCCCCAAACCCTCATCCAGCCTTCCTGGGATTTGACCCAGCCTCTCTCGCGCGTGCGCCCGCCTTCGACGCCCCTGCTGCTCTCGACGACCTCGTCCTCGCCCGGCAGGCGGAGCCACTCGTCCACGCAGTCGGGGATTTCCTCCTTCACGTGGCTCACCACGACGAGGGCTTGGGAGGGCGTGAGGCCCGGGAACCGGACGTTCTCGCCTCGTGCGTCGGAGACGCGGGTCTCGGACGCAGCAGTGGACGCGCGTCGCGAGCCTGGGCTTGATGCCTCTCGTGCCGTGGTTCTGCCCGGTGGTGCCCTCTGCTCGCCGAATTCCAGCCACGACATGGCCTTGTCCCGCGCGTCTGCGGACAGGCCCGAGAAGGCTTCGTCCAGGATGACAATATCCGGCTGCTTGATGAGTGCGCGGAGGAAGAGGAGGAGTCGCTGTGCGGAGAACGGGAGCGCGCCGAACCTGTGGCCTTCTTTGTCGGTCGCCCAGCTCAGATCGGATCCGGAATCAGCCCCCGGGGCGTCGGCCGTGTCTTGTCGAAGCTCTGGCTCCCACCAGGCGAGAAACAAATCCACCAACTCGTTTCGGTCCGCGTTGAGATTCGGCTTCCCGGCGTACGTCTCCGCCCATGCACTCTCGAGCACTCTCCTGACCGTCAGGTGCTTGGGGAAGAACTGATGGATTTCGGGGGACGAGTGCCCGATTCGACTCTGGATTTCCCACAGGCTGAGCCCCGGGACTCCCCGCTCCGGGTCGGGCAGTCTTGAGCGACCGAAGAACTTGATCGGCAGGGAGTAGGACTGCGGGTGGTCGGAAGTCAAGAGTGAGAGGAGTGTGGTTTTGCCGGAACCGTTGGGCCCGAGGAGCGCAAGACGGGTTCCCTGATAGACTGTCATGTTCAGTCCCGGAGTGCTGTGGCCAGGCTGTGGGGGAGGATGGCCAAGGACAGTTTTAGACCCGTATTGGACGATGATGGACGTGAGTTCGATAAGAGGGTCACCGAGTTGTCTGTCTCTGTCGCCAGGCAAGGATAGAGAAGTCTCTTCTTGCTCTTGGGAGGATCCCCGTGGCTCCAGGGTAGGCTTGGAGGGTAGCGTGGGAATAGCAGTGACGGCACGTCTAAGTAGCTTGCTGAGTGCTTGCCGGCCACGCTTCTCTGGCTCTGTTCCGTTCTTGAGAGGACGGTCATCCCCTTCTTGACCTTGCAGCGTAGGACTTGAATCCTCGAGCATTTCTGGATGTCTTGATATGCCTGTCTCGCTTAGGACATCTCCTGTGACGCCAGCCAGTGGCAAGCCATATTCACTGGTGATTTGGTCGACAACCTTCTGGTCCGCAGTCGAGAGCTTGGATGCAGAAACCAAATTCACCCACCTACGTACATCGGATAACACTTTTGACTTTTCACCCATCAACGCCACGCTGTGGTTATGCCCAAGCACAACTAGGTGGGTTATCCAATCTGGTATTGGGTCTTGAGGGCGGAGTCCGAGCATCAGAAGCGGACTCGACTGATATGCCAGCTTCTTCAACATGGGCGACAAAGTAACCAGCGTAGGAGGATCAAGGCCCATGAAGGGTTCATCGAGCAAGAGAAGTAGGGGTCTCCCGAGCAATGCCTTGGCAATCCTGGCTCGTCTTGTTTGCCCATTGCTGAGGTTGCTGACCGGCATGCTTGTCAATTTCTCCAACCGTAAGTCCGAGAGAACTTTGTCCAGGTCGTGGCTGTCAACGCCGCCATCCGGGGCTTTTTGTCCGGGATTGAGTTCGGTGTCGCCCTTGAGATATTGCAGGACCGTCCAATCTGTTTCCTCTCGTCGGCTCTCATAGCGAGCACTGAGGTATGCGCCTCTTACTCCTCCCGATCCGCCAGCCAGCTGTCCCTTGCCGCTGTTGAAGCCCACATACTGAATTGCACGAGATGGGACGCGAAGGCGGTGGTCCTTCCGGTCATCGATGTAGGCGGAGGCCAAGTAAGGGTAGGACCTGGCATTAGGCGGCAAACAAATGTGCGAACCTCTTAGGATCTCGAGAAACGTTGCGCCGTCTGATGCGCTGATGACGGCCCAATGCTCACTTTTCCTTTCGACAGGCTGGCCTTTGTCGTGGACCGTCGCAGGCAGCTCGAAGGTCAGGTTCGGGAACAGAGGTGGGTTGGAAGAAGCGTCATGGCGATCGGCCGATGGATGTTCCTTGTAGAACGTCCCGTTGTGAATCTGAATGAGATTGAGTCGGCCACATTTCAAGGATTGCCGGAAGAGGCAGATAGCTGACCTTCGCATTTCCGTCGCATGGCTCTTTTGTATTTGGCAGAGCTGGATTCGAGAGTTTATGACTCGCGAGATCGGAGAATCTAGTTTCTAGAGTTGCTCCCGCATCTCCAATTTTCGGAGGGAGACCCGGACTCAATGGGACAGCCTCGGACGAGGCTGGGACTCTTCGTCCGAATCGACCGCTGCAGGTCGTAGATACGATCACAAGGGGGAAGCGGTGGGATTTCAAGGTCATCATTTCTAGCCAGCTCTATAACCAGCTCTCTGGATATCTGTTACAATGCATGCATGAGCCCACCGTGGCGCCATCGCTATGCTGGAATTCATGAAATCTGGCACCAAGCACCAAGCACCCAGCCATTCCAAGCTCATCCATCCTCCTGGTGCTGCTGAGCCAAGTGTTCATTGTTCAATCGTCACCGACCTTAAAGGAAATATTCATTCCGTCCCCCTCTTGATGGTGGAACATGTCGTAGCTCATCTTTGACGGCGCTGAAAAGCTTGAATGTCGGATTCATGTCTTCGCCAATGTCACATACCGATGCCAGGTTTCCGCATCTGTAGCAGTAATTCGGTGCACTCCATACTGTCACCACGTCTTGACTCTTGAAGTGATATTTGTAGCCTTCATTGACCAACTGATGTGCTCGTGCAATCAGGTTGAGGCCGTTGACATGGCAGAATTCCTGACTGACTCGGTCTCCAAAAAGCCAGCCTGCTCCTCGAGGCGATACTGCCCAAGTTTCAACGTCCTCGGGATCTGACCATACGAGATCACAGAAAGCGCCTTCATGTGGGATTTCTTGTGCTCGTGCAACAACTCGCACTTGATCGAGCGTTCTGATTTCTGGGGAGAGGCCACCGTGGACACACAGGACTTTGCCATCTACTATGGCTCCTAGTGTCATGAAGTCGAACACTTGACAGCAGGCCTTCCAGACTGAAGTGTTTCCATATTTCTGCACGCATTCCTCGTAGAAGCCGTATACTTGTGTGATTTGGCGAGATTCGTGATTTCCTCTGACCAGTGTGATTTTATCGGGGTATTTCGCTTTGAGGCATAGTAGAAGTGTGAGTGTTTCGAGGGAGAAGTATCCGCGATCGACGTAGTCTCCAAGGAAGATGAAATTTGCGTTTTGTTTGCGTGAGATGACATTTCCCGACTCTGATCTTTCGTCTTCGATCTCTGAGTGCTGTGATGAAGGTATTTCTTCGGCATCGCTGATCTCACTGCTCTTTTCGCTTGGTGTATCAGGATGTTCTGATCCCCCGAGTTTCAGCTTCTTCTTCAATTTCGGGTCTGTGATGGTAGAAGGGGGTTCAATGTCTGCGGAAGTGATGATGTTTGCGGGTGTGACGGGTGTTTCGGGCGCCGATTCGTTGGGCATGCCACCTGCGACTCGGAAAAGTTCGAGTAAATCGTAGAATTGACCATGAATATCGCCGCAGATCGTGACTGGGGTAGACACGGGCTGGATATTTGACTCTGATGATTCGGTCAGTTGTACCTCACGAGACTATAGCGTTGGATGACAAACCCTCCATCATGTACTCCTTGACGATTTCGCAGAGCTGCTTCATGTGGTATTCTGAGAGGTATTTGCAGTTTTTTGCTGCTTCGAGCCATTCGTCGGGTCCTGCCGATCGCTTGAGGTGTGCTGGCCCTGGGACTGGGACCTTAACTGCGCCCATGGCGCTGGTGAGAGAGAGGTGAGTTGGCTTGGATCCGCCCGTCTGTACGTCGATTCAGTGCCCAACTGGCTGGTTGGGGCTCTTGGGAGGTATCCGGGGGCAGGGGGAGTCCGGAGAGCCTTGACGAGGTCGACGTAGTTAAATACCTTCGGCTTTGGCAGGCCGAAGAAGGCGCGGCGGTCGTTCTCGTTGACTTGGCGAGAACGCCGGCGGAGAGAGGGGGAGGGAGGGGGCGAAGAAGAGGGCGAACCCTCAAGAGTGTCTTCTTCGAAGACGGGGAATGCTTCTGGAGCGTCCGCCGTCTCTATGACGGCGTTGGAGGCGTCCAAATTGCGGCCTGTGGTGGTGGAGGTGGAGGAGGGAGTTGTTGGCGACGTGGTCGCCGTGGGAGACATCGCGGCACGTGAGCAAATGGTTCCCGGCAAAAAGTAAATCCGTCCCGAAAACGGTGGGAGTGCCGATATTTATGGACAGCGAACGCCCCCTCCTATCGCTCTGTATTCACTATTGACATGTCACTTATTCACTGGCGGTCACATGGAATCTATACTGATATTGTCTGTCAGTGAATAGGACAGCTCCCGTGACTCATTCGTAGCCTGATAGGCTCAGATCACGGTCTCTCATTGTTTTCTCACTTTCGACTCGGAGTTTTGCAACAATGTCAGGTCACTCTAAGAGTCGCGCAGCAGCAGGTGTCTTGCCTGTGAATGCTACGAACAGGAAAAATGCAGCCACTCAGTCCGCATCAAAATCATCCCCAAGAACGCCAGCACCGAGGCTGAGGCTGATCGTCCGACGCTTGCCTCCGGGACTGACAGAGGCTGAATTCTGGGCCACTCTAGGCGACGACTGGAAAGTCGGCAATGGCAAGGTTGAGTGGGCAGCTTACAAGGACGGGAAAGTCTCCAAAGAGTATTGCTCTTTGCCCCAAAAAAAGAATCTGATGCCTAACTGACCGGACATAGTCCTGCAAAACCCTCGCGACCAGCCAGAGCTTATCTCAAAGTCAAGGAACAGTCACTTTTGGATTTGTTGTCTAAGGCGGTCAAGGAATCATCGTTTCAGGATGCCAAAAACACTAGCAAGGATCCCTGTCTCCTGGGACCTCCGTCTCTCGAGTTTGCACCGTACAACAAGATGCCTGTTCCTCGCGTTCGACATGACGGTAGACAAGGTACCATCGATCAGGACCAAGAGTTCATCGACTTCTTGCAGAGTCTCACTGAGCCAATTAACAAACCGGCATCGAATGGAGCTGACGCTGCAGATGCCAAAGCTGATGCGATTACTATCACCCCACTGGTCCAATACATCAAAGAGAAGAAAGCTAACAAGGCCAAAGAAGCTGCCCAGGCCAAAGCAGCAAAGCGGGAAAGCAAGGAGGCGAAGCCCACTAAGAGTGAGCGCGCTCCGACAGTTATCATCAAGGGCAAGAATACCCCGAACGCGACAGAGAAAGAAAAGGACCGAGCAGCGAAAGCAACCCAGGACGCGGTGAAGGCCGCTAACAAGTCAGCGGCCGCTATACAAGGAAAGCAGACAACCACGGCCAAAAGTGAGAGTAAACAGACATCGGTCAAGGAGACACGGCCACAATCTCCAGCGACCGCGGCAGCAGCCACAACATCAACATCAGCCACGACACCAGCGAAACGAGAGCGAAATCGAGAGCGGGACAGCGGCAGGGCTGCTGCTCGCATGCTGCAGCGAGATCTGGGACTGCTGGGGAGAGAAAATACCTCGCAGCGCACTACAAAGACTCCGACGTCGAGTGCAGCTGCAGCAGCCGACAGCGTGGCTTCATCGTCAACAGCAAAACCGTCAACCCCCACTACCGCTTCCAAATCCTCAGAACCCTCAGCAGAGCATTCGAAGCCGTCAGTCACAGCTGCAACCACCACGCCTGCGGCTCCTCCGACCGGTCCACGCGCTTCACGCGCTTCAAATACCACATCCACAAAGTCGGAACCATCTAGCACACCATCCGCGACTTCGGCTCGACCACAATCCATTCAACGTCAGTCCAAAAGCTCGTCTTCTCAACAGCCCACCGCGGGCGCGAAGTCTGCATTCCTCAAGCACGCAAATCAGTCTCAGGGTATCACGGAGGAGCTCCTTCAACAAGTCTTCAAGGAGTTCGGAGCAATCACCCGCTGCGAGATCGACAAGAAGAAGGGACTAGGCTACATCGACTTTCAAGAACCTGAGGCGTTAAAGAAAGCCATGGCAGCGAGCCCGGTCAAAGTTGGGCAGGGCCAGGTTGTCGTGTTGGAGAACAAGTCCCATCACGTTCAACATGGGAAGCGCGCCGGGGGCGGTCAAAACCAAGCAAATTCTGGGCAGGGAAAAGCAGGGACTGCATCCCCTGCTACGGTCCCAACGACTGCAAACTCGCCCAAACCCGCTGCAGCACAGTCCACCGCCGCCTCGCAGATGCCCACTGCTGAGACTCCAGCGGCTGGAACCGGCACAGCTACGTCTGTCCCTGCCTCCCCAGCAACACCAACTTCAGCAACTCCACCTACTGCGCCCCGAGGAAACGCTAGAGGCGGCGGAAGCGGCGGTCGCACAGGTGGACGTGGGAACGGTGGGGGGAGGAAAGAGGGAGCCCGTGGTGGCGGTGGGTCGGGTCAAGGCCAGGGCGCGAGACAAGGGTATCGTGGTGGAAGAGGGAACTTTGGAGGTGGAAGACGTAGCGGCGGTGGTCAAGGAAATGCGAATGCGACAGCTGGCGCTACTGCTGAAGGAACTCCTAGCGCTTCATCGAACCCTGCGGGCAAAGAGGATGCGAAGAAAGATTGAGCATGACGTGACGAACAATGTGTTGGGCGCGCGAGTGAGACTCGGTTAGGCACTCGGTCACTAAGCCGCTTCCCCCTGAGCCACGATCAGGAAAGAGATCACGGCAACGGTTGTCCGCGATTCGACAGCCAGGGATACACGCCGATCCTTCTTGAGCACAGGATGTGAGACACAGTGGCAAGCATACCCCGACAAAGCCCGGAAGAGACAAACGTCTATTATTATGGCACATATCCCCCAGCTTGCTGGCCGTTTGTCGACTGAATTGATGGACCCGCTGCGAGGCCAAAGCTATGACATCTCGCATCCATGCGCAACCGTAACTCTGATGTCGCCAGGCAAATGCCCGAGTCGTTCGAATGCTGATATGGACTCCCTGACACTTGCTCTCAACTTTTCTCCCACTAGGCATACCAGTCCGGAGGGTAGATTTCTCTATTTAGACAAGTACATATGTAACCTGATGCTTCTGCAAGAGATACTGTTGCTCGGCGCACGCGACGATTCATCGCCTCTTCCTCGTGGGCGGGGCGGGTTCAAATGCGTCGTCGTCGTCATCGTCATCGATCTGCTCGTAGCTTTGACTCCGACTCGCACCTATGCTCCTTCCATTCCCTAGAATGCTATTCTGTGACGTCGTGAAACTGAGGGTCGACTGTTTCTGCCTCGAAGCTGCAGCGCGGGCCGGTGGCTTCTTGGTCGCCGGCGTCGATGATGCGAAAGAGGTAGGCTTCGTCCTGGCTCCGCCTCGGGTTGTCGTGGTACTGGCTGCTGGTGTTGTGTTGCGCGCTCGCGTACTTGCGGTGGTGGTCTTGCTTTTTTCGGGAACGAACATGGCCTGAGAGTCGACTTCTTCGTCCTCATCTTGCATGATTACATCGTCGTGCTCTTCTTCACTCTCTTCATCGTCTGAGACCGCGCGTTTCCGCGCTCGTGAGGTAGTCGTCTTCGCGGCAGATTTCTTCGCTGCGGCCGTCGTTTTGCGAGTAGTGGTCGTCGCCGATGAACCGGCTCGACCACCTCTTCCTCTTCCCCTCCCTCTCGCTGCCGTTGTCACGGGAGCAGGTGTCCCATCCTCACCGTCTTCGTCTTCTTCCCCGTGTCTACTTTCTAAATCCTCCGAGCCAAGCAGTAACGCCTCAGGATTTTCCTCCCATGGTCCATCGGCGTCACTATCCCAACTGGCCGGCTGCGGTTTGTACCTTGTCTTATTCCTGGGCATCTTGAGCTCCCCCTTTACAAACATTTCTTCCATCTTTGCACGTTGTTCTTGGATCTGGATAGCCAGGTCTTCATCATTGTCGTCGGCGTCATTCGCGTCGGTTTGCAGTCTAACGAGGTGCTTAATTTGATCTGCGAGGGATTTGTTCACAAACAACTCCATCGCGTGTCTGTCATCCTTGTCCACGTATTGGCTCACGGCCTCGCCGAAACAATTTTGGGGGAGTATGGTTAAGGATTGGGCTTGAAGGAACTCTCGGACGAGGTTTTCAACCTTGATGGCTTCTAGACCTTGCACTCTGGCCATGATCTCCTTGTCCGCTTGGGCATCTCGAGCCACGCGAGCCGCTGCGTTCTTCTTCTTGACGTGAAACTGTACCACGTCGTTGGTGTTGGCTACCTTGTCGATGAACCTATTGGAAAAGCGTTGCGGATTCTCAATGTCGAACTTGCCGATGCCGTCCGCCGAGGTCGTTTCAACGCGCAGTCTGATCAAGGGCAAGGGGCATTCTTCCTGTTCCTCGTCTGGATACTGTCTTTCTTCTTGCGCCTCCAACCATTCTTCCTTGGCTTGCTCAATCAGTCCATCAACGATCTTGATCATATGTCGGGTTAGCTCCGCACGATGATCATCTTTTGATTTAGCGATCCTGACGGCGTCCTTGTCAGCAGCAAGGGCAATGTCTTTGTAGACAAACGGACGGACAGTTTTCAGCCGAATTGGTTCGCACGCCATTTCTCGATCGGTGATGGTAAGAATTGCAACCTTCTTGGGGACAGCCTCGCCTGGGATCAATGAGGTGGCGACAGAGGAGCCCGGTTGCATAACCTTGAAGTTCATCTCTGGATTGAGTCTGGGTTCGATGTCACACTCGTGTTCATGACCCCATATGACGAGATCCAGAAAATCTGGTAGGAAGTTCTCGGGCAGATACGATGTCTCTGTATGTGCATGATGGTTTTGATGGACGCATATCAGGTTGTACCAATCGCCCATCTGCTTACTTGGGCGGTGGAACTTGACCTTGCCGTCCCGGAATGTTCGATGAAGGCGCTCATCTCGAACGTTGGAGAGACCGTACAGAGCTAGTTTGGTGCGGCCTTTCTGTATCAAAACCGGCTTGACTACGATATTATCACTCTGAGGGGTCTTCCCGTAGTAGTTGACCAGTCCGGAAACCGCAAGCAGGTCTAGGGCCGAGTAGTGGCCTTCTCCGGTAGGGTCATCATGGTTACCGTGGATGGAGAAAACTGGGATCCCGACATTGATATTGGCGTCTTCGTAGTTGACATGGTCGAAGGTGGTGTCGAAATGTTCTGACTCGTCGGACAGCATTTCGAGTTCACAAGGCTTGTCACCCAGGCAGTTGAGTCTCAGGGACCGCATGACATTGTACATGGACTTTCGTGAGGGCTTGTTCTCGTGGAAGAGGTCACCGGCGAGAAGAACCATGTCAACGTCTCGATCTTTGGCCAGACACATGATCTCATGGAACGTCTTCCAGGAGTCGTCGCCTCGGATCGGGTCTCGTTCGTGGGCTCCGACATGGTTGTCGGTGGCAACAAGGATGGTAATTGTGTCTGCCATGGTGTCTACCTTTCAACGGAATGGAGAGAACATTGGAGTCTTGCCGTCTAGAAGGAGGCTGTGAAGAGTAGCTGTTTCGCGTGTCTCGAAGGGTCGAGAGGCTGTGGGGGAATTGGCGCGTTTGCTGCCTGTTCGTTGGAGTGAGAGGGATCAACAAATCACAACAATCCCTGGGCGAATCGAGGGCGAGACATATGTGAACCTGGGCTGGAAGGAAATGTTTCATTTGACTGCTATTCCATATAGAACAGGACACTGGTTGTGAAGCAGGGGGAGTTGGTGATGAAGAAGGATTGTGAGACGCGCCGATGAATTTGCGTCGCCACACGCAAGACGCACACGCAGCCGCAGCCCAAACCAAGACCTGTTTCTTCTCTACTGCCTGCGCCTCGCGACCGCAAAATCACAACCCACCCTCGGACACGCCTTGTACATCATGGCAGACCTCTTCTCTCCTGTTCGAACATAGTCCTCCTGTACTTTGATAGCCGATGCAAAAGATAGTTCTGGATCTACAGAGTTCTTCACCTTTGCCGCGTGGTTGGGCGGCCGACGGCGATCGATACATGACCCGAGCACGACGCAGCTTGACACTTCACATGCCACAGGAATCTGCCCGGGGCCAACTACGTTCGGCACGTTCACTGTCCCTGGTCGCACAGCCCTCCTGGTGACGCCCTGGTAGAGTGACAGTTGCTCGTTTCCACCCCCCTGTTTGCGCCGGCCCCTCCCGCTGGTGTTGCTGTCGGCCGAGGCGTCGGCGTCGGCGGATGCGGCGGTCCAGCTAGCAACACCTCCCCTTCAAAAGCGTCATCTCTTCCCAACGCGCCCCCCCGACGCCAAACTTCCAACGTCCTTCTCAGCGCCGACCTCTCATCCATATTTCCTCTGTCTCTCTACAGCCTAGCGTCTATGCGAGGATCCCATCGCTCACTATAATTCTACCAAGATGCCTAAGGGTCCAAAGTCCATCGCGGTGCTGTGCGCCGAGCTGGGCATGGACGGAGTTGCCGAGTCCAACCTCCGCAAAGATGCTCAATCTTACCTCAAAGCTCAGATCGATGACCTTCCCAACGCGCCCGATGCCGCAATCGAACCTGTCGCCTGGAATTTCCTCGAGTCCGGAGGCGGTAGCCGACATTTCTCGTGGGACGCTGCGCTTGTAAGCTCGCCGTTTGACGTGGATGTTTTCATCTAGACGGCGTTGGTTTGGGTCCAGGCTAACAAAGACGCGTAGAACTATCAATGGGAAGCTAGCGAGCATCGTCTAACCATTCTCCACTACTTGACCGAGATCATGAAAATGCAACGGTGGTATACCATTGATCGCCTCCATAAGCGTACCAACGGTGCCGTGAATTGTCCTGGCTGCTTGCTGCACTCTCCAAAACAGGGAACCCCGGAAACCGTCGATGGTGCCGGAACTGGTAACCACAATCACGTTGATGGAAGCGACTCCTCTGATGGTAAGCACGTCCCTTTTAGGGAGTCCCTATGTCATCGGCAGAACCTGTCGAACAGAAGGACAGCTGGCTGACTGCCGTGCCTCTTCACGTACCAGAATCCGATGCCGGAAGTATTCATCACGGTTCAGATAGAGATGCCGCCCTCCCACGCAGCGAAAGCAGAAAGCGTCACCGTGCTAGCCGTGACCGCTTCTCTGAGTCCGGTAAGAAGCGGCGCAAATCAGTAGGGCCACATGAAGAGACCGGCACAGACGGCACCTCGAGAGAAGAGATTCAGCCACAAACCGCGTCTACCTACACCACGGTCATCTCGAATGCTCGACCTTCAGCCAACTCAAACGCGCATGCGGGTTTCACACCAGTCAACCCGACAGTCGTTGTTGAAATACCGCGCCCGTCCAAGCCCGAAGCTCAATCCTCCACGCCGGCTTCTTCTCAAACGCTTACCCTCAAGGATTTCAACCTCTCGATGCGCTACCGGGGCAAGCAGTGGCACTTCAACAGCATTGCGCACAAAGCCAAGGTTCTCGAGCAAATCCTCTTGCAAGAGGAGAAGGACGTCGAATCCTATCCAATCTTGGCGTTCGCCAAAGGGGCCAAGAAAGCAGCATATGGAGGCGACGAAGATTCTGCCGGGGGCGACAGTGTCTTGAAAGACTACTTCCGCTTCTACTCGCATTTCATGAACGACCGATTCCCGGGCAATGAGAAGTTGTTGCTGGAAAACGGAGTAAGGCCGTCGGCGTAGTCTGCGGCGGGATTCAAACAATCTGGGCTCTTCCGGACGTTACTTGACATAGGCAAGAGCTCCTGGCCGGTGTTGGCACATCATTCAAGGAATAGCGCAGGTGTTGAGCGTGGGTCACGAGGAGATCATGGCTATTGGAAAAAGGCAGGGGGTGGAGATACATGTCTTTTCATGTCATACGTCTTGTCATTTTTGAGAGAGTGCTCTGGCTATATATTGAATAATCAGCTATTTCACCTATTTCCCGAGGCCGTAGCTCGACGGCATGATCCCCAGCTATCGGATTTGGCTGTGACGTTCCTCTAACCGTTTCAAGAGGAGCACATCGGACGGAGGCTTTACGCTTTCTTCAGCCCGCATTCCCTGCTCCAAACATCTCTCTTTCATTGGCACCGACTCACTAGAGTCTGTGGTGTCATGTCGATTATGGTTCGTCATCACACACTTCTCTGATTGCAGTTCAGATATTCAGTTCCAGATTCTAGATTCTACGTCACCGCGCCGAGACACCGGACTGAAGCATGTTCGTCTTCCCAGCCTCATCCCATCCAATAGTTGCAAGTGACACTAGCGACGACACAGTGAAGAACGAAAATCGATGGAGAACTGGGATCCAAACAGTGGAGTAACTGATGCAGCAGTGGGGTGGATGTTCCTCCTGGAGACGAACCCCAGTCGCATGACCTAGTCGACCATGGCAGACTTGCTCAAGGCGATTCCCGATCTCGACGTTCAGGAGTATTAAGTCTGCCGCTTTTGGACCAAGTCAACTATGGTAGAGGTACCCAACGAGCTCATGGCATCAAATCTTCCAAACACTCAAACACATGCCCGGCCGTGATGTCCTCATTCAAAGTGTAAGCTTCAGGGAGAGATGGATCGATGTCAATATAGACATTCCGTCCGGACCGTGACAGCCGGGCGGGCTCAAAGAAATATCATGAGATGGGTAATCCAGATTTCTTGTATCGAGGTAACGCAGTCGTCTGAGCCCCCGATCACTGCGAATGCGCATGTGATTATTTTGCAAAAAGATACTCAGGTTATGTTTGTCTGCCCCTTCCTGAAAACCTCAGCTACACTCAACTAGCCACCAGGAATTCGTTTGAAAACATGGCAACTGTGCTAACTTCTGTGACAGCCGCTCAACGGCTAGACTCCCGCGGTAAACCTACCGTCCAGGTCGACGTCGAGACCTCCGATGGGAAATTTCGCGCCATTGTGCCGTCGGGGGCGTCGAAGGGCGATTACGAAGCCGTCGAGCGACGAGACGGCGGGAAGGCGTTCGGAGGAAACGGCGTCCTCGAAGCGGTGCAGAATGTCAAGGAAGTCATTGGCCCCGCGCTCATCGCCAAAGGGTTTGACCTGAAGGCGGGCCTGAAAGAGATAGACAGCTTCATGATCGACCTGGACGGGTCCTCGGACAAGAGCAATTTGGGTGCCAATGCCATCCTCGGGGTCAGTCTGGCTTGTGCTAGGGCATGTGCGGCAGCAAATGTGAGTTGCAAAGGGATTGTTGTTGTTGTTGCCGTCTCTCACCGAGCAATGCACTGACGAATCTATGATCAAGGGGATCCCGTTGTACGAGTTTCTGGCGCGCGAAACTCAATCACGCCGGCAGGACTTCGTCCTTCCCGTACCGTTCTTGAACGTGCTCAATGGAGGGGTCCATTCCGGGAACCCGATGGCGTTTCAAGAATTCATGATTGCACCGGTGGGAGCCGCCTCCTTCGCCCAAGGCATCCAATGGGCGGCTGAGGTATATCAAGAGCTGAAGGCAATCATCACCAAGACGTTCGGCAAGGCTGCCATCGGCATTGGCGACGAAGGCGGTTTCGCGCCGCCCATCTCGAAGCCTCACGAAGCCTTGGATCTCATCACGGAGGCTATCAAAGCCGCCGGATACGAGGGACTTTTCAAAATCGGGATCGATCCCGCCTCGAGCGAGTTTTTCCACGACGGCCAATATGACTTGGGCTTTAAATCAAGCGAGCCTCAGAAACTGTCCAGGGCACAGCTGACAGACTTGTATCAGGGTCTGGTCGGGAAATATCCAATTGCGCTTTTGGAAGACCCCTTTGCCCAAGACGACTGGGACTCCTGGAGCGCCTTCAACCAGATCTGCAAGGTCAGCAACGTCGAACTGGTGGGCGACGATCTCCTGGCCACGAATATCCGGCGGATCGAAAAGGCCTCCCAGGCCGACGCCTGTAACTCTCTGCTCCTAAAGGTGAACCAGATCGGGACCGTGAGCGAGGCCATCGCCGCCGCAGAAAAGGCGTTCAAGCTCGGCTGGTCTGTCTTTGTGTCTCATCGCTCCGGGGAAACGACGGACGACTTCATAGCGGATCTGACGGTGGCGATTGGCTGCGGCCACTTGAAGTCTGGTGCGCCGTGTCGGGGCGAACGAGTGGCCAAATACAATCGCCTGATGGATATCGAAGAGGAGCTGGCGGCGAAGAAGATTGCCTCTTCATATGCCGGAGAGGCATTCAGGTATGCTCACGCCAATGCCGGAAGCTGAGTTTCCAACGCTATAGAGCCGGGATGATGGGTTAGAATGCCTTCGGCCGTCTTGATCATATTACACTTGTTGTGCTAGAACAGGGAACAGTGAGCCGCATAGGATCTATTGTCAACCCCGTGTCATTTCCTGCCCCTGTGTCTCCAGACGCGCCCTCGATTCAAGTTCTTTCTCCCGTGCCCGTACCCGTACCTCCTCATACCTGGCCCGACTACTTACTTTGCTTTTTCCTGTCTGTTTCTCAGTTTCGTTTGGATTTCCCGGCCCAGTCCCTTACGACGTCTCACCGTCTTTTCCAATCGCGTTATTATCATATCGTAAGTCTCCAGCAATTCGCTAGCCTTCGAAAGGATGCTATCATTCATATTTGAGGCCTCATACCATTTCGCTCTCACCTTGCTCAGGTTTTCTTTCATCCTTGCCGTTTGCAACTCCAGTTCTTGTTGCACCTCTGCCATCGCTAGCTCGTCCGCTTTGCCCATTGCCAGATCTTCCGTACGGGTGTTCAACTCTTCCTGCAAAGCGAGTCGCACCTCGTTGGATTCCTCCAAGTCCTCGATCAGTGCGGAACTCTCGTCCAAAATATGTGAAAGGTTCGGATCAATCTCCTTCACCAGCTCTTGTATGTCCGCTGCTAATCTCAACATCAGCATGTGCCTCTCCTTGGCTCCCGTCCATATCTCTTTCGAGATTCCCATCTTCTCAGACGGCACTTGAGCACGAGGATGACCCCAGAGCGTCTTTGCAGCCTTCCAAATACACTCGTGAAGCCTCTCACAGTGACTCCACTGGCTTTTCCCGAACTTGCCGGTGTATTCCACGGTGTCGACAAACTCTTTTAGAATCTCTTTGCATACGCCCTCGGTATCGTCATCTCCATCCTTGTCAAAAATGAAATCCACCAAGTACGTCTTGTTGCTGCACAACTCTGGATCTAGCGCCAGCGACAATCTATGTTCGTCAAGATCCCATTCAACCGCTGCAAACATTTGTCCGCCTTCTTCAGAACATTCTCTGCATGAGGTGAGATCTTTCCGGCTCGTCTGACAGCACAAGAGGTTTGCATTTTGACCCTACCGGAATGTGCAGAAAGGATCGGTGGCGTTTTCAATTATTTCTCCCAGGCACCTGCGCATGCATTCACTTAGAGATGCTTCCTCGAAAGGGCCCTCCTATCTTCTCGATTAGCAGCCGCGACCCAGCCCTTCAAGGCACGACTTAATGGCAGGCCTTACCGTAACCCAGATGCCTTGTTTGGCATCCCCCTTGAAGCTTTGGAATCCCGACGCAAGGCCTCTTGAATTCGCCTTCCATGAAAAAAGCCGATGATCATTCTTGACGAGGCCACTCCCTGGTGATCCTGCGGAAACGCCTTTCAAACTTGAATCGATCAAGACACTAGTCCCTGGGCACAATGCCACGCGATGCTTGCCAATGTCAATGTAGCGAAAATCGTACACGTCCGGATGTCTCTCTTTGAGGCAGTTGACCACCTGGCCAGCAAATGAGGTGCATCGACCGGGCAAGGACGACAGGTCTTCGAAATCCGACGGATCATGGTCCATGATTCGCTCCCACTGATCCTGCAGGAGCCTTGGGTTGCCCACATACTGCTCATAGGTGATCCCGGCCCTCCGAATCAGAAAATCAAGCATTTGGAAAGTTCCGAATGGCGTGTCGTTGTATTTTTCAACCCAGCAAGCTTGGGCCAAGGAGGCCGCTTCAGAGCTCTGTGCCGTGGACATCGTCCCCCGAGCGAAGGATCGCGAAGGTTACTGACAGACAGGCCGGATTCCAAGAAGCGCCCGGAGTTGGTAGAGACACGGGGAAATCGCAACAAGTTTCTCGAACCACTGTCGAGTATACAAGTATTCAAGTGCTGAAGATGCTTAGACGGGGCTGGAAAAAGAGGCGCGTGGCCAGCGATGCTTGGGGGGAGCCCGGCCCCATTTGCCGCCCACGGGCCTGATGATCGTTTCTTGTGATGAACAGCAGATGGTAGGCGAGCAGGCGGCTCGGCAGCACCCTAATCACTCACCTACTGCTTGTTACTGCTCGTACTTCGGAATGGCGGCTGGAAAGGGACGAACCGATGTTCTCATATCCACCAATGTCCCCGCGTTACAAATACTCTGCCCCTCATCCTCCTGGTTTTGCGACGCTCCCTGCATCCTCCTCGATCCGTCCAGCAGCTTCTAATCGACAGTCCTGAAGAGCTGTATTGGACCCCTGTATTTACCAAACACCTTCCTCCGGTCAGTTGAAACAAAAGCAACACCTCTCCCGCCCTCTACAATGTCTTCCCAAAACCAGCCTTGGAAAGCGAACTGGCCGAACAACGTCGACAAGCGCGCCAGCGAAGAGTCGAGACACGATCCGTCGTGCTTCTCAAAGAGCTTGGGCGGTGGAAAAGGCGCGCAGCCGCTACAGGATGCTTCCGCTGACGGGACCAAAGTGCTGCGGTTGGACACGATCGAGGCATTTGTCAAGATGCTCGAGGCTCGCGGGACTAGCTAGCAACGAGGATATTTTACGCGGCTGATTGACATGGCTCATTCTGTGCTCAGGCCGCCACCCCCGCGGACTCGAGCTGATGCCGCGACATTGCTGCAACAACGTGAAGCATGGAGATCACCATTCCGGCGAGGTGGGCTCTACTGACGAGAGACACACGTTGGCTGGGAAAGAGTTCACGCTGGAGATCCACGACACCGAGCATTGACACAGCGCAATTGAATATCAAATCTTTGTTCCCTTGGATGTAGCAAAAACCATCCCGCGTGCCGTCCAAATTGAAATTCAAACCCCGAGATCAGTAGACCACAAGGACCCGAAATTCAATGCTCTCGCGCGGAGCACCATCGGTCGGTGCGCGGGGGTCTAGAAACGACGCATGTGGCACTATCCAGACGCCCACGTCATCAATCTAGTGATTTCCAAAGCCATCCCAGGTCGTGGAAGAAAGTGTGCAATACGTACCTTCTCCAGGCACGACCGAATCCGCCGCTTTGAAGATCAGCAGCTCGTGCGCCTGCTGGTTACTCAGATAGTGCCAGCGCTGCGCCGGGTCGTAGAGGACATGCTGCGACTCCAGGGACTGTTGGGCGTGGACCTCGTCCAGCGCGACCAGATGCTCGGGTTGCAGGGACTGCAGGTCGCACAGGGCGAGGGGCCAGTCGCGGAGGGGGCCCCGGAGAGGCTTCCAAACACTAGGCGGAATGGCGGTCAGATCGACAGACAGCCTGCAACGAGTGGGCACAGCAGGAGTCGGCGGGCGGGGGGCATCATCACTACTTCAGCATCTGAAAGCGACGGTCCTTGACCAGGGAGGCCTTCTCTCCCGGGACCAGCTGGTCCACCAATTTGTGCACGTAGCCGGGCGTGTAGTCTTTCTTGCTTCAATCAGGTTCCGAACCCCTTTCATGTCGTTGAACCATGACCCCTTTTCTCACCTGTGTGTGCGATTGGGATGGGTTGTCCATACCCTTGATGTGTGGCACCGGCATCGCTCGGACGTTTTCTCAACTTGGGTTTTGTTGTTGTCAGCGGGGGCGTCAGTCACTCACGCCATCCCGTCGGCGAACACAGAAGGAAAACCACTTTGTACGCACCACACACTCGTGGATGAAGACCGCACGGGCGCCCAGAGTCTCGAGCAGCAAGTGGCGCAGCTCCGCGGCGTAGACGTCCCGGAGCGCCTTTTCGTCCCGGATGTTCTCGTAGCGGAGGGCACTGGCCAGCGAGGCGACGATGAAGCCGTGCCGGTCCAGGTCCAGGGCCTCGAGGGACGGTCGCATGTCACGAACCGGGATGTTGGGCACCGTGTGCACCTCGTAGTTGGACGTCGGGGACTCGTCCGTGGGGATGTAGAGCAGTTCGTAGGGTTTTTCGTCCGACGGCCACGACCCGGGTTTGATGAAGACCATTGAGGCCGTGGTGTCCCATCCTCCGTCATTCGTCACCATGGCTCTGGGAAGTTACTGATAACAAAGAAAAAACCCCCAGGGGAGGCTCTTAATCCCGTGTGCGCGCCAACCTTGCAACAGACTGCAAACCACGGCTTTTCATCGCCCTGTATCCGAAATGGTGACTACTACAGCGCTCTCCTGGGGGTTTGCGGCGATTGAGGCGCCCTGCTGCCTGCTCGCTTGCATGACGCTAACAACATCACTGGTCAGGCTCGCAGGTCTTCTGGACGGACTGTACCAGACTTTGCTCGGCTGTCGCCCCCAACGCGCGGTGATGGGTGGGGGGTTTTTTGGGGGCTCTCGATACACACGATACACACGCAGGCCTTGCTGTCCATCTTCTCATGTGCAGTTTGTCTTGGCGTGCTCTTTGCGTGCACGGGCCACAACGACATCGCCATGTCGTTATGTCTTGGCACTCCTCAACTTCGGCGTGGCATCGTCTCATATCTCCTAGGCTGCGGGTTGATTCCCAAGAATCTGGTGGCCCCAGGCAAAATTCACCTTGACTGCTTTCGGCCACGACGACCAAACAGCGATATCCCTTTCACCACATCGGCCCAGAAGCAACACAGCAGGGCAAACACAAACACCGGAACAGAAGTCACGGCCCAGATCCACAGACTCAAGTCGGGGCCCAGTTCGCGGAAATTCATCCCGAAAAAGGACGTGGTGAACGAGAGCGGCAAAAACAAGAAGGCAAGCAGGCTGAGCCGGGTTACGCTTCGGGCCTGCTCCGTCGCCTTGCGCGACTCGGCAAGCATGTTGCTGGTCCTGATCTCGTCGATGCGTTCGTTGTAGCGCTGTGAGAGTTCCTGGGCTTTCCGGAGCAAGCCGTGGAAATCTCGGAGAAGCATCGAGGCAGCTGCCTCCGTTCGCTGGACCTCGCTTTCGTGTGCTGCGAGGAGGTGTTCGGGGCCTTGTTCAGGACCTGCCGGGGGGCTTTGCCTGTTCGGTGGTCTTGGGCGCTTCGGTCGAATCCAATGGGGGTCCCATCTGTTCTGAATGCAGTCGATTGTGCGCTGAAGCTGGGAAGCGTGGTCTCGAACGATCATGTTATGGTACCTCAAGTTGGTGAGTTCCTTTTCCAGCTGGCTTATGGTACTGTATCTTCGAGTGTTCGACAGGTATTTCGCGTTCAGCATGTTGAGGAATTGATTCTCGGCACTTGCCACAAAGGCAAATACATCATGCAGAGCATAGAATGCGTCGACACGCATCGTTGGAGCGTGGAGGTAGTATCCGTATTGCTCGCCGGACAAGAGAGAGGTGCTTTGGGAAAAGGGCCGTCGTTGTGCTGTGACGGGCGGATTCTCGCCTTCGTCGGCACCTTGAAAGCAGACTCTGGGTTCCTTCATGATGACCGGGCTGAAAATCTCCTCCACCCTGCTGCATTGATGTAGACTGCTATCCCACGCCCCAACCCAGCCTTCGTCGAGATCGCGGCCACTGTCGATGAGGATTAGAGCTAGTTGCAAGTCAGTCACTGAAGCCTGGCGAACCAGACAGACTCACCCAGCCACCCTTCCCCCCTTTTGATAATTGAGATGTGCACGTCTTGTTCAATCGAGAAATTCTGCTCGTCGTGGATGGAAACCTTTCGGACAATTGATTGTCCCACCGGGCCCAGGACACTGCCGCTCATGCGAGTCGGCTCCAGCACCGAGGAACCACCATGCACGGATTGCGCATGGCCGACGGTTCGGTGCCCGATCGACGTGACGGTCAGCTTTGCAATGTTGCAGGCCGCAGATGCCAACGCCGGAAGATCAAACGTTGCGTGTCCGGAGGTCAAGGGTAAGTGCTGCCAGAAAAGCTCTGGATCTACTCGGTAGCGCGCCCCGATCGCATTGACCCATTCTGGCGACGGCAAGCCTCGTAGGAACACCAATTGACCACAGTGATCTGCCGGCAAGGGATGATTGTGGAAATCCTGGAGCCCCGTGAGGCTGTTGAAGCGCGTAATGCGACGCCCGGCCGGCGTCAAGTCGTGGATGATGAGAATGTCGTGCTCACGCGAGAGCCCAGGGGCTTGGCCCGCTCCCGCCGACGCGCGCGAGTTTTTGTTTCTCAGGAATAATGCCAACGAGCGGTAATTTGTGCCCGTAAACAGATGATGTTCTTTGGACCGAAGGGAGTGCCGGTGCACGGCTGCAGCGTAGTCTCGAGGAGCATGTCTGTTTGGGTCTGGCGGATTTCTCGAGCCAGGCGCCGAAGGGGGCTGCAGGTTTGCCATGGTCGTTTCCTCGCAATGCTGTTTAATACATTGTCGGATGTTCGCACTCGAGTGAAGAGTGAGAATCGGAGTCTGGCACGGTTACAAGAGCGCAGTCGAAGTGTTCCTTTTTGCAAGATTTGCCATGACCACGAGAAGAGCTGTGCTCAGCCACGCTGCGGGCAGCCGCTTGAGGCTCAGCCTCCTGATCGCGCGAACCACGTTTACATACGGTTCTACGGTTTGCTGCCTTGTCCCAAAGTGCGAAGACCATTCAGAGCCTGGATCCTGTGGGTGGCCCCGGGCCAAATTCCAAGTTCTGCTGGATCTTAAAATGCTCCGACTTTGGGCAATCGATTCCTTTACTTGTGCCAGTGGGGAACAAGCGAGTCCAGGTCGCTTTCGTTGAACACTCGCCCAGAATTGGTGCACAGCTTCTGCAACCACATGTTGCCAGTGCTTCGTGCATGAGTGGCCTCGTCCACGGACCCAAGGGCCAACTCGAGATGGGCGAGTGCAAATGCGGCTTTGGCCGTTCTGGCGGCAAGATCTGGTCTCTTGCTGTATACATCGACAGACTTCTTGAGCATTGCGCTGGAACACTCAGTTACTGCCCGGGTCCGAAAGCTAGAGTCCTACTCACCATGCTTCCTCACTTTGGCCAATTGCTCTGTACGCTTTCGCAATGCTGTAGTATAGGCCTGCGACTCGGAAATGAGTTGCACCAACGGTCTCGTGGAATTGAGCCAAAGCTTTGAAGAAGATATCAAGGCCCTCGGCGAACTGGCCCTGAGCGCATCGGGTAATCCCTAAAGCATGGAGAGCAACTCCAGCCCTTTATTTGTGAGCGTAGGAATCTAAAACGATGAAGTTTGGCTCACTTGAACGACTCACGGTCCAAGTTTCCAAAAGCAGCTTCCCTATACCGCAAATAATCTTCGAGGACCTGTGATGCTTCATCAAGGCGTCCAAGATTGCACAGCGCCTGGCCCTTGTTGATGGTGGGCCATTCGGGATATTCGCTGCTCGAAGTCGCGGCATATGTCGCTATGGCCAGGTCGGCCTGCAGAATAGCGTTCTCAAACTGCCCTGCCGCGAGATAGGCCACGCAGAGCTCATTATATGCTTGCAGAAGCCGCCATTGGTCCTCGTTGCGAAGATCACAATTTTCGAATATTTCAATGCAGGACCTGGCGTGTTTGATGGCCATGGCAGCATCATGCAGGACGAAAGACATCTCAGCCAAGCAGAACTCATTATCTCCACGTGTAATGGCTGTTGTCTCTGGGGCAATGTTACAGATCTTTCGGCAGGCTTCGAAATGAAGTCTTGCTTCCGCAATGTTGCTCCGCTCAAAGTGGTACCTGCTTGTCTCAGCGACTTGAAGTGATCGAGCAGAGCAAACTCACCAGCCTGCGTCCATGAGCAAGCGTGCTAGCTTCGGCTGTATGCCTTCCACACGTTGGAATTTGTCATCTGTATCGCAGAGACGACCCATACTGGCCACGTGGCTGACGAGCCGCTCACAACAAGGCCATCTTTTCATATCATAGTCGAATTCGCCAAATGGCCACGAGTGGTGCAGGAGTTCAACCACGGCTTTGAAATTTGCTTGAAGTGCGGTTTCGTTCAGCCGCGCGCAAGTGGCATCTTGCAAGATTCGATGAATCGTGATTTCTTGCCGCTCTTTGTCACGTTTGATGAGTGAGGATGTCAAAAGTTCAGTGCGAGAATCGATGAAGCTTTGAGTAGAGCTGGGGTAATGAGGGGGCAGGAGATTCTCTTGAACGCCTTGGCCGCAGCATAACAGCTCTTCTGAAATTCGATCTGGATCAAGGAAGGCAATCACACCGAGCAAGGCTGTAGCAGTGGCGCCGATGTCCTCAAATGCCCAAACGGTCCATAGCGTTTTGACTCCTGGTCCCGTCTCGAGGCTCACCTTGTGGAAGTCAGTCCGGAGTGCTTCTTGTTCATACAGCTCAGAGAACTCTGCTAGGGATAAATCGCGCCGAATGATTGTACCCGAGATCTGATTAATGGCGAGTGGCAGCCCAGACAACTTCCGCGCGATATCTTCAGACGTTTCGAGGTCCTTGCTCTGGTTGCGGCTGGTCAGGCGGCGTATTAAGCTGCCGGCCGTTTTCGTATCCAGCGGCTCGAGGTCAATTCCATCAGACACCGAGACGTGAGACCGAGACTTCGCAAGAGGATCTCGACTAGTAATTAGAATCGAACCATTGCCTGAAACTGGCCAGAAGTCGCGCAAAATAGCCAAGTTGTCAGCGTTGTCAAAGACCAGCAGCCACCTTGGCTCCGCTCTCCCATTTGACCCAGCCCTTTGCGTGGAATCGTACAGTTCATGTACTGGCTGTGACAGCCACCCTAGAACAAGGTCTTTGGTCACTGTTTGATTGGTAGCATTAGCGTCTGTTGTCAGACCAATTGCCCTGGATATATCCGAGAACGCTTGGGATAGTTTCGAGGCGTCGCTGGAATTCAAGAAAAAGATCGCATCGAACACGTTTCTGCTTTCAAACGCATAATGGGCAGCCACTTGTGTCTTTCCAACGCCCCCGATACCACAGAGCGCGAAGGTTCTAAGACCAGCGGACCTCGAGTGATGGTCGTTTGGTTGAGGGGGATGAAGTGCCTGCCTTATCTGCTGCAAGACATCTTCGCGTCCTACAAAGTCGGGGCTGGGACTGTGAGCTTGGATGAAGTGTATTGGAAGATTTAGTGTCGTCTTGCAGGTGGCAGAGCCATTTCTGAGCGGGACTACCTCGTAGCCCGAAACATCCGAAGATCCAGCGATTGCATCGGTGCTGTCATTATTGTTTTCAGGTTCTTGCGGAGGACAAGCTGATATCAGTTAGGCACAGAGGTAAACAGTGGGATTTTCGAAGGAAGATACTAATTTCATGGGCCTCGGATGCAGTAGCAGTCCAGGCCACAAGGCTAGGTGGGCCTATATTTCGTGGTCAGCAAGGAATGACAAGGTGGAGAGGCTGCTTACCTTGCCGGCTAGATGGGGCAGAGGTCCGCAAATAAGTATCCTGTGCAATCCTCAAGAATGCAGAAAGACGTTGGTATAGCTCTGTCCCGGGCAAGATTTTGCAAATTTCATTATGACTGGAGTCGGATTTGACCAGATACTCGTTTTTGGCTTGGGTCGCGCAAAACTCGCGGTCAACAAGCTTGAGGTGCGTCAAAGAGACGGACTCTAACGGAACTGCTTCGACCTACTATTTCTCGCTTCGAGTTTAAAAACGCAGAAGGCAGCTTTGTCGCTTTTCCTTCATAGACTGATAGCACCGGGACTTCCGGGACGACTTCATCAAAAGATTGGCAGATTCGAGCAATGGTGGAGACGAGTGCGATGCTAGACCCTATAACGCTCTTTGGAAGTCTCGTGCTGGATCGCAGAAGCAACGGAAGCTTTGACCAGAGTTGCGAATTTTCAAAGGTCGGATGCGGCGCCCCAAGGAACACGATCCCCGCGAGCCGTGCAATGATGTCCTCAAAGGTGCGCCGATAAAATTGACTGCAGAGGACTGCAACAACCTCTCAAGAGTCAGCAATGCCATGGCTAGCTTTGTATGTTGTGGCGCACTCGTTTGACCACCAGACCTCCCACGCCATGACCTACAAAGAAAAGCGGCCGCGGCAGTCCCTGGTCGAAATCAGCACGTACAAGATGAGTAGCGAGCCCCCTTACAGAGGAACCGCTGACTTCGCCCAGGACCACTTCCAATAAGGAGTCCCCGCAATGAACGATTTGGTCCCATGAGAAATTATCGCCGCTCCCGCGACTGTAGCGGAACTCGAGAACAATGGGATGAGCCAATACTCCAGGCAAAAGGGACCGCAGCCATGAAGAGGAACCTTCTGCCCACGAAGTTGCGCTGTGGGGGTTTCCAATATCAGGAACAATGATCACCCTGTCCACAGCATTTAGCTTGAGTCGGAATGATGGAATTTCGATTGCCCTACGTGGCCTGGGGACCCTGATCGGACTGTGCGTCGCTGGGAAATAGCGGGGTGAGGGCTGCCTGAGGGTCAATGATGGAAACCATGATTGATATATGCAAGTGATTCTCATCACCAAAATCATCGAGAAGAATGGATGGCGATAACGACTAATCCCGGCTCGCACCCAACTTCATCAAAGGGAGATGTCAAGATATATATTTGTGCCCCGTGGGGAGAACCTATGCAGCCTCACCAGCCCGTACTTCAGTGGAAGGCTGAAGGCTGAAGGCTGAACGAGGCTCGAGCCGCCGAGCCGCCTGTTGCTTCGTATCCGCGCCTTGGCAATTGATCGCTCACCTTCTTGACTTGGACACCATTGTTGTTTTGTCACGCGCCCTACACAAGTGGCTCGGGAGAGCGCCAGCTGGTGCCAGGAGCCGAAGAGCTAGTGGATACGAGGTACGTGAGTGGGCAACTCGCCACCATATCTTTTCGGCGACAGCCTTGCGAGAGCTTGTCAATCACAGAAAGAAAGCTCTGCCCGACGCACGAGTAAATGCCCAAGCCTCAAAGTATCTCTCACCCACCGTACAGCCATGTCAACATCACAAGAGAGCACGGGATACGATGCTTGGTCCCTGCAAGACAGCTGGGCTTATGTTTTCACTCTCACACCATACACAACGTTTTGGATGATCGATTTCCTTCTGAAGAAGGCGAACCTTACGTATGAAGACTACGTTGAGAATCCCCAGGCTCTACGGGAATCTCGTATACACCACTTGATTGACGCGGAAATCGACTTCGAGGAATTATTGCGGCAGCCAGGTCGATGCACTTCATTCGCGATCCAGGTAGCCCGTGACATCAAGGCGGAGGCAGGCCATAAGGAACAGCATGACTTTCAATTTTATAATCTTGGTCGTCACCGTATAGCACGATGCACAAAAACCGGATTGCTCATCGATTCGGCTTCACCAAGTGGTATCAGTGTCTTGCGCGAGGATATGTTAGTCCAGGAAATCCAGGCGCGAGCGGCGAGATGGAGCTCTCGTCTCTCGTCCGGGCAACAACAACTCGACCCATGGGTCCCGGTAGGCTATCCCGCCTCTACTAACTCGAAGCTTCCAGAATATTTTCTGACCAAAGCAAGGGACCATCCCAAGAACCCCTGAGTCAGACTCAGTGTATGCGCATCTGCTTGCATGAGATTATATCGGAGGACAAAAACCCGTTCTGCTTATTTCGGTATGACTAGATCCTTTGTTTCATTATCTTCCGCAAATAGCACTGAGTGTATACTTGCCAAGCGGTTCATGGTAGGCGGAAATTGCGTAGTCTGAGATACGAGCCTCGGACATTAGCCTGCTTCTTGACCAGTGAGCAACATCGCATGTGGCTTGTGACTGATCCTCTGACCCAACGAGTCTAGTACCTCATCAGATGAAGCGGCTAATGTGTGACCACATGCAGACAGCTATCCATTGCTGCTGTCACAGAGCACTTTGGACTCGTGAGCTGGGAGCTTGAGGAACGGAAGCTAGAACTATTGAACACCCGAGGCAAGCGTGGAACTGCTGGCCAAGCGTTATACAACTTGAGGCACACAGAGGAGTTTGTTTGGGATGAGTACGGCGATGCCGAATCTGAGGCCGCATGTCGTCAAATCCTCAACCGCTTCATCGAGGGTGCCACAGTAAGTGGCAGTTTCGGAAAATATCAGTGGGAGACCTGCAAGGCCTTCCACGAGTCAATTTGGTCTGCTGCAAATAAAGTCTGGGGGACTCGGCCTCGTCATCGCACGAATTGGCTCGACGACGACAACCTCAACGCGTTTGAGCTGGAGCTAGACCACCAAGAAATGATTATGAAGGATATACGCGAATTCGAGGAGGAGCAGGAGGAGCGGCAAAGGAAGAACAATTTGTCCATCTTAAGAGCATTGGAGCGTAAGCAGGAGGAAGAGGAGAAGCAAATGGAGTACAATTCGTCGATCTTAAGATCATTGGAGACTGATGAGGAGGCGATGTCGATGGAGGAAAATCTGACTCGCTTAAGAGCCTTGCAGCGTGAGGAGGAGGAGAGACAATGGGAGTACAATTTTGCAATGGAGCGTGAGGATGAAGTTAAATGAGGTGTTCAACTTCAGCACAAACAGAACTGTCTTTGTCATCGTCGAGTTGGGGGAAATCTTCTCCTCTGGTATTCACTTGAACAGGACGAACGGCGAGACTCAAAAAGGGACCTAGGATATGTTGTCTCATGCTGAATGGATATCAATGCATGTAGCTAAATCATCGACTTTTGCTTTCTCCATCAACGCCTCAGACATACGGCTTTTTGTAAGCCAATAGGCGAAGGAGAATACTATATTTCATGACATCTTCAGGAGACGGAGGACTTTTGGAGATAGCGGAGGGAGAATATAGTGGCTCAAGTCATGCGAGAGGTGACGAACAGGGTCAGTGGAAATAAGGGTGGTGATGTCTTGTCCATATTTCCAATGCAATGTTTGAAGTGATCGTTTGAGGACTGTGCCACCAAGGGAGCGGAAATACACATCATTAGAATCCAGATCCTCAACCAACGCGGTGATTTCGTGACCAGGGGGGAATTGCCGTCTGGTCCGGGCGGAATAGACAAGCTCCTATATCACTGGTACGGGAAGCTCCGCGGGTCCAACTTACTTCAATACGATCTTCCTTTTAGCTGAGCGTTGTCTGCAGACATCAAGGTAACCGTTGAGCTAAGTGCAAATTGTGACCGTGCTATGAACTGAGGATTAATCATGAGTGGGGAGGAATGGAAGGCAAGATGATACAAGCAAACTCCAGTTCCTAGTCCACCCTCATGGAGTATTGTTGGTTCCTTCGCCCAATCAATGACCTTTGTTTAAGAGTAAGCTTTCAAAATGGTGAAAGTATTCCGTCCTACTGATCCTTCAAGCGCGCTCGCGGTTGCGTCAAGTACCTTCTATCTGGGTCCTTCACTTATAGTGCGTTAATCGCTCGATCAGCACAGCAGCCCCAGGCAGTGTCGTTGATCATGACATCGAACAAGCACACCACGGCAGTCGAGACCTTCGTCACGATCCCACATACGGCACGTCCATGAATCCAAAGTGGACAAGCGAGTATGTTGTCTTCCGAATGGAGTGCACGGCTATACCGGTTGACCTCAAACATGTGCCGACTGGTGAGCCGTCGTACTCTCCGCGGGACCCGTCTCAAACGATCGGCCCATTTATCAACAGATCAAGTCGAGCTCAAGGGATAAATTTGCTAATCTCACCGATGCCCTACCGCTTTGGCCTGTAGTATCCTCATCTCCTGGTGGAACAACAGGTCAGCTGGCACCTATGACGTGGATGTTGGTCGAGGTCAATCGTTAGCATTCGTCTTGCATGGAAAGACGGTCGACGGAAGAACCGGGCTATAAAGGCCCCTAAAGGAACAATGGTCGTTTACTCGAGCACTGTTGCTTGCATCTTTCTGCCTGTCGCGGACAAATTCTTGTCCAGAACAACCTATTACGCAAGACTCGAAGTAAAAGATTGAATCAACATGGAGACCAACGGGCAACGATATAGCGGCACAGAGAACACTTTGCAGGGCGGGACATCGGCAGAAGACAAGATTCAGGACCAACGAAATGAATACTTGACGCGCTACCAGACCGCCTCCAGTGTGGTCATCCCAAGAGAAGTCTTCGAGTCGATGTACCTTAGCCCTTACACCCAGAGGCTAGGACATCTTCGAAGCACATTTGCAAACCCTACTCCTATGTAAGTGTATTCAGACAGGAAACCTACTACCCGCAGACCGGTCAACTGACTGTCGGGTCGCAGGCCGTTGATGGGGTTCTTGATCGCTTCTATGCCTTTAGGGTGTAATCTTATGGGTTGGCGAGGCTCCGGGGGTGGTGGCGCGGCCATCATGTAAGTTCTGTCTGCTCTTTTCGTGCCCAGTTGCGTCCTTCATCCACCGACTAACTTGTCATTGCAGAGGACTATTCTTTTTCTTCGGCGGCATGCTTCAAGTCCTAGGCTGTGTGCTGGAATTCATCATTGGCAATACATTTCCCTTTGTTGTTTTCGCTTGCTATGGTAAGCCAAATGACTATGCAGCTGTTGTCAGATATTGTCTTCGAGGTGAGGGACCAATTAACACCATTCTTTTCAAGGCGCCTTCTGGTTAGCAATGGGAGCCACACTCCAGCCCGATTTTAACGCGCAGGCCTACTACACTACCCATCCTGGTGGCGCCGAACAGTTCTACTCGAGCTTCGGTGAGAATCCCTCTGCTAGAATCTGCAACTCTGCTGATGATCACTTTAACAGCATTCTTCTTCATGGTTATGGCTCTTGTGACCTTCTTCTTCCTGGTGGCTTCACTGAGGACAAACATCACGTTTGTCTTGGTGTTTTTCTTCATTGATCTCGCCTTCATTATGTTAATGGCTACCTATTGGACGATGGCAGAAGGAAAGACAGCCATTGCTGGAAAGTGTCAAAAGGTAAGTTACTCATTGTGGTTTAAGATATCACTCGACTGCGCGGAACAACGGCTGGGAACAGAAATTTCCACAGTTTGTGTCTTCAAGTGTTTCCGAGAACGGTCTACCGCATGAAGATAGACTAATTGATAAACAGGCTGCCGGGGCATTCGTCTTCGTTTTCTGTGTCTTCGGCTGGTATTTGTTCTTCACAATGATACTGATGGCTGTCGACTTCCCCCTTAATCTCCCCACCGGAGATCTGAGCACAAAGATTAAGGGCGCGTCGGAGAGAAAGAAGACGACCAAAGAGCAGGCCTAGGACTTACCACTGGGAGGAAGAAGGTCGTAAAGTTGTGATTGAGTAGTAATGTGTGGGGGTATCTTTGGCAAGAGTGGGGAGACATGACTTCTTGCAAAGCCTCAGGCTTGAGTCGAGGTTGTACCTTACCGAGAGATGGTGTTGATCCTGCTATGCCGATGTCTTGGTTGCACTACTAATCATCTAATCTCCGTTGCGCCAGAGTGTTCACCGGATTCCTATAATTTGGTATAAGAAAACCTCCTGGAGTGGTCCTAATCTCTCATATCCAGGACCATAGTCCTCCATTTAGACATTGGCCTGTATACACTTCCTTTCTCCTCAACTTCAAAGTATACCGAGACAAGAATAACGTACCCAGAGCAGCTGTCTCGTGAGGCCAGAGATGGTGTAGATGTAGGTATCTTAACACAGATTGAGGACCAGGAGCGGGCTGGAGGGATGTTGACATGAGCGCAGCCTTGAAATGGTTAATTCAGCGTGTCCTGCAAGACTAGTTCCAAAGTGGCTAGCCTACTTCTATCGCCCGAGATTGAATCATCCGCTGAGATTCATCAGTAGTGACAACACGCCTCCTTTCTGCTTGATCTCTCTACGATAGACAACAGATTCTCTCAAACCATACCTGCGCCAGACTTTTAGACTGACCCAACCCTTGGCTCAGTCTTGACAATCCAACCAGTTTTCTCTTCAAACTTTTTATGCACCCTGCGCCCTCTGAAGCCTCTCAAAACGCGACTTCAGTAGAACCAACCCAGCAACTCCCCTCGCCTTCTACACAGCATGGACTTCCAGACGTTGAACATGAGGCCTCTGGCGGCTTGCCCTCCACGAGAAGCCCCAGTGAACCGACTCCAGATGCAGATGAACCGTTTGACAATGTCTCCGTACACTCCAGCGGCACCCAGCGTGGACGGTCCTCCAACGCCAGATGGATAAGCAGTCGAGACAGTTCCTCTCAAGGCTCTCCTGGTAGTCGTATCGACGAGTATGAAAGGGCACACACACAATATCGGAAACCATCCGATGGCATGATCTTCCAGGTTATTCCATCTTCGAAAGACAAGACTTCGAGGGTTTCAATTGAGAACTTCCCGAATGGTACGAGGTGAATGACACATTCGTACAAAACAGGTTCTAACAAGTTACAGAGGTTCTCACCCATATTCTCTCTCACCTCCCCCCAGAGACGCTGTCTTCGATGAGTCTCGTGTCTCAGCGGTTCCACAAATTGGTCACCACACCACACGCGTGGCGCATCGCGTTTGCCAGATACTTTCCCGGTGCGGAAGCGTTGGGTGCTGGGTCAAGCAAGGTGGCACAAGAGTCGGTATCTGATGTTGACAGAGCACAGCGCAGATCGTTCACGCGGCTGTCAGCCCTTTCTTCATGGAGAAGCGAGTATATCCTTCGAACACGATTGCTGCGTTCTCTAGGCCGCGGCCGGCCCGCAATCGAAGCAATCTCTCGGTCCGGTGCATCCCGTCACGCCAGCAGTGCAGCTGCAGCTGCAGTCACTACCTACGCATCCGGCTTGTATTACCCAGTCAGCCATTTGCACGCTACATTTGGGGTGGGCTTGAACAAGAAGCAGCCGTTGTTCATGCATGGGGCTGTAGAGCAAGGAGCTGTCACTGTCAGCGACCCGGCTAGTGGGAAACCGGGCGCCTGGGGCCTGACGGATTTCGATGCTTTCAAACACTTTGCTGATCAGTTCCCCGGCGAGTTGCCTTATGGTCTGGGTCCCGGGAATGTGGTTGGGATGGCCAATGTCATGGATCTCAGTCAGCCTTATGGGAAAGTGTATGGAGAGGCTTGTCCTGGCGGCCGTGTCTTCTACACGTCTACTAGCGAGCAGCGGGGCCGATTCGTGTCCATCTCCTCGATGGCCAACCATGCTCTCGGCATCCCTGAAACAACCATGATCGGCTGTGCTGTTTGCTCGGTCTGGATTGCCAAGTCCGAGTCTGTTCTCAAGGCCACCAGTGGCATATTCGGCTTTCTTGCAGGATTCTCGAATGGAGTTCTGGCAGCATATGCCCTTGGTGTCAATCCAGTCCATGATCGCCGCTTCGAAAAGGGAGAACTTACAGCCAAGTGGGTCCTCTGTCCAGGTGTCCCAATCATTGCAATTTGTGTCGATGAAAGGTTCTCTGTTCGGAGATCATCTTCACATCGAATTTGGGCAACTGTTCTGAATGCTCTCGGAGAGGTGTTCTACCTCACAGATGCTCCTACCCGGCCAGACTTTGTCGGCAAAGCTTCGCCCGAAGAGCTTGATCGCCTGGCTTGGAGAACGGGGAGAAGTGTACAATGGTCATTGGTCGAGGCTACACGACGCGCCGCGAAACCAGACCCCTTTGGCACAGCCAAGGTTGATGGCAGTTACAGCCCACGCATCTCGGGTGACGAGTGCGGCTTGAGCAAAGACCAAATCGTCGCTGAAACCAAAGAGGTCGAAGAATTCCTGCGGTACAAACCAAAGCACTTTCAGAACATTTGCAACGGGTGGGATATGCAGCGACGACTGATCTGTGATTTCGCTGGCGACGATGGTGCGAATGCAGGGGAGTCAGTCTTCGTCGTAGATTGTGGTTTGTATGGGAATAATGTGGCTTCGGTACGCCGTTTCACTAGGTGCATGACCAAGATCGCCGTCGATCCGGAGCTGGACAGCTGGCCCACCATTCAGTCGACCATCAAGCAGGCTTCGATCTTTGGGACGGCAAGTCCAACGCAGCAGTCTCCGTATTCCTCGCCGGCGCCGAGAAGTGTCCCCAGGTCGCGCACCTCCAGCCAAGATGACTTGGGCTCGAGGACCCGAGAGATTTGGCACCTGTCGAACTTCTCGTTCGCTGAACATCGCAACATTCACATCTCAGCCTTGGCTTCTGACGAGTCGGAGTTCGCAACCCTGAACGTCAGTGAGGATCCTCTGCTTGGAATGTCTGGTGGCTCCAATACGTCTTCTCCTCTTGCATCCCCCCTGGGTCATACTGGGACGGTAAGCTCGAGCTCGGAAATACCTGGCCACCGTGCACGTCTTTTCGGAATCGGTACGATGTCTGGCATTGTCATGCTTTGGGACATGCGTGCTAGCCTCTCCCCCAGCCCTGAGGTTGTCAACACCGTCTCACCAGTCAGGGTTATATACACAAAATCTCCTCAGATTGCATCCCTTGCCCTCACTTCGCTGTACGTTGTGCATGGTGGCAACGAAGGCCTGGTTCAGGCATGGGATCCTCTGGTGTCCACAGCTGAACCAGTCAGGACGCTCAATTCTCGGTTCTCGGACCGGGCAAGACGGCGCATCGCTCAAGCCGAAGCTTCTGTGCAGGGTGTTGGAAACAATTACTATGCTGCAGGGGCGATAGTCCTCGATCCGGATCCGACAGTCTTGCGGGGTATGGTTTCCTTGGGATCTTATGTCCGATACTGGTCTTACAGCTCCACTGCCGCCGATGCGTACAAGACGCGCAAGAGGGGTCAGCTGCGTCGCCGCTCAGAGCGTGGCAGCAATTCTACGCCAGCCAGCCAGAAGGTCAGTGCAACGGGACGTGGACTGATCAAGGACTACATCAGCAATGAAAGGCATGAGATGGAGCGGGAGAAGCTTGTCAGGCAGAAAGAGCTCGAACGTCTGAGCGGGCGATTTGGCACCAATATCCTGGGCGAAGGGGCAAGCGAGGAAGAGCTACTGGCTTATGCTACCATGCTGAGCGAGGAGGCATTTTCCAGCGACGAAAGGAAAAGGAAGGAGACCTATGGCGGCAGCTCGATTGCCTCGCCGAATCCTTCCCAAAGCGGTGCGGATAATGCGGCTGATGCGGCTGATGCGGAGCTGGAGGAAGCCCTCCGATTGAGTCTATTGGAAAGCGAACAGGTATCGTCGTCCCCTGCGATGAGCGCCAGTGACTTCGACATACCTATCAGATATGCGAAAGGCTCAAGACATGGTACGCCTTCGCGAAGTGGGAAGGCCGGGAGCAGCAAAGCAAAAGCAGCGGTGCAGGAGGAGGATGACTTGGAGTTTGCCTTGCAACTGAGTCTCGCCGAGGAACAAAGCCGGATGGCCATGGACGAAGACTTTCCCATGCTTTCCAAATCCACAAGTGGTGGATCGGAGGGAAGTGGGAAGGGAAAGGGCAAGTCTAGACGGCGTTGAGGAGATGTCTACAGCGTTTCTTTCGGGGAGATGAGGGTTCTTTGTTTTGCTACACTATTCTCATACATGTTGTGGGACTCGGTTCTATTCGTTCTTCAATGCTCTCTAGTCTTAGAAAGCAGTGGTAATTCAGGTAGATTGAATTTCTTCCTTCCAACCCAAACACCCATAGACTCTGCTGGCATCTGGTTCGAGAGATGAGACGTCGAAGACCAAGACGAAGCCGACGCCGGATCTCGGTTGGCGGCGGGCCAAGACCGGCCTTCTTCGAGCTGCGCGTCCAGCTCCAGCCTCTTGACCTGCAGCTCCAGCTTTTCCCCGAATCCATTTGTCGAAGCCTCGGCCAACACTCCGCACTCTAACTTCCACTTAACCTGCGTCCATCGGCCGCAGTTAGTTGCTCCCAATGCCAGATGTGAGCACCAGGCAAGCTCAGCAGCGATGACGGCGCCTGTCATGTCCCTCGCTCTGCTGCGGCGGGCTTCACCATCGCAACCCTTTTACAATGGCCTCAAGCGGCACTTTTCCAGCACAGTTGGGCGTGAAGCGTCATGGGGCTTCATTGGCCTGGGTGCCATGGGTTTGTGTTCCCATCCCCTTTCGATGTGAGCGGATTGTATTCTAACAAAACGTCTTCTCAAGGCTACCCTATGGCGAAGAACCTACGAGCCAAGATCCCCGAAGGGGACTCGATGACCGTCTACGATGTCAACGCTGCGGCGCTGGAGAGGTTCACTCAGGAAGCTACACCGACTGGAGTGGTCGTGGCAAAGAACCCTCGGGAGGTGGTTGAGAATGCGGTGAGTTTTGGCACCGTGGTTCTCATTCCCCTTGCATGATGAGCAACTTTGTTCTATCTATGATCTAAGTTGGGGACATTTCCCGTTTGCGGGAATTGTCCTTGCCATGATTTCCCTTTCTTTTATAGCCAATCCTCTGAAAGCAATTCCAAAACCTCGAGCCCAAAAAAAAAACAAACCCTGATACAGCTCAGAAGAACGGTGCAGACTAACGGTTGTGTCCTCACGACATATAGGACAATATCATCTCGGCACTCCCCGAACCCCGACATGTCAAGGGTGTCTTTGAAGAAATCCTCGCCTCTTCCCTCCCCAAAGCTCCCACGGGGCCGTCGAGACTGTTCATCGACTGCTCGACGATCGACCCCATCACCTCGCGCGAGGTGGCCAAGATGGTCAAGGACAAGGCGGGCGCCGACTTCGTGGACGCACCCATGTCCGGCGGCGTCGTGGGGGCGCGCGCCGGCTCGCTGACGTTCATGGTCGGGTGCGAGGAAAAGGACATCCCGCAGATCGAGAAGATCCTGCTCCTCATGGGCCGGAAGGTGTGGCACATGGGCCCGCAGGGGACGGGCCTGAGCGGGAAGCTGGCCAACAACTACGCGCTGGCGATCAACAACATCGCGTGCGCCGAGGCCATGAACCTGGGCATGCGGTGGGGCATCGAGCCCAAGGCGCTGGCGAACCTGCTCAACTCGGCCACGGGCAAGAGCTGGCCCAGCGAGATCAACAACCCCGTCCCCGGCGTCATCGAGACCAGCCCCGCCACCCGGGGCTACGAGGGCGGCTTCGGCGTCAGCCTGATGAACAAGGACCTGCGCCTGGCCATGACCGCCGCGCAGGAGGCCGGCGCCAAGCTCGCCCTCGCCGACAAGGCCAAGGAGGTCTACGACCAGACCGAGAAGGAGTACAAGGGCAAGGACTTCTCGGTCGTGTACCGCTGGCTGGGCGGGAAGGAATAACGGCGAGCCGCCAGGGCGGGCGTGCTGCTCTCTGTCCAAAAAAAAGTCCCAAGCGTGTATCCTACCTACCTACATAAATACGTATATGCAAGTACACAAGGTTTCAGCGGACGTACATGAGACATGGTCGAGATACGGCCAGGCCATGAAAGCGCCGTATCCATAGCATGGGAAACAGGTCTGACAGTTATTCCATACAACTAGCTGGGCATTTCTCGAGTCGACGTTTCTTTCGCAGCAGTATTTCCCAGATTGGCTCCCTTTCCCCCTCTTCGATGATGCTGTCCCCCACGACGTTTTCCCTTGTCAGAGCCCCAGGCTGGTATGGTATGGGTTTTGATGGCATGAGCAGGAGAACGCCATCAAGCGACCAAATCTAGCAATAAACTTCACACGCTCTCGCAGCGTGTATGGACCTCTAGAAGGGTGTGCATCATTTCTACACAATCACGGGCCTAATGAGGGTGTACGCCCGTACCGAGTATTCTTCTCCCGAACTCGACGAACTCTCTGTACCAATGGAGTCTTGGTAAAGTGTGCCGTAACTGCCGCGCTGCACCTGCTTGCCGGTTCCTTGCCTTGCTTTGAGCCTTTCCGACAGAGAAATACAGGTGTCCCCTGAACAAGAGATATAACCTGCACGATGAATAGATGGGCACATCCAACATCGAGTCCCAACCTATAGGCCCAAAAAAGCCTTTGAAAAATGCACAATCGGGCTTCCATGACAACTAGCTTATTGGCTTTCCCTTTGCAACGTTGTTTGCCGTTCTTATTCGTCCCCCCCCCCTTTTCTTCTTTCCGCCCATCCCATGCATCCAATCATTTCTCGGGTGCATGATTAGCGGAGATTTCCCGCTAAGCTCCTCCCACCAAACCCAACGTTGTGACTTGCTCCATCGCTTTGTGAAAAGGGGGGAATGGGTGGCTCGTCCGGGGAATCAATGTCGGCGGCTGCGGCCGAGAGGAGTCAGAATGACCTCGGGAGTCATATAAATGTTGCAGAAGGCTGACGGGCAGCAGTCATGTGGAAGCGGAGTGCCCGAGTCTCACGTTTCAGACTGGCAAGCGAAACCGGGTTGAAGATGAAAAATGAATCGCGCAGAGCTCCTGCCAATTGCTGACTGCTTGATCGTGGTCCCCGAATTCTCTCTTGGACCAAGTGTGACTGTCGAGAGTCAAACTGTTGGGTCATGCTGCCCACACAAGGTGCTTGTGCCCAAAAGTCGTGTGACGTCTCATGAGCCAGGACTCTCCTTTTGTTTCGTTTCGTCACAGGAAGAGCCAGAGGCGGGTGGGACTTGGAACAAGTCGATTTGCCACAATTGCGAATGGTCCAGACTTCGGGCATCATTGTGCTATCAGATCCTCGCCTGCTCGACCTCTCGAGCTGAGCGTCATATTCAAAGCTTCGGTGATTCCCTGCGCTAATCCAACTAGAACTCCTGCAGTAATGAGCTGCGACTCAAAGCATGCGCTGTTTGAAAGAACAGAAAGTGCTTTCGATCAGAGTTGGCGAGCACCACTGAAAGTCGTCAGAGATGATGCCAGACCATGCGACATCCTGCGTATTGATGACCGGAACATACCGAAGGACACGGTCAAGTTTGCTGGGGGCCGAGGTAATGGTGTGCGATTAGTTGTAGCCCCCCAAACAAAGGCTATACACCTTTGAGCCAGCTTTGTTGTTGGCTCCATCGAGTCACCTTAGGTTTTCTCGTGCCTCGAGACTCTGCGGACCAGTTGATTGACTTTCGACAACATTTGCATCTGTTTGAAGTCGATCCATCTGCTCGAGGTGATAGCGGATTGAAATTGGGATGGTCAAGGGCGTCTTGCCATTTCGTGGCTAGTCCAAATGGAAGATTGTTAGATCAGGCGTGTCTTCGTTCGATTCACAGGGCGTCCTTGTCTATAGAATGACATTCCGGATAGCCATAGTGGCCACACGCGAATCCCGCTCTTCGGACTCCCCCCTTTCTTTCCTCCTGACTGCCTCGTCGTAGGCCTCCTTTGCGAGAAGGCGAATAGCATCCTCAAAGAAGAACATCTTCAGTTCTTTTTCCAACTTCTTCCATTGTCGAGCTTCCCCATAGTTGTCCAAGAATTGTCCCATGACCGACGTCCAGCCACGGGGACGGATCTGCCCGTGTTGTATGACTGTTCCGATCATCATGTTGGTCCAGAGGTAACATTTGCGTTCCGGAGATTTGTGGCTGGGAGTTTGGTGTAGAGCGATGTCTGCCAGTGCTTTCAGAGCTGTCTCATAGAAACCAGTCAGATGATCTTGAAAATGGATGACTCTCAGCAGGTAGCAATATGCCACCAGTCCGTGAGATAGAAACCTCTCTGTAGGAGTAGTTTGCAGTGTAGCAAGTCGATGGAGATCTTCGAGGGTCGTCTGGATCTTCCTTCTCCCTGTCACACCGAATTCTTCGATTCGAATAGTATCCGACAGCTTCGCCTTTACAGTCGCGAAATGGGATAGCAGTCGAATCATTTGTAAGGACAGCACACCTGTCAACCCAATGTCACAGAAGCCTTGAGGCAACTTGGACAACATCTCACAGACTTCTGGTTTGAAGGGATGGGCCATGTAGACGGGGAACTCTGCATTTTGCAGAATTTGTCCCGAAAACCGAGTTGACTTGTCAGGAGTAGAATCTGCCGCAAACAGAAAGGACCACAGGGCCTCGTAGGCATCGACGTTAGCCCTGAGCAGTCGTTCCCAAGGGGAAGTGCCCTTGATGCCACCCCTAAGCTTGATCATCTGTCTCATGCCCGAAACGTGAGCATAGGCGCCAGTGTGATCTCCCAGAATATAATCGACCGTGCCCAACGTCGCCACGACCAAGATGGTAGTATCGTCCGAACACTGTTGAGGGTTTTGGAGTCGGGTGCGCAGTTTGGTCATGACATTACCTCGATGCCATACAAAGTGTCGATCACCGCGGGCGGACTGGCCCGAAGTGGCGAGGTATGTGGCCCGACACAGAGCGATAAGACCTTCGAAGTAGATATCGGACGTCAAAGCAAAGGGCCAGAGCAGGCTCAAATAGGGGTTAGAATGGCCGTCGAACGAAAAGGCGGTGCCATGCTGAGGCGCCCAGACCTGGACATCTGGATCTAATCAGACAAGATGGAAGCAGGAGAGACTGTCAGCCATTGCACTCACAATATTGGGCCATGCTACCCACGCAGCCGGTGCTTGGGATTGGCAAGGTTTGGAAAGGATCAAGCTGGAGTCCATTGGTGGGGGACCTCTTGATCTGCAATTGACTTGCGATGGCCTTTGACAGGAACTCTTCCTTGGCCTTCTTCACCTTGGGATCCAAGTGCTTGAGAGAGATGACGTTGCGCCGTGGTGATCGAGGGATCCGGCGTCGTTTGATGGCATTTTGTTGCGCCCAGGACTGCGGGGTGGTGATCGAGACAGTCAAGACCGGGTCCTGCATGGTGACCAAATCTGTGCAGTCGGTATGTATCCCTCCAGATTGCGGGCCAGGATCAGCTCATATTCGCCCACGTAGACTGGACGCGATGGACGTGAGGACCGAGTTGAGCAGACGGACGTGCTTTGGCCATATGAGACGAGGGAAAAAGGGCGATTTGGATCGGTTTGGCTTTCACTTCGCGCCCGACCGCCCTTCTAAAGAACCCTGACCACCAGCCCTTCCTGCGCCACTTTGGACTTTTGCTGCTTACTTGATACGTGCGAGTCAAAGGGGGGAGGGTGGTCAATGGCGACGAAATTGTGCCTTAGCGGTGATTGTTGGTGTGGGTAGGTCAGACGTTTAATGACGGTCGGGCAACGGGAAGCGAAAGCGGGAGGCAGCAGAAAGGTGAGAATCAGCTAACGGACACAATGATCTGGTGTTTTGTCGTGTCAACCATGCGCAGGGTGAAACGAGCGAGGGGAGGAGGAGGAGACGCAATAATGGGTACCTCGTCCGTATTCCTGTGTGGCCTGGTGGTGTTGCAGAGTTGGGTGGCGGCCCCTAAAATCAGACACTCCCAGGGCACCGGCTCTCACCCCCCCCCCCCCCCCCCGAATCAAGCAATCATACGGGTCGGTTCAATAGGCTTTGGTTGAGGCTGATGCTGCCTCTCAGGCTTAAATTGGTGACACATTTCCGCGGTGGGCGGTGGCTCACCAGGCTAAAAGGCCCCTGTACTCGTTGTTCCAAGGGCTAGTAGGCGGTCTCTAAACGAACCAGTTAAAAGCGGGCGCTGATCCGGAGGGGCAACGCATGGCTTATCCGGGCGTCTTAGTCAAGCGTGGGTTGTCAGTTATATAACACTAGCCAGCCCGCTAACTGGGAGGATGCTTGGCTGCGGGTGCCACGGGTAAGATACGGAAGAAGATGAGCGCCTAGGGCCTCGGCTCAAGCCTCTAACACTCTCCTCCCACGTTCCCCCATCACGCCTAAGCCGTCGCTCTCCTGCCCAAGATATTGGCTAAGTTTGCCCTTGTGCATCACCGTGCATTGGTGGCATCTCTGGCTCCCTAGCACGCATAGGTAGGTGGCTGTTGAGGTACCCAGCATTCGAGGACATACATATATCAGCCCGGGGACGACGGGGGCCAGCTCGTGCCTTCTATTCAACACTTGCACTCACAATCTCCAGGCCCCCGTCGCCTGCTCCGTCCTGTGGGCACGCTGCTGCAGGTATACACGGCTCAGCTCCCTACGGACAATTACCATGACCACACCGCCCCCATCGGCATCCCGTTGATGCCTCCAGTTAAAAGGTTCGCCTCCATGGCCACTGGCCAGGTCCCCTACAATTCCCCCCTCCATTCTCCTGGCGGCGTCGCTTCATTCCTTCGCTGCCCACTCTGTGCCGTCATCTCCCAGCCATTCACATGCCTGGCTCGTACCTGCCATGTTTTGATGTCAACCAACTACTCGCAAATTCCAACCTCAGCAATCAGTTGATCCGACCTTTGACTGCGTCGTTCCTCTCCTCATTGCTGCGTTCTTCTTTGTACTCGATCACAGCGTTCGAAGTTGTCTGCTCTTTGTCTGCGCTTTGGTTCTCATTCCCTGCCCCTTCGGCCATGGACCGTCGATGACCGGCCACCATCATGATTCTGCGGCCCTCGAGAAAGCTCGCTGGGCCAATGTATCGTCGAAAGTCGGGCCTGATTGCGGCTCTGCTCGCCCTGTTTCTCTTCCTCCTCTTCCTGCAAACTCGAGTTCACCATGAACCTGCTGAACCTCCTCCCCCTGCCCGCCCCGAGTCTGCCCCCGAATCTGTGCCTCAAGCGGACTCCGAGCCGAAGCCGCCAGCCAAGATTGAGAACCCCCTCCTCGACAGCCAGGCCGCGTTCTGGCGGAGTCTCTATCTGATCATCCTGAACAATGATCCCAATTGCAGGAATGCCCCCGACCTTGTGGTGCCGCAGAAGCTCGATATTGGCTTCGATCCCACCCACGATCATCCTCGACCGGATATCCTGTACATGGATACCGCCGACGTCAAGCGCATGCGTGAGGCCCATTCCAACTTTGTCAATGACTTGAAAAGCAATCCTCCCAACATACCATATCAGCCGGGCACTCGTGGCATTGTCATGACAGGAGGCTTCACCCAGCTCCCCGTCTTGGTCATCTCGGTCCGCATGTTACGAAGAGCCAAGTCCGAGTTACCAGTCGAGGTTTTTGTGGCCGATCCGTCCGAATGGGATGAGCAGGTCTGCAATGTTGTCCTACCGGCCTTGAACGCCAAATGCCTTCTCCTTTCCGACGTCTTTCATGCCGCTAACGCGGGTGTGTCGATCGATCGATTTCAGTACAAAATCATGGCTATCCTATTCTCCTCGTTTGAAGAAGTCCTGTTGCTTGATTCTGACGCCTTTCCAGTACACAATCCTCTTCCGTTGTTCCAAGAAGAGCCCTTCAAGAGCAATGGATTGGTCGTCTGGCCGGATTTCTGGTACGCATCTGAATCTCCCTACTATTTCGAAATCGCCAAAATCGACAGGATCCCCTCCTTGAATGAGCGGGCTGCCGTCGAATCAGGTGAAGTCATGTACTCCAAAGCCAAACATCACTTGTCGCTTCTCCTCGCCGCATATTACAACTATTACGGGCCTACCTATTACTATCCCCTGCTCTCCCAGGGTGCGCCCGGCCAAGGCGACAAGGAAACGTTTGCTTGGGCTGCTACCGCCCTTAAGGAGCCTTTTTACGCCGTGCACCAACGGGTCATGGCTGTCGGCCGACACGATTCTTCTGGCAACTATCTCGGTAGTGCAATGGCTCAGCACGACCCTGTCGCTGATTACACATTTACGAATGCCTATGGCCCTCCTCACGAGCGAGTTCAAGATGTTGACACCGGCAAGGACAACCACTTCGATATTCAGGCTAGCGACATTAAACCCTTCTTTATCCACGCCAACTTCCCCAAATTTGATCCAGCCACCATATTCGATCATCAAATGGTAGACTTTTCAGGCCAAGTGTCTGGCGCCGGGGGGCCGACTCGAGACACAAACGGCACCAACGTCCGCTGTTGGATGAACGAAGCTCGTGCCATTGAGTTATTCGGGTTCGACGTCGAGCGCAGGTTCTGGGAAGAAATCAAAGACACTGCTTGCGAGAATGAGCATCAGTTTGGCACGTGGAAAGGCAGGCAAGGAATCTGCGAGAGGACTAGGAAGTACTGGGACGATGTGTTCGGTTCAGATGCTGCACTCGAAGATCGACAGAATATGGGAACATCAGTTGAAATGCCCGCGCCACCTTGAAAGAAGCCAGCTTGTGAGCTCGCGTCTCGCATTGTCCACCTACTGACGCGACTTCTCCATCCGACGGGAGCACGATTCCCGCAAGTTGATAATAATAAGCTCATCCAAAAGAGCATCTACGCATATATGTCCAGGACAGTGAAGTTTTTGCACATTTCTGGCGCACAACCAAGGTTCACACTGAAGGTATTAGCGTTTGAACCCGACACCAGGGGGTTTACTGAAACGATTTCATGACCAAGATACACACTGTCCACATGGAGCACACGATACCATGTATTAAATAGGAATGATATGGGATAACAGAAGACTGGGCGTTTATCACGAAGCTGGGTCTGGAGCGAGGGATTCAAGGAGTCAGAGCGGAATAGTTTGAGCGCGTTGTCGGGTTATTTGATGTCACGGTCTACCGATCAGTCGCACACGAGCACACGCACAGGCAAGGAGTAGGTCGGCTGTATCTCAGTCTGAATTGAACCAGATGTTGAAATGAGAGCACTCCTCAGAGATATTCTATAACTTTACCAATATTATCCGATTTTCATTGTATTATCCCGGGGCAAGCACCACAGACTGGTAGGAATCTCTGTCGGAATATCTATAAATGTCCTCGCTAGCTGCGTACTGCACCTGCATGGAGCGTCGTTGTCGCTCTGCCTTTGTCTATCTATACACGGGGTTGCTTGCGCTGGGTGTTGACTCGGTGGGTTAACGGGAAGTTACACACATATACTCCCGTCTCTGCCCCAAAGAACAGGCGAACGCATGGATAGCTGCCTCGATGAGCGAGCGACTGAGTGAGCGACTGAGAGGGTGAATGAACAGTAAGACTCCCGTTCTCACTGCCCGTCGATCGCTCACAGAGAGTCCTGATTCTTCGAAACCGGCGTTCGTTGATCGAGTTGATCCAATCGATTAGGTGACTGGTCATTCAGTCGACTAACCAACCAACTACTCATCTATCCACCCATCTCATCTTACGTATCTCAATGCCAAATAGCAAAGAGCGAGAGAGATGCCCGCAGGCACATAGACCAGCCAGCGCCGTGGGACATGTCGCCTACATGAATTGGATTTGATCTGGTCGGATTCTCTTGATCTCTTCTTGAACATGCCTCGACAGGGCAGAAAACCCCCCCAAAAGGTTGAAATTCCCCGGGAAAAGCAACAAAAACCTGGCGCCAGATCTTCGTGTCAACATGTCAACAGCCCGAGAATGCCTGAAACTTTACGCCACTATTAACACAGAGACAGTCGAGTGCTTCGCCCCTCGCAAAAACACATGTCCACCCACCCAGAGATTGGTTGCCCAAACAAATTGTCTTTCTAATACGACTCCTCGAGTTCCGTGCTCCATGCAGCGTCACTGCCCTCAACCCTCACGACGCCGGAATGGGCATTCTCGTCCGACATCTCCCTGAATCTCTCCTGTGCGTGTCGATATTGAGAGGTTTGATATCCGGTGTGATGGTTCTTCGCCGGCGGTGGCGCCATCTGCCCTGAAAAGGCTGCCCCTCCACCGGCAGCACCAGCTGCTGTGGTCGGTCTCTTCTGCCCGTTCGAGTTATAGCTCGTGCCTAGGGCGTTGGCCATAGGGTTGTGGGCATGCACCTTCGCAGAGTAGTAAGCGTCCCGGAGGTCTCGTTCAGGTTCCATATCTGAGCCATCGGAATATGTTTCCCAGTTTTCACTGCCGCTAGCTGTGGTGCCAGTGGTCATGTTCGAAGAGGTATTGGAGGTTTGGCGAGAGACGACCGTTGAGGGTGGCGCCGAAGGGTTATGCCGTATGCTCTGACTATGGCTATGTATGGAATTTGACGAAGAATGGGAAGGCTGATGTTGATGTTGATGCGGAAGGTGAGATTGGTAGAATGGATCAGCTTGGTGAGATGGCAGCGGTGCATACTGAGGGTGCTGCTGTCGCTCACGATTCAGGAGAGAAGCCGACATGTACGACATTCTCTCGCGATCGTCATAGACATCTTCAGGGCTCATTGGCCGCACATAGCGACTGCTTTCACTCGAGCCCGAAGAGATGGTGCTTGCGGGCCTATTGGAAGTAGGAGGTGGGGGTTGAGAAGTCATGGCTGGAGCCGGAGTGGGATCTGGAGGTGGCACAAACAGATCTCTCATCTTCGGTGGAGGTGCTCGTGGCGGTCCCATAGTCCTGGCATTTTGGGCGTAGTTTTGTTGTGGTTCTGGCTGCCTGTTATAGGGCGCTGGCTGAGGAACACCGCGGCGTTCTGGAGAGTTCTTCAGATTTCCCAGCGGAACCCGAGCTGGTATCTTGGAGGGCGACTTCGCTTGAGACAAAGGTGCAGTGGCTGTGGCCGCTGAGGTTGGTGCCGCTTGTTGTCTGACTGTGCCAGGCCTGCTCGTGGTGGGAGTCTTTGCTGCTGTTGACCGTGGTGGCGGTCCCTTCATCACACTGGCTGGTCTTGCAGGAGCGGCGGACTTTGCGGTGCTAGAAACCGCTTTTGAAGCTGTTGCCGGCGCAGGAGTCTTTGATCTCGGAGGCAGTCCATTTGGCGTCTTGGATCGAGGTGGCGGTGCTTTGACTTCAGCTTCTTCCATCTCATCAAGCATTCGTTCGCCCTGGACCAGAAATGGCCGGCCGTATTCGTCCTCATACTTCTCCAGAACCTTGGTCAAATCAGCTATGACCTTTGGCAGCTCCTTCGCAATCCTCTTCCTCATCTTCTCTTCCCTTAGCAACTTTCCGGGGTCACGTTTCTCTCCCTTTTGAGGTTTCAGCATGAGACGTGAGGCGTCATTAGCAGATGCGGCCAAGGCTTCCCGGTCGGCTATCAGAGACTTATACTTCTCGACCATGGCTAGGATGGGTTCACGCTGTTCCTTTAGCGTCAGGAGCCTCTCGATTTCTGCTTCGTGGGCCGATAGCAGAGCATCACTGTAGACGTCTGAGAAGGCCGGCGTGAAATCGAGCATCTCTTCTTCGGAGAAGTAAAGTGCATCCCAAAGTTCTTGCAGTCTGACACGCGCATCCTCGACGAACAAATGCAAGTTCTGCCTCTTCAGCTCGTTGAGTCTTGCAAGTTCGTCCTCAAACTCATTGATGGTTCTGAGTCCACAGCCTCGGTTGGCTGCCAGGAATGCTTTTCGATCCGGTTGTTCGATTCCGAGTCGATCCCACAACATCTCAATACTCTTCTTGATCTCGTTCAGTCGCTTCTCGCGGCTCTTCTTCTCGTCAAGGAGTTTATCGCGACGACTCTTCAGCCGATCAAGGTCCGCCTGGTGCAGACCCAGCTGCTCAGGAGAGTCGCGATAGTGCTGAACAATCAACGAGTCCGTCTGTGCTTGGGGAATGCCCAGCTCAGACCACAGTCTGACAATTTCTTCTGCGGTTTGTTGCACAATCACCACCCTCTTGTTATATTCGTCGTATACCCTGGTGAATTCTTCATCGAGTGTGGTGACGTAGGAGGGTGAGAGGTCGAAGGTGGGAGGACAGCTGTTCGAGGAGGTTGGTGGTAGTCTAATCTTGACGAAGGATGACTCGAGATGCGAGGAGTATGACTCTAGAGCTTGCACAAGCTTCTTGACTTGTTCAAACCGCTCGCGGTGTAATCTACTGACAACATTGTATTTCTCTTTGAGGTCGCGTAGACAGTCGATCAGGGGATAGGTGACTCGGAGGCCATTGGTGTCCAAGTCGTAGCCTCTGTCCTTTTCGTCTTCGAGTGACAGCTCCATCTGTTTGATAGTCTTGATGATGTTCTGAGCTTCCTCGGTCATGGCATTCTTCTCACTGGTGATAACGTCAGTACACTTCTGCATCGTGGAACTCGGGAGGGTTCATCCATACGAGTTGACAAGCCGAAGCTGGTTGTGCAGAGCCTCAGACAGAGCTGCAAAGAGCTCCGTCTCCCTTGACTCGCGCTCATTCCGGGGAACTCCTATCTCGTCAAAGATAGCATGTAGTTGCCCGATGATTGTGTTGACTTGGGTGGTGAGATAGCTGGTGTCCATTGATGGAGGCATGCTTGCAACTCAGGCTCGTGGCCGAGCAGCTTTTGTGAGATCGTTCTCGATTCTGATATAATCGGCCAAACGGTTGCATGGACAGATTCGAAGAATACGAAGGAGCACGCACTATGGGGAAAGGATGGTCAACAGATGGTCGTGGCGTGCTGCCGAATCAGGTTGAAGGTGTGGACAATGCCATCATCCCGAAAGATCTCGTTGTGTTGATGCGCGATTGTTGACACAGCAACTGCGCACACACCACGCTTGGCCCGCCGCGAGCTTCACCGCCTTCTAGCTAATTGTCCGAGGGGCAGCGGCAGAATTGTTTCAACTCCAAACACCTGCCCGCACCTCACCTCAGGCAGCTCAAACACTGGCACGGCGTCGTCAGGCGCAGCTTCATCTCACCCCGTCATCCATATCGTCGAATGTCAACATCTTAGCCTCTCACACCACCATGTCGACTCTCTCAGCTTTGCGCAGTTGGGAGGCCGAGAACAACGTCATCACTGTCGACCCATTTCAAAATGCCCTCTACAACCTGCCCGATCCTGCCGCCTACAAGGCCTTGCAAAACTCCGCTCCATGGAAGAAAGATCCCAACTATTTCACTCACGTCCGCATCTCTGCCCTTGCCCTCCTGAAAATGACGACCCACGCCCGTTCCGGAGGCAGTCTCGAGATCATGGGCCTCATGATCGGTTACGTCTCTGGTCGATCGCTCGTCATAACAGATGCTTTCCGGCTTCCAGTTGAGGGAACGGAAACAAGGGTCAATGCGCACGCTGATGCTGATGAATACATGGTCAACTTTGGTATTTCATCTAGGGAAGGAGGAGGGCAACTGGAAAACGCCGTCGGCTGGTATCACTCGCATCCGGGATATGGTTGTTGGCTGTCAGGGATCGACGTCCATACTCAAAAGACGCATCAGATGGTCAACGACCCTTTCGTTGCGGTGGTGATTGATCCAGACCGAACTGTCTCCGCCGGCAAAGTTGAAATTGGTGCTTTCAGGACATACCCCGAAGGCCACGTCCCCAAGGATAAACAATTTACAGACGACAGCGACGAGTATCAAGCAATTCCTCAGGATAAGATACAAGACTTCGGAGTTCATGCCAATTCCTACTATCCCCTGGAGATCACACACTACAAATCAACTCTTGATACATATCTGCTCGGCCTCTTGTGGAACAAGTACTGGACATCGACGCTTTCGCAGTCACCACTTTTCACCAATCGCGACTACACAAACAAGCAGATCGCTGACCACGCAGTCAAGATCAGGGCAGCGGCCAACAAAGAGAGGACAGGTGCTAGCATGGCTCGACGAGGTCCGGAGTTGGCAGGAACGGGAGACAAGAATTTCAGGACTGTAAGAGATGGTTCAATGGAGCAGATTGTTCGAGGTGGCGCCAAGATCGCAACGGAAGAGATCGCTGGTCTAATGGCACATGAGGTTAAGCAGAAGTTATTCTGGGGAGTGGTACAGGAGGCCAGCCAAAAGCCAGCTCAGCAGACTGCCCATACGACGACAGGGGTACCCGTGGCAAGCAACGGCGGCTGAGACGCAGCAACGTCAGGGTATTCCGTACTGTTGCATCAAGAGTTGGACGGCGGTGGCAACTCAAAATTGAGACAGCCCAGATCGTCATGCGGCGAGGCGACAACACAGTCCAAATCCTCTGCAACCTGCTGGCCCACTGTATCCATGGATAGGCTGATGCTCTGAGCCGTGTTTGAGGGCAGGGGACAGGGACCATTCCGGGTCCAAATGGATCAAGGTGATGACAGGCTTATGAGATGACGACCAGAGACAGGACTGGCCTGGCAGAATGTAACGGGCCTCCCTTTACACCATTGGTTTCCACGAAGTATTCGATCGAGCTCAAACTCAAAACATGCCTTTGCTTGCCCCCATGGGGAAGCCGAAAGTATGAGCTCGGCTTGAGTCAGTCTGGACGACGTTCTGGTGTGCCGTAAGCACGATTGAAAGGATTTCGTTGTTCCTGAGTACGAGTCCATGATCGTTCATATGTAATTAGCATCTCTGTGGTATTCACGTGTGGCTCTGAAACGACAACTTTTGGTTTTGATATCGCCGGTTACGCCTGAGAAGAAGGAATGTGAAGGCGAGTCCCGAGTACCGCGTAGACTCTAGCAACCACTTGTCAGGAGTTTTCTGTCCAAATCCTTCCTCTCCTCGATTCTTTCTGCTGGGGCTCCCATTCCTTCTTCACCTTCCCCCTGTAGCCCATCTTGAGCTGACCCAGCGAACAATCGCCGAAAGTCCGGGAACCTGGCCAACCTGGTCATCCACATCATCCTCGCCATCCCCATCATCCTCGCCATCCCCATCACCCTCGCCATCCTTCTCCCCTTGGGGCGCTCATTCGCGGCGATTCCTTGCTGACGCGGTTGTGTCTCTTTTTCGTCGATCTCACAGGTCATCCAAGATCCGTGCGCGACGGGGATAAAGGGGCGGGGAGGGGGAGGGGGGGAGAGTGGGTTCCCTGTGGTTGTCATCACCCAGCCGTCACTGGTGTCGCTCTGGTGTGGCTGCTCCCCATATGGAACCAGGGCTAGAACAGGAGCTGGGCCTGGCGGTACGAGTAATAAGTTTGGCACAAACCCGTAATATTGGCTCCGGCAAATCGTTTTTTGTTTTTTTCTTTGGTGTCATTGTTCATTTCCTCAGCCCCGAACCCCCCCCCCCCCCTTGGGGCCTTCATGCGGACCCGTCCTCGTCCTCGTCGTGTCAGGATCCATCGTGAACGATAATATTTCCCAAAAGAATCCATGGTCCAGATTCCTTGCTTCCCTCAGAGGAGGAGGCCCAGCTCCAGAGGAACGACTCAGGCCCTTCGTGGTCATCAGCACTGAATCGCTCCTGTTTCCAAAGGTCAAAACCCATGCAAAGCGGAGTCCACGGTTGCGATACCGAGTAATTAAACGTCTGCCAAAGTTCACCCAGGTCGGATCTCGGAATCTCCCACCCTCCCCAACGATGAAAGTCTCAGGGGGGCTTGATTCGGTAGCAGCCGATGTTTCTTGCGGGAGGTTCCGAACAATACCATGGACCATGGTAACCTCCTCTCATCTCCGCCCGTGGTGGAGGTAGTATGTAGAAGCAGGAAGCATCAATAATACAACCGTTGGCAAGGGCTGGGCTCGCGGACGACCCCTGGTGCCCTGTTTGTCCGCAGCAATGCTGAGCAAACGCAACCCGTCATAGCTGCATTATCGCGCTCTGGGCCCTTTGTCCTAATTCTCATTGATGGGTCAGTTTTGGGTCCTAGGGGCATGCATCCCGGAGTCTCTTTCAACCTTGATTCGGTATGATACATCAGGAAATGGGATGCGGAAAGTGAGACATTAAAGTCGATAGCAGCAAGTCCACCAAAGAAGGATACGCAGATGGAGAGGACATGCAGACGATGGAGACCACATCAGTACGAGGTAGTGGTCCTGTATCACCAAAGTTTTTCGAGAGGCAAATAGAGAGGGATAGGGGATATAGATAGATATAGATATCGGGGTTGGATGCAATTCCAGGTCAAAAACACTTTCAATGCACAATCCCTCATCCCAGTTCCAGGCGCAGCTGTTTGCCATTGCACCTCTCTGTCCACTTCCATCCTCGATCTGGACCATCCGAGAACCATTAACCCATGCCACCCTTCATCCCAAAGCGGCCGTTACAATTTCTTCCATGCCATCACTTCCTTTCTGTCTCTTTACCATGATCTCCTCCTTGGTAGGGCCAAACTGTCCGGATCACCAAAGTCCGGCCAAATCCATGTGTTTCCATGTCGGTAGGCCGGGAGGAAAACGGCAATTCATAAGTCGAATGAACCCAATCCGGGTCTTTTTGACCTGCTGCGGTCTGAGGTGCACCGATATTGCATCACCTCCACAGGCATGTGAGAGTGAATCCCGGCTAGCCTGCCCGCCATGGTGACGACTGCTAGGGATTCAGTCGTTGAAATGTAGAACCTGAAAAGCCAAACTTCCTCCACTCACAACCTGCCCCTTTCGCTAAGGTCGCTCGCCTGCCTCCCGCTAGATGCCGCAAGAAAACCAGCCCGACACAATTCGCACTCGGTTGCTCCCATATTCTCCAAACAAGGCAAAACACGCTGAAACGCTCGACAAATTCGACAAATAAATAGTTCACACAAGAAAAAATCTGTCAGATACACAAAAGGTCTCACAGGTATCCGAGGCTGATCAAAGCCTCACTCGTCGCGGGTTCGTAAGACGATACTGAGAGATATCCAGCACGATAGAGCCTTGGTCGCTGGCGTCGTCAACCTCGATAGCGTCGCTCAGCTGACCGGCTGGGTTGTCACCAGATGCAATGTCAGGGGCACTGTAGGACCCATGTGGCTTCATGCCGTCCAAAGGTTGGCTGAGCGCAAGAGGACTCTGATCTCTTGCAACACCAATTTTCGGTGTGGGCAGGTGATCGAGCGACGGTTTGGTTGACAGAGAGCCGTCTGAATCAGCATAGCTGTGATTGAACTCTGAACCAAAATCATCGGCGTGCGACGTTTCTTGGCTCTCCTCTTGAACTTTCTTCACACTCTCTGCAGCTGCAGATGCCTGCGGAACAAGAGCATCAAACTTCTGCAACATCGACTCAAGCTCAGTCTTGCAGTCACCGTCTTGTAGGAAGCGGTGGGCCGCTGTCTCACACAGTTCCTGGATCTGCTGAAGCTCTTCATCCATCTGTAGAAAGCTTGCTTCCTCGTTAGAGGTAGCCGCATTCCGAGCAGGAACTCGGTTCTTGCCTGGCACCAAGGCCGAGGTACTCCGGGATATCGTGGAACTTCTGATGTCGTCGAGCATGGAGAGACCATGGCTGGTTCGAGCGGTGAACGTGGGAAGTCGGAATCCTCGGGCAGCTGCAAATGCGGCTTTGTTTTTTCGCAGGTTATTCCGGCCAATCCCAATCTGCTTCACCATAGCATCGAGCTGTTCTTGGAGATATCCATCATAATAGACGACAACCTGATGTCTGTTTCTGAATTTCTGAGGCCCCGAAGCACCAGAACGGATGGAAGGACCCGGCTTCCTTTTTTTTCGCGCCTGTGCATATAGATACTTGTTCCCGGCCTCGAGCGGATTGATTGGCCTGGGATCAGACGAAGACGGGCCATCAGCGCTCTGGACTGTGTGAGCCTGGTCATCCCCTTGTTCCTGCTCATGAGTGTGGATCGAGGAAATCGAGGGAGTCTTCCTGCGTTTCGGTCGGACTTGGTTCACGAGTTGAGAATATTCTGCGGCGAACTTGGCATGGTTTTCAGCAGCATGGGCAGATAATGCTTCAATGCTGGCCCGCCAGGTGGGAAGGTTGTCAATCAGAAAGACGAAGCTCGAATGGGCGTCCATTGCTTGGGCCATGGCAGCCACAACAGGTGAAACGAAGAAAATCGGTGTACAAAATGGTTGAACAACTTAAGACATCGTCTCGGTGGCTCCAAGTCGTGCGAGGTGGGATTGCACCCACGGGAGGACGTGGAGGTTGGAGGAGGAAGAAGACGTGAAATGCGGTGTGCAGGCGCACTCGAGGTTCTGGAGGGTTGTCGAAGAGGCCGGCTTGCGGGACAGAGCGTTGAGGATGGCAGCGGTTTGGAAGTTTTGAGGTCGAAATACACAACACTACCCGCAGGGTTCAGGCTCGGAAGATGGTTCAGACGGTATAGATATCGCTAATGAGCGACGAAGGGATGAGGAGGTCGATGCGACAAAATTCCCTGGAAAGCGGCGGGTGTGGATTCGAGGGTATCGGTGGTAGTATTCGGGAGAGTGGGAGTCGGGGAGTGGAAGTAGCACGGATGGAGGAGGAGAGATGCGGTGTCAGATGCGAGCAATTATTGTAACGCAACGTGGTGGATGGAGGTGATGGAGCAGAAGCTTTTTCCGGAGTCAAGCGCTCCAGCGTCCAGCGTCCAGCGTCCAGCGTCTGTGCACAGGGTTGATTCCCTACAGGACTGTCGTCAATCAGACGCTTGCAGCAAGGGCACCGACTAGACCGGATCCAGCAGTCGCAATAGGTGAGATCAACGAGAAGAACTCAGATGGAATAGTTCGGAAGGGACCGATGGTAGGGCCTACACAGAGTGCTGCAAAGATGCCAGGTTCTGGAGGAGCAGAGAGGACGAGAAGAGGGCAGACAGAACCTGGACAAACCTGAGGCCGCAGCAGCCTTCTCGACCCTGAAGTGGAAGTCACCCAAGTGCCTAGCGGCACGGTGGCACCTTCCGTGCAGTCTACCCTAGCAGGAGGGATCCCGGGCGGGAGAAATGGGCACCATGGGGAGGATCCTGGTGCCCGAGGAGCCTAAAGCAGGTGTTCAGGTGGTACTCCGTACAGGTGCCCCGGATCCCTATCAAGACCCTAACTAAACTAGCGACTTGACGGACGACCGTCTTTCTCCGTAACTCCTCGACTTCGCTTGCATCCTGGCTGCCAGCTTTACCCACGCTTCATCGAACGAGTCAGGATGATCAAGTCACTCCTCTGAATCACCCTTCTCGGTCAAGACCTCATTTCTCCTGCCCATCCACTTTGGCTCCTTCCGCTTCTCGTACCGCCTGCTCTCGCCATCGCCTCCGCATCTCGAAGCAAGCTTACCAAGTACAGTAGAGGCATGCCCCCAGCCTATTTGTGAGCGCTGAGCAGGCGAACGACTCGAGTCAACTGCGCTCGACCTCGAAAGTTTCTCCACCATCGCTCTCTTCCACCTCCCGTTCGGTCCGTCTCGCAGCTTGCCCCGAATTGGTCTCTGCATCCAGACGGAAGCATGCTCCAAAGCCAAGGGGTTATTCGCTTCTCCATAGTTGACGCCATGGGAACGCAACCAAGAAATCAAGGCTCCTCTCATTCAGTGCCCAAAGCCTATGGCAAGAATCAATACACAAAATCTTTGGCTGGAAGAATGTTGGGACTCACAATGGTACACACTTCGGAGCGGTGTTGACTCGTTGAACATGGACTATTGTCCCTGCTTGTTGTTGCATCACGCTCATGCACCTTTAGGACACCGGAGGCCCCCAGCAAAATTCGGATAGGAAATCAGAATGGGGGGCGCGCTCATCCGATCATGGCCAGGGAGAACTTGGTGCTAGTGGTCCACCACTCGCTGCTCGCCGACTATTTGGCTAACCAGGGTCGCTTACGCTCTTGCGGCCGAAAGAGTACCAACCAAGTGCCTTGTACTGTCACAATCTGCCGTTGCTGCTCCCGGATCTTGGTCTGCAGCTTGGGTCGATAGACAGAACAGGAAACAGCCCACTAAGAGTCGTGGCCGACTGACACTTGGAGCAATCACAAACTGAACCATCTGCAGCCGCCAGCACATGTCCCGCCTGACTGACCAGGGCTGTTCAACTTGCAGGGTAGATCAGTACAGGAGCCAATAGTACAGACACGCACCGGAGCAAAGCGTCATCCTGCTGTGAAGGCGTGCCAGTGAAGTGTGAAATGTGTTGGTGCTCCCCGCCAAAGTCGAACAATTGGTTCCCGCATACTGGAATACCTGACCATCATCTCTGGATGGCAATCCGTAGATGTTACAGGGCAGGAGTCGAATGGTAGCTTACATGCAGCAGAAAATCTGCTTTGGAGATCATTGAAGCGCACCTGACTCATTGTTTGTCTCACCGACACTCGATGCTTGAACGGCTTCCTCTTCATGACGAGGCCCGACTGATCATTAGCATCGCAGGGCACCCAATCACACTTTGGCAAGTCGTTGACAGATCAAGCACCCCGTCAACCATGGTTCTCCGTTGCGAAGATCATACCGGCTGTGGCTGCAGCATGGCCGCTCTGGCGGAGACAGCTTCAAACAACGCGGCAAGCGACAGCCCCGTAAATGTCGGTTTGTGGTTATGGCTAGTACGGAGTATAGTTCTAACATCTGCAGGTTCGCTCAGTTTGTCCCGGGCAAGCATTTGTGAAACAGGACCTGGCCTGATACCGTGGCTCTGCTCGTCGTACTTCAGTTGTGGAAGTCTGATGATAATTGACTTGCTCAGGAAACGAGTCTGAAGTCCACCAAAATGCCTTTGCCTTGGGACAGTGACTTCCGACCAGCGAAACTACCTTGAACGGTTCGGAGATGACTTTCAACCTAGTGGCTTTTGGAGCGAGCCAAGAGGTCTAATATCCATACGTTAAAAAATACTACCTACGAGGAAGCTGGGGATTCACCTGGATCTGAAGTTCATCACTCTCGATGACGGTTGGAACCTTGCAATAACCCCTACGGAAACCCACTCATGAGCCTGTCTTGACCTGGAAGGACTCTCATGGGCAGTTCGAGACCCAGTGGCGCGTTCGAGCTCCAGCGCGCAGCTCCGGTGGGCAATCGCCGATAGCCTAGTGAGCCCCTGCCGACGAGCATGCTTCCAGATGATCATCAAACACGCCGGTGCAAGCCACGTCTGAGGGAGGATCTTAAGCCACAAGCCCTACGAGGACTCGTACGAGTCCTTCGTGCTGTTACGCACCTGGCACAATGCCCATCACCCTCCGACTGATGAGAACTCCGTCTCTGCACGTCGAGTCCCAGGATTCTCAGCTGTGACCTCCCGCTTTGATTTGGGGATCTTCGTCCAAGCGGAGTCAATTGCAAACAATTGGGGCGGTTCTGATTTGGGCAGCTATTGACTATGGTGCCTGATAATCGTGCCCGATCGACGAATGTTTGGTTCTCGACCGAGATGTAAATTACTACTCGCACAAAGTATTAGTCCCTTACGGGCGCTCGACCTTTGCAGCAAAACCTTGTCCTGCCGTGGAAGAGCACAGGACTTGACTGTACATGATCACCCACTGCGGCTGTCTGCACGAGCACCTGAAGGCCTCAAGGTCAAGCCCATTGAGAAGAAAACCCACAGTCCCCAGATGTGGCTTGATTGGATCCTCCGAATCGCCAATATCACTATTATTTGCTGGGCGATGAGAAAACCCTTCCCCCGACGACACTTCGACCCAGCCACTGCGGTCCTCCTTGCTCAAGGTGGGTGCGTTTACTACTAAACGGCCCCTGTCCCTCTCACCTCACTACCTCTCCAAACGATCCCTAAACCAGTTCGGGTCGTCTTGACTTTGCGCCACCACTTGCATTTGACTCCCGTCAACACTTTTAGCTGCAGAAGAAAGGTTTCACTTCGCAGAATCCGCCAGCCCACTAGCCCACTCGTGTCCTGGCTCCTACGAATTTGACAGTGTCTTGTGCCGCGTTGAAAAGTCCCCTGAGTCTGTACGTACGTTTTGCTACTACAACCCTGCATTTTTGGCGGCAAAGCATTTCGATCCTGCGACTCTACGAGAGAATCGATGTGGTGAAGCCTTTGTGCTGAGGACGAGAACAATTCCGTAAACTAAAAGGTTTGTTCGTGACCAAAGCATCCATCGGTACTAGATCAACCTGGCCGATCTGGTACAGAAGAAACTACCGTTTCTGGTGCCTCGCCTCGTCCCGGTTCCGCCCCGTACCGTTTGCGAAAGACGGAGGTCTGTGAGCACTCCAGATGATTAGCTTGCAAGCCACCTTTCACAAAGAGCGGACTACAACCAACCGAGCATTGAACTACGAGGTTGAAGAGGAAAGAAAGGGCCAACAACAACGAGGTCTTCTTCTTTAGTTCTTGCATTTATTACAATGCATAACTTGTGCTTTGCCCGACATCCTTTCGTGGTTGGAGGTAAGTCCGCGGGTGTCCTGCATGCTGCAAGCTTGATACACCATGTGCATATCGGTATCGTGGCTTCGACGATCTAATTGCTGCCAGGGCCGATCAGACCGAGAAAGAACAAACCTCGTGAGCTTCGTGTGCTTTGTCGATCACCACACAACGGTCGTGCAGACGAACGGCCGTTGATCGATCTTGACTCCGTCACTGACCGCCAAAACCCCATGATCAGCTTCAAGCGGTCAAGCCAACGGCTCAACATTCGATGCTTTGGCACTGCTAGACAGTTGACCCCGTGCCGCATCTCAGCCATTTTTGTGGACGATGATATGTCTTCCACTTCCCAGGAGGACTTTCGCCCTCCTAACCAGGAAACCAAACGTCGAATGGATCCCTTGCCATGCCTAGACGATTCCTTTTACCTGCGGAGGCAACCCTGCAGCATTTCACACGGTTGTGTATAGGACTCTTCTAAACTGCTTACCTATGAGGTTCAGACAACGAAAAAGCAGCACCATACCTCTTCCCTACAATTTTGGAAAGGTGAATAGACCTGCCTCCCCATGAAGGTCTCTGCCAGTTGAGAGGATCGATGAGGCACCGTCTGCTTATGCCGCTATCATCACAAGAGCCATGTGGCGGCGTCAGTGTTTGCTGAAGTCATGGAAGGAGCTTCATGCTTCGGTGGCAGATTCCCGGCGTAGCCTCGTTCATTGTTCGCTTCCATCCTCCTCTCCCGCGAAACACTTCATCAGTACGAAGCAGAGTCGGCCACGTATGGCTCTAGGCCGAGGTCGACGATAGACGTGGCAGTCCTGTTTGCCTTGATGGTGGTGAGGAAAAGTCGATCTTTACAAGCTCACACCACGTCGTGGCCTAGGAATGGCGATTCTAGGTCCCTTTGAGAAGATTCAACTTTGATTTGAGAGCGGGCCAGACGGATGTGTGTAAAGTGCCATGTTGTAATGATCTGGCCTGGACCATTCCATGCTATTCAGGAGCCTGAGACTTGACTGCAGCCAATGTATTTGAATATGCAGCATTAAGTTGCCTTTTTTTCTTTTATTTTATTTTTTTTACAAATGCCCTCGATTATTCCTTCGTGCAAAGGAGCCATCCTGTGAATACCATTGACATTGATCTCCTAATTGGTACCGGTTTCCCGTCACACTGATCCAATTCCGTTGTCGCTCATTACCGAGTTGCTCGATGAAGGCTAGTCTTTTGGCTGCCTCAAGCAGGATATTTTCGTACTGTCGACTGGAAAGGGTTCTCAACGACAACAGGTAATACGATTAGCTCGGATCCGGGGGAGAATTCGTGTTAGACAGGAGACGTAGCGAATGCGGTTGAATACATCAGCGGGAAGACATATTGCACTTCTCTTGAGCTGGATCAGATTTCATGGGGCAACGATGGTTCCTGGAAGAGTACGAGGTATGAAGAAGAGAGGCTGGTGCTGAGGACGGCGAGCCCATGTCATAAGTATTTTGGCTTGACGGGTCCTATCATCAGTCACTCCGCTGAGATGGTTGCCAAGGCTGCGCCGCAGCTCCATCCGCATCTCCAACTTGAAGTCATTGATTGCGATAGCAACTTGCGGCACGGTTCGAGGAGGCTAGTAGGTTGCGCGCAGTCCTCGCCATCATATCGCAGCCCAATATCCATGTCGCAGTCGATGTAGCCGCCTCTTGTCTCTGTTCCAAAGTGATAGACCTGCCATCATGTCCCTGTTCGGTTCCTCGCCCACTGAAACTGCGCCACTAAACTCCAAGTCTCTGTTCGGCGACGAGCCCGTACACAAAACATCCACATCATCTCTCTTTGCCGACGATGGCGGTGACTCGCCATGGTCAATGCCCACCCCCAAGAAGTCGGCGCGACAAAACCTAGTCAAGAATCTTCTTCCAGCCACCGACGTGCCGGAGAGCTACGTGGATGCATACGATGCCGTGTTACATGCGAATGAGAGGACAGGAGTTGGTATTGGGCTGGCGGGCATCAAGCGCCTTCTCGAGAGCAGCAATCTCAGTGAGCAGGAGCAAGCAAAGATCTTGAATTTTGTGATCCCGGGTGGCCAGGAAAGCGCCAATGGTGTCGGCAGGAGCGAGTTCAATGTGTTGCTCGCTCTTATCGGGCTGGGCCAGGAGGGTGAAGAAATCACCCTCGATGGTGTCGATGAAAGGAGGCGAAGTGAGTCTACAACCACCACCGAGCTTCAGCGTAATACTGATACTCTCCAGAACTGCCTGAGCCCAGGATCGGCTACCTAGATCAATTGCGGTCGAGCAGCGCCCGGCCGCAGCCGCCCTCGCCCCAAGCAGCCAAAGCCACCCCCATAAGACCGCAAAAGCCTCGAGAAGACTCATTTGGAAACGATCCAACGTCGGATCCATGGGCTAGTCCGTCTAACAGTAGACTACCTCCTCCCTCGACTGCCGCTCATACCATGTCTGTCAACGGGGCCTCTGTCGATGGTGCTAAGAGCATCCCGAATGGCATTGCAAGAACAACAAGTGCTTTCACGACGGGAGGTAGTCAAGGCAGTACTAATGGAAGTCCAACAAATGAGCGTTCATCCGAGAGTGCTGGCACTGGGTGGAACAGCTACAATGGTAATTCGGGAGGCTTCTCGGAACAACCCACCCTTGGTGGAGGGTTCGGAGACCCTGGAGACAACCGGCGGTCAAATCGTCAAGACCCAGAGCCACGAAGCGCTGTCTCGCAAAGTATCAGCCTACCAGTCGGGACAGGGGAAAGCGTCACGATAACAACACTGCCAGAAAAGGAGGGAGTGTTCATGTTCCAACATCGAAACTATGAAGTCAAGACAGCTCGGAGGGGCAGCAGTGTCGTGAGGCGATACAGTGATTTTGTTTGGTTGCTCGACTGCCTGCAGAAACGATATCCTTTCAGGCGCTTGCCGCTGTTGCCGCCAAAACGTGTTCAAGGTAAGAATTCCGTCTTCTGGAGAGATTCCAGCTGATCCGAATGTCCAGTGAACGGAGCTCATCTCACTGCAGATGCGAACGTGTTTCTGGAGAAACGTAGACGGGGCCTGATTCGGTTCACCAACTCGCTCGTGCAACATCCAGTGTTAAGTCAGGAGACGCTGGTGGTGATGTTCCTGACCGTGCCAACAGTATGCGACATGTACCTGCTCTACCGTTACGGGGACGAACAGCTGACATGGTTTCCAGGAGCTTGCAGTGTGGCGAAAACAAGCTACCATCTCTGTCCAAGAAGAATTCACCGGCAAGGCTTTGCCGCCAAGCTTGGAGGACAGCCTGCCGTCTAATCTTCCGGAACTTTTCGATCAAGTACGTACAGGCGTGCGCCGCTCGGCGGAGGTGTATATCAGTCTTTGCGTGTGGATGGAACGATTGGTCAAGCGGAACGAAGGCCTTGCCCTGGACAGTTTGAAGTTCTCAAACGCACTGTCTCACCTTACCGAATGCAGCAACGACACCTATGCGATTGACCAGAATGATGTGCCGCTTCTCAATGAGGGCATCAAGTCCACATCCAAACACCTTGCCACGACCCAGACATTGCTCGAAGACGAGGCCAAAGCTTGGGACACAGGAGTTCTCGAAGACCTCAAATCGATTCGCGACAATTTCGTGTCTATGCGTGATTTGTTTGATCGACGAGACCGATATGCGCGGGACAACATACCTCAACTTGAGCGACGTATTGAAGCATCAGAAAATAAGTTGCAGCAGTTACGCCAAAAGCCACCGGGGCAAGTGAAGCCAGGAGAAATCGAGAAAGTGGAAAGCAGCATCATGTCTGATAAGGAAAGTATTGTACAGCAACACGCCCGTGGAGTCTTCATCAAGGAATGTGTGCGGGATGAGATTGTCACATTTCAGACGACCATCTACGCTATCAGCCGTATGCATCAAGACTGGAGTCAAGAGCGGGTCAAGTATGCAGAACTTCAGGCGAGCAACTGGCGCAGCTTGGTCGACCAGCTGGAAAGCATGCCGGTTGGAGAATGAGTCGGCATCAGAGCGAGGCTAAGAATCCTAGGGGATCGAGGAGATGGAGGATTGCGCTATTTTTCATATCATTCCCCCCGAAGTACTCGGTACTAGTATATTCATTTGGCGTATCGATTGGCAGTGAGCGGCAACAATACATAATCTTTCGACGCTATTCATTGTGCCCGGTGTGCCTCAGGTGTGCACCCCTTAACGGTCTCGGGAAGCTTGCAGCTTGTGACACAGCCTTGTGTGACTGGAGAGATTCATGCGAGGATATATATCGACATTCTTCGATGCAGCGCAACTATGTAGCCGTGAATGGAGATCTCCCAGATTGTTTGCGGCGCCCTTCTTCCATCTGCTTGTGCTCCTTTCCGTGGCAGATCGCGAGAACCTGTCACAGGCCTAGCTGTGAAGCCATGCCATACCTCTTATCAGCCATGACTCTTCGGATCCGCAGTAGCTCACTGGCAAACGTGTCCTAGCTTCCACCAAGCTATGTCTCAACAATCCTTCGGGTCGCAGTCTCGAATGCACGGGTGTTCTCCCAAATACCCTAGAACTTGACCAGTTTCACAACTTGAAGACTCTGGAAATCCGCAACATCGTCGCCAACCGTAAGTATCACGATGAAATATTCCTGCAGAGCGCTGACGCGGACGAACTCATGATGAACTTGACCCTGTTCAACCTGTACAGGACTGCTGGTCAACCTACCTGGTTGTGTATTGACTCTGGGAAGACGTTCAAAATCCTGGTGTGTCAGTATTTGCCTTCGTCTCTGATACAGGAGACGCTTGCATGGCTAAGATCTCTTGCTTGAAGCCGCATTGACTGACCGAGAATACACAGGATTGAAAGCCTTCCTCCGGAGATGAGGCTTTCCACATGCCGGGAGGTCTTTCGTGGAGCTGAACTATACATCACGGGTGTTAGTGCGCATTTGTGCAAGAACCATGATGCCCTTTCAGCATATCGGCTTGTCACTAAGGCGGACACCGCACTTTATCAGCACTTCTCGACTTCTATACAGTGAAGCCTTAGCCGCCCTCAGCGCTTCCACTTTATTAACAGTCGAACACCGTCTTGATCGCATGGACTCCATTGGAAACATCCCGGATGAGTTCCTAGCAGGGACCAAGTCTATTCAGATTCAAATCGACGCGTTAGTACGTATTGACAGGAGTCGCCTCCCAGCACTGAAAAAGGTGCACCTCACACAGACATTCGACAGTCCAATAACCATCCAGGACGTTGTTCGTTTCGTACATTCTCAAGATCGTGGAAAGGCTGGGGTGGGATGGAGAGGTGGCGATGGGATTGTTTGACTACGATCGAGCAGGACTATTAATCCTCAATGGGCGACAGCGTTGTTCATGCAGATCTAAAGTGCAGGATTCGGTGGTATTAATGCTTGTCAGAGATGGTCCGCTGGAAGGCATTAGTGCCAGTTGCAATTGAGCCAGACATATTCATCTAGGTAGTTATGCTGTCAGCTGCGAGTCGCCATCTATCAACATTGCTGGACGTTCTTGGACGCCTCGGTAGGACGTCGATCAGGCTGACACTGGGAGAGCAAGGCAGCCAATCAGACCAAGGCGCTTTTCGGCCTTGGCGTTTCACAATGTTTACCTCAACTCGCGCGCTGCAGCATTTGTTGAATCTCCTCCCCATCAACGTGTCCGTAGAGACATCCTTCATATTCTTCGTTTATGATCCAGTGAGCGCTCTATCCTTCAAGGCGTCGATTCCGCCTGGTAGCCCTTGGCGGAAGGCAAAGGCCCCGCGGCCCCGACGATCATTCCGCCTCCCGCATCCCGCATCGAGCCAGCCTCGTGCTAGCGACAATGGAGCAACAAGTCCTCCACCTCCTCCAAGCGACGACCAGACCAGATACAGCCGTCATTAGAGATGCCGAGCGAGGTCTTCTTCAACTGTATCCCCAGGCAGACTTCCCTTTCGCGCTCCTGACCATTGCTTCACACAACGACATCGAGTCCAGCTCTCGCAAGGCTGCATTGACCGCTCTGAAGAATTACGTCTTAGCCACTTGGTCACCACAGTTCGACGAGACATTCACGGGAAATGTGTACCTCAATGACGAAGCCAAGTCCGGCGTCCGTGACCAAGTCTTCACTATCTGCACGCTTGCGGGCGAACAAGCACCCAAAGACGCAAGCATCCAAGCCCTAGCAGCTAGCGTCGCTAGCAAAATTGCCAGTGTCGACTTCCCTGACGCATGGCCCTCGCTTCTCCCCTCACTATTCACAATTTTGAATACTTCAACAGATGATGCCCCGATCCACGGTGCGCTCCGCGTCCTCTCAGTACTGGTCGATGAGGGCTTGACGGAAGAACAGTTCTTCATGGTCGCCCGAGATCTCGTCAATGCCTTACAGCACGTTGCGGTTGACAACTCTCGGAGTCTGATAGTGAGAGCCATGGATCTGAATGTCTTTAGAGCTTGCTTTGAGATGCTTGAGATGGTGATGGCCGATCACGGAGCGGCGGTGAAAGCTTTCCTGAACGAGTCACTGAAGGCCTGGATGCCGTTCTTTATGGAGACACTGAAGCAACCACTGCCCCCTTCCGTGGGGCCCGAAGATGCATCATTTCGGGGCCTTGTGGCACTCAAAGTTCAGGTGGTCAAGGTACGCTGCTCTTTAGAGCATGGGGTAAAAGAGCATCATGGCTAACGGCATACCAGACACTCGACAAACTTCGAAAAGTCTATGCGCAGGCTCTCTCCCCAGATGTGATGGCTCTGTTTCAGATCGTTTGGGAGGAGTTGGCAAGACTTGCGACGATGTATGCTCGACTCTACATTGACGGCAGTGCCGAAGGCAAACTCGTCGACAGCGACAATCTACCTTGCAGTCTAGACGCACTTGTTCTTGAAGAGCTTGACTTCTTGCAAGTCACCATTAGAGCCCCTACAGTACGCAAAGAGCTCACGGCGCAAATGCAGCAACTCGGTGATGCACAGCATACTGTCCCCTGGCTGCAAGAATTGGTCGGCGTACTGGTCATGTATGCCAGAATCCCAAAGGAGGAAGAAGCGCTATGGGAATTTGACAGCAACTTGTATCTCTGCGAAGCAACGTCACTCACAGCGAACTACACACCCCGAGCAGCCTGTGCGGACCTAGCCGTGCGGAGCCTGGGCGAATGGTTGAAACAGATTCCAATCCTGGCATTACTCCATTTCAAGCAGCACAACCTCTCCAGCCAGACATCGGGATGGAAAGAACGCGAAGCACTTATCTATCTACTCAACCAATGCCTCAAAGACGTCGAAGAAGTCTCTGGGAAGCTCAGTCCTCAAACATCTTCCGCAGTCGTCGAGGGACTCGCGGATACGCTCCAAAATCCAAACCCCTTCATGCGTGCGGCGGGCCAAATGGCCGCAGGGTGTTTCTTCAAGGTTGCTAGCGGCGAGGAATTCCTCGCTGCCGGGGCGGTGGCGTTTACCAATGCTGTAACTGCGTCGTCTATGGACGAATCCGACGTGGTCAAAGTTGCGTGCCTGAGCATTCTGCATGACTACATCGACGCACTTCCACCGACCGTGACGCGACCAATGCAAAGTGCAGTTGTCAACGTGGTGGGTGAATTCATCTCCTCGCACGACCTCCGGGACGAACTAGAGGACGCCGACGACGTCAAAGCGGCGTTGATTCAACTCCTGCGTGACGCCATCATGCTGGACACATCCACGATAACCTCCGAGGGCAATAATGCCATCGACTTATTCTTCACGCTGGCATCGGACGGGGCGTCGAATTTCCAACTCTTCACTCTCCTCACCGAGGCTTTCGAGGGAATCGTCTCGTCGGTGTCTTCATCCGGGCAAGAACCGTATGTGCGGCTGTGCGCCAAGACCATCCCGTCACTGACGGGGGCATTTGATATTGCCAATATGACCCAGGAATCTGCATTGACGAATCTCGCCGCCGAGCTCGTCTCTGCACTTGCCGAATTCGGGTCCGACCCTCTCCCTTCCGGCTTCGTGCAAGCTGTAATGCCAAAGCTACAACGGGTGCTGATGGAGGCCGTTGAACCTGAACTTGTCCGTCCGGCCACGTTGGCGCTCAATCACATGCTGTCGAAGGGCACACAACAGTTTCTGGCCTGGACCGACTCTCAGGGAAAGTCTTCAATCGAAGTGACGTTGACAATCATAAACCGTCTCCTCAACTCCCCGGATGTGGACGAGAATGCGGGCCAGGAAGTCGGCGGGCTCGCGTCAGCGTTGGTCACGAAATTCGGAGCTGACAAACTCGGACCATACCTGATGGATTTGCTGCGTGCGGTAGCTATCCGCCTTGCAACTGCGGAGAGGATACAGTTCATTCAAAGCCTGTGTATGGTTTTCGTGGGTCTCTCCCTTGCGGCTCCGAAGGAAGTTCTGGATTTCCTCAGCGAGGTAAACATCAACGGCACCAATGGACTAGATGTGGTCCTGACAAAGTGGCTCGAGAATTCTGTGCATTTCGCCGGGTTTGACGAGGTGAGACAGAACGTGGTGGCGTTGTCGAAGATATTCGCATTACACGATCCCCGAGTCCACGCCGTGAGCGTCAAAGGGGATCTGATCGTGGACATTCTGCCAGGAGGACGCATCAAGACGAGATCACAGGCCAAGTTAAACCCAGACCGATGGACTCAAGTCCCGGCAGACCTAAAGATCTTAAAAATCATGGTCGACGAGCTCGCCAGTGCAGCCACCTCGCGGTTTCCGGACCTGGCCGCGGCTCAAGCGGCCGCGGACGCCCTGGACGAAGAAGACGAAGACGCCGAAGACGCAGACGAGTGGGAGGATGTTGGCTCGGCCGGCGCCATTGACCTTGCCAGTGCAAGCGCCAGAAACGAGCTGATGGCGCTTGCGGGGATTGCTGGTGGAGATGGCGCGGATGACGGAGGCCTGAGTCCCACGGGTTCGAGGGCCAGAGATGAGGAGACAGCCGAGTACCTCTTGCACTGGTTCAAGAACGAGGCTGAGCGGGACGGCTTCGCCGCCTTGTTTGAACAGTTGGGCGAAGAAGAAAAGGGGAAGTTGAGGGAGCTGGTTGCTTGAGGTTCCTTTTGCCTTTGAGGGATGCTCCTTGGAAAACACATCAGGGCCCTGGTCAGAATTACACGTGAGTGGCGACATATTCCCCGAGAAGACCTGGAACCTCTAAGCGAATACGAATACAACTCGACGAGCGCCTCGTCGTCAGGCGCGTGCGCGGTTTTTTTTTCTTTTCATTCTCTGGAACTGTTGTTTTGTTACTCTGACGAGCGTGCGGCACCAGCTAGCATTCCCAATACGGTTGGGAAATGCCAAGAGACACCCAGAGCCAATCGTGACCCGCGCGAACCATGCAATCCTTTCTCTTGATTCGACGTCCGCGATGATCAAAAGACTGTCATTTAATACCGTTTGTCAAGACAAGTGAGGCCTCGACACTTCGCATCTTCGACCTTCCTGGGATAAAACTCCAGCCCACCCCAGCTCACCGTTCATGGAGTCCCTCTCTCGGTGCATCGTTGTCACCACTGCTGCCAGTGCTCCTTCAATCTTCAAGATACACTGCATCCGCTGAACATCATGGATCTTCTTCATCTTTCCATGATTCTGTGCATTTCGACTTTCGGAGTCCACATTTCATACGCCCTTTCCGTCGCCCACCGAATCGGCCGTCCCGTACCCGCCCGTCTCAGCCCCTTCAAACACCATCAGTCTTGCCTCCATGGTCGTGTCAGCGCTCGCTCTCGTTTGTCAGGCAATTTCTCTGGCAAGGCCATCGTCGGAGAAGCCATCGCCGGCTTCATTACTAGCGCAACTGTTGCAGGCAAAACCATTCGAAGACGGCGAATTCAGAGGCCTATTACAAGATTTCGTCAGGGCCTGTCAAAATGAGCGTAGGGGGGCGCCAGCCATAGGATCAGGAGGTCCCGCGACCGACAGTGGACCACCCCCGGCAAGCAGGCCAGGAAATCCACCTCAACAAACGCCGCCCAGTTTGACCGAACACGATTCGACGAGCGACCACCAGCCTCTGGACCGCAGTGACGCTGGGGAGGATGAGGATCTGCTGGCGCTTGCGTGGCTGCGGGGAAACCTTTCCGGCGCGCGACCGAGCGAGATGGACAATGCCAACGGCCCCCGACACCCTAGGGGAGGCCCTCAGAGCCGCGTTAAGCCTCAATCCTTTCGACCTGGGAGCAGCGGTTCCAACATTGTCGGCGGCGCTGTGACAGGTGCTCGTGCGCAACCAGGGCGCACCCAGAAGAGGAACACGGGCAAAAAGCCATTCCCGCCTCTCGTTGCTGCCGCCGCCGCCGCCGTCGATGCTGCTGCTTCCGAACCAGAGCAAGCACCCTGGGCGAACCTCGATTCCCTGCAAAGCGACCAGGCGAGAACTTCTGGCAGAGGACAGCCCCACAACACACCCTTCCCCAGACGCCCGCGATCCAAGACCTGACGGCTGCGAAGACGCCAGAAACCCTCGTCGTCGGCAGTTCCTTGGGCGAGAAAACCACTCTTTTCCACAGACCTTACGGCCCCTTGCCGGGTACACTCACTCACTCGTGTACTGCTGGAGTTTTGTGTGTGGGACCAACGATAGCTCAATTGATCTGGAAGCACCAATTGAATTTAATGACTTGTGGGGAAAGCAGTTTATAAAGGCAGATAGGCAATACCGCAGTGAACTTTTTTTATACACCCTTCCGCTCCAGTATACTACTCCCTACCTACATGAATCAAGTAGCTTTTTGTGCAGCCTTTCTCGAGTATCTCTGTTCAATGTGTGTGCGGTGAGATCGTGAGATCGTGAGATCGTGAAATCGTGAGTCTGATACCCAAGGGCGAGATGGTACCTTGATACTCTGCCATACTGTGACCCTGAGTGTCATCTCGAGGTATCGACCGGATGTATCTCATCACCATCCTGGCCCATTGTCCACCGCTTGTCTTCTTGCATCGTTGACCATCGGATCAGAGCCGAAAACGGGGTTTCCCCATCACTTCTTCGCGGCCGGAGCCGTCCTCTGCGCGCCGAATTTCTCGTGCCACTTCCGCTTTTTCTGGTTCTGGCTGCTTTGTTGCGCGTCCTTTGCGCGGCCGGAAGGAGGAGAAGGATGGGAAGTGCCCGACGGCCCGGACGCATGGCTTCCCCTCGCCGATGCGAATCTCAGGACCTCCTCCCCTTCGTCGTCCTTGGCCACCTCCACGCCCTCGACGGACGAGAGCAGACTGGAGACGTCGCATCCGACTGCCCATGGATCTGGAAGCAGCTGGGTCCACTCGGTCATGAATTTGTCCACGCGTAGTCTCTCTCGATCTGAGTCCGAAGACGCTGAGGGCGACGATCGTCTTCGCGCATGGGACAACAGGAGCCAGCGTCCGATCATATCTCGGCTGAGGCTGGGGTTGAATTTCAGTTTGACATTGAGCAGTTGTTCCTCATCCATCGAGCCGATGCTCAGGTCTGGATCGAGCAGCGTGGGGAGATCGCCGTGTCTGGGGTCACGTCCCTCTTCATCCTCATCTGTAAATCTGCGCAAGATGGCCGTTGTGACATTCAGAGCCAAGGAGCGTCCCTCGTCCGTCTCCTCAGCTTCGAGCAGTCCATCGAGCACGCCGCGGACCGTTTTTCCGGGCAGAACGTTGGCATTCTTCTCGAAGTTGACACTTGAGATGGTGCATTGCTGCAAAAATTCCTTCCAATGCCGTAGTAGCAACGATGGAGTGGGCAAGTATGCCATTTCTTCATGCCTCTCGCTCTGTCGCATTGTCGTCTGGGGCAGGCCAAAGATCAACGACTTCCTCATCACGTCCTGGATCAGCCTCGTCGGTGCCGAAATGTTGTCGAGTATGTCCCTTGATGACACTGCTTCGTTTCCACTTGACTCGATCCCAGTACCTGGACGGCCTGGGTCAAGAGGACCAAAATCATCCTCCATGTCCTGATATACAGCGACCATATCATGAATCTTCCTCTCAATATCTCGTTCGTCCGATTTCACCTCGATTAACTCGAGAACATTTTTCACCTGGGCTTTCGTCGTGATACCGCCTCTGCTGCCAGCAGCCGCAGCTAGCCCATCCACACCGACGTGCCCTTCTGCACCGGCCATAGGCATGTCCCCATCTTTGCCGCCGGTCCCCTGGCCGCCGGCATGTTTCTGTGGTGCGTAAGGTTGTTGACACGTCTGAGTAACATAAACACTGTTACTCGTGCTGACCTGCTTGACAGCCCAGATCTTGTCGTCGGCGCAGAGGTGGAGAAGCCCTTCCTTCCCTTCTTCCGCGGCGGTAACGGGAGAACTGGCGCCTCTGCCGAATCCCTTCAGTAGCCGTTGTCCCTTGCTCGGACCGGCAGTGTCCACAGAAGACTTGAACCACAGTTTCCGTCTCTTGCTCGGATTTTTCATCTGTGTCTCGACCACATCTAGCAGTTCGGGTGGCAGCTCGAGCAAGCGGAGACTCTGTTGCGGTAGGGTAGAGGAGACGGCAACGGGAGGGAAGGTCGTAGGTTGTGAGGATGAGGAGGGGGACATGGTGGTATCGATCCGGGCTCTTGGTGTCCGTCGCAGAGTTATTGAGGGTACATACCGTTATGGTCGAAGAAGATGGCGATGTCCATAGCGAACCATTAACTGGTCAAACATGGTGGATTGTGCAGTGTTCATCAGCAGACCGGGATTGGCGCGTTCCCAATTTGGACGCGTCGCGGCATCTCAGAGGACGACGTCATTCTGCCAATGTAGAGTCTGTAACTACCACCACCACCGCTACCATCGTGAAGACAATTACTCTCCTCGAGACATCTTTCTATCCATGGCAGAAAGACTACAACTCCAGATCCGCGCTGCGATGATGTATTGAAATGGAATGCTGAATACTTGTATGACATGTCCTCACAGCTGCCACTCGATCATGACACATTCCTCCCCAATAAAAGAACTGCCGGACCAGGTCAGCAGCAGTTGCCGCCGAGCATCCCTCGTAGATATTGTGTACAGGTCACAAATGAGCCTCCCGCCAAGGGAGAGGTTGCCCAAAATCCCAGACGCCCGAAATGTTGACACAGAACGCCGCCAACTCTCGTCCATGTACGCATCATGCTTTGCTCAAGATGGTTGGATCGCTCGCTTTCTATCCCATATCCCATGATCCGTTATCTTTTGCTTTTTCCTGAATTCCATGACCCTCTACCCGAGACCGCTGTATCGTTTAGCTCGGTAGGTAGCCACCCACCAGCAATGGTGTTGTTGCATCAAATCCGTTCTTCACTCATTTTAGCTGATGTCCTCGTCTTTGCCGGCTGGAACCTTCTTCTCGGCCTTGTCAGCGTTCGTGTTCACCAATTGAACGCCCTCCTTCTTTGGTGCTGCGGCCATAGCTTCCTTATCCTGCTCCCACTGAGAGCCCACCTGTCGGAACTCGTCTTCGAGCTTCTTGACCTGTTCGGCGTTTTCTTTTTCCTGCGTTTCCCGTTCGCGCTTTTCGCGCTCCATTTCCTCCATATGCCGGATGTCATCCACCGAGGGTTCGTACAGATGCCACACAGTATAATGGGGGAGTCCAACAACAGAAAATTTCATGCGCCGGGCCATCTTCCCGAACCCTTCGGTCTCGGCGTGCCTTTCGAAGGAGAAGGCCGGAAAATGGACGCCTGCACGGAACACTCGGGCTTTGGCGAGAATGGAGACTCCGCCAACGCCGTCCAGTTCCATTTCGACATCGGGGTCTCCGTAGGGATCGCGGAGGTAGGCAAGGTGAGGCCGCCATGTGGCATACTCTGCGTAGCCTTCCACGATGACAGCGTCTTCATCTAGTGACTCGGCGAGGGCAATGGCAGTCTCGGATTCTTGCCAGGAGTTGAGGTCGTAGGGTTGTTCACCCCCAAGCCAGTCAGGTAGGGGCCGCCAGATGTCTGTTCCTTCCTGTTAGCTTTAACACACAACGGGGTTATCAGGAAGACCCACTCGGCACAATTACATCCTTGTCATGCCGCATGAGATCTTCAATGATGGTATAGGGACACGTCTCGACATCAGCATCACGCCAATAAACCCAACTGTGATATGGTCTCAGGGCCGCACTGAGCAGCCAATTCCGTGCGCGCGCCATCAATTTTCTTCGGCTGGCTTGAGCCGCAAAACCGTGTCTGCTTTCCACATCTTGACCCACCGCCTGTCCAAAATCCTTGTGTATGACCGAAATCTCTCCGTATGGCTGTGAAGGATCCGGATCCGATTGTTGTGCTTCGAGCATTTGGGAGAGCAGTTCTTCGGTGTTGTCCTTGGAGTCTGAAACCAGAAACGCTAGGTCGATGAGGTGATGAGGGTAGGTGAAATTTCTTAGATGGGCGAAGAACATGGGCAAATGCGGTGCAGCGTCTCGCAGGGGCGTGCAAAGTAGGACTCGTTCTTCCCTCTCCCAGCCCACCGAGGTACCCTGTACGTCTTCGAGGTCATAGTATCGCAGAGTCTCGATATCATCGTACTGAACCGAAGCTGCCGAACTGCTCGAGAGCAGAGACAAAGTAGAGCTGGAGGGAAAGAAGAAGTAGAAGGCCACGCAACATGTCACCAGGACGATCAAGCCCAACCGGATCAGGCGAGATCGGGTATGAAGGGCTCGTTTTCGCGGCTCGAATTTTCGATTGAAGGAGGAGTCCACTTTGTCGTCCTCAACTAGATCGGGCAGGCCCCAAATATACTTGTTCTCGAGGTCGGAGCGGTCGGTGTAGGGGCGGTAGATATCGTCATCTCGTTTCTTGTTGGCGGCGTAGCCATTGGTAAAGGCGTGATGCCTGTTCATCACTCCAACTCATCACACCCCCTCAGCCTTGTGTCTCCGCTGCGGTGCAGCTCTTCGATTGGTGGTCGTGTCGGAGGCACCGGTCTGGTCAATGAGCAGTAACTGGCTGCGGAACGGGGACGTCGGAGAGGAATACGGCGGGGCGAGGGAGGAACGAGGGCTTAGATTCGAGATCAAGCCCGCGGGATGAGGAGAGGACACGTTGGAAGGAGAGGCGAGTTGGAAGGTAACAGCGAGAGAAGTCGAATCGAAGGCGTGGTGGGTTTCGTGGAAGGGGGGAGGATGGGGAAGGATGAAGCCAAGTGGGAAATTCAAAGTGACTACGGAGTACTTGATCAGCGCACGACAAAGAGATGTGGATTTCTAGATGGGCCAGAACTGGTCACGGAATTCCCAATGGAAGGTCAACTGGTTGCACTGAAGCAGCAACAGAGAGAACCTGTCACATTTCCACTGGCAAAAGGCTCATCAGCCCACAGTGGCTCGATGCGCAGGTCGCAGGTCGCAGCGCAGGGCCGCAGTTTGTCCCTGCGACGGGAAATTTTGTATGACATGACGCGGCCGGCGACGCGGGCGAATCGCATGAATTGTTGCTGCTGCTATTTTCATCCACGGCATTCTGGCCATGAAATTATATGAACATCATGAACATTGCTATCCTTCCAATCCGGCTTAGCAGCCTGTCTGAATGGCGTCCTACCATGTTGCCCAGACGAAGTCCACACCGTGCCACAAATCACAGCCTGAATTGAGCCTCCTTGGGTATCGTATTATGACTGCGACTTCGCGCGTGTCCGCGCATGGAGATGGAGGCGCTTGGATCCTTCAGGCCGCCAGTTCAGTCTGGGCTTTTCTTTAATTTCTGCGGCATGGAGACCAGCATTATACCTTGATGGAATCTTCTTGTGCATGCTGCTTACCCTGCTAGAGAACGATAGAGGACTGAATTGACTTGCACAGAAGCCGAGACAGAAACCACAGAAACATGGCTCCGCGCGAGCAACTCCTCGAAACAGCCACAAAGTACCTCGACGCACACAACCAGCGCGACTTTCCATCCATCGCCGCTTGTTGCACTCCAACCTGTACCCATCGGGGCGGACCAGCCTCCGTCAAGGCCCCGACTCGCAACAACGACGAGTACGTCGCCTTCAATGTCGAGGTCTTCAAGATGATGCACACCTACCATGCCGAGATGACGGACGCCATCGTTGACGAAGCCTCGCGCAAGGTTGCCTTGTTCTTGCACGCCAAAGCCACCGCTGACGCTGGCGAGTACGAAAACGAGTATATCATCACGCTGACCATGAGCGAGGACGGAAAGTTGGTGCAGGATCAGTATGACTTTATCGACAGCCACACTATGATGCAGTGGATAGCCAAGCTGGGCAACTTTGGGCCGGAGACGTGGGAGAAGAAGTGAGGGAGCTGTCTATAGCTACCGTATCTCCACACAATCGCTTGGACGAAGAGGAGCGACGAGATGGCTGCCATATCTGATATCAGTAGCCCATAGGATGCCGCTGTGTCCAACAGGAGACCAAAGATCCTTGGGAATGAAGATTACCTTTGAGCTAATGGCCAGAACACCCTTCTCCTCGCCATGACTTGCTGGATAGCCATCTATTGCTCTATCATGACTGCCACAAGATTTCTGTATCTCTCGATGACGCACTGGCATCTGACTTTCGCACCCGAATTTTCGCACCGTCGCAGTTGAGCCCACAAACTTCAAGCACCTCATCCTGGGGGCAGTTTGCTCAATCGATTTTCATTTCAAATAGAAAAGCCTTGCCCGTGCTCACTGCTCCCCTTGGGATCCATTTTCTCTTGTCGTGATACCCACCGAGCCGCCACCACCGCCACCACTTCCATCACCACCTCCTCCCCATCTCCTCGGCAGACGGCAACTGGGACCCCAACCACAATCATAGTGGCGCAGAGTGATGGATACCTCGCTATAGCGAGCACCCCATCTTTCCTTGGCGCTCAGCTCCATTATTACTGCAGAATCTGACGGCGACACGGCTGGCCTTAACATCCGACTGCAAAGCTTTTACAGCGAACCACTCCTCTGTGTCTCATTGGATCCCCTGTGCCCTCTACCCTCCCGCATCCCGCGCTGCTTGGCCTCTCCCAAGGCCTTGAATCTCCTCCCGCTTAACCTTACGAGATCCTTGCCGATCATCAATGGGGCTTGGTGAGCTTGTGGGTTTCGCTATTTGCCCTGCTTGGATGAGCGATCGCCAGCCTTTCCCACAACTACCACGCCTGTGTCGTCACCATGCTTTCTGGTGTTTGTAACGCCTACCCGACGTGCCCACCACGAGCGCCCGAAGGACAAGCACAAGGGTTCGTCTCCATACTTTGGCCTCGTGCTGCTTGACAGTGTTGCCGACCCTCCCCCCATCCTTGACTCCCTGTCGAAGCTTTTCTTGCCCTTGTTACGTTGCAAGCTTGGTCTTGCACCCCCCATCTCAGCTTGGTCCTTAAAAGCGCATGTTCCTCTCTACAGGGCGCTGTGACCTCCTTGTCTTCCTTCTCTCGAGAGTGGAAGAGATATCCGGACCTTCTTTGCCCCTCTGGAACTGGTATTTCCAAAAAAAAATCACATGCAGGCGACAGCTCGTCTCAGTCCTGATTCTCTGTTTTACACCTGTTTTATACGGGTCATTCGCACCGTCAAGTGGCGTTGATCTATTTCATTGAACACCATTCCGCAACCGCCTAGAACTGGCATTGGAATGGCCACTGACGCCAAAATGTCCGACACGTATGAAAAGGGGGAGCCTGGCTTTGGCGAGGGCAACATCCTGAAGCCGGATGAAGCCATCGACATCGAGGCTAGACGCGATTCTACCATGGTCCATGGTCGCAAGATGAGCAGGATCGGACCGCCTCCAAAGATTGGCTCTCTGCCCGATACTTCGGGGTCGGATGATGAATACGGCAAGCTGGTCGCGATGGAGGCCAACGATGCCATCAAGTATCGGACTTGCTCCTGGCAGAAGGTTGTTCATAGTTCTGCGCCCAACACTTTGTTTACGAAGTGCTGACCAAATAATAGACTGCTGCTTTGCTCTTCTCTGAGTATATCTGCTTGGCCATCATGTCGTTCCCGTATTCGTATTCAGTCCTTGGCCTGGTGCCCGGAATCATTCTCACCGTCGTGCAAGCCGCATTCGTCCTCTACACGTCTCTCGTGGTCTGGGAGTTCTGTCTCCGCCACCCTGAGACGAGAGATGTCTGTGACATTGGACAGATGCTGTTCTGGAACTCGAGATGGGCCTGGTACTTTACGGCCGTCATGTTCATCCTGAACAACACCTTCATTCAAGGGCTCCATGTCCTCACGATTTCGCGATATCTGAACACTATGAGCGGTACGTATGCGCATTTGCCATCAATTCATGCCCCCTGGAGGAGCCTAACTTTTATCCAGGTCACACCGTCTGTACCGTTGGCTTTGCGGCCATTGGCGCGGTCGTCTCGTGGATTTGTTCCATGCCGCGCACCTTCAGTGCTCTGTCGAAACTTGCCGCCTTTTCTGCCTTCTTCACGTTCGTGAGCGTCATCCTCGCGGCTGCTTTCGCCGGCGCAGAAGGCAAGCATGGGACAGCTGGCTACAACCCGGATCCGAACCACGTCAACGCACTGGGCGTGAAACAAGGCGGTGAGCCGCTTGTTCTCGCGGTCCCAATGGCCGGGACGACGTTTGTTTCTGGGATGAACGCATTCCTGAACATCAGCTATACCTTCATCGGACAAATCACGCTGCCTAGTTTCATTGCCGAGATGAAGAACCCTTATGACTTCCGCAAGGCACTCTGGCTGGTTACCATCTGCGAAATCATTCTCTTCAGCCTCGTGGGTGGCATTGGTAAGTCTCTGCTCCAGACAATCACCAGCACCCCCAAGACACAGCCAACCGCAATCCGAGAGAGCCCGATTCAATACTAATACACTTTTTTTTCTTCCCCCAGTCTATGGCTACACCGGCACCCAATACAACACTGCCCCCGCGTTCGGAAGTCTGGGCAACGACATATACAAGAAGATTTCGTTCTCGTTCATGATCCCGACGCTCATCTTCCTCGGCGTCCTCTACGCCTCCGTGTCCGCCCGCTTCGTGTTCTTCCGCCTCTTCGACGGCACGAGACACAAGAGCTCGCACACCGTCGTGGGCTGGGTCTCCTGGGCCGCCATCCTGGGCGCGACGTGGGTGCTGGCGTTTATCATCGCCGAGGTCATCCCCTTCTTCGCCGATCTCCTTTCCCTGATGAGCAGTCTGTTCGACTCCTTCTTCGGCTGGATCTTCTGGGGCGTCGCGTACATGCGGATGCGGTACGCCGATCTGGGACCCGGGTTCTGGAGGAAGAGAGGGATCCGCGGGTGGATTGGGTTCCTGATGAATATATTCATCATTGTCGTGGGATTCTATTTCTTGGGCGTGGGCACCTACGTGAGTTCTCTCCCCTTCCACGGTCCCTCTTCCTAGGTTCACTTTGCAACTGCTCCCGGTGCCTATCGATCCAAGTGATGAAGGATCAAGGAATCCGCTAACGTGGTGATTTCGAAATAGGCCTCCGTCGACAGTATCGTTCTGGACTACGAGAACGGCAACGTCCGAGGCGTCTTCACCTGCGCCGACAACTCGGTCTAGTCACTATTCCCTCTACACTACTGTTGGGGGGGTTTGAGCCGAACAAACCATGGGGGGAATCCACTGTTCTTTTCTCAACTTTCTCTCGCTTTTTCGACCTCTGCACTCAACATTTCGATGGACTTCCCGTCCCGTCCCGTTTACCGACCAGCAGACGCGGCACAGAGAAGGAGCGGAGTAAAAGGACGACACTGAGAGACACTCTTACCTCGCCACCCAGTGTAATTCGAAAACTCGAGGATCCCTCAAACCACTCACCTACTCACTCACTATGATGGCAACACAAGGCGAAAAGAAATAACGGATGGCAACGGGGAATATGGGAACAGGGGGCGGAATAGCTCTGCTGTCATATATTCGTACACGACGCACAGAAAGAATGAATGATCAATCATGTTGAAATGATAGAGTATAGGGGGAAAAAACAACAGTTGAAAATGTTTAATAAATCTAAACAGAACTTCTTTTTGCCGTAGCTAATGCAATGCAATGCGAGGCGACGCGAAGGTTGAGGGAACTGTGACGGCCGGCGCATTGCCATTCCACCAGTTCTGCTTGTCTATTTACGATCAGCGAGTAGCCGATTACATGAAGGATACGTAGGTGAATGTATCACATAGGTGCTGTGGTTGAGAGGCCGCTATCCGAGGTGTCTATCTAGACATCTTCGTCCTCGTCGTCCTCGAGCATCTTCGCGTAATCCTCCACGGAAGCAAAGGTGGGCAGGTTCTTCAGCTTCGACCGGGCCGCCTTCTTTGGTTTCTTGCTGCGGCCGTGGTCGTCGTCGTCGTCTTCATCCGGCTTCTTGCCCTTCTTCCTCGTCGCGGCAGCTGGTGCGCCGGTGTCCGAGTCGAAGCCCGCAAAATCTGCCCCGGAGTCGTCGGCACCAGAATCAGCGTCGGCCGCATCCACCATGAGATCGTCCTCGTCTTCGTCAAAGAATGCAGGGTCGATGTCAACGCCTTCATCGTCTCCTTCACCGCCCTCGCCCTCACTTTCTAGTCCTCTCAAGTCTTCGTCTTCAACGTCTCCTTCATCCGATTCCAAATCCGCCAGGTCGAGATCCACATCGTCGTCGTCCTCGAATTCATCGCCCTCCAAATCTGGCGCACTCTGCATCATAGCCTTCCAAATTTCATCCTCATCGGCTTCAGACTCATCTACGTCGTCTGCGTCACGCCGCTTCTTGTCCTTCTTCTGTTTATCCTTCTTTTCCGCCTTGCCCTTCAAACTGGTGAAGTATTGATGGAAGAAAACATCCTCAGCATCCACCTCGTCACTCTTCTTCAGCCTGAACTGTTCGCTATTTACCGGGATTTGCCTCTTCCCGCTCACCGTGCCTGAAATCAGTACTGCCTGTGAGTTATCTGTCGCCATAGGTTGCATGATGCTACTGCCCCTAAGACCCGAGCTCGACAGCTTCGGGTTACGGTATACAAAGCGGTCCAGGAAATGCGAGAGCGTATGCAAGTTGAGATCGGGCTTTCCGGGGAGGGTTCGGTGGTGCAGGACATGGTCAGCGCTGACGGAGACAGAAGGATGGAAATGAGCGAGGAATGGAAGAAGTTCCCACAGGCACGTGTTGTCGGCGTTGGCGTGTTCTGGGGCGCGTTTGTGCGCATCGTAGACATGTGTCCGTCGCGAATGCTCCGTATCCGAGGGAGAAGGGCCATTTATGGCTGTTGTATTGGCTGGGTCCACATCGTCTTCATCCACGACATCACGAAATACCTCAACATCGTCTCCGTCATGATCCTCTGGCTCATCAGTCAATGCCTTCAGTGAAGGAAACGTCTTCTCAAGATCCTGGATCAGGAAAAAGGCCCCACAGATGAACGGTGGCTCATGCAGGCTCAGGACTTGCACAAGCCGTTTGACAAACGCCTTCACCCGTTTCGCGCTTAAATCGGCTTTCAGAGAACGATGGAGCAGATTCAGGTAGAGTTGCTGCTTTGACGCTGTGATGAGGCGCTGATCCAGAAGAGATTCGTACAATACTCGGTAGAAGCGGTCAGTTGAGGCTTTGTGTTGGGAAGAGTGGGAGATTTGTTGGATAAGCAGGAGGGACTGGATGCTTGTATTGAAGTTCGCCGAATGGGTGATTTTGAATAGCGTGCCGAGATGGTCAGAGAAAGCTGAGTTGTTGCTGGTATAAGGGTATGCCCGATTGACGCCAGTGAGGATGGCGGAGATGAGTTTCTCACGAAGTTCTTCAGTCTGCGACTGGCCTCGTTGCTCCTGACCTTTTTTGTTCTTTTTCTTGCGACCCTTATCTTGCACATGGTTCGTGTCAGCATCGTCCTTTACGAATCCCTTATCAGTTTTCAGGAGGTCGGTGAACAGTCCAAAATAGATGTCGAGCAGCTTCGTCGCTACCTCTTCCTCCTTCGCACTCAATGCCGTCTGATTGAGGGTAACCACAGCATAGTATTTCCCATGCAGGGTCTGTCCGGGCCGGAAGATGAAGTCTGACTCAATGGCGGACACAACCACCATTTTCATGGCTGGGTGAGCTAGCAGGAGCTGCATCAGTGAATAGGAAGCCTGGGAGGCAATTTTCTTCACAGGATCGCCTAACTTATTGATCAGGAGGCGCAGCAGGTTTGATTCTTGTTCCGGTCTTTCCTTAAGCAACTCGAACACGTAGCTGACGGCGCGCGCTTTCGAGAATTCAATCTCGTCGTTGCACCATCCCTCAAGGATCTTGAGCACCTCAAAGTACTGCTCTTTCAGCCAGCTTTCGAAAGCCCACGACACCAGATGTCTTTGCTCGAGGCCACGGGGCAGCTTGTTCCCTCTTTTCCATGACCTCGAAATCACAAACTGAAGGGCTGGCTGGGCCTGAAAAGCGTAAAGCTTTCTTGACTCAGGAAGAAGTGAACCCTGGGCGAAAAGGTCTTTGAGCGCTCGGAGCACATCGACAGCTTGAGAGCGACTCCGTTTTCGAGCTAGGCCAATCAAGGTTTCGAGCGCTCTGATATTATGGATAGGAGACTCTTGTACGGCTAATGTTAGGGCTGATATCTTGTCCGATAGAGTTCCTGACGAAATGACAGTGTTGTAGAAGGCATTGGCGGATGATGACTGTTGCGACTCCTTGAACTTTTGATTGTCCTCATCAAGAAGTGCCTTCGCATATTGGTAGAGTTCGTCGATAGATTCCTTGGATAATGTGTGTTGAGGAGAACTCGTTGTGTCGACATCTGGGTCGGGGATGTTGTACCAATCCGGCGTCGGCTCGCAGACAAAAAGCGTTTTCTTGCCCCGTCCACCCTTGTCCACCTGCTGTTCTCGGGCAACAGGTGACCTTTGGGCCTCCGGTGACAAGGCATGGCCATCTACCTCATCATCTCCGTCAAGTCCACTTGAGGAGTCCTTGTCGTCGTGGCCTTCTCCTTGGGCGAGGGCGATCTCTTTGAGGATGTTTCTCATTCCCTTGTCTAGCTTCTCTAGATCCGGCTGCGGGATGGTTCCTTCAACCTCTGACTCAGAGTCTGCATCTGCTAAGAGTTCCAGATCTTCAGCTGTTCCACCAAGAGCCTTCATTTCCTGTTCCAAGACATCTCCTTCTGGTTCTCCTGCTTTTCCATGAGTAGGTTCGTCTCGCCGGACATTGACCTCGCGGTGTTGGGTGAGGATCGTGCCATTGCGATCACGCTTTTTGCCTCGTTCCGTCACTGGTTCGTGACTCTTATTGCGACCCTTCGTTTTGTCCTTCTCTTTAACATCGCTCGGATCGGTGAATTGGTAGCGACTTTGGATAGTCTTGCGCAAATCGTCGACCAGGGATGGCTTATTGGTAGGCTGCCCGGGCTTCTTTGAGGATGGGCCACCACCACGAGGTTTTATTTTCGACATCGAGCTATAGCTTCACCGTTGGTCACCGACCAAGCGTCGCACCTTGCAAATAGAACTAAATTCAAAGCCGGCGCAGAAAAACTCCAAAAATCTGGAGGGACCCCGGGAGTTTTTCGGGCGGATTTAAAATGTGCCAAGACAGCTTATCTCCTCATGACCTGTCCTCTAGCAGTACCTATCAAAGGTTGATATTGAATAGAGGAGAGATGAACTCTGTGAACGCTAATGCGACACGCTTAGCTTTTAGTGATTGATGCAAGAGAGATATGCATTGAGCTGCCTGTCTCTGGACTGCCCCAACCATGTTCATAATTAGGTACGTAGATGCTTCCCCAGGGGACTTTCTCCTTTCATGTCTATTTATATTAAGCTCCATCTTCGGTTCAACTTTGTCTCCATTCCACCACGTTCTCCTGGATTTGCGGAATCACCAGTCCTTCCAGCCGTCACTACTCACAGGAGGAGAGTCATGCCAAAAAGGGCGACCATGCTTCCAAATGCCATCATTGGGTTCCCTGCGGCCAAAGTGTAAGCAGCTGCGTTGGTGCTAGAGGTACTGGGACTTGCTGCTGACCCACTAGCGGTAGCCGATGCGCTTGCCGAAGAGGCCGATGTGCTGCTTAAACCAAGTGTGTCATTCTCCTTAGGCACCCCCTGCAGAAGTGTAACGTTTGCAATCTTAGGATAAGGGACGAATCCATTATCCGGGTAGGCAGAGCAGTTGGCATTCTCGGCAAGCGGACAGCTGTAGACATCGCTACAGATGGTCTGCAGCTGAGGCCCCGCTGATGGAGGAATCACGGCGGCTGGAGGAATACAGCGGTAGGTGAACGTCTGGTCGAGAGCGTCTCGTGTAAAGTTGACGTCTGGCTCCTCGAATCCGATCGATTTGCCGGCCAGCACAATCTGCTCATTGAAATAGCCAGATTCCCAGATGTTGGGGTCCATGAACCTTGAGCGACATTAGTGTTCGATCATTGATTATGCATGAAAACCGCTTACTTGTGCACCTCCCACATGCTGGCGACGCCTTGATAGTGGGGGAAATCAGAGCCTCCCTGCTGGGAGCACCCATAGAAATCACCAAAGTACTGATACACGTGGGTAAGGAGTTTGCTGCAAAGTCAAAGGTAAGCAAGGTATGGCGGTGGCTGATATGTAGTACATACTACTGATTAGAGGTCGTTGTGTTGGCCGGCTTGTTGGCAAGCAATGCTCCTGCTCCTCCATCATCAAGCCAGTTCTTGGCGACAGGTTTTCCATTTTCGTTGGTGGAGTAGTAGCCCCCAGTGAAGTATGGCAGGAGGTTTACGTCGTGACCTTCATAAGTCTTGGGGCCTGCAATCCCGTCCACTTTGACACCGACGTTGGGGGTCGTGTAGTTGCCCAGAATGAAGGTATGGGTAATCAATGCCATGAGCTGCTGCTGATTTTCGGGTGTGTTCTCTTTCCCGAGCAGGAGAGGAGTATAGTAGTCGCAGATAGATGTGGTGTTGGGACGCAGGGCGTTCACAACGCCGAACGCTGCGAGAAGTGAAAGAGCTTTAACGGAGATGGTTGACAGCATCTTGACGGACACTGAGAAGCAGACGCGGGAAAGATTGTGATGGGGTGTTGAGAGACAGTCCTGGAGGTTGAGGAAGAGAAAAAGAGAGACTCTCGACGGATGCTGCAGTTTAAATTTCGGCAGCCCGAGGATATTTCAATGCAGCTCTGCTCCAGATCGGGAAGCTCTGAGGTGGACAGGCCACAGCATGCAGGGCCCGAGGGATTAGTTGTCGAGCATTCATTAGGGTGCCGTTAGGGGCTATAAAATCATGGCAAGCAAGCATACCCGTACTCACAGCATCCATTGTCTAATTTCAGCTCGTGCAACGCTTCCAAAAAGGGACATCGGGCGATTTATGCTTGTCCTGACAGAGCGCAGGGACGAATCACGCCTGGTTGATTACCATCTTAAGATCAATGGATCTGTTTTCTGGGGGGGCCGTATAGGTATGAGCTGCCATCAATTGCAACCAGCTGCACAGCGTAGCGTCATTGCCAGCTTCATAATCTCGAGCTCGCGGAATGTAAACAAGAACAGAATCTCTCCGCACTCCTGCAGCCTCGCGACGGCCTATCACAGCCAAGATCCATGTGCTGACATATATTGCTCGCTTCTGATTCGCTTCATTGGAAGGCCCGCATGAGAATGCAGGATCTCAGTCAGAATGGAATATGCTGCAAGGGACAAGATTTGGGACAGAATGGGAGCATTGTGCTTTGTAAGAGGAAGGCTCGAGGTTGGTCATTCGTGGGTAGAGCTGAACTAGACACGCCCGGGAATGACCTGGAGAAGAGGAACTGAAGGCAGCATGGAGGCGCAAGATGGTGCCAAGATTTGCCAAGGGTGTTCTGCCTTTGCATTTCATGATTACTTGCTCCTCCCAATAAATGCACCTTTATATATCTGCTCTGCCCTACAGCTATTTCGGAGAAACGTGGATCCGGCGAGCCACATATCAACCACGAGAGCGAAGTTGCAGGACCGCGCAAATGCCTCGAAACAGCGAAGTGCCATGCTGAGCCTAGAGAGTTGGTCTAGCTGCCGAGTTTCAGCGTCAGTTGGATGCGGAGGTTGGGCGCTTACAAAAGCCAGAACTATGATTGGCCATTCGGTTTACCGAATCTGGCTCGTTGTCTTTATTTGTTCTGCCGCAATGGTTCCTCCTTTTTGGATAGGTCATTTCGGAGAACCATCTCCTCATATTCCAACAATAAGCAATCTCTGCATCTCCGCAAGATGGAATGGCCCCCGAGAGCCCGTCAATGCCTGAAATGGGCCTTGAGGCAGTGGAGTTCCGAGCCGGATCTACGATCGACCGCGATACCCGCCCGAACATGACTGCTTGACACCCACCGCACTGTGCGATCCATCGTCACATCCATCATCAAAAGGTCTTACGGGCACATACATGGAATATCTAAGTGCAGCAATCTGCCGCCTTTGCAAGCTGAAGTCTTGGTGAGAGACCCCCGCAGGGCCGCCTAAACCGCTACTAAGCTGGCTCCGTTTACATACCGACTCTTTGCTCGCAACGAGCTCTGTTTCTGAATCGGGCAAAGACTGGGCTGCCATCTGTTCCCATCTCCGAAGCATCGGCTCCGACAGATGAGGGTAGCGTTTTGAATTCTTTGGTGCGCAAATGGCGCTCGTCACCCAGTTTCTGCTAACGTTTCGGGCAGTTTCTTGATGAAATTTCACCACTCTTGGACAAAGGGCGATGCAAAAACAATTTCGAGGCCAATAGCCTATTATGATTATTACAGAAGTACAGAAGGAAGTGGTATGGCTTTCCGCAGTGCAGAAGCACAATGGCTTCGATTGGTGACGACAATATGCAGCTCTACCTTGGTCGCCAACTTTCAGCCTCCTCAATTGACCAATTGGCATATACCCTGAGCGCAGCCTCCTGGAGTTGCTTGTGGCTGCTCACACACTGTCACAAGCGGAAAAAGAGATTGGTCATCAGCTTGAGCCTAGTGGAGGTACAAGATTCAGCCACCAGGTGCCTACAGGTGACAGGTCAAAGGCTCGATCCTTCCACTCCGTTGAACGTGAGTATATTTTCCTAAATCACTTGGATCGGAGACTGAACTGCAACCCGTCGCTAGGCTGCTCACCCCCCTCACAAGTTCTTTAAATAGTGTCGAAGTACCCTTCTCTCATCTGCTCGAATATATCATCTGAGCCAGCCCGGAGATCCTAGTGTGGATGCAAAGACAAGCATTTAGTTCGCCATGCCTTGCGGTCAATCGTACACCACCGACCCTGCCCCCGAATTCAGGTTTGTTGACGATGAAGCCCTGCAATCGGTCAAAACCAAGCATAAAGAGAGTGCGGCAAGGCGCGCACATGCAGCCCGAGTCGCTCACCAGCGCCGACGTGAGCGGCAGCAGCGGGAGCACGAGACTACGTCAACTGGGAAAAATGGGTTGGTGTCTGAAAGCGAAACCGTAGACCTGTCTCCGCCGTCGGAGTTCAGTTTCGTTCACGAGGGGGACGGAGATACTGGGAGAGGTCGAGTTGAGGTTCCAGCAAAACAACAGGTGCATGACCTGACTGTCGCTCAGAGGAATCCATCTCCAGCATACACTGCCGCCATCCTAGGTCGCCGACTTGACCAGGGGGGAATTGACCCTTTCGACCAAATCGGTGCAAGAGACTTGCCGCGGGCATTAAGGTACACTCTCGAGTATGCCTTTGATGTATACTGGCCTGCGAATGTCAATAGTGCCCCTAGCGATCAGTCATATTCACTCATCCTACGCCGAGGAGCGACGAGGTATCCTCACGCCTTCCACGGACTCGTAGCTTCTGCTGCAATGTTTCTCCAGAGGAGCACCCAAAACCGTCAAGTTGCCACGGCATGCTCTGCCTTGGTACGCACGAATCGAGCAAAGGCCATTCAGCTGATTAATGAAGAGCTCAAGCAATTGCAGGGTGCAGTACCGTCTGATGACCTCGTTATGGCAATGGTCGCCGTGGCTAGAGGTTCTGTTGCGCACGCGAGGGTCCCGCCCGCCAGCTCGATCTCAAAGTCCCCATTAGCCAGGGCGCAGAATCTTCATTTTTATAGTACTCAGTCACTTGAGCCTGGGTACATCAAGGCTTTCTTCGACATCATTGATTTGAAAGGCGGCTTGGCTGGTGTCGAAACACCTGCGCTTGCAACGCTGGCAGAATTGTAAGCATTCAGCCCAAGATTTACTCTTTGGGAGAGTTGCTGATGAGTTGTGTGTAAGCTTCGATCTCACCGTCTCGACCTTGACAAGCCATCGGCCGAGATACGACTGGAGGCATCCGCGGCGGCCGCTGCTCACCTACGAAGTCGGTGGTCTCATCATCGACCCTATATCGGCGATGCTTCTCAAAGATCTCGGCTCGGGCTTTGACAGAAATATCCTGCTCGACCTCTATCCAACACTGAACATGATCTGTGAGCTTATTATTGCTCTAGACCGGTTGACACGCAAGGCAGTACCAGAGCCTGCGATGCATGACCTAGTCAATGCCCGCAACGCCATTCAGCATGCGCTTTGCCGCGCGCAACGTTTCGCCAATCCCGCGAGCCTGGAACAAGCCATTTACGATACTACTCGAGCTGCTCTGCTCTGTTTCAGCGATATGGTCATTTTCCCAATTCCCACCAGTACCAGTGTTCGATTACGACTTGCTACCGAGCTCCATGCTTCTCTCTCTGCGTGCGAGGCATTCGACGGGTGGTGTCATGGGTTTGAAGGATTTAAAATATGGGCGACAACCATAGGTGCAATTGCGGCCATCAATCTACCCCTCAAGGGTTCCTTTCTTGACATGTTGCACGGGCTCCTCTCCATGGGCTACTGGTCATGGGAAATTCTCAGAATGCAGCTGCACAACTTTGTCTGGTGGGATTACATGTGCGACGAGTTGGGACAGACTGTGCACGCAGAAGCAATCAGGATCGCCCCTTTTCCGACTCCGCCACCAGGGAATCAACAGACACTCATTTTCCGCAGTGGACATCCAGACAAATAGGCTTATCCCTAACTCCAGCGTTGACTTATTGACTGGGGGCCTCAACAACTCCGTCGTCCAGGGGCCAAGAAGCATGCCTCACGGCTTGCGACGGGGCTATTCTCAGTGTGACCTTCCATGTGCCACTTGTATAGATCTTAAGGTCGTGTTTGGTGGCTACAGCCTCAGCACTCAGGCTCTTACTTGAATAAATTCCCCTTGGGCTTAACAATCGGCGATGCATAAATCCAATGCTTCTAGGCCCTCGCTAGGCCCTAGTGAGCCCGCACTTCCTGTGGCTCCTGCACCCCGGAACCCGACCATCCGCAACCGCCTAGGGTTCGCCTGATTAGTACCTCGTAATTAGTTACAGGGCAATAATATGCGCAACGACAGGGTATCAAGGAAGCTTGCTACTTACCATTGCTCTCCGACCGTTGCGTAGCTAGTCTAGTTTCATCGTTACAAAATGCTAGGCTGACATTTCTGATCCTCTCTACAACGTCTCTCCACACAATCGTGTCAAGAATTCCTCAGCCGGCGTCCACCCCACGAGATCAGACTCTCTGCCCGGTCCACCTATCCTCTCCTGTACTCGATTACGTGCGTCAAGTTTATCGAGGCTTCGGTGGCAGCTGACTAGTCACTGAGTTCACCATGTCGACACTCCCACGGACTCCCCGGAGCAGGGGCTGCACACAGTGTATACAGCGTCACGTAAAGGTCAGTCAGCAGGAGGGTACGTCCACTGCTTTTGCTAGGACGCAATTGACAGAGTCTACGTGTTTCAGTGCGACGGCCGACCAGACTACTGTAGACAATGTGCCCGCTTTGGACTCCCTTGTTCCGGTCCTATTCAGGGACCCATCATTCTCGACATGTCTGCCAAAGTTAGTCGCCCACGCAAGAAACGACGCGCAACGTCTCGGGGCGTTGATGAGAGACCGGACCGATTGCATGCATCTACGGACGACAGCAACAGCGTAATATCAACAGAGGCCAGCAATTCGAGTCCTCCGACGGAGGATGATCTCGCAGTGCGGTCGGATGCATCCCCCCTCAGTTGGGATTGGCAAGCTGCCGCGCAGGACAGTCCATTGCCAGACCAAAACCTCTCCATGATCATCATGGACATCCTGGACAACAGGAGCTTCTTCGAGCAGTGTTTCGTGGAGAAGTTTGTCGAGTTGAGTACGAGTTCGAGGCTGGGCGTGAATCCGAAGCGGCCACGATCATGGGTATTTGTCCTTCCCGACCTCCTATCAAACACCCACACCCCCTCTGTAAGATTCTCGATTCGAGCGGCCAGCTTGATCTTTTTCGCGGTTTTTCAGCACAACAAGAGCGCCGAGGTCGAGGCTGTGCGTTGGTACCTGGCCGGCCTCGAAAGCCACCGTGGATTCATCCAGGGTTGCAGCAACACCGGCACAAATTCATTGACGCACAGGTCGGTGTCAAGCAGCCCGGACATATCGGTGCCGATGATGTTTCTCTACTTCGAGACGATGAAGCGGACGTCCCTTGACGCCTGGGCTCACCATATTGCGGCGGCCGTCGCCACAGTCGAAGCCCAAGGCCCGGATCATTACCGTGTCGGCCAGGATCACGCCATGTTCAGATCTCTTCGCACGTATGCGGTACGTATGACAACCACCGAGAAACGAAAACACTCGTTGACCTACGTGCGTGATTTCTAATGGTGAGCCCATAGGCTTTCAAGGCATTTCTCAAGAACGACCCCTGCGGCTTCGCATCGCAAGAGTGGTGTGACGTGCCCTTCCGAGACAGCACCAAGATCGCCTACGACTTTCTAATTGACGTCCTCCTCGCCGTCCCTCACCGGCTGAAGCTCACTTTGGTCCCCGGGGGCGACTTCCGGGACTGCCTGCACAGGATCGCAGGTCTCGACGCCTCGGACCGGCAGACGCTGGAAAGGGAGACACTCGTGCTCCTCCAACGCCTGCAGAATTGGTGGTGGCATTTCACACGCGAGACCGGCGTCGTTGCCGGTCGGCCGACTGCAGACCTGACACGCTATGCCGTCGACTCACTCGCGGATCCGTCGCCTCCTGGACAGTGTGTCTTCCCCGACACCTTGACGGCGAAGACGGTCTCGCTGTACAATTCCATGATGGTCATCGTCTACTCCGTGCTGCTGACTCTCGAGGAGTGCGACCCGTCGGCCCTTGAGGGCGTGCTGTCGCCCATTCCGCGCTACCGCTCCGAGATCGAGCGCCACTCGTCCTCGGTGCTGATGGCCGCCTGGTATCAGAGCTGGCGCAATCCCTACTGCGGCGATGCGTTGCGGACGGGGTTCTCCCTAAAGATCGTGTCGTGGCTGGGCGCGGACGAGGGGCAAAAAAAGGAAGCAGGCAGGATGATGGCTATTTGGGGGATGGAGAGCACCATTGTGGGAGGGCCGGGGGACTGATCTTCGAGACAGTATATAGCATCTGGTTGAATGGTCCATGATTCTATGGAACATGTACGATTCAGCAAAGATGAATCCCCCAGAGTGTATGAAAATGACATTGTATATTTGTCTATCTTGCTCACGACCCTCCTTGAACGAGACACCAAACAGCACCTCTTGGCTCATTTTCTTTCTCCGGTTTTCGATCGGAGGTCTTGTTCTGCCTTTATCAGCCACTGATCAATGAATTTTTGAATCTCCGCATTGTTGGCCTCGATGCCCATCAAGTGGCCGTTGCCCCTGATGCCCTTGTCGGCGAGATTGACGTGCTCGACCGGCACGCCGGCGTCGCGGAGGTACTCCGCCGTCAAATGGTCATAACTCGTATGGTACGAGGCCTCCGCGGTGACAAGGAGGACCGGGGTCGAGGCGAGGTTGACGAGCTGTCTCGGTGGGCGAGTCTGGCGGCATCCGCGGGCCAGCAGGGAGCCGGAAGCGGGCGTCGTCTCGGGGCTGGGCCGCTCGTAGCTGAGCTGCGTCGCGTCCGCGTCCAGCTCGGGCGAGAAGTGCAGGGGTGTCGAAGTCAGGCCGAACGGATGCAGCAGGGCCCCGACCATGCCCGGGCGTCGGTTGAACGGTGCGACGTCCGGGCATTCGAATGGCGGGCCGTGAGGCTCCAGTGACACGATGCCCCTGACCAGGTCCGGGCATTCGTCCGCAATGTGCCAGCCCAGCGGCCCAGACTGGGAGTGCGTGATCAGGTACGCCGGGCCGGTCTTGGTCAGGAGCGCTCGCGCGGCCTTGCGCACCAGCCGCTCCGTCACCTTGTAGTCGGGAACGTGGCCGACCTGGCTGGCGTAGAAGGTGTCGAAGTCCGCGTGGCCCATCTTCCCCGTGCCGGGCCACTGCGTGTGCAGCTTTGACGATGGCCAGGCATCGGGCCCTGGCGCCGTGAAGGCCGACTGCAACTCTTCGGCGGTGTAGTGCTTCAGAGGGCCCATGTCGGCGCCGTGGTACCGCGACCGGCCGACCCCGACGAGGTCGACGACGTAGCAATCCCACCCTTCCTGTGCCTGCAACAGCGCCAGCCCTGGCCGCCCGTCAGGAGTGACTTCGAAGTGCGTGCCCGTCTGCGCGGCCCCGTGGATGAAGATGACCGCCGGCCGATCCTGGGTGTCGTCGTCGCCGCCGCCGCCGCCGTAGTGTCGTACGCACATCTGGCCGCTCATGTGCGTCCCCTCCTTGTCCCGTATATACTCTCCGCCCACGTAGAAGACGGGCGGGATCTTCCATTTTGTCAGCTGTGGCGTCGTCGACTGCATGACGGGCAAGTGTTCAGAGAGTTAGTTCGCTCTATGGACAGCCGAGGCGCGCAGCCATCCTATAAGTCCTTCCTGCGCCGAACACCTCCCTCTGCCATCATGATCAATGTAGTCGCTCCGTCGGGATACACTTCTGGCTTAACGTCCCCGAAAAGCGGAATCGAGCGGCTTCCAGCCCAACCCCCTGACCACTTCCTTTCGGCCAACCTTTCGGCCACAGAGTCCCAACCGAAAGTGTTTGCGTGTTGCCACGAATCCCGCCGAACGAGAGAGCGATCCAGGTCCCTGGCATGCATGCCGGGCAACCGAGGAAAAAAAAAAAAAATCTCGGACGGGAACGAAGGCGCGATGGTGCAATTTGCTTCGACCCGACTACTGTCAACCCGATACACAGACCAAGAGAATCCCAACTTGCCAAAAGGGGTAAATCCCACGACAGTTGCATACTCGTAGAACCTGTGGACTCGAGGAACCTCTTTCCTGATTCTAATTCCGCCGTGCCGAGTTCTTCCAAAGGCTTCAAGAAGGTTTTGGATGGTGTCTGGGCCGCTATTCAATACATACTCTGAGGTGGGGGTTTGAAGGGAGCAGGAATTCGAAAAGGTTGAAATAGCTCGGATGAATGCAGGGAGCTTGCAAAGAGGTGGCGAGCTTGGTCCGCTCCTCCACGCTAACAGGCACGCTTTGGAGTTGCTCGATGTCCTGAGGACGGTTTATAGAAGACTATCATAGACCGGCCGTTCACGATTTCAAATAGGATAGTTGGTATTGGGCGCGTATTTCCAGCAATTGGGCCATCTCGGACGAAAAACGGCAAGGAAAGGAATTTGAGAAGCCAGCGAGAGATTTCTTGTTCCCAAGCAGAAACAGCATTTGGTATTAGACTGGAGAAACTCTACCAGACAATCTCCGACCAAGTCAGATCTAGAAACGAGCCACATCCCGGCATATGCTCGTGTGTCTGTGAAGTCTTTCCTCTTCAAAACAATAGCTCTCGACAACAGACACCCGATGGCCACTAGGACGCTATGCGGATGACTCCCACCCCATTTTCAATCGAAATCTTAGTCCCAAACGGCTTCGAATACTCCACAACCTGCTCGAGAATGCTCTGGGCCATTTCTGGCGATGGTCGGCGTGGAGTGCCCATTTCTGAGCCGGGTCGGTTCAGCCCAAGATCAACGGGGTAGATGAGCACCTGGGCCAATTTGCCGTCCTCATAGCTGCTGGTGGCTAGGATGGCCTCGAAGTTCTCCGGCCTCTGCAGCCATGCCCAACGGGACTCGTTGATCTCGCCATCGCCCACGACCGGGCCCGTCAAGGGGGCGGGCTGTCGCTCGGCGTCGTCGCGCCAGGAGCGGAATCTCTGGTTCTGGAACACGTAGTTGTTGACCCCGTAGAAGATGGGCTTGCCCTTGTATATCTCCACGCCCTTGAGCGTGTGCACGCCGTGTGCGAAGAAGAGGTCCGCGCCGTTGTCGATGATTTCGTGGGCGAGTGTGATCTGGTAGTCGGGCGGGTAGTGGTCGAAGGAGTACTTCTGGAACGAGAACCGGTTCTGGTGCCAGTGGATCGTGAACGCCTCGAAGTCGGAGAATTGCTTCCCGGATCGGACTTCACGCAGGATCTCCCGCTCGTCCACCTCGTTCATGTCGTATGACAGCTCCCCCGGCCCCGGCGTCACCTTGAAGTGCACACCAAACGCCTCCAAGGTCGGACCGCTGCCCTCGTCACCTGCTATTTGGCGAAGCTGGGCCATTTGGGCCTCGGTCACTCCCTGGTAGACCTTGAGCCTCAACGAATTGTTTTTGGACGTGATGGTTCCCTTCGAGTTCAAATGGTGCTCCAGCCGCTTTTTGATGGAAGCGGCCTCCTCTGTCACCGCGTCGCCCGCGTCTGCCAACTGGAAGACCCGGCCGAAGAGTAACAGGCTGCCCTCTGCGCGCTTTGTGTCCCTGTCAATTGGGTTCGGAACCTCTTTTCCTCGTTCATAGAGAGATTCCTCCATTGCATGCAACTGTTGCAGCTGCTCTTTGGTCACGACAACCGGGTCTCCGCGCGGCAGGCCGTACAGCTGAGAATAGTCCTCGACCTCGGCGTAGGCGCCGACGAAACCGACCGTTCCTTTGGGCAGGGCGCGAAACCGAGCCAGTCTCGCCTCGGAGAGGTTGTAATCGGTACCCACGTAGTCGATCCCCACGCGGCGAAGCTGCTCAAAGTTCTGGATCAGGCCGGCCTCGCCGTCGTCGAACGTGTGATTGTTCGCTTTGGACACCATGGCGATGCCCATGGAAGCCCAGTCGTCCGCGACCTCGGCGGGCGCTTCCATGTGTGAAATCGGTCCGCGGAACGTGAGTCGGTCCACGACCGTGTTTTCGTTGTTGGCCAGAGTTATGTCCGCCTTCCGCATCACGTCAACCAGGGCCTGGATGTCAGGGTCGTCGCGGTTCGCGAAGGGTACGACTTGGATGAGATCGCCCACGACGGCCACTGTGAAGGGCTTCTTGATGCGCATGGCCAGTTCGGTTTCCTTGTCCCGGAAACATGTCGGGGGTCTCATGGACAGCGCGTTCGGCATCTTGACAACTGGTCGCTGATTCCACTCACACGATCTCGTAAATTGATCAGAGGAACGTGCTGATTCTGTCTGCGTTAAATTCTGACCAGATATCGCACCTGGATGTCGAAGCACACGCTCTCTCCTACCGCGCCCTGTGCACAAATATATATACCTACATCGTCATCGAGAGACTCGCAAGACATTCCCGGTTTGTGCAGCCTTCACCACACGGACTCTCCTTTTGCCCCCGTTTCGCCCCGTCCTCTCCGGTTGCGGAGACTCTGAGACCTGTGCAGTCTGGTCCTAATAACATTGTCGGGAATTCCGACTCGGAGCTCTCCAGTTCCGCCTGTGCCGTTCGGGCTCTTGTTCAGAGCAGTCGTGGTCTGGGAGGCGAAGCTCTCGAACGTGCACTAAAGGTTCCCCGCCATATGCAGGTGTCGTGAAAAATACCCTTTTAGGCCTAGGTTGGGTGGAGCCTTGGGACAGGACAGGAAATATGCGAGACGCCTGCATCAAGCGGCCTGGGGAAAAGGGGACGAGTCTGTCCGGCAACCGAAGTCGACATGTCTGTGGCCAGAAGAGAAGGTTTGCTTCTAGTCAACCCGCTATCCACCCACATGATTGCCACCACTCCCCACGCCCTTCTGGCATTCCGCAGAATACTAGATTCTGTTCCGCCGCCTCGAGACTGGGGATATCTGGGGTTTGCCGAACAGTTGGAAGCATAAAAAGATCCCTGTATCATCTCCTTTTCCCAGCGTTCGCAATGTGACCACAGCAACAACCTATCCTCTCCCCTCATCGAAGTCCTCTTCTGCCTCTCTGCGTGCGTGTGCTAGTTGAGGTTGAACAAGGATTTTACCTTGAACAATAATGGCTTCGTCCGTGGAGAAGTTCGAAGGCAAGGAGGAGATCCAAGTCGAGCACCAGGCTGTAGACACCAAAGAGATCAGCGGATTTGTGTACGAGGATCCGAAGACAGCGCCCAAGAAGTCTCGAGCAGAGCGCAAGCTGTTGCTCAAAGCCGATCTGTTGATCGTGGGCCTGACCTCGTTGGTCTTCCTGGTGAATCAGTGGGTGAGTGCTTCAGCACCTTTGCCAGCCTTGTTACGGCGTCCGACTCTACCTAGTCGAGATCTTTCTATTGACACAGAGCAGGATCGAGGAAACATTGGCAATGCCCGGGTTATGGGATTCCAAAAGGACTTGAATATCAGCAATGGCCAGTTCTACGATGCCATCTCCCTCTACTGTCAGTGCCAATACATCCCCTCTCAAGTCATGGTTTGGCCGTGAGTTGCTAACCGGTTCCAAAAAGATGTCGGTTACATCCTCTCCATTCTGCCCGCGAGTTTGTCGGTCCGTTTCTTCAAACCTCACCGACAGATCGGCGGCTGTGTCATTCTCTTCGCCACTCTCTCCTGCTGCATGGCCGCCGCTAAAAACGCCGGCACCGTCCTGGCCTTGCGGATCATCTTCGGATTCGCCTCGGCCTTCCTTCAAGCCTTGACGCTATATATTACCATGTGGTACAAACGGAACGAAATGGCAACACGAACTGGTATGTCTCTCCTTCCGCATCCCTTCTAGGCTGCCAATAGCCATGAGACCTAATCTGAGACGCAGGTATCTTCTATTCCGCCGCCACCATTGCGGGCGGCTTCAGCGGGCTGATCGCCTACGCGATCCAAAAGAATCTGGATGGTGCCCTCGGCAAACCCTCTTGGTACTGGCTATACATCATCGAAGGCGTCGCTGGCATCTTCGTCGGTCTAGCTTGCTGGATTCTGTTGCCACCAGCTCCAGACCAGCTAAAGAAAAAGCACTGGATCTTCCGCGACAATGAAATCGACCTGGCCATCAGCCGCATGAAGACGTACAATGTCGAACACGCAGGGCTCAAGTGGAAGCAGATTTGGATTGCCCTCAAAGATCCCAAAACAGTTCCTTTCTGGTTCATAAGTGCTGGCATTTCTCTGGCACTGGCTTCCATCAGTGCCTTCTTGCCCAGCTTCATAGCCGAGTTTGGTTACTCTGCCGGTAAGTTTTTGTCCAACCTCACGGCCTTCCCAAGTTCATATCGTGCTGACTTGTACCCAGTCCAAACGCAACTCTTTTCGATCATCCCATATGCCTGCGCATTCGTCACGTTGATTGTGGTGAACATTGCCTCCGATCGGCTCCACCTCAAAGGGGTTTTCCTTATCGGCCTCCTGTGCACTAGCATCGTAGGATACATTATCCTGATCACGGTGCACAATGTCAAGGTCAAGATATTCGCAACATGCCTGATTACCATGGGCACTTTCCCCGGAGTGACGCTCATGGGGGCTTGGATGACCATCAACACGGGTGGCTTCACCAAGCGCGCCACTACCTGGGGCACGGCTGAGATTGTCGGCCAGTGCTTCGCCATACTTGGGTCGCACATCTATACAGATCCTCCGCAATACATCAAGGGCCACTCGATCGCACTGGCCATTGATGTCGTCGCGCTGATGTCGGCTGTGTTCTGCTGGTTCTGGATGCGGTCGCTCAACAACAAGAGGGACCAGGAGGCGCTCGAACACGCGGCGGCGGGGACGACAGACCCCAACCTTCACAAGACGCTTGAGGACGTCCAGGACTATCACCCTTCCTTCCGATACATCCTGTAGTGTATTCCCGGGATGAGAATGGATGTGCACAGGGTTTTGTGGTTGGTTCAGGGGGAAAGGCTGAGTGCCGCTGCTGTCAGGTACATACCCCCAACCGGTGTCCACTGTGCCATTCCATACAAGTACACCATGCTGTGGACCAAGATATTGAGAAGGTGGCACTTCGCGGCAGTCCGCGGTACCCACCGCAAGTCTGAATGTAACCAGAAATCGAAGCTTGTGTTCATAAGCGGTTGATGCTCGCGTCCTTAGTAACCTGCCGTTGAGGTGTTAACAGCTTAGGTCCATCTGCCTACGATGAAGCTAAGGTGGTATTGTAAGTCTCATGATGGGCAGGTAGCCCACAAGTATCTGACCATTGAAACACGAAAATGTCTCGATGGGGCTGAAGGAGATTGAGGCTGAAATGAGGCTGCGAGGCTGGGTAGATTATGAGCCTGATAGTGACGTCATGTAACAGAGATTACACTCGTTACAGCACTTGTGTCCGAGTGCTCTGCCGTATTTGCTACTCCAGACGAGATTGCGGGGAAGCGAAATGCAACCCCTTGAACCCTCTTTACCAGCCATCCAGCTCGGAGTCCAGCATGGCAAATTGAACTTTGTCCATCTCGAGACGATGCCCTCCAGCCTCTCAATACCCTCGAAATCAGCCCCCAATTTGGAGCTGAGCTGATGCAGGCCCCTTTGCGCACCGAGGGAAGCAAAATGAGGGGAAGCGATCGAGCTGCGCAGCGGTTCCGCACGAGCAAAAGCCAATCATTCGATGGTGCACTAAGTCAAGAACAACGAGTGGTGTGAGGAACATGCGACCCAATAGGTCCTGGTAAGCAGCATAAAATCCGAATAACGAGACTTTCCTCTTCACCGAAGCCCATAATATACGTGGCCATCCCCCTCCCCTCATCAGGTCCAGAGATACATAAAAGCCTTGTGCAGATTGAGGATGCTCGCCACCGTCGTGCGAAGAAGCGGCTTTGGAACATTAAGAACACTCAAGACTGCCCCGAGGTTTCGATATATGTCCACCATGATGAAAGCTCTTGTCTACAAAGGCCCCGGTCAGTGCGGTCTGGAAGATCGTCCTGTTCCAAAGATCCAGGAAGCATCCGATGCTATAGTGAAAGGCAAGCTCCAACGCCTCTGGAGTATGACTTAATGGCGGCTGACCGCGCTCACAGTCGTCTATACAACAATCTGTGGAACAGACACACACATTCTGAAGGGGGATGTCCCCACATGCACACCTGGTCGCGTCCTCGGACATGAAGGTGGGCGCCTAGCACGATTTGAGAGCTTCCCAAAAGCTAACAAATGCAGGTGTTGGCGTCGTCGAGGAGCCAGGGCCAGGAGTCTCCCGGTTTAAGAAAGGAGACCGTGTCCTCATCAACTGCATCTCCAGCTGTGCGACCTGCAACTACTGTCGGAGAGGGATGCCCAGCCACTGCGTAAGTGCAGGATGGATCCTCGGCAACACCATCGACGGAACGCAGGCCGAATACGTTCGCATCCCGTACGCTGACAGCGGTCTACACCATGTCCCCAAAGGCGTCGACGAAAAGGCGCTGGTCATGTTGTCCGACATCTTCCCCACGGGACTCGAATGCGGGGTGCAGAATGGCAAAGTGCAGCCCGGGTCGACGGTGGCCATCGTGGGCGCGGGTCCCGTGGGCCTCGCCGCCTTGATGACCTCCAGACTCTACTCTCCAAGTCTGATCATCATGATCGACCGGGACCCCAACCGCCTCAAGGTCGCCAAGTGGTTCGGGGCCCACCACACCGTGAACAGCGCCGAGGCGTCGCCGCTGGAGACCGTCATGAAGCTCACGGACAACGTCGGCTGCGACACGGTGATGGAGGCCGTCGGCATCCCCGAGACGCTGGAGATGGCCCAGGATCTCGTGGCGCCCGGCGGCACGATCGCGAACATCGGCGTGCACGGCAAGAGCTGTGAGCTGAAGATCGAGAAGTTGTGGGTGCACAACATCTCGCTGACCACGCGGCTGGTCGACACCGTCACCACGCCCATGTTGCTGAAGCTCTTCGCCGCGGGCAGCATTAACCCGGGACAGTTGATCACGCACGAGTTCCCATTCACGGACATGGACAAGGCGTACACCACTTTCAAGGCAGCTGCTGAGCACGACGCTTTGAAGATGCTGATTACGGTGTAGTTTAGGGGCGCGAGGATGGCTGGGATGTGATTGCCAAACGCGCTCGAAAAGTGTAACGGTTGTGTTTGTTTTGCACATAGGTTTAATGGTACATGACTATTTATCATGTACAGACCATGCCCACAGTTCATGGACTGAATATCAAAGTATTCAAAACCCCAGCCCCTTGACTTCGGGGTCGCCCATCAAGGCGCTTTTGACTTCCTCCTCGCCTACTCGCAGCCTGACTTTTCCTGCCCGCTCACCTTTCCCCCTCAACTCCATGGCGATGACACCGGCCTCCACGAGCGCCATGGCCGCCCCTCCCAACGCCAGGATCCGGGGCATGACGGACGTGGACGCGATCTTTCGCGATGCGTCTTCCGCAAGCAGGAAGTCGTGGATTGCGCTGTTGTCCGCGACGTCCACGATGCGCTTTGCTTCGACGGCAATGTCTCCCATCGTGGACTCGGCCACGCCTGTGCGACGACTGCGTGCAGATATCGCCGCGAGAACAAGTTTCGAGGCTAGTGGGAGAGAGCGGAGGTGCTGGGCGACCGGAGACGACGTGGCTTCGTTGATCGCCTGTTTGATCGTCGCGATCGTCACCCGTGCCAATCGCTTCGGAGGTCCTTCTTCCTGTCCCGGTCCACCGACCTTGTCCTTGGAGATGTTCTTGCTTCTGCGACTCGGGGTGGTTGCTGTGATGTCCTCGTCCTCGTCGTTGACGTCGGCAGACGCCGCACTCTGTTTTTCCTGAGATTGCTCCGCAATTTCCACCGCACGGCGGCAGATATCGAGCGCCCGCCTGGCATCGCCGGAGACGGCTGCGACTTTCCGGCTGGCGAATTGTACGGCATCCTTGTCGACGATGTTGCCCGGGACACCTTCCAACCTCGAGGATATGATCTCCATCAGTTGTGTGTGGGTGTAGCCTGGGAACGTGATCCTGGTCAGTCCTAGTCTCGAGCTAATCTTGTTTGACAACGTCCGCTCGGGCAGGTCCATGGTGTTGGCGACCGCCAGAACGATGAGTCGAGAATGTCGCATGGCCGGCCAGTTGAAGAAGTTGTACATAACGCTTTGATTCTTCGTCACCAGCTGATCCAGCTCGTCCATCAACACGACGCACGGTATACGGCGCGGCGAGGGGTGCGAGAATTCTTGCTCCAGAAGGCTCAACGCATGATGCGGACTCACTCGGTCGCCTTTAAGTGCCTCCCACAGGAGCGAGTATGATTGATGTGGCTCTGTGACCTTCATGCCGTTGATTTCGACAAAGTTGAAGTCATCGAGTTCTTCGTTTAGGACCGCCTCGTGGAGTGATGCGACCACTTCCCGTACCGTGGCCGTCTTGCCCGTACCAGGTGTTCCCGAGATGTAGATGCATGCCCCAGAGCCATCCACAATGGCTGAATAGAGATGAGAATAGACGGTGTGAAATTCGTTGGAGCGACAAGGGAGAGACGTTGGGACGGCCGAGACATGAAGAGTTGCACGTGCATGCGAATAGGGTGTGGACATATACTGAGAAGGGGAGAGGACTCGAGTCCCCAGGGGTGTGATCTCAATGGGCTTCTTGATCATGATGCGTTTGTGAGTCGGCGTGCTGTACTTGGAGGCCTTTGCCGAAGACTTGGGAGTGGAAATTGTGGCGGTCGTCTTCCTCCTTTTGTGAGGCGTTCGGGGTTCATCATCGATATTCTCTTTCTGCTGGACATAATCCACATCCTCGGTTTTCAGAGTCTGTTTCTTGCGACCCTTTGTCTGCTCTTTGATCCAGTCAATCAAGTCCAGGAGATCTTCGGGACCGCTATAGATCTTTTCCCACGCAAAGTCCTCGGTGAACCGTACTGTTCTCTGCTTTACCCCTCGTCGGCACAGAATCGTCTTCGCATATCGATTGGCGGCCGCCTTCGATTTCGGGGGTTCCCCGCCAGGATACCTCTGAAAGAAGGCCTCTCTTGACAACACCGTTGCCTTTCCGTTTATCGCGGTCAATGGGTTCATGTTGAAGTCTGTGGTGATGTAGGATTCGTTGGGCAGCACGTCGCTCGGGATTTTGGAGCGCTTGCCGAACATCAGCTCCTCCGGGGTGCAGAACCACTGGATGCAGACACACATTTCGTCTTCTCCGTCTTCGTTCGTGTCGGAGAATGAGCACGCGAGTCCCACCCAATCTTTGCCTTGCTCGGGAGATTTCAGCAGCACCGTGTCCCCTATCCGCACGGAGAAAGCGCCCATGTGCGCACCCACTATGAGGGATTTCTTTGAGTTGAAGGCATTCGCTTTCCGTTTCTTCGACGGCGTAGAATCATCCTCTTGGGAGCCGATGTGGCCGTCATCCTCATAGATCCATTGCCAGGGGTGATCTTCATATCCAAGTTCATCGTCAGAATCCTCGCGTCGAAGGCCCCCTGTCGTCGAATATCTCTTTTGCTTAGGCATTGGTGAGAGGCCAAGGGGATTTTCGAGGCGTCAGATTGGCCCGATTCTAGTATTTAATTCTGTCCTTGCCCAGTTTACCGTCTGAATAGGTGCGAGCGACTTGGGTTGCCAGTTCATGGCGCCGAAACGCGTCGACGCGTATTAGGTAATAATCAATTTAGACAGTGCTAACTATAGATGGTTAGTTTATCTTGGCAGAACTGCTGCGGTGGTTCGCCAGCGTCCGTCTTCCACAGTCGCTGTTTTCTCATCTTCACTCACTTCGTCTCTCAATGGACGTCGATGACAAGGGCGAGATTCCGCTGCTGCTGTGGTATACTCCTCTCCCATCGTCCAATGGACGTCGATGCCGTCAGCATTGCGTGCTAACCTCGGTTGAACTGACACAACCTCGCATCAACAACCCTGGACCGTCCACCCTGAACAACTTGGTCATATCTGCAGAGGCAATGTTTGCGACTGGCCACCTCCTTAATGATCTCTGCCAGTATAGGTGTTGCCTGGAGGCCTGTGCCGCACAGAAGTTGGTCCCAACAGCAGGGCTGTCTTAGAGTCTTGAGACGTGCGGTAAACCTCCCTTGTTTGCTTTATGTCACCCGGCTTGTCGCATTTAGATCCGCGTTCTCAAAGCCTTGAAGGAAGAGAAGGACTGGAGAAGGACTGGACCTTATCACTTTGCTGCTTCGCCACGTGGTTGATCGGTCCACGTCATCGGTTTCACATCTCTTTTGACTGCCTGACCAGGCACTCCCCTTTGTTGCTCAGTCTGCGTCACTGTTGTTTTCTGAGCGCAGAAGTTTTGCGCGTCGCTCACACCCCCGTCACCACTTCGGCCTTTTATGGTCCCTTTTGACTACTTTCATCTTTGAACAGCGAAAACAGCCGTCACCATGAGCGAGTGAGTTCAACAGAAACTGGCGCATTTCGTTTGCGAGCTGACTTGTCGATGTAGTCATGAAGGTGAAGGTCTTGACCTTGACCGTACGTTTCCACCTGGACAGCATACTATCTCCTTCCTCTCCGACGTGGCTGTTTGGGATCTGACTTCTTCTAGGATGGGAGGAGGCGAGCTTGCCTGGGGACTCGGTGTTTTCCTATGCGCGGTCCGATGTGTTCAACCATGGAATGGTCACTGGGAATGCCAAATTCTATTCGCCTACAGGATCTGCGCATCATTTTGACCCAAGAAGAGGGCCCCCAAGTCGACCTCCGAACGGCTTCTTTCTGAATGGCTTCCACGCACCACAGCAAACGGCTGTCGTTGGCCAACCCAGAAGAGATGTTATGCCATCAAGGCAAATCCCCACAATCCTTCCCCCTGCTAAGAGCCCTGCTCGAGTTCAGTTTGAAAATGGTCAACCACCGAATGGCGAATATAAGTTTGCTTCGAATTGGAGACTCCATCGAGCGATGGCGTTCAGGATTAATAGAGCGGCACAACCACATCCAATTCAGGTGCTCCGAGATATCATGGTCAAACACGGAGGCTTCATAAAGAGACCAGAGGATGACGATGATAGGCTCTTCATCTGGGGTGAACCTCATCAGGTGGCAGAGACGAAGGCAGCACTGGGGCGGTGGGAACGTGACATCCGTGAGGCGCCCTTAGAGGCCAAACCTGTCATCTGGGCCAAAAACGGAGCACTGGACGGGAGAGCCGAGAATCGAGCCGAACGACAAACCCGACAGAAGGCGTTTGAGCAGATATTGCGTGATGCACAAATTGACTATCCCGTCGAAGCCGCTCTTCTGTGGCCGAAAGATTTGGATCTCGAGCAGTTTGAGACGGATCATGCTGACGTTCTTGATCAACTCAGGAGCACGTTCGGCTGCCGCATCACTTTTTTACCATCCGGTACCCAGCATATCATGATCGGTGCGAAATCCAAGAAAGACGCTCTTTCCTTGATGTCAAGAATGATGAACCTGATCAAAGAGACAATCTCTAGCAGGGATCAGCTCCTGACGATCAACCTAGTGCATCTCCCTGACCACGAGATGTCCAGAGATCGAGTTGGACTTCGAGACATAGATCCAAAATCTGGTACTTATTTACCGACTTTGCACGGAATTCCACAAGCAGACAAGGAAGAGTGGGACCAAAAGAGACGCCAAGCTCACATCGACAATCGCAAGAAAATCCAGAAGGCGATTGATTCTTCCATCAAAGGACTTAGAGTCTCACAGCAGCATGTGCGCATGAGGGTTGTCTTTGGCGAGTTAGGATTCATGCGCTTTCAAAAACCGACTGATGGGGGTGAGCATTACGAATTCGACGACTTCTACCACATGGTCACAAAAGGACGGACTAAATTGACCTTGAACGGCCTTCCCATACGACAAGGCAATGTTATTGATCTTCCAGACGTATTGGAATCAATGGGGGTGTTCTCGGAGCGCACAGAATACTACGGAGCCTTCTTTGACTTCCAAGGGACATCACCCAACACTATCCTTCGGCTCGAAACGGTTTTCTCACCACACGGCACAGACGAGACGGAAAGCCGGGAGAAGCGATGGGTTGAGCTGGGTGAGGCGGTCTCAAGACTTCAAGTCAGTCTCGTCAATTTCGGGGTGCCAGACTATCAAGTCACTCTTGATGCCTTTCCTCTCCGCACGGATAAGTCCACCAAAGTACACATGTCATCATTCCAAGCCAACGTCACGATGGAACGTCCAAGAGACGGCATCAAGTCGCTTCCACGACGACGAGCCAGGTACCCTCCCGGCCAACCTAAACTGCAACGCGTGGCAGAGCTCATCACCTTGAGATGGCGGTTCAAGAACACGGACGGTGTCTTCGAACTCCGCCGAAAAGACATCTACGACGAACTACCGGGTCGAGAAAGTCCTGCTCCGGTCGAGACGAAGTGGCATGCCCTGTACTTTTACCCTCACTGGGACAACTTGATGGGAGAGTTTGCGAGCGTCAAACCTGGAGAGGACATCCGCTGGGTGAAGTCAGTTGCAACGTTCATACCCGAGGGCGGAGATCAGTACGGCCCGGCGCTGCCGAAGGGGTTCAAGAACTTCATCAACGAAGTCGAGGAGATCCAGGATCTTCTGGCGGATGCTATTCACCGTCTGGAGAAGGTTAACGGAAAATTAAAGGCAACGGATGTGAATTGAGGTTGCGAGGTCGGCTCTCGATGGTCAGGAGGCGAGTGGAAGGGGAAAGAATTGATTTGGGGAGAGGACCTTGAGCAGGGGCATCGGGTCGGAAGCGGCCTTCAGCCCATGTCTTACGCATCGTATGCAGACATTACAGAGAGCTCTTCAACCCCTGCAGCTCCAATGGGTCCAATCACTGTCTACACTGCAGCAGTGAACGGGATCTATCTCCATCGAAGGAAACTCTACAAGAGAGCAAGTCTTTCCGGAGGGGATTCACCACGCTCACATAGCACATATGTTTCTTCCGTACAGAAAAAGCTTGTCATTTCTATGCTTCCCTGTCTTCATTCTTGTCCATGCTCTGCAAGCACTCCGTCCTTGACTATCCAGCCCCTTTGGACCCGCTTCCGCTTGCTGACGCTGCCGCCGCCGGGCCCTGTCGCCCGGCGCCGAACTGCATGGGCTGTTCCTCCACCATCTTCCGCCGCAGGGCATCTTCCACGATCCTCAGACTCTCGGTCTTGCCACCCACGACCTTCTCAATGTCCTGGAGGTTCTTGGTCAACTCTTCAACCTTGCCCTGGTAGAATTTTGTCGCGTCCGCGGGCGTCTTCTCCACGAAGAAGCCCGTCCCCACGTCGACCATGACCGTGGGGGCTTTTGACGCCTGCGAGGATGAGTCGGATGTCGTGGATAAGGAGGAGGAGGATTTGGGCGCAGCCAAGGTGCCGGGGACGTAGAGGGATGTTGTCAGCGGGATGAGCAGGGGCGTTTCTGCGCGAAGAGTAGGTAACCGTTAGTAAATCCCATTTCTCCATGTCACTGTGTTTTGCCAGTTGTCTCCTTCTTCGACCCGAGCAGGGAATCGAAACTTCTTCCCACAAACAAGGCCACTAATGGAAGGGGGAGACAAGGCGAGCTGAGATCAAGCTGGCTACGTTCCTCCTTTGCAAACAAGTGTCCCCCACACGGTGCGCCCAGAAGAAGAAAAACGAACATCAAAACGTACCTCCACTCCTCCCCTGCACCCCGTCCTGGATGCTGCGTATGCAGTCCCGAAAGCGCGACTGCGCGGCCCGTAGCCTCTGATACGACGTGCTCAGGTGCTCGAGTTCCTGGGACAGCCGCGCCTGCAGTGCGGAGAGTTGCTGCACGGAGAGCGTGGTGATGTCGACTGGAGTCTGCGCCGCCTGGGACATTTCTTTTCTCCCGGTCGTTTCGTTTTCTGTATTTCTCGACTTTTGGGATTGGGGATGGCGAGCGTCAGAGACGGGCAGGGGACACGAGTGAACAAATATTGAGGGCTGACGGGGATTTCTGAGTCTTTTTTTTTGAAGCTTTCGGTTCTGGTCGTCGACGGACGGATTTATTTTGTCTGGGATTGGAGGCGGGGAAAGTGGGCGGAATGGGAACGACCGTCCATGTCACGTCAGCCTTGTCCACAAGGCTGTGGATGCTATCCAGCTGCTTCGTGTCGAACAATATTCTTTTTTTCAAAAATCGGTTCGTTCTGCATAGATCTCTTACATTGTGCGAGTGGGGTATCCTAGAGTACAGTATAGCTACAAGAAACTTTTAAAGTGTACATCAAAGCTGCCTCAGCAGATCATACACGAACCCGACGGCATCGCTGACACCGACTTCCTGCTTGACCCCCAGCCTTCGACACTGCACCTCTACCTTTCCCTGGTCGAATCCTTTGCCCACAACCACAATGACAGGGTATCCGATGACATCCGCGTCCTTTAGCTTCCAGCCCATTCCTTGCTCTTGTCTGTCATCGAGGACGACATCGACCTTGCCGAGGCTCGAGGAGGACAACTGATCGCAAAGCTGCTCGGCGGCGCGCAATCTGTCGGCGTGTGATGGCTGAACAACGATGACGGCTTCGAAAGGCGCAATCACTCTTGGCCAGTTGAGACCAACTTCATCGGAAAGACACGATGCGACAGCTGCAATCAGCCGAGACACGCCGATGCCATGACAACCCATTTCCACCGGCACCGCTTCTTTCCCATCACTCTGCCTCGCAGCGAGACCGAGCTTTGAACTATATCGGGTGCCGAGATGGAAAGTGTGGCCGATCTCGATTGCTTTGTCCACTCTTAACTTTCCGCTCCCGCATTCTGGACAAGGGTCTCCGGATTCCTGATTCAGCAAATTTATCCCATCATTTGTGTCGTGCTTCGGGGCAGCGATGACATAGGCGTCTATATCTTGGCTGAGAAGAGGTGAAGCAATCATATGGCCAATCTCGTCTAGCCGAACACGCGAGTCCAGGACATAGTATATCGATGGCCTCTTTCCTGAGGCATCCGCAGTGCTACTGGCTAAGGACTCCTTGAAGCTCTCCATTGGATGCTCTAGCCCTGTATCAATGTCCAAGACACCGTTTAGGACTGCCTTGACTGCGTGTGCATTGATGGATCGTGCCGAAGGCTTCTCTTGGGGGATGTCGTCAGGGGCTAACGGTCCAATGGCATGTACAAGACTTCGACGGTCGGTGCTGAGAAAATGCTCTTCAAGATATCTTCGGCTAGGGTTGACATGCGTGGCGCCAACCTCGGGTACCTGAAGCGGTTCTGGTTGATATACTTGTTGCGAAACAAATTCTTCGTTGCGTGCATAATCGCATTCCGAACATGTGATGACAAGGTCTTCTCCGGCGAAGTTGGGGAAGTGGTACTCATGGCTGAGGTTCCCTCCCATATCACCAGAAACGGCTCTAGCTTCGACGTATTTGATCTTGAGCTCGTTGAGGAAGTTGCGGTATGCGCCTCGTATTTCGTCGTATGTTACGTGGGCGTGAGCCGGAGTGGAGTCGAAAGTATAGAGGTCTTTCATGAGAAATTCACGGCCCCGAAGCAGCCCGCCACGAGGTCGCTTCTCATCACGGTATTTTCGGCCAATCTGATACAGTCGGACAGGGAGTTGCTGTCTCGTCTGAATGACATCAGCGAGCAGAGTGGTGATCTCTTCTTCATGAGTTGGTGCCAACAGCCACTCAGTATCCCTGCGGTCCTTGAACATAAACATTTCGCCTCCGCGTTTCAGGCGCCCTGACCTCTCCCACAGAGCTTGCGAGGACATGGAGGATAGGGAGACCTTGGAAGCTCTAACTGATCTCATGTGCTTGTCGATGAGTCGTTCTAGCTTTTCCTGAACTCGTAGCCCCAGCGGCAGCATCTGGAATATGCCGGCATAGGCCTGGCGCAGATAACCAGCTCGGATGAGCAAATGGGTAGCGTCCAGAGCAGCATCATGCTTTTGCACGTTGACTGTGGGGATCCAGAAGTCGGATATGCGTTGCGTTGAGGAGATGTGGCTATGCCGAACAACAAAGTAGGTCCATTGAGCAGATCGGGGTGCTGCTCTCCTGGGTGTCCAGGAAGCGGCTGAGAGCTTCATCTCTGATTTCTATCCAAAGCCACCCACACACTCAGGCGCATCTTTGGAATGTACTGTTGTTAGCCAGACATGTCATGAGCTACCGCTCTGTCGGATTCCAGTTCTTCAGATGAAGGTTTTCTGAGCAGAAGGAGTCGAGGTTGCAGGTTAGAAGGCATCCTATCAAGCTGTGCTAGCCAAAGAGATTAGTAGCCTGCCAAGATGGCTAAAAAGCTTAACCTCCGCTTCACCTCCTGAAACTGTCTATCAACTACGAGGCTGGCATGAGACACCGCCAACCCATTCCCCTTCAAGAATGCACAGACATCCTTGTTCGCGTGTCATTGCGCAGCTGCAAGGCGGCGAGGGGAGTTACCTCAGCTATCCGCTGCCTGGAACGTCAAGATGAGGTAGGCCCTCTAAAAACTCAAGGGGAACTCACAGCTATGACTAGTCCGCAGATCGTCCAGTTCCCTGGCCCATACTCTGGTTTATTCACCATAGCCTCGCGTCGGTGACTGTGGGTATCATCCTATCACGAGATATTTCAGTCTGATAGGTCCGCCAAAGACTGCGAAAGGTTGCTGGTATGGTTCATATAGCCTACCGGGTAAAGGTCGCAGGAAGCTTTGCGGTGGTTGAGGACCTCTAACGGTTGTGCGCACAAGAATGAATAACCGCCAGTATCTTGATGACCTCTGGTCACCATCTCCCTCAGATTCCCAACATCCTCTGTTAAGGCTACATGATGATCTCCTCGAACATCGTTGTCGCTGTAGCGGTCTTGTTTCTGGCTTGCCTTGCAATGGCACATCCCGCCGCTGCTGGCGAGAGGGACGTCCTCGTGAACATCACCGTCCACTCCCTTCATCTACCTTCGCACATGCTCCAAAAACGATATTACAAGTTCAAGCCCTGGGACCCGCCATACAAAGGAAAGCCACCGGCCTGGCCCTCGCAGGAGGACGCAACCTACCCTATCCCCGATTTCAACCGCACTTGCGCCACCGACGCTCGCGTGGCTCTCTGGAAATGGCGCTACCTCTGCGATCGGGCCAAAGACGAGTCGCTCAAGACGACAAATCCTCGCACCCGGATACAATTCTGCTTCAATCCCCCTCCCTCGGAGGAACTGTGCTGCGACGCAGACGGCAACGCCAAGTATGGCCAGACCTGTCTCACGTCGCCGTTGTGGCCTCAAGACGACCAAGAAGCAGCCTGGTGCGGCACTTGCCGGCTGTATCAGGCCCCTTGCGTTTTTGGGGAATACCCGGAAATTAACAACCCGGAGAACGTGTGCAAGTGCCAGTTCGACAAATGCTACATCCCCAGTGACTTCAACTGGGAGGGAATCAATCCCGAGACCGACCGGAGTGGATACCCAGGCTTGAAAAAGACAACCTATGTGCACGACGTAAAGAAATGGTACTCTTACCTGTCAATCCCCAAAGATCAAGTCACCGAGGCCATGCTAGAAGAAGCCGACTGGTTGTGATGTAACTTGCTGGGCGAGAGCCAAAACTGGCCCTCAGCAGGGTTGATCAGCTTTGGGTCGATAATATTGTGGCTAAGTGTCTGTGGAAGCTGAGGGCATGTGATGTCTTGCAAGCAACCAACCAACCTATATTCCTGAAAGTCGGACAGGGCGGACGACGGAGTTCAAACTGGTAGTGGCACAGGATAATACGTGACATGTCTCCTTCTATAATGATCCTGGATATCAGAAGCCGCGAAGCGAAAGCACTCTTGACGACCGAACCACCAGAGCACATGCCTTTCCGCTGGGCGTTATCTCGTGACTCAGTACCAAAAATGAGACACACATATATAATTGACACCCACAAATTGGTCTCCAAGAACAGCCTTCGACTGGGTGAGCTCCATTACAGGGTGATGATCCGTTCCAATCGGCGAGGAGGACAGGACAAGCAGTTTCTTCAACCCCCCCCCCCCCCCCCCGGGGGGGGGGAGGCCAGGGCGTGCCCTAAAAAGCACTAGGTACTTCGAGTACCGGGTTGCGGCGTTTCTGACCTGGGTTCAGTTTTTGCAGTTTGTGTCGGCAGTTAGGTTTTTTGGTTGTCGTGAGAGGCTGCATTGTGTGTGTGGTAAGGCAGAAAACCTTGTGATGGTAGAGGATTGCGGCAGTGGTTACCCAAGAGGGCACGGTTAGTAAATTGTAAGAGCGGGTGATAGGAGTGAGAATGGTCTGGCAGACTGTGCGCAATTTGTTTCTGACATTCGATCTGGATCAGAGCCAAATAGGCCATGAAGGCTGGATCAACTAAGAATGAGGATCCGTGAGATAACAATGTAGTTGCAATGTCGCCGACCTCGACACGAACAATGGCATATGCCTCTCTCATGAATGGCCGTTGACACCGTTGACGCCATCACTTCGCTCCTTCAACTCACGATACTCCTCCTGTGCTTCCCTCTCCCTCCTCATCACAAAGTTCACTTCATCCCTGAGCCTCTCCAACCTCCTTGCCAATGCACCCTCTTCCCCAATCTGCAAGGTCCTAAAACCATCGAGTTGCGCCCTCTGCTCCTCAATCTGTTCATAGACTGTGGCGATCTTCTGCTTGAGGGTCTTTTGCCGCGCCTGATACCCGCCCAAGTGCAATGATAACTTCTTCTCGAGTTTATTGCCTGCCTCTGCGGCAGATAGAAGGCTTTGTTGTGCGGATTTAAACGCAGCCAAGTATTCTTCCGCGGTTGTATTTGCGGTGAATTTTAGCGGCAAAGCGTTCCTTTCTCTCTCCGAGCTGGCGAGGCCTTCCACAGCGGCGATGTAAGCTTGTCGGTCTGTCTCATTGAACGTAGCTTTTAACTGCTGACGAGCTTTCTCTAGCAACTCATCGGACAGCGATGCTAGCTGAGGAGGTTTGCCGACTACCCTTGAGCCAGGAAGAGGGAACTTGCGAGCGTCATTTGCCATGAGCAGAGCAGCCTCTTGCGCGATCATTGCGCGGATTGGATCGGTTATGGATGTCGCTTCCGAAGCGAGGGCATTGTAGTCAATGGAGGTGGGTCGTGGCAGAGCTCGTTGATAAACTTGGGTCTGTCGTCTGAACTCTGCTGCTGCTGCTGCTTCTCGCGCTTGACGCTCGCGCCTGTCGATTTCATCTTGATCTTCCCTGTCTACAGCAACGCCGCCCATGGCCTCTTCCTGTTCTGATGGTAAAACCTCCAGTTCCCATTCTGTCTCCTTAGGTTTTGGTAGAGATGACAGCTTCGCTCTGAGAGATTGTCTTGCAGCATTCTCGGCTAGTCGCATATCCCGTGGAGTTTGCACAACAAGCTGTCGTTCGCCTCTTTCATTGATCGTCAGATTGTCGCGTGGTGTGCGCAACGGAGTGGCACCGGGATATTGTCCTGCACTCTCAGCTTGGCGCAAAGGCGTCGCCATCGGATTGGGTGTCACCATTTGCTGTCTTCGAGGCGCAACTCCATCAAATCCTGTGGAGCTGCTGCCCTCATGCAACGGAGTATTCTCCCCACCCAGTAAAGACGACTGCGTTTCGGTGAGTGCTCTGATGTTTCTAATTTCATTGGCAATATGGTCTTCTTCCGCGGGTGCTCGAGGGGTTCGAATAGGTGTAGCTCCGACTATATTCGCATAGTTGGATACAAGGCCTCGTTCGTCTCCATCCTCCTGCCCAGCTGCTCTCACCGCCTTCTCGCCTGCCATCCCCATCTTGACGATTTCTTCCAGCTCGCTCTCGCTGACTTGGGGCGCAGGCAGGTTCAGAGCTCTTCGCTTGCTCTGTTGCTCGGCCTCCCGCAGTCGTTGCATTTGTCCCGCTCTTGCAGCGGCAGCAGCCGTTGCAGACGAAGATTTGTCTTTGTCATGTTTTTGTCGTTTGGGATCGAAATTGTCTTCAGGATCTCCCTGTCTCTTTCGTGCTAGCTGTTGCTTGCGCGGGTCAAACAGTTCCCGTTCGCGCTCATTTTTGGCCAGCTCCTCTTGCGTGTCGTAAAAGCCAGCTGCAGCCTGCTTTTCGAACGGAATATCTGCGTTGTAGTCCATCTGGCCCTTCTTCCGGGTTGTGATCTTGATATTGATACCGGCATTTTTTAGCTCTCGGCGCTTCTGCAGCACGGCAAGCCTCCGTGACTCCTCGAGTTGTCGCTCGCGTGCTTTGCGCTTCGCTTTCTTTCCTTGTGTGTTCGCCAGACGGGCACGGGCCTCGCTGAGCATTTCTTTCTCGTCCTCATCTAAATCGATAGTGTCCGGCCGCGCAGGCTTGGATTCCGGATCAGGATCAAGCTCACCAGGGCGCAGTTTTCGAACCTGATCACCCGTTGGAGCTGCGGTTTCCCCACCTTCTGGACCCCCAAGGCCCAACTCATCGTTCTCACGGGCTTCTGCTTCGTCGAGGAGTTTCTGGTAGCGCTCGAGGCACTGGGTGGCCGTTCTTCCAACGATGGGTGCAATCGTCCGCCATTGCGTCGGCATCAACTTCGCCAGGTGTAACAACTTCTCATCCTCTTCTTTGGACCACTCGATCTTGCGAATGCCTGGGTCCAGCCATTCTGTCCATCTCGCCTTGCACTGTTTCGGGGTCTTCCGTGCAAGTAACGACGAAACTCGAGCCCACTGGTTCAGGCCATATTTGGAGACAGATGCTTTAAGGATCTCATCTTCAATGTTTGTCCAAACACCTCCTTTGACGACTGGCATCTTGCCGCTGTGTAAATCGTCGCGGTATGCGAGGACAGGCAGTATCAAAGGCGCAAATCGGAACTTGCAGAACTTTTGGCGCAGGCAACTTTGAAAGTTGTACGGCGGAGTGAAGGAACGCCCCGGAGCGGAAAATCTTGGCGCCGAATCAACGTCTACTTGTCGCTGTTCAGCCTCGCGAGTCGCAAACTTGCCCTTCAGTCACGTATCATATCATTTTATGGCGACCCGATATGCCTGACGCTTACACATGTAGTTGGTGGCTCGGCTATCCTGACACTACAATGCTTCAAGTCGACTCATGTAGCGAGTGCTCCCAAGACCTGGTTTCCACGACTTTATCCTTCGCTGGATCAATCTGTGGATGGTCTCAGAGCACGTATCGTGGATCCTGCTGGCCCACGAATGATTGGATGCAGTACGACAGCCTTTAGATTTGCTGTATTACGCGTTTTTGAACGAAAGTGTTGACTCCCTTCTTCGGCGGCGTCATTGCAAGGATGGAAGGTGGCTCATGTTTCCAGAGAATTGGTCATCAAGGCACGAGGCCATTGCGTTACACAAATTGGACGCCTTGGATCAACGGCTGTAACATTCATGAAATCAAGCCAAGCATCGAAGCACTTAAAACTCTTCGTCATGAAGCAATCTAACAAGCAAGCGGTTCAGAAAAGGGCCATGCACTCAACAAAGGGATGACAAGTTTCATTGCTCAGCCCTCCTCAGCAGATGCATCTCCTCCATGCGTTCCTTCTACATCCCCAGCAGAAGTCCAACTGGGCCAGCCAGTCTGTACATTCGGTCGAACGGCGTCTTCGAGCTGGCATTGCCGGTGGCGAAGGTCGGGGATTACAACGCACAACTCTTCAACTCTACCTCTTCGGCAGTTATCAGGCTGTCATTTGCTAAGCGGACTGCCGTGGGACTGACAGGCATTATCAAAGAGGGCTTCAGCCGCGATTGGAACATTACTGACGACGTGAGCGTCTTTCATGAAACACCGCTCGACGAGAATACTAGGATGGACATCGACCCTCGTACACAACTTAGTCTCAACTCCATTCAACTGCGAGACAGGGGCCATTGTCCCGACCACCGCCTCATCACGCGCATGGATCCGCTAGGACTACTGTCTTCCTTACATTTGCTACAGCGCTTGCGGGGACGGGCCGTCCTCGTGCACTACATCTTTCATTCGACTTTCCCCTTTAGGTTCTATCGATTCTCTACGCCCAATCGCAGATCGGAGACTCAATATCTTCATAATGCTGGTGCTTTTGAGTGTGATCTGTGCAATTCAGAGCAGGCTTTTGAGGACTTGTTTGCTCAATTCTAGTGAGTATTCCGGATTCAATCCTTTTGAGGATTTAGTTCCTAGTGGTTGGCAGCAATCGATACCGAGGAATAAATTCATAGTAGACTTGCCAGTGTTAGCGATAGGCGCAATATTTTATTTGACTGTCTTAGGAATGCTTTACTTATTCAGTTATATGTTGAAATATCGAGTAACCTGGCTCCCATTATAATCTATCAATTACTCACGTCGTGGATTGCTGTTCGCAGTCTTTGCACCATAGCATTCTTGAGGATACTAATATCTTTGCGACAATTCAGGACAAGAAAATCAAAACCCATAGACCAGGTATTTACCTTAGGCTGAATTTGAAAACTTTCAGTCATAGCCGTTTTGCGGGCGGATTCCGAATTTCGGAATACGTCGTTCGGCATTCCTCGCAATCTGTCTGAGCGGAAGGTGGCAAAACCGTGTACGCCCACTTGAGCTTCACTCGGGAGATAGATTATAGGCCAATAATTAGAGCCGGCTTGAAGCGTTGCGTCTTCATCGGAGAAGGTCCTGATGAGAGTCTCCGGCTCATGGGGAAAGTCGGATTGTTGATTCTTCGGAGACGCGAAGTCCATACGCAGAACAACGGAACACCGATTACTTAACCGGTTATTCTCTTCCCCAGATCGCCTCGATTCGCCAAAGCACTAGACAAACGGACATAATCGTCAATTGCTGGCCAGATACATTCATGACATGGCTGAGAACTCTTTTGGGCTCTATGTTGCTCTCCAAAGCACTGGAATAGTCGAAATTGCTTTTGACCCCGGAAAAAGTGCAAATGAATCTTTGTCCATTGTTGCTGTGAACACAGATGCGGGTTTCATGCCGGGATGGCTCACTGCGTCTGGGGACAAGGTGTACAGCATCAGCCGCACGAACTACCCGAACAGCGATTCTGGATCAGGTGGGGTGTTTGCGTTCCGAAGAACGCCTCTTCTGGCTTCAGCTGCCACTGGGACAGGACTTGTGCTTTTGAATCGGGCAAGCAGCAACGGCAAAGGAGGCGTACACTGTGAGGTGAGCCCAGACGGGAAGATACTCGCGGCTGCGAACATCACGGCGTCGACGCTTTCTATCTACCCATTATCTGAGGACGGCTCCATCGGCACGCCCACCTTTGTATTTGACTACAATCAGTCGGACCCTGGGCCGAAAGAAGCACACCCACACCAAGCAACGTTTGATCCTTCCGGGCAGTTTTTGATCGTACCTCTTCGGACTATGGACCGCGTGGATATCTACTATACTCAGGGTCCCCGTCAAGTTGAAAAAGTGTACAGCATTCATATACCAGCACCAGCGGGCGCTCGACATGTGGCATTCAATCCAATCAGTCCCTCCAAGGCATATATGTACCTCATCAGCGAGAAGGACAACTCAGTTCGTGTCTTCGTCCTGAGCTATAAGGCTAGAGGACCACAAGGTCTGACGGTTGAGTTCAAGCAGAGGGTTTCAGCTATGGGGAAAGACCTTGCTCCCACCCCCGCCGAGCATAAAGATTTGGCTGCTGAGATCGCTGTTAGCAATGACGGGAGATTTGTCTATGCGTCCAATCGAAACTTGACGAGCGCAGACGATGACATTCTCACGATTTATTCCGTTGACGCCGACCCTGCACATGATGAACACCACCTAACATACCTTGAATCTCAATCGACACGGGGTAAGCACCCTCGAATGTTTGCGCTCTCCAACGACAAGGAGAACAAGTGGGTGGCTATTGCCCATCAGTTCAGCCAAGACATTGTCGTTTTTGAGAGAGACGTGACGACCGGATTGCTTGGAGAAGTCAGAGGCCGAATCAGCGTAAAGGTGGAGGCTCCCAACCAAGCTACTCCAGACAAGGTCACCTTTGTGAAAGGAGAAGAGGGCCGACACAGTCGTGAGGAATTCAAGAAAGGTCGGATAGAAGGACCGATGTGTGTGTTGTGGAAATAACATCGCGGCTATACGGACGATGCCATAACTTCGCCAATCTCGATTGAGCGATCAACGTTACCGTCCGATATCATAGCACGAGACATAAATCCTACGTTAAATGGAAGCATATGGCTTGACAAGGGTATCGGAAATACATTGTTGCGACGTTTCAATGCGTTTCCCTAGATTGCAGAGATTCTAGCAGCAGCTAAAGAATGGTTCTGTTCTCAACGGTGGTTCTACGCTAGACGTCTTCTGTGATGAGATCTGTTCTGTCGGCCCTTTTCCTTGAGATTTGTCCGCTGAATCTTTCACCCTCATTGTCACACAACAACTGGTATAATTCGTTTCCATCGGGGTGAAAATTCACCGCATTCTAGCAAGTGATGGCCTTCTCCCTTGCGGTGCCACCCTGCTTCGGCCGAGGTTGTTGGACCCAGTTTTCTTAGCGACTTTCGCAGTGACCGATCAATGGCAGCGCGTGAACGGACGAGCTACCGAAAAAAATACTTTGACCATGGGCCTGGCTTCTGGCCAAAACCCCACGGGGTATAGAAGAGTCGTGGTGGGGAATCTCACATCCTCACGTTGCCTCCTTGGATCCTTTTGCTTTCCTAGATATATTAAGGGCCGGATTCCCCTAGCTCCGCAGCCCTTCAATTGCCTCCTCCCGAGCTCAAGTTACTTCAAACTTCTACTCCAGACGTTGGTTCTTATTCTTCAAAGATCTTCCCAGTCCTCAGTATCTTTGTGGCGCAGGGTCTCTACTGCGCCAAAATCCCAACATCATGGTGTCCTTCAATAACAGGATCACGCAAAACGTCAATGGGCGATTGGCGTTTGCTTCCACCGTCATGATGCTGTCTCAAATCAATTTCGGAATGGACCTCGTCGCGTTCTCAAACACCCAGGCGATGACGGCGTTCAATAAGAAGTTTGGCGCTTACAACGCAAAGCTCGAACGATATGCATTGGACCCCTACTTCCTCTCCCTCCTGAACAGCCTTACATACGTCGGTCAAGCCTTCGGCGTCATTACAGGCGGTTGGATCGCTCGACGTTGGGGCCGAAGGGCTTCGTTCTGGGTCATGTCTTTATGGGCAGTCTTGTCGGCTCTTTTGCTTGTTACTGCGCAGAAGAAAGAACAGGTTCTCATCGGTCGCATTTTCAACTATGTGTACCTTGGACAGGAACTCGTCACGGTTCCTGTATTTCAGGCAGAAATTGCTCCTCCGAAGATCCGAGGAATGATTATCGGCACTTTCCAGCTCGGTACAATGGTGAGTGCAAATGCTCGCTGTAGCGGTGCTGCTGACTTGCTGACACTGCGTCCAGGTTGGCGCTTTCATCATGGCGTGCATTACCTACGGGACGAGCAAATTGGACACTGAAAGTGCATTTCGTATCCCCTTTGGCATTTTCTTCGTCATTCCGGTGGTTGTTTTCGTGGGCTCTTTATTCATGCGCGAGGTATGTGTGTTGATCTTGTCACTTGATAACCTGACCCATTCTGCCTTCTCCTTACTTATTTTGCTGTTAGTCGCCCCGTTGGCTTTTAGTCCGAGAACAAACCCAGGAAGCCCTCGATTCTCTTCGGTTATACAGAAACGGCAAATTCACGGAAGAGGAGATCATGGAAGAATTCCGTGACCAAGTTGCCATGATTGTCACCGTCACCCATGACAAGGGCACATTCAAAGAAATGTGGCAAGGAATCAACCGCAAGCGATCGCTCATCGTTATCGGCTCGAATGTCTGCATTCAGATCAGCGGACAAGGGCTGTTCAGTAAATACGGTACCATCTTCCTGACTGATCTCCACGGACCCAATCCTTTCCAGATGTTCCTCATCAATACCTCATTGCAGATTGTCGTCATCTTGGCCGCAATGTACCTATTCGACAGAATAGGTCGCAAGTAAGTTTCAACCAACTCCATTGTACAGCAGAAGTCTCCAAGCTAACATATTTTACTGCAGGCCCCCATTGATCATCGGGTCCATCATTCAGACTACCACTTTCCTTGCCATTGGTGGCCTCGGCACTATATCAGATCCTAGCAAGGGGGTAAAGACCGGTCTCACGGCCCTATTTACCGTCTTCTACCTGGGCTTTGTGTTCGGATGGGGACCAATCTATCATATTATTTCATCCGAGATACCGACCTCACGTATGTTAATAAAGTCCACGGTCCAGTCAATTGGCTAACACTCGGAAATAGGTATGCGAGATATCACCTACACTGTATCCAGCATCATCACTGTTGTCACGCAATTTGTCGTCTCGTTCACCATCCCCTACCTCTTATATTCGCCATACGCCAATCTGGGGTCGAAGGTTGGCTTTATTTTCGGGCCCATCGCATTTCTCACCCTGCTTTTTGCCATCTTCTGCGTGCCAGAGTGCCGCGGATTTTCTCTTGAAGAGATCGACCATCTGTTCCGACTCAGGGTACCTGTCAACCAGTTCCGCAAGTATAGGCACGGTCAGATCCTCCCGGAATCAGATGCTGACAAAGAAACTGAAAAGTCCGGAGAAGGTCCTTCTATTGAGCTGAAGGAAGTTGCTGAAATGTAAAGTACACGACCAGGGGTAAGGGGAGGACCCGGAGGAATGCCTTGGAGAGTGCCACCTTCCTTTGCATGGGGAAAGCCTGAGGTCTACGGAACAAGGAACCATCATCTACGGGATAGTTATAGCAAGTGAACAGCATATCAATCATGATATTTATCCCTCGTGATGAAGCTCAACTGATATCTTCCTTTCTCTATCTGCGTTTTCAACCAATTCTTCTTCGTTTGTCACCACCCAGGCCCAGTAGATCTTATTGGATAGTAGTTCTGAACATCAGGCAACCAGACAGGCTTCTCTCTCTTTGGCGAAGTTAGTAGCGGTAGCCAGGACCTGCCAGCTGCGAACTCCACCCACCTCTGCAAGGGCATGAGACTAGTCTGATGCGGGAAGAAATTCACCCGCGAGTTCGTGATAGAAGGTGTGCGGCCACGGTCCAGCCTAGTTCGAATTGCTGATCGATGGAGGTGTTCACTTCGGCATCGTCTGGCCTGGCTGCCTGGTAACTTCCATCCCGTATGATGCCGGTTGCGGGATTCTGGGTGTGGACCCATTGCGAGTCCGCAATGCCACATCGCATGATCGTCCCCCAGCTTTCCCCACAAACTTGGTCCTCCGCAAATCGCTGACCCTTGGCTTTCCTCGCAATCCAGACTGACACTCCGAGGTCCTCCTTACTATCACATTTGGTGTGCCGAATAGCCTGGCTTGTGGAGACATGTCTGCTTCTCAACCTGACCAAGATACGCGGCTATGGTCGCTGTGTGGTCGTTTGAAATTTACCCCGATCAGGAGTTGTGCATGTAGGTTTGCGATTGCGCACCAGCGACCCGGCAGGATGAGCCATTTGTTTGTCTTTGGAGCGACAAGGCTAAGTCATAAAGAGCGCTTGAATTCACCTCACTCGGCATACATTGCAAGGAATCACCAGAGCACAAAGCAAGTTGAATACCCAAACAACGGCAACAGAACCAGAACCACAGCATCAAACATCGTTACCATTACAATTCAGTCCTTTCAACAACATGTCTCCTGGAAGAACAAAGGATGAACTGAGAATCTTTACTCCTGTTGGCCAGTTTGGCCAAGGATGGAACTCTAGTGTCTTCTGGGACGTGGTGGACTCCGGGGTTGACGCTATCATTGCCGATGCTGGCTCAACCGACAGTGGTCCTGGCCGTCTAGCGCTTGGGAAGACTGCAGCCTCCCCCCAAGGCTACAAGAGGGATTTTGGCGAGCTGGTCAAGGCTTGCCATACTCATGGAGTTCGCTGCCTGATTGGCTCTGCTGGCGGTTCAGGCTCGAACGAGCTGGTTGACATGAGTACTCGGCTTATCAAAGAGATAGTCGAGGAGAATGGCTACCGTCCCATGAAGGTCATCAGCATCTACGCCGAGATTCCGAAGGAGACTGTCCGCCAGAAGTTCAAGGACAATCTTATGAGCCCCTGTGGTCAAGCCGTCCCTGAGCTAAAGGAGGACGACATCGATTCTGCAGTTCGGATTGTTGCACAGATGGGCTTGGAGCCCTACGTCAAGGCAATGAACGAGAACCCGGACTTCGACATCATTATCGGCGGTCGCTCTTATGATCCAGCCCCATACGCGGCGTTCTGCATCCATCATGGGTTTGAAGATCTCGGTAGGTATCTATCCTGTTGTCCTTTCCCTGGTCTTTATCACCACTACCCCATCCGCCCAAGGGGCAATAGTTAACCAAGTGTCATGTGACAGGTATCAATTATGCCATGGGCAAGATTATGGAGTGCGGGGCGCAATGTGCGATTCCTAAATCTAGAGAATCCCTTGCAATTGTACGTCGCGATAACTTCGACCTAATCCCTCTCCAGCCAGGAGCACGCTGCACTCCCTTGTCAGTGGCTGCCCATCTTCTATATGAGAAGAGCAGACCGGACATACTCCAAGGGCCAGGCGGTGAGCTCCATACCAAGGATATGACCTACGAGCAAGTTGATGAACGCACGGTGAGAGTGCGTGGCCCTAAGTTCATTCCACAGCCAGAGGGTGAGTATACCGTCAAGGCCGAGGCGGCGCGCATCAATGGCTATCAGAACAGTTTCGTTGGGGCTTTTAGGGACCCGATCCTGATTTCCCAGCTCGACACTTGGATCCCTGCGGTCAAGGAGACGGTCGGGGCCAGGATGTCCGGCAACTACCCATATGAGACCAAGATTATCACATACGGCATCAACGGTGTTATGGGGGCTCTCGAGCCGGACAAGAGCCTGCCCAAAGAGGTCTGCGTCGTCGTCCAGTGCAGGGCACCCACGCAGGAGCAAGCCAACGAAGTGGCCAACAGGACCAAGATGGGCTTGACCCATGCCCCGTATCCCGGCCAGCTTGCAACCGCCGGAAACTTCGCCTGGCCCATCACCCCCTGCGAGACCCCGATCGGCCCGGTTCCCGAATTCTGCATGTACCACCTCATCCACAAGGCGGATCCTGTGGGCCTGTTCCCCTTCAAGGTGGACGTTTTCGAAGGGTCCAACACGTTCGTTGATACTCGTATGTTTGCATCAGCTTGTCTGCTCTCGTCACAAGTGTCCTCAAGCCACTAACCCGTCGACCCTAGGTGAAAAAGTTGCCGTCAAGGCCGACGCTCTCATGGGACAACTCAAGGCTCCAGCAGCCACTGCCGGCCAGCCCAAGACTTATTATCTGAAGCCCGCGCCGTCCGCAGGGACATGCTATCTAGGAGACATTGCCTCGGTCGTCCGCAGCAAGATCGCTGGACCCTATGAAGTGACCTTTGACATCATGTTCAAGGAGGAAGAGGTCTACCAAAGGGTGAAGAAGGCGAACGTGCTCTCGGGCGCCGCTGTGGCCAAGCTCTACAATATTCCGGAAAGCGATGTCGTCGCTGCTCTCTGGTGGGACCCTGCGAGAGCGTTCAAAGCCACCATTCCCCGGTATCGCGCCTCGGCCGGATTTGAAGAAACAGACACGCACGGTTCACAACAGCATGCGCCTCTTCTGTTCCTGACCCTACCTTGGGGTCGAGAGTAGTAGAGAGTGACTTTTGAAGAGGGGATTAAACGGACGAGAGATTTGATCTTGACGGACTCGATTTGGATGTAATTTTCTTTTTTGAATTAAGTGTTTGGCCTAGAACAATTCATCCGTAAAACCCGTACTGCATCTGATAGATCAATCGAATGATAGCCTTCTCCCATTCTATTCACGCCATGCGACGGCGAGCCACGGAGCGCACTGCAGCAGGTAAATGGAAGAAATGACAAGACGATGTCTGGGGCATTCCCGACAGGTGCCCACTCGTAAAAAGCTGCTGCTACCGGTGATGCGAGGATCGGAATTGTCCTTGGCCACACTAGCCTCCTCAATTTGTATACGCTTAAGATAGATTAAGAAGAGGCTCATTTTGGACAACCTGAACGCAATCTATCTCAACAATCAAGCGACACCCCCACATACCGAAGCCTAGGTCCGCTGAGGAGACATAACTCCACAGCCTCATACTAAACAATCAATGGTACATCCTTGAGCTCTTCGAAAAAAAGGAGGCCGACTTTATTGTCGTGTGCCAGGGGAAACGAGCTGGCTTTCTATTCTATTTTGGCATACTGTCAAGCCGTGGCCACCAAGGTTTGGCTATGACTTGTTCGCCGCCGTGAGCAGTTCTGGAACCACCGTCAGAAGCTCTTCCCCCAGTACTCCACGGCGAGCGTTCTCCATGGCCAATGTCTCCATTTCAGCCAACGTTTCTGTTGTGTGCGTTCCCAGATGGGGAATCAGTAGCGCACGGTCGTTGTTCAGAAGCCGCTCGTTGACAATAGGCTCGTTCTCATAGACATCCAAGCCGACGGCTGCGATATGGCCCTCATCGAGTGCGGCAGCCATTGCTGCTTCGTCAATGATGGCTCCCCGGGCCGTGTTCACAATCACAACACCGCGTTTCATTGCCGAGATCTGATCCTTTCCGATAAGGTGTCTTGTCGCGTTGGATAATGGCACGTGGATGGATATTATATCACTCTCTGACAGTAGTTGGGCGAAAGAGGTATAAGTGGCGCCGCTCTCCTCTTCGTCCGGCAGTTTTGTCCGGCTGTGATACAAGATCCTCAAGCCAAAGGGCTTTGCACGCTGGACCACAGCCTTGCCAATGCGACCCATGCCTAAAATGCTCAAGGTCTTCCCCTGTGGGTCATGGCCAAAGTCGACGCCCTTTTTGAAACGACCGCTGCGCAGACTCTGGATCCCGGGATTCAACTGCCTGAGGGCCCCCAGCAGGAGGAAGATTGTGAGGTCGGCGGTTGCGTTGGTGACTGGCGTCGGAGCATAGGTGACTATGATGTTTCGAGCCTTGCATGCCTCCACGTCAATCTGATCATAGCCAGCCCCGTTGTGACAAATGTACTTTAGCGAGGGAGGAAGTTGCTGGATGAATTCTTTGTCGAAATTGCCCGCCACCTCCTCCGGTCAGTCCATAATCATTGAGAAGAGACCAAGGGCGCCTGACTTACAGCTCCGCTGGCGGATGTTCGATATATGGCTTGAATGTCATGGTATTTATCTCGAGTATCTCTAAAGAACTCTTCGCGCGACTTGCTGGTCACCACTTCGACCCGAGCCACTTGACCAAGAGCCTCATATGCCTTCAGCGCATGGCGCACGGGGTTGAAAAAGAGTATCCGTGGCTTGGGAGCGAGCATCTCGAGGAAGGATCATTGCATTCAGCCAGACAGTCAGATCTTGTGTTTGATCGGTGCTCCTGGGAGGCAACCTTCTGAGCAGCAATCAAAATAGTCGTAGCGGACCGTGGCCCAAGCCCAAACAGCTGCTGCAATTCTCGTAGTAAGTATGCTATCCGAGATGCCTCTCCCGCCCACGTCATTAGTGGCAATCGCGAACTGACTGCAACGTCTGCAACCCCATTCAAAGGTGATTTCGTGCAAAAGATTGTCCGAGAAAGAATCATCCCGTATGCTTGCCGACTTTGAGCAATTCAAGCGATGAAAGGGGTGTTGAGGCAGCTGGCACACTCACATCGGCATTCCTTCGCCTGAATGAGATGCCTTACTGTGTTGTGGATCCCTCGGGCTCCCCACATCCTCCCGCAATTCCGATACCGCAATGCAATCTGGGGACTGCCCCAGGTTGACCCCAAGCGGACGCCCGAATCGAGACCAGGTCTGTTGCGAAACTCGCAACGCTAGCCCAAAGCCCGAGTGTTGATTGGCCAACTTGGGAGATTCAAGCGGGGTTGACGCTTCGGGGAGAGAGTCGAGGGGATATAAGACGAAGCAGACCCGTCAGCCCATTCCGATTTCTTTGCGCCTATGTCGGAATGCTTCACCTCCTCTCGGCATCCTCGTGATCAACGAAACCCCCCCGGACAATGAAGGCGAAGGCGTGCATCCGCTGCCGGCAGTGGAAAGTGGGATGCGATGCAGATGTCGCCGGCCCCGAGGGCTGTACTCGTTGCCGCAGTGTCAACGCCAAGTGCGTCTTTGGGGCTAACTTTCGACGAACTCCCAAGCGGCGGATGCTGGCTGAGCTGCAGGACGAAGTGACCCGATTGAGGGCATTGACCTCTGTGCTGACGACGGAAGGACCTGTCGGTGAGAGTCCCACCACCTCGCTGGAAACCAATGCGTCGTCTTGGGGGCCAGAAAACGCCTCAACAGCCATTGTCCCTATACCGGCCATACAACAACCCATCATACCAGGCTCAAATCTGTACTACAGAGGCAACAGCCATGTCCAACTCACAGCCACGCAAGCCAATGAGCTATTCCGCATCTACTTCACCAGATGCCACCCGTATCTCCCATTCCAGATGTGTCGGTCCGTCGAGACAGTCTACGGCCGCTGTCCACTCCTATTCTGGGTTATCTGTGCTGTCGCTTCCACGGACAAAGCACGTCCCCAGTTTGCAGACATCGTCCGCTGTCAAGTTGCTAGCGTGTTGGATCCAAGCAACGCCTCGGTCGAGGTTGTGCAGGCCCTTCTGATCCTCTCCATGTGGCCCTTTCCCTTCAAATCGCAGAGGTCCGACCCGTCTTTCATGTACGGCGCACTCGCATGCCAGATTGCATTGCAAATTGGGTTGCCTCGGCCAGCCGTCACATGTCCTGGGTCTGCCAGCTCTGATGCTACAAATGAAGACCAGGAGGCTCGACTCACGACGTGGATTGGATGCTTCGTGGTTAACCAGATTCTAGCCAGTCGATTGGGAGTTCCGGCCACCATCTTCGCCGACTATGCGCTCCTTTCCTCCCTCGATGATCCCTCGGTGTCGCCGCAGCTCTCCCATCTCTGTTCAATCTCTCATCTTACAGTGGAATCAGCCCACGCCATCGGCGCACGCGCCGTCAATGTTTCCGGCCTGGCAGATCCGATTCCCCGGATAAGTCTCATCAACATCTTCGCTCAGCAGTTCGACGAACTCCGGAGAACTCGTTTTCCCGACCCCAGCGACATTGAAGAGATATTCTTCCTCAGCTCCATGCTCCAGTTGTGGTCGTTCGCCTTACACAACGACGTCCCTATTTCGCCAGACACCTTCTACATCGTCCAGCGCGCAAGACAGGATGCCATCCGCCTCATCCAAGTCGCCTGTGAGAAGAACCTCTGCCTTGTCCCGTTCTACACCTACCGTTCCGTCTGCTTCGCGGCTCTGCTCCTGTACCACATTAAACTCAGCCCCTACGGTGTCAATGACGAACTGCTCGACGACCATATTGCGAGAGCTCAGCAGACGCTTCAGTCCAGAACGGGGCCTGACCTGGCGCAGTTCTTAAAGACGTTGACATCGCCGGAGAACAGGGACGAGTTCATCGCGCGAAGGGATAAAAACTCTTCCCATCGGTGGAAGATGGGCGCCGCCCTGACATTCGATTCAGCCCACGCCTATGCCAATCTGACGCAGTCCGAGGCACTGTTCTTCCCTGAATTGCTTGACCTCGATGGATTTCTGTTTGAGAACCCAACCACCATGTTAGAGTAAATTGGATTTTCATGTACTTCGAAAAGAATCGGCGTACCATCGGTACATGGTACGAGGGGAAAAAGCAGGCCGAGCGAGAGGAACATCAGTATTGCTCGGAGACGTAATCGATCTGTGTTTCATTTCTGGACTTCTCCTTTGGGCGGAGTAGGGCATAAGGCTATGAGAGCACAAGGCCATCAGCTGATGTCGGGTCATATTGCCCTGGCCCTGCACTCAGTGCACAGGACACTAAGAGAGCAGCAGGTACAAGTGTCCTCTTTGTTGCCCTGACTGTATTGGGAATGTCAGGGGACTCTGTTCACTGTGGCACTAACATTGGTGCGCATCCAGTCCCAGTGGGACTATAGTGCCAGCCCTTTGGGCAAGAGTAGTGAGTTTTGCATCAGAGAGCAACGATAACGTGATAACGTGCTAACGGTAGAAGTGCTTCCGCGGCTTTACAGATCCCCCCCCTGCTTCCTGTGCACTACCTTGCGACTGGACTTGGTCGGCCTTCCTCGAGTGTTTAGTTTGTGTGTTGTTGGGTGTCAGAGCGAAACAGGGGCTAACGACCAGAAACCCCTTCCTACCTACCACCCCCCTGGACAAGCCTCTACGCGTTCTAGCACGTGTATGCTAACGAATTCGATCCCCGGACACGATAAAGCTTATAGATAACGGATAAAGTTAAAGCGATTCTCGTACTTTCCGGTTCCGCTTGACTATATCAATCGTTGATGGAGGTATATTACGAACTCGGAGGGGAGGATAGGTTCGGGAGGGGTTGGGATTGCTCTGGTTCTGCAAATAGGTGTATACAAATATATCCCTTTCCAGTGAACGCTCTTCGGTCAAGGGAATAGTCGAAGTGAGCTTGTATCGGGCAGAAACTCAAACTCTGACAGGAGCGAGCCTCCGCCCCAGTCCCAGACAGCGTAATTCTCTATCGGGCGAGAATGCTTCGGTCCTGCAGTGTTGGTATCACTTTGGCCCACGCTCTTATTATTTGCTTGCTCCGCCCTTGAAGCGAAGTTTTCAGTACTTGCCTTGTCGGCTGGCCCACTTGCTGCAGCTTGTCCTGGGAGTTCGGGGCCTGCAATTCCACTGGATGCACGACGTGAGCCTGGCGCAGTAGTAAACAAATAATTGTTCAAATGCAGATGAGCTGTCACTCCTCGCATGCGTTCCCAGAGATATTTCGATTGATGTGTGGTCTCCGCCAGAGTACGAAGAAGGTTCAGCGAGACCAAGGAGCCTTGTCGAGCTTTGAGATGAGCTTCTTCCGTTATGATTATCTCGCTGCCATTTGCAGAAGGATTTCCACGTCTCGAAGAGCCGAAAGTGGTCGCAAAAAGCAGGACATCCAAAGCCGAGATGAGGAAATGGTTGAAGAGGGCCTGGTGGAACCGGTACTCCTTTGTAGAATGATCCAGCCCCGCCAATATCTGCACTGTGTCTGCGGCCACGTCCACAGATGTGGTCCAAATGTCTGACGGCGCTGCGTCACGGAGAGTTGTGCAGAGAAATGCTCGGGAGATAAGGGTTCGAAGATGGTTTGCACGTAAGGAGAGGGTTGTGCGCACTAGATGGAGAGCTGCTCCCGCCTTCTCATTGGCGCTGGTATGTTCCAAGTCGCTAGACGTGTATTGCGTCCACCGTTCAAGTTGGTATTGGAAAAATGCGTACTTTTCTTGCCAGTTATGTAGCAGCTGATGTCTCGTGTCTCTACTATCACAGAAGAGATCATCAGTGGCTTGTTTTCCGATCCGCGCGTACTCGACCATGGCTGTTAAGAAGACTGCACCAAGCTGATACACGCTATCGGTTAGCCGCTTAGAGCGATCGGAAAGGGAGGGTTGCCAAGTTCTGGACCTACAGGCCGCGGAAATGTTGGCTCGAGACAGAGCTCTTGAGCAGCGTTTGCTACTCCCAGCCCGTAGCTGAGCTGGCGTTCAAGAACATAAATTGTCCAGATGGTGTTAATGGCACAAGTACGAGTTGATGCATCGGGGAAGGAGCGAATGAGCACAATCTCCCGATTCAACCCGAGCTCTAGAATGATTCGTGTGACGTTTCCTAGGAAGCGCCATCCGCGACGCCATATTCCGCGACGTAGATAGAAAATGCTCTGCAAGACACAAGTTAGGCCTCGTATGGGTTGGATTCTGTGGAAGGGGCCATTACCACTAATGTCATTGACACCAAATCTTTCAGGTCCACAGTGTCGCTCCAGAGCATTGACTCTACCTCTGAATGGACGCTTTGGAAAAGCCTCAGTGCCATTGTATTGTGCATATCGCCTTCTGTAAGCAGCCCTGTCGCTAACACCAGCTTTAGAATGGTCAGATCACTCCGGCATAGTTCTAATGTCTGGGACTCGGGTGGTCTTTGATTCGAGTAACGTGCTCGAGCATCCGTGAAGCATTCCGCTATTCGAATAATGTTGGTCGTATCGACAATGGGATACATAAGCCCTTCCAGAACTCCATACGACTCTATGGTTTGCATAATCTGGTTGTCGTCCAGCTCTTCCAGTGGGTGGATCAAGCTCGAAGGAGAGAGTATCTGAGGCAGGTGCATATGCGACGCTGAGCTCGAAGTCTTAGAGGCATCGCTCACCGCCATGTCGCTCCATTCCCCCTCAATGATCTCGCCCTGGATGATCCAGAAAGGAGACGGCGTTGACGTTGGCGATGAGGCAGGCTGTGACGTTGTCTTGTAGGAACCGTCGAACCTTTGGTCCCCAGTATCGATCACATTTATGCAAAACAGTGAGCTCGTTTGGCTGTAGAGCAATGGCAATGCCTTTTTATAAGCTGTCTCGAAGCCGTGCTCGCTTGAACTCGGTGGGCCAGGCAGCTTTTGAGCGCCGGTCAGCATTGCCATTTGCCCTGTCAAGAGGTCTAGCTTGTGGCCTTGCTGCTCAAGGAGCGCTAACAGCGATGCGTGAATGTAGTCTTCATTGTCCCTGTTGAAATCAGTCTTTGCTGGACGATTGATAGCCTCGAGGATCGTCCAGCATACTCTTGCTGCTGCTCTTCCACCAGGAAGCTTGGCAAATGCTGTGCACTGTAGTGACAAGTCAACGGATCACGCGCTGCGCAGTATGCACACGGAAGACGGCCATCACAACGAACTTTGGCGGCTTTGCATCGATTGCAGGCGTGCGTTGTATATGGGTCTCTCTTTCGACGGGCAGCAGGATGTTGGGTCCCCTTTTTGGCAATTCTGCCACCAGTCCTCGCGTTGATGGTAGGCTGAGATTCTGATGGAGCAGGCATGGTCTCAACTAGTCGTGCTGTAAACAATCAATACATGCTCGAAATTGTCGCAGATCCAAGACGACGGGGGAGAGTCGATTTGTCAGGAGAAAGACGATTTCCTAGCGCGGAATATGGGGCGTGCCAAGCATCCAAGTCGGGGGAGGGGGGGTGGGTGCTGGCGGAGTACCTCCGTGCGGGGAAAATATCAAAGCGTGGAGAGGGTGGCAGTCTGGGGCTGGATCATATTCGCTGAATCATCATATTCTGGTAGGAGAGTAACTCGAGTCTCACCCCTACGCGCTAGCGCCGCTGTTTGATGTGGTAGCATACCAAAAGAGGATGTCACAAGCTGAGCACCTGTATACAAGTTTGTAGACTAGATGAGATTGATCTTCGGTTTTCAAAGGCACAAAATCCTCCTCATCACGCCGAGTAACATCGCCGGACAGTCCTCAACCATACTCATGCTTCTCCACGCCACGAAATTGTCGGGACGTACCAAGACGCATCCGTCTTCGTTGACTTCGCGGCGATGATACCAGTCATTATAGACGGCTTCATATTCCAGACCAAAGCCGACCGCAAACACCGCCACCTCCAAGCCCAGGCTTTCTTTGACTTTGGCAGCAGCGTCCCGCCACATTTCTCCTCCATGGCCAGTAAAGAGAGTGAATCGGCCTTTGCCGCTCAGATCCAATGTAGACACCGGCTTCTGTGGAATGCTCGTGTTCAGCCAGGCATGTGGCAGTCTCAACCCAGGGTATGTATGGGGTTCGTAATATAAGACCGGATCTGAAGGTGGCTTCGGAGGCTCTCCTGCATCGTCGAGAAAGATGGCAGATGACTTATATTGCTGTCCCATATCGGATCCTTGCGCCAGGAACTCGTGACACGTATAATCAATCGAGTTGATGAGTTGCCGACGGCGAAGTCGGCCACGTTCGGATACTTCGTCCAGGATGGCCAATTGTTGCTTCCGTTCCCGCAAAGACGGATTAAGAAACCCAAGAGATTCAAAGATAGGTATATGCTCCCTAAGAGAGGAATTCGCCCTGACATCCGGACCTGTTAGTCGCAAACGTCTCTACATTGCCAAAAGGTGCGAGGGGCCTACCGGCCAACCACTCCAGCCCCTACTGGTGCCCGCTCGACGGTGTAGCTGTCCAGAAGGGATCTCCCCGCGAGGCCTGCCTCTCGTTAGTAGATTGATCTCACTTCAAGGCTGTTCAGAACCGTGTAACCAAATGTCTGGGAAATAGAACCTACCCCTTTCGACCAGAGCAACCTTCCATGCTAGGTTGGCAGCATCTTGAATGCAGGTATTCGATCCAAGCCCATTCATTGGAGGGTGTCGATGCACCGCATCGCCCAGGCAAAATCTGTGCAATTCAGTAATGTTCTGTAGATTGACGGAGGGTGTGACTCCAACACTGGGCCTTTGCTGTAGCACTCTGCTACAGTCTCATTGATGATCCACTTGTCTACTCGGAGGATTTCGACGGGTATTGACGCATCACCTATGACGGACTTGGCCTGATCCTCAACCTGCTTTTTCTCAGGCATGAAATCTGCCGGACAAGTTGGCTTGTACATCATGATCACTAGCCATTCATACCATGGCTTGACCATTCTCACGATCGACCACGCAGCAAAGTCAGGCTGCTCCGCATCTGGTTGGATGACGTAGTGCAGATTCCCAATTCTTGATTTCATTATGTCCGACAGATCAGCTCGAAGCAGAACATTCAGCGCGATCCCTTGGCTCGGTTTGACAGACATTGGTAGTCCAAGCTGTTGGGCGACGATGCTTTTGGCACCATCTGCTCCATAAAGATACTTGCACCTGATTTTCTGGGTTATGCCGTAGATCCGATCTTCGACTTCCGCAAGGACCGAGTCTGATGCTGAAGTGTCAAACCGGGTAAGTCGAGTGCTAAAGCGACAAGGAAATCCATGTTGAGTGGCATATCTGAGCAGGATTGGCTCCACAAGGGTCTGAGGGAACTCCAGATGCGTGCAAGGGCTGTGCTGTTCGAAGTCGCCCTGCGTGAAGTAATCTCCCCGTCAATGGTCTTCACATGGCGTATACCTCTGAGAAAAAGGAAGATATTGATAACGCACCCCTCGCTTGGGACCACTGCCCCACGAATGAATCCGACCAAATTCTCTCCCTTTCATAGTGCTGCACCAACGGGTAAGCCCTTTCTCGGGGCCGGCGTACCCAAGCTTCAGGAACTCATTTTCGATATCCATATCCAAGTCGCGAATGCATTCTTAGGAAATACCCAAAGACACGATTTTAGAAATGGAATCTTGGATGAGACAGGTGGCCAACTTACCCATCGTAGGCTGATTGATGATATGAGCGCGAGGCGTATTCGCCGAAGACGGAGAAGAGCTTATGATCAATCCTTTCAGTCCTATCGTCCAAAACATGCTGCCGGTTAGATGATCCGGAATAGAATCTGGGACACAGTTCGGCCGTGTCGTTGAGACACTTACCATGTTTCCCCAGAAAACAAGCCAGTGACGCCCCAGCAGGACCTGCTCCGACAATCAAGTGATCAACTTCCAGTATATCGGCGCCCATTACGTGATGTTGGCGGGTTGTCATGTCCGTCATAGTTCTTTAGTATATTCGAACTGAACGTATGCACCAGTCTCGAGGATGACAATGAGGCTTCAAGGCGATGAATTAATGTTTCAGAAAACATCAACCAGCCAAGATGGGGCATTTGACAGAATTCAATATGTTGGCAGTGCCGTTGGGCAGGCTCGGATCGCTCCTGTTTCCTCGATGTCTCGACGCTGAAGAGCCACCGTACATGCTTCGGGAAAACCCCCCTGTTCATCCATGCGTTAGCAGTTCCATGTCCAAGAATAGGAGAGTATCTGGCCGAGCTGAGATGTTGGTCATCGAGCGTCAATCTACAATTCGTGCTCCCTGTGTCCTTCTCCACGTCCGCTGGCATCCTTGGGATCACTTGACTTCGGAATATTCCGAAGTGGCACATTTTCCGATTACCAACAAAATACCTAGGAAGATGGTCGGGATGTTTCCGCCTAGATTACTAAATCGCCAGCCCCTGATGCTCAGAGCCTCACTAACCTTGTCCCTCTCACGACCACAGATGGGACTGATCAAAGAGGACACAAAATAGGGATCACACATGAGAGCCATATATCAACATACTGGACTTCCCGCAACCTTACTATCAAAACAAGCCTCAGTAACCAGAAATTCTCGGCAAGGGACAACGAACCATGTCGCCAAACACTGCAGACAGCATCATCGCTGCGGTTGCCGAACGGCGATCGGTCTACAAGCTCTCCAATGAAACCACCATCTCCAAGGAAAGGCTCGGAGAGATCGTCCAGAAAGTCCTCTTAGCCACTCCGTCAGCCTTCAACACCCAAAGCACCCGCATCATTGTCCTGGTGGGAGACGAGCACCGAAAACTGTGGGACATCGTCCGCGCCGGGGTGAAGCCCCTCGTCGCAGCGGAACAGGCACAGGCCACCGAAGCCAAGATTGCTGGATTTCAGGGGGCCTACGGCACGATCCTCTTCTTCGAGGACCCGACGCCGTTTGAACCTCTCCAAGCGTTTAAGATGTATGCCGATAAGTTCCCGGGATGGCGTGAACAGACCAGTGGAATGCACCAATTGCTCGTCTGGACGGCATTGGAAGCAGAGGGGTTGGGAGCGAATGTGCAGCATTATAATCCCCTCATTGACGAAAAGGTGCAGGAGACCTGGTCTGAGCAAATTCCTCGGCAGTGGCAGCTGTTGTCCCAGATGGTCATTGGGAAGCCGGTGGGAGACATGCCGCCGGCGAAGGAAAAGAAGCCTGTTGAGGAGAGATTCGCCATCATTGGGGGAGCCTAGGAAGAGACGTGGTAGATATTTTAGGCTCTGGGTAAACAAGTCCGAGAACGGCAGAACTAGAACAAGGGTTAGGAAAGAACTCGACTCGAAGGAGTATCGAATAGCACGATACACCTGCCTGCGAGCCGACTATCCATAGGTTAGGCGCCGTGTGAGTCTGCAGATGCAAGCCACTTATAGAATGGATAGATCCTGGAGGACTGGATCCTCTGTCGTAGGTAGCATCATAACACAATTCACACAGGCCTCGTCTCTGGCAACCACAAATACCAATTTCCAACCGAGGCAAAAAAGACAACCTCCCATCCTACCTCAGTACAACAGCGTCTTTCGAAGATGGACGATAAACTCGGATCAGTTTAATGCTAGAGGCGTATAGAAAGTCTAGCTGCATCCCTGATGAAAATAAAACGGAGTCGCAATTATCCCAGTTTCGACATATTTGTAGCCAGGACGAATACGTCAAAATGATACTCTATCGTCAAGCGTGGCTCTATCTAAGCTTTAGGTGCTGGTACTGGCCCAGACCCGTCATACATGGTTCTTCTTCCTTCCATAACCTCAATCCATTCGGGGGTGCTCATGGCCTTTTCGCCATATTCTTTCAAAGCATCTGGAACCATACCGCCCCGGCCGACATCCTGCAATCTCGCTATCATGACAACGAGATGGGCATCGAGAGCCGTGGGCCTCTGTTGTCCAAACATCCAAGGGCCGGTTTCGGGTCGAAGGTATGATGCTACCTCTTCCAGGTATGCGGTAGCCCTGCTCACTTCGCTCTGAATCTTTTCTGGCTTCAGTGCATCGACTTTGTCGCGTTTTAGACTGGTAGGCCACTTGTGATTAGCCTGGAGCATTTTAGGATGGTCGATCGATAATCGCAGCACCGATTCGGTGAGTACGAAGGAATCAGAGGTAAGAACAAAACTATAAGGTCTGAGTAATGACGTGTACTTACATCATGAGCTTATACTCCAACGCTTTGCGATACTCTTCGCTGATATCAGTTTTGGCCAGTCGTTTTAGCGCGGTGTCCGCAAAGCCAGAAGCGAGTTTCGGACTCTTCAGGAAAGAGAGGGTGAAGAAGTTCAGATCATGCATCTTCTTGAGGGATTCTTGAATCGTTTGTGCATGAGCTTCCGGTAGAAGAGTGGGATGGCGCCCCGAGACGTAAGCGCTGATAGCAGTCGTCTGTGCAAGTGGAAAGGAGAACGCGACATGACTTCCGAGCACCGGTACCTGGTGGATTGTAGATATGCGTTAGCGTTCTAGGCTGACAACCCAGTTTTCTAGCTGTTTTCCTCTCCATCCCAGGCGTACCTGGCCATTCGGGTTCACTTTCAGCAAATAATCCTCACTGAATTGCTCTTCGCTGAAGATATCGATATTTTGTTCTGTCACGTCCATTTTTGCGGCCGGATGGGCGGGATCACCCCGGATTCGCATCAGATAACGCATCATGATAGAGCAGATGGAATAATAATTGTGGTATAGGGTGTATGGTGTCCCATCCGGAAAGGCACTCGTATCCGAAACCATTCTGTGTGTCTACCAATGTAGCTCTCAAAGTTTCGTATGCTTAGTGACTCAGATGGACATCAGTCCAGCATGGCTGACGAAAATATAAATGATTTCACAAGGAGTAGATAGGCAGAGGGCGGAATTCTCGTTGCATTGGTGCAAGCAATGTATCATGTGCGTCACTTCACAAATTGCGAGGCCTCAGTTATTAATATGCCAAATTATTAATATAGCAAGGCGGTTCCGAAGGGTACGGAACATGGGCCAAGTACATTAGCCAATGCTTTCCACACCGTATGGCGCAGCCTTGTCATGACCCCATGGGGTTCCAGACTAGTGGAGAAGGTCAACACCGTGCCTCCCTCTCCAACCTTAGGTTCTCGATGCTTTCGTGCTCCGTTACCGAGCCCTTTATTATTAAGCTGGTGCTGCCTAAGCATCGGGGAGCCACTTGCTACGCAACGACAAGGTCGACCCTCTAGTAAGGTGGCTACATCAAGGCAACTCCGATAGGATGGAGCTGGAAACAACGCTTGAAAGTTGATCATGAAGTGCGGAAAGGCAGTGGCTAGAGCTGTTCATTAAAAATGCGTCTTACTCACATCCAATACTCTCCCCTGATTTCAGAGCCGACCACACCTCGACACCGTTGATCCTCTTGGGCTTTCCTCTTAGTGATCACAGAAGTCATGTTTGCGTCAGCACTATCTGGAAATGGTTCTACAGAGTTCATGCAGGCCCTCTGGTCAATCCCATTTGCGTGGAAACTGACATTGCCAATATTGTCTGTCGTCTTCTATGTATGTTCCCGCCCACGACTATCCAGATCCGGTCGGTTGTGTCTTTGCTAACCAAGCATCGGTTAAGATCCTCGCACTGATTGTGTACCGACTTTATTTCCACCCGCTGGCAAAATACCCTGGACCCTTGCTGGCCAGAATCACGAATTGGTATGCCGTGTACCATGCATACAAAGGTGACAGACACCTGGATATGTACTATGTACATCAAAAATATGGTGAGCGAGCCAGGAGGGCTTTCCATGGAGATCTTCTGCTTATCAAGGTGGCTTTGCCAGGAAAATTTGTACGGCTCGCTCCAAATCTGGTCACAGTCAATGATGCAGCCGCCATCAAGGGTGAGTGCGTCGGGGTGGAACATTCAGGGCCATTCCCACGAGGGCGAATACTGGCTGACAACGTCGTAGAAATATATGGAGTCAATCAGAACGTCAGAAAGTCCGTCTTCTACCAACCGGCCATTGAGCATTCGGGGATAGAAAGTACATTCAACGCTCGTGATCGACCGCTCCACGCCAAAAAAAGACGAGTGTTGGCCCCGGCCTTCACTGAATCCGCGTTGGCGACTATGGAGGACTACATGCAATTCCACATCCGCCGAATGTTCCATGCAGCCTCTGGAGAAGAAACATTCCGGAGCGAGGCGCAATGTTGGACAGCCGACATGGGTAAATGGGGCAACTATTTGACATTCGACGTCATGGCAGATCTAGTATTTGGCAAAGATTTTGGTATGCTTGCCGGGGGTGAAAGCAGAGAACTCCCCGAGATTATCGACGGCGCTGTGCACCGTGAACTCATTGTATGAAGCTCCCTACCCCCAGAGCAGGGTTCTGCAAGAGGTCTCAGACTAAATCTCACCGCCGTAGGCCGGCTCAAGTCCCTTTGTCAACCGATGGGGGCTGGACAAGATCCTCTTTCCCGACATCGTCAAACGAGGTTCACAATTGATCAAATACGCAAAGCAACAGGCCGAAATCAGGCTCAAGGCCGATCAAAATCGAAAGGACTTCTTTTGGTATCTGAGCAACGCCAAAGAGAAGGACGGCCGTCCATCCTACTCCGATCCGCGAGAGATCTTCTCGGAGGCAAGGACGTTGATTATTGGAGGTACGACATGAAAAAGCCCTCCGAAACGAAATGCGGGTGACTCGTACCCTTGAATAGAAATACTGACTGCCTCTCTCCGGAGGAGAAATAGGTTCGGATACCACTGCCACCCAGCTTGCGGCGAATTTCTTCTACATCACCCAAAATCCCAAGACACTGGCGAAACTGACCGCCGAGGTGCGATCCGCCTTCCCCAACATCGATGCCATCCGACTAGGACCGGCACTGGACTCTTGTCGATACCTGCACGCCGTCGTCAACGAGACTCTCC